TATAAGAGCCCTTCAAACGTAGGATTAGACAGCAATCAATCATCGGATAAACCTCTGATTCCACCCTAGAACCCCTCCGACTCCTGACTATTTGCAGTTTCTTGGACGGAGCTTGTGCACAGTTGACAGCCCAGTAATTAGGGCTACCACAATAGAAGCAGGCATTGGTATCCTTACGATGTTTTCTTTCTTCGGGGCTTAGGTGGCGAGCTTGGCTCAAATCCATGGCCATGGAGGGAGCAGAGAGGGCTGGCAAAGCTGGAGCTGGAGCAGGAGAGACGGCGGGGCGGGAGACAGTAATCGGAGGTCGAGATGTTGAAGAGGTTGTGGAGGAATTGGAGCGATGTGTGATCGGACTGTATTGTTTTTCCACGTAGCGGGCATATTGTCGTTTGTCGATGTTGATGGCCTTGGCAGTAAATTCGGAAAACTCTTTGGGCTCGTCAACGAGGGCAAGCATGTCTTTGACGGCGTCTTTCAAGCCTAGTCGGTTCTGGGAGATCTTGGCAGCGTCGTTCCAGTCGGTCTCGGACGCGAGTTCCACAAATTTGTTGGTGTAGTCCATCGCAGAACCCTTCTGTCGCAGCGAGCGGAGTTGGACTTCCGCAACAACGTGGGCATTCTGAATGCCAAAGTTTTCGGACATAGTCGTGGTGAAGGTATCGTAGCTGGAGATAATCATTGGACGAGCGGCAGGAGGCTTGTTGAAGTCGGCGATATATTGTTCCATGTATTTGAAGGCTGAGCCTTCTCCCAAGCGGGAGATAGCAAACAGGATCTTGTCGGTGTCGTTTGGGTACTGGGTTGCGTTGGCGGTGAAAAACAGGGATAGGTGGGACAGGAAAGTCTTCCATTCTTCTCGTTTGCCAGAGAATGCGGTGGGCGGTGGGACTTTGGGCTTGCTGGAAGACGCTTGTGGGACCGCGGTGGAGGCGGACAGCTTCGCGGCCTCGACGTCCCCCTTGGTGGCCGAATTAGCTGCAGCATCGCGGCGGAAAGTATCAACAGATCGGCGGATCTCATCTAAGTCCACGCGGATGGCGACATGGATCAAATTACTAGCTTGGGTAACCACCTCGATCTTGTCCATCTCGGTTTGCTTGTGGATTTGGGCGGGGATACCGACGGTTACAGCGTTCTCAATCATAGCTAGTCTCGGATCCAGGCCATTAACAAGGTTTCGGAAGAATTCAAAGTGGTTGTGTAGGAACAGAAGAGACGGTTCGATGGTCGTGAGACTCTTAATGTCGTTTTCAATAGCAGTGATGCGTGCATCCATGGCGGTGAGGAGCTGAAGAGCGTCAGGAGTAGCGGCCATGGCAGGACAAAATCAAAAAAATAGTAAAAAGGTCAAGGTTGTGTGATCTAGCAACGTCACGAACCTATGCTTATTCAGAGTCAAGATGACCTTCTTAAGCGTGGCAGGACAGAACAAGGGGAAGGAGGTGCAGTTTGGGAAACAGGGTCAAGAAAGCGTAGATATATTGAAGTTGCTAGATAAGCAGTGTTTCTCAAAAATATTCGATTTTTATTCGACTCGTGCTAGGACAATGTAACTGTCGAATCGAATTTCGAATTTCATTCGAATTTTACATTGGCCTAGCACGAGTCGAATAAAAGTCGAATATTTTTGAGAAACACTGTAGATAAGGAATAAAAGGTACAGAACTATGGGATATATATATGTTTCTCATTGCCTTCGTGTAACGGTCGTACGCGTTGCCAAGAGTCGACCGATCACTTGCCAAGTATCGATCGATCGTGTCGTGGCACGCGACATCAAGGAGTTGTGCGATCAGTTCCACGTCAACATAGTGGCAGCTTCGGCATATCGTCCGCAAACAATTGGAAAAGTTGAAAATTACAACAAATTCATGGTGCAGCAACTCGCCCGTTGTCTTGTGGAGGAAAGGAGCCCAGTCGACCAATGGACCGAGCATCTGGGTCGAGTGACATGGACATGGTGAGTGCATCAACCACAAGTTGCGGGATGAATTCCCTCGGGACTGGATGACAGTTGAGACTCAATAACATGTGGCTGCGTACGATCCTCTTTTTAACTGTCCCTCCAATTCTCGGACGTACGAGAGGCGATCTCTTTCCAGGGTACCTTCATCCTCCTGCTCAAAATGGAATGGGTCCCGTTCGTTCTGCATCGGTTGGCGGGCCATCTGGCCGAACACTGCTCCGTAGGACGACACAGGTTGGGAAGCCTGTATTGCTTTACGACAACGGATGCAGCAAGAACAAGCCCCGGAAATTAGAACCTCGAGGAAAGGACCGTACTGGGTGCACTCCAGGTTGGCTGGAGGTGCTTACCGATTAAATAAGGTAAAAGTTGGGCGGCTCTGGCTATATCGAAGTGGAAGGGTCATCAATTATGAAAGGCTGGCTGAGTATGTGGAAAGAGGGTAAAGGGAGTAAAGGAAGGAAGAGAAAAAAAAAAAGGGCGAGACACGAGAGGTCTTGTTTGCTCCCTTTTCCCCTCCTCCCCCTGATTGTTATGATTTCCATTTTGGACAACCAAATATGCTTGCTTATTCTTGCCCCGCATGTTTCTGTATCGTAATAGCCCTGACGATGTGCACATCGCTCTCCAATCGCCTCGCGGTATTCCCACGAACATCTGTCCACGGTCCGCACTTTATCGAACGGCTTGTCGCAATACCAAAAATATGCATGAGGCCCATCGTACTTTTTGTGGAGGTGATCGATGCAAACAGTCGTCTTCACTGACAGAACTGCTGCATCAATTTTGATCTAATTTCTAATTTTGGACCAATGATTCATCGCCATCACACCATGCTCATCGGCAGCACTCTATCGTCATCAACCAATGGCAGCATGACCTGAGATGTCTTCCCCTCATTCATAAATGGCGCGCTGTTGCCCCTCATTCCTCTTTTCCATTTTAACCCATTGTTTTCATTTCAACTCTCGCACCACACTCTTCCACGCACCCTCCTGCCAATTGTCAGCAACCTCATATACCATGTCGTCCTCATCTTCACGTTCGTCTCGACGCGCTACCCGCTCCACATCATCACCGTTTGACTCGCCCGCACTCGTGCCCATCGGGCTATCAACGCCGAAGCCCACAGATGCGTCGTCAAGTCGTTCCGACCGCGTCGTGTCGATCAGCAATGCCGTGGAGGTATGCGAGCTGGAGAGCGCCACTGATCACACTCCCGATGGCAGCCCCTCCCAACGTCGATCCAATTGTTGCATCGGATCGCGTGGAACAGCCTCTGGACGTGGCGACCTCGAAGGTGATCAAAGCAGACGCGACCTCGTCTCCCTCCGTCGAACCAGTGGCCCCTGCGTCGATCCTCAAGCAGCCTATGGAGGATTTTTACCAAACACCGGATGCTGCGACCAAAAAGCGACGCCGTGCCACCGTGACTGACCTCGTGGAGGAAATGATGGAGCAGATCAAGGCCGTCAGGCGTATGGAAGGGAACCCAGACGGAGCGAAATTAGCGTTCCGCATAGCCCGATTGGCTGGCAACGAGCTGGAAGACATGCATCGCACATGGGAGATGGAGGCATATTACGAGGCATACAAGAACTTCTTGGAACAGCGCCCTCCGAGATTGCCTTATCGTGATCGTTAGATGAAAGGGTCGGGAAAGTCGAAGGCAAACCGAGAGTAACCACATGAGGAGTTTATACTCGCTTGGCTAGCTACAGATAGCCGGGGTGTATCTAAGAGGTACGGGGGATCAAGAAAGGTGCGGTGTAGTGAATGAGAATCATTCGCAAAGTTGATATTAGATCACGGGGAAGAGCACCACCCCAGAATAAAAGAATAAACGGTCTGGTTCCTGAACCAGAGTCTTTTTTCCACCTAAATCATTTGTATCAAACATTGCTTTCGTCCAGATTGTCCGGATAATACTGCATCATCGACAGACATTGTACTTGCCCTGCAACGCTTCCCCGATCACCAATCGTCTCATTGAGCATCCATCATCGGCCTACCCTCGTAAAACGGTATTATAAAGGTCCAATGGAGGCCTGATCAGTGAACATTGGCATACAACGACTCTAGAAAGGTGAACTTCATTGTCACGACTCCTCACTTCACCGAATATCACATGTGCGAACTCCTTGCAACCGATCCAGTCATTCCCAAAGGAATATAGTCCTAGCTCGCACCATTTAGCTAAACAGATCCCCTTTCCATTTACGTCTAGTCTATTTTACCTTTGTGTTCATACATTCCGATCTAAATGAAGACCCTGAACCACGAACCAGTAAGTGACCGAAGCACGCTCTTGCAGAAGTCCTAATCGCGTGGCGTCCCCTATTGTAAATAGGACTAATGGTAGAAGTTACAAAACTCGTTGTTAGACCCCTACACAGCAGTGCCTCGAGGAACCCCTGGCCAGATCGAGGATGCCTGCTCCAATGCAATCGTTTTGAGCATCTGTGGGATCTAGGATCATAGAGACCTAGGTATCAAGGGAATCTGAACCAAGAGAATCTGGGGTAAAAGAGTGATTTATTCGATGTTTGATTAATGCTGCTATCTAGCGTGTAGATAGGGTTTATATACTGGCTGAGTCGACTCCAATAGTGCTCTGGAATGTTTGTAGAAAATGGGCGAAGCACCTATGACATCATTGTGTGCTGGGCCGAGCATAAACCTTTTGTACTCAAGAACTCTCGAATGATCTGGCCGCACATACAGACATTGCCCCTTAGAGAGAACATGCGAACAGAGGGAAACCCACTCAACCAGTCTTTTACAAAATGGCTGCTCGACATTGGCAATGGCACGGAGCCAACAGTGGATCCAGGAATATACGATGATTTGGTCAGGATTCAGACCAGTTTGTCTTCAACCCACCCGACCCCGTCACCAGGGACAACCCTTCCGAAAAGCAGTTCATCAGGGAGATTTACCCCGATATTGAGACCGCTTCCTTGCAGCCAGCTCTTTTGGAAGGTCGGGCTATACTGACGACACTAAATGCTGATGTTGACAGAGTCAATGCTATGGCAACTCAGATGCTTTTTAATGGGGGTCAAGGTGAAGGACAGGTTTACCGCAGCCAGGACAAAGTAACGGATGATATCAACGATACCGTGTGTCCTGTGGAGTATATGCATTCTCTCAATCCTCCAAGTATGCCTCCCCACGAGTTGCTGTTGAAGATGGGCCAGCCCATCATTCTTCTTCGAAACATGGACGCCAAATCCGGCCTCTGCAATGGTACCCGTCTAATTGTTCGAGCACTCCGTCGGAGATATATCAGTGCCGAGATTCTTAACGGTGACTTCAGGAGACGAACGGTCCTTATTCCACGCATACTTCTTACGACCCTGGACGACGGATCTACGCCGATCAAGTTCACTAGGCACCAGTTTCCTGTCAAGCCTGCGTTTTCCATGACCATTAACAAGGCGTAAGGACAAATACTTGACCATGTTGGTGTGTATCATCCTCAGCATGTCTTTGGTGCTGGGCAATTGTATGTCGACTTCTCGCGTTGCAAACACCGAGACAACCTCAAGGTTCTGGTCGAAAATAGTGCCACAGATGGAATGGAGGGCGTTTACACGCGGAATATCGTTTGTAGAAATCTGCTGAACGTCCAATAAATCTATTTTTTTTTATAACAGTGCAATAAAGCTATTTTATTTTTTTGTCTCGGACCCGTGGCGTATGCCACGGGCAGTTCTACTAGCTGATAGAATAAAATCCAGAGTCCCTGAGGCTATGATATTCAGATACGGATCCAGTCTCTTCTAAAAATTGGGGATGTTTTAATTGAATTAGCAAGCTGGATAAACGAAAGCTAGGCCATCTCGTGAATTGGCCATAAAAAGAGCATTGGGCAGCACTGGAAGTAATCGGTCAGTCCCATTTGCTCATCATTCAACTGGGTCATTTTCAATGGGAGGTATCTTGCAGAACACGCAAATACGCAAATATTTCAAAGATTAGTATTTCTGTTTCATTTCTGAAATAGTGCTACTCAGAAGGTCTCGATCATTCGCCAAAAAGGAAATGAAGAATGGCTACAAAAGCAACTATGCGACGATGTAATCTAGCTCCTATACCACCTAGTCCGCGGTAAAGACCGCCAGAAGTACTCCTTCATGATCCCCCTCCCCCCTTCCCCTCTGTAAGAACGAGAGCGCAAATGCAGCACCATCAAGAAAGAATCGTCTGCAGACTGTGTTTAGTTCTGATCAAAATCCATTACAATATCTAAAAAGAAGAGGACATAATTCCAGGAACAGGAACCAGGCACACGTCAAACAAATATAACTAGTAGTGGCAATAAAAGGTGAGCGCTACACACTTTATTCCGAGAAACATTGGCGCAGATAAAAAGCTGCGGATAAAAAACATTGAGAACTAAAAAATACTGAGGAGAGGGCTCTTAAAAGGTCCCGCACAGCTTCTTATTCCAGGGCTTGGAATCACGCTTGAAGAGCTTGCCCCAGCTCGAAGTATCCTTGGCCTGGGGCAAATCATCGTGACCGTGATCGCTAGAATCGGCCTCTGCGCGCTTCTTCAGTGCAAACGAGATCTTTGTGCAAGAATCCGAGCTCTTGCCGGCGCGGAGGTCGCAGATCATTTCGGTCTGACAGGTGCTGCCAGTAGCACACGCCGCAATCTTGTTAGCGGACTTTCCACGGTAGGTCCAGTACTGCTGGAAGGCCGCAGAGTTGGACTCGAACGTGGTCGTAACGTTGTGCCACCACGACGCGCTCAAAGGAGCATTGTCGGCGATGGGAGCATACGCACCATAGGCCTTGCGAGCAGAGTACTCCAGGTGCCAGTTGGGAGACGAACCAGACGCATCCCAAGAGGCGGCCTGGTTGAGGTCTGCAACATAGGTCTGGGCATCGAACACGTTCCAGCTCTTAGTATCGACCTTGTAGACACGGAAACCAGGATTGAGGTCAGTGTATGGAGTGACTGAGGGTCCAATCCAAGCGGTCGAGATAGCGTTCTGAGTGCTCTTAGCGCCAGGTCCATAATAGAGCGCGAACTCGTCATAGTGGGTGTGTCCGAAGAACTGCTCAGCAATGACGTGAGGAGAGTAGCGCTGGACGACCTGATAGTAGAGAGCGGACCAGTTCTGCAAGCAATCTGTCTGTGACGGACCGACGTGACCAATGATCCAAACACGCTCACCGGCATCCTCAGCAGCCTGGAGTTGAGTGATTAGCCACTTGAGCTCTCCATTAGGGTCGTAGTCTTTAGTATGACCATAGAGGTACAGGTTCATGCTATAACAAAAGTTGGTATTGAGAGAGATGATGCGGAAGCCAGGAGTAGGACTGACAGTGTAGGCACCATAATTCTTGACAGAGTTCACGGCATCAGCAGGCAGCCAATGAGACCAGTCGTTAGCCAAGCTGCTGTACAGCCAAGAGATGTCACCGCCAGAAGCCTTGGTTGGGAACAGGCTAAATAATAAAAAATAAACGAATAAAAATATAAAAATAAGCGAATATAAATAAATGAGGAAAGTGAGTTAGGGGATGAGGTTTGCAAGACAAAGATGATCACAGATGGGGGTCTCAAAACAAACCTACTTTGGTGGTCCGGCCTCGTGGTTCCCGACGGTGGGGTAAATATTGATGCCGAGGGAAGCCATGATATTGTAGGCAGCAGCCTCTTCAGGGACGACACTGGTCTGGTTCTCAAGCCAGATATCGTGAGGAGGCACATCGCCGGTCAAGATCGCAAAGCTCGGCTTCGCGACCGTGGGGACATATTTGAGGAGATCCTGACCCAGTTTGACGGGCGAGTCGCAATTGTAGTCACCCCAAGATGAGACAGCGCGGGTGGGGCTGGCAGGTGAATCGGCATACTTGCGGCAACATACGGGCTTGTTGCATGCGCCTTCGGAGCCAGGGGTGTACTGCGCGTCAACGTGCCAGCTGAAGGAGATTTCCCATTTCGCACAGAAAGATACGGTTCTCATTAGCACTAGATGATTACAATCGCATGCGCATTGAACGTGCTGCATTATCTAAGACTTACTCAGATAGGTGCAAAACATCGACCTGGTTACCGCTAGGTGCAGGGACGACAGGATTGGCGGGCCTGGGTTTAGGGAAGGTCAGGGTACCGGAGGCGATTGCCGGGGCGGGGCAGGCACCAAGGATCTGGAAACAAATCTCCTTGCCATCGCCACCGGTCAAGTCTGCAGCCAGGAGTGAATCCAAAAGGACTGAACCTTGCGAGTAGACCAAGCCAGAGCACTAATGCCAATGAACCGCCTTAGTCGTTAGAGACAAGAAATCAAGGAAGACATTTGAAGATATGCGATATGTGAAGCCCTATTGATTCTTCATAAAAACAAAAAAAAGACGACATACCACATCCGCAGACTGCTTGGAGAGAGAAGGACAAAGCTCGTTGACAGCATCTAATGCCCAGTTCTTGTTCAGCAATCCCACATCTTTGACACCGACGAGTGCAGCAACACACGCACCACATTCGAGCGTCGACAAGGCTTCGGAGAGCAAGCCCTTCAGCTTGTCCGTGACCCAATTGCGCTTGTCAAGGCGAACAGGCGCAGCGGGGGCTGCATAGACGGAGCTGGCCATTGCCAATGAGAGGACCGCGGCGGTAAAATTGATGCGCATGATTAGTTATTGGGAAATTCAGGCGACCAGCGCTTGGACGGGAGTGTATGGGGTGTTGGAAGGTTGATGGAGTGGGAAGGTCAGGGAAGGAAAGACGAAGGACGGAAGTAGGAGACATGGAGCATGGGTATATATACGAAAAATGAAATGGACACTGGAAATAGGTACTAGGCTTTGAAGTATTCAGAAATAGCGATGGAGTTGATACGTTAGGTTTGAGTTAGCCCACCTGACGGTTTGTGGGGATTTCCAGGGACATCCTAGTGGATGGATTTTGATTTCCCTTTTTGCACATTGGGACGCACAAGGTTTGGTTTGTTTGCATGGCATTATTGTTAAGTCAAGTAGTCTAGCAGAACGTCAACCTACCCTTCGGAAGAACGTTTACAAACGTAGCCCTGCACATGTGTCAGGGGATCGAGGAGGGGGTGGACTAGGAAAGTAATCAGTCCTGGCTCTTTGCCTGCGTATGTGTATTTGTTTTCTAGCCAGCCACACGTCTTCGTGCTAATTATCACCGCGTTCTTTGGCTGCGTCTCTCGAAATAAGCGTTATGCTATGTGAGCCCCATTTTTATTTTCTTTCAGCGATGCCTTGCGTGTATAGATGTTTCCTGCAACTATGCAACCCTCCGTATTCTAGCTAGCAACATTTGGAGTCGTTTAATTCTCAGGTACCAAGCCATACCCCGCCTTTGAGTCCTCAGCTCTCGTTGACACACGCCGTGTCTGATTGAAAAGTTGTCGCGGGGATCCCAATGATAATAATCGGCGCAGTACAAATGCATGTTCGTGGATCCCTATTTATGACTCAACAATGAATGAATCTCAAGTCCGCCTCCCCCTCTCGCATCCCGTACCATTTCCTGCCTATCAGTGTAACGCACCTAAGGATGAGCTTTGGTCTTTATCACTCAGCGCCTGCGACCTATCCATATTTTTCCCGAGCGTAAATGGCGGCCCAGGTACATATAATTGGCTCCAGCCAATTAATTGCAATGGCTCTAACGATGAGGTCGTGGACATTATTACCCCTCTCCTCTGGTTCTGGCTCTGGTGTAGATCAACAGACATGTGAACTCCGACGAATTGATATCGCCGCGTGCGGCATGTGTATCCTAAAGCATCCCTGGATTGGATTGGATGGGAGTGAACGCATGTCCGCCTCCAGGTACGTGTCTTTCAGAAGCCGTTAAAATATTTGACTATATTCAGTTGCCGACTTTGAGACGATGTTGTATGAAGCGCCGCCTGTAAACCTGAGATTTCCTAATGCACAAACATGCACTGAATGGACGCGAATGGAAGCGCATAAACGCTCCAGAACAGAGAATGCTTTGGCTGGCCAGCGACTATATCCCAAGTGGTACACATGAAAGAACATACACATGTGTGTGGTCTACATTCCACATGAGCAGATAAACAAACGGAGCCCATGGGAATATTTGCAGATTGGCATGGAAGGCGCCCGATTACTTTATGGGCATCGTCATTGATGAGAGCGCAGGGGGGAGGAACGCAAGGACTGACCAATGCTCACGAGTAAATGGTAGCGGCGCGTAAGGTTGCATTCTGATTGGATGGAGGCCTGGCCAATCTGGAAGAGCAAATAGGGTCAATGCAGTCCCCCAACACGCGCTCCTCCACCCGGTGTACAAGCAATGATCAACACAACTGCATTTCATTCTTCCATTCCTCTATTTATTTATTTACACAAACAGGTTTTTTTTTTTTTTTTTTTTTTTTTTTTTTTCAGTTATATCAATGTACGTGGTGATCGAGGCGCTTCTATTTTTTTCACACATACAGCTATACTCTGACGCGTGTGCCCATCTACATGTTAAAAAGACAATCCGCACAACTTCTTGTCCCAGGTTTGAGGGTCGGCACGCTTGTAGAGACTGTGCAGTCCAGAAGGGTCCTCGACATCGTCCGCTTCATCGTGGCGCTTCTTGTGGCCGTTGATCTTGCTGGGAGTGCAGGCATCCGAACTCTTGCCCGCACGTAAGTTGCAGATCAGTTCCGTCTGGCAGGTGCTGCCAGCAGCACAATCGCCCTGAAGATTTGCAGACTTGCCGCGGTAGGTCCAGTACTGCTGGAAGGCCGCATCGTTCTTCTCAAAGACCATTGTCACATTATGCCACCACGACGCGCTCAGAGGAGCATTGTCGGCGATGGGAACATATGCACCATAGGCCTTGCGAGCAGAGTATTCCAGGTGCCAGTTGGGAGATGAACCAGACGCATCCCAGGAGGCGGCCTGATCAAGGTTAGCAATGTAGGTTTGGGAGTCGAATACGTTCCAGCTTTTGGTGTCGACCTTGTAGACACGGAAGCCAGGATTGAGGCCAGTAAAAGGCGTGACGGAAGGTCCGATCCAAGCGGTCGAGATAGCGTTTTGAGTGTTCTTGGAGCCAGGTCCGTAAAAGAGGGCAAATTCATCACGATGAGTATGGCCATAGAACTGTTCAGCAATGACATGGGGAGAGTAGCGCTGGATGACCTGATAGTAGAGAGCGGACCAGTTCTGCAAGCAATCGGCCATGGAAGGGCCGACGTGGCTGATAATCCAAACACGCTCACCGGCATCCTCAGCAGCCTGGAGCTGACTGATCAACCATTGGATCTCACCGTGGGGGTCATAGTCGTGTGTGTCGGCGTAAAGGTAGAAATTCGTACTGTAACAAAAGTTGGTATTGAGAGAGATGATGCGGAAGCCAGGAGTAGGACTGACAGTGTAGGCACCATAATTCTTGACAGAGTTCACGGCATCAGCAGGCAGCCAACGAGACCAGTCGTCGGCAAGGCTTGCGTACAGCCACGAATTATCTCCTCCGGAGGAAGGGGTTGGGAACAAGCTAATATGTGGTCAATAGTTAAAGTTTAAGAGGTTCATGAGATCTCTTATCTAAGCTGCATATTCCCCCGAATTGCTATTTCAGGGAAATTAGAAAGAGCACACGACCGTGCGCTTCCTACACTTTCCCGCGCTAAATTCTCTTCTTTTAGGTTTACCTGGCCGGTCCTGATTCGTGATTTCCGACGGTGGGATAGATCTTGGCGGGCAGAGAGGCCATGACACTGTAAGCGTGCGCCTCGATTGGGTCGACCGTCTCTTTGGTTTCGTGCCAGATATCATGTGGGGGTACATCGCCCGTCATAATCGCGAAGCTGACATTGGCAACCGTTGGGACATGCTTCAACAGATCCTGGGTCAGCTTGACGGGGGTGTCGCAGTTGTAATCACCCCAAGAGGCAGCAGCGCGAGTGAATGTGGTAGGCGAATCCGTGTACTTGCGACAGCAAGTGGGCCTGTTGCATACAGCATCCGATCCAGGTGTGTAGAGTTCGTCAACGTGCCAGCTGTAATGCAGGGGTGTTTGATGCAATTGTAGAAATAATTAAATATAATTTCCCGAAACCTAATGCAATTCTCTTTTTTTTTTTTTTGGGGGGGGGGGGATGAAGGAGTTGCCTTACTCGGACAGATGGAGGACATCAACTTGGTTGCCGCTGTGAGCGGGTGGAGCAGCATTGACAGGCTTTGGCTTAGGGAAGGTGAGGGTGCCAGATGTAATAGCGGGAGCCGGACAAATGCCACCGACAGCATGACATATAATCTTACCATCGCCACCGGAGATGTCCGCCTTCATGATGATGTCAATAACGACAGGACCGTAAAGATCGACAATTCCATTGCACTACATAAGGATTAGAGGAATTCTTTCTTAGACATATGGTTACTTTGGACAAAAGCATTACCAGCAAGCGTGAGTGATGAACGAGATCGACAACTTACAACATCCGCTGGGAACTTGGCGAGCGAGGGGCAAAGCTCTTTTGCCACGCTGGAAACCCAGCCCTTATTGATCTTCGCAACATCCTTCACCCCGTTGACGGCTGCAACGCATGCACCGCATTCGAGGGTCTGAACGGCCTTGGTAAATAGGGGACGCAACTTATCGAGGACCCAGCCGCGCTTTTCAAGATGGGTAGGGGTTGGTGCCGCAATGACCATGCTTGCGGCGACCAAGGAAAGAGTGAGTGAGTTGACGTTAAGTCTCATTATAAGCAGATGGAAAAAAAGAAAAAGTGCGGGAAGGGGAGTGGAGGGTGAGGCAAGGGAAACGTGAGATGGACCGGTGAGTCGGTAAGGAAGGGGTGTAGCAGTAGCAGACAAAGATCCTACGGCAGATGCACAAAGCACTTGTATTTATACACGTTACGCAAGGAACCTGTTGTACATGGAGATGCAGGTACCATTCCTTAGATATATTGAGACGAGGAGGCTGCATGATCGATCGATGTATGCCTTGGCCGTATGCGCTGTAGATAGTTTGAAGAGCACATACAGTTTGATGCTACTCCACATATCTCGATTCGTTGTTTGGAATTAGTTCCGTCTATGCATGTATGTTGACCAGAGACATGTGTGGAAATGCTGACCTCATGTGAATAATGGTGACAATCGTCGGTATAGACAGATGGCTCTCAGAACCAGGACCTCCGACGACTGAAATTTCTTCACTTTGCTTGAGTAAGTCTGCCCCCACAACTCCCCATACGTTATATTTTTAATTATTTTTTTAGCCTTACTTGGTAAATGAGTGTGTGGTCTGAGAGGTCGGAGGTGCTACTTGGAACCATCTGCTGTATGGTCCAGCGTGACATAGCTCGGATTTGTTTTTTCGACCGGACGAGAGCCCTTGCCGTGATCCATCTGAGGACACGCAATGGACGCCTGCGCTAACACCCCCAAGAAAACTAAGGAGGGCATTTATGCAAAAGAGAGCACCGAGTAATAGTAGTCTTGACTGGTACTGAACCGGTTGTCGTGAACGATCGATTTCCTCCTCCCCCTTCAGCATGCGAATCTGAGCAACTCCTGAAAATCCATGGTTGTTTCTCGGTAGATTAAATCTAGCATGTGTTTATGTACGTAACGTCAAGACGCCTTGGGTGCCTGGCTGACGAAATGTTCTGGTGTAACGCTCGACGCGCCTTTTTATTTGTTTTTTTCCTCAAATGTTGACAGCACTTTCTTGGGGGATATATCATGGAAATATTTACTCCATCAATAAATAACTATTGGTATCATACTTTTTTTTCACAGCTCGGGAGTTAATCCGCAGAGCTTCTTGTTCCAGGGCTTAGGATCAGCACGCTTGTAAAGGCTGTGAAGACCAGTGGCGTCAGAAGCCTCGGCCTCATCACTACGCTTGAGCGAGAAATGGACGCCGCTGCAGGCGTCCGAGCTCCTGCCTGCACGTAAGTTGCAGATGATCTCCTTGGGGCAAGGGCCTCCAGCTGCGCAAGCAGCCTGGCGACCCGCAGACTTGCCGCGGTAGGTCCAGTACTGCTGGAAAGCAGCGTCATTGCTCTCGAAAGCAGCGGTGACGTTGTGCCACCACGACGCGCTCAGAGGAGCATTGTCGGCGATGGGAGCATACGCACCATAGGCCTTACGAGCAGAGTATTCCAGGTGCCAGTTGGGAGACGAACCAGACGCATCCCAGGAGGCGGCCTGGTTGAGGTCAGCAATATAGGTCTGGGCATCGAACACGTTCCAGCTCTTGGTGTCGACCTTGTAGACACGGAAGCCAGGATTGAGGTCAGTGTAAGGCGTGACGGAAGGTCCAATCCAGCCAGTAGCGATGGCGTTCTGAGTGTTCTTAGCGCCAGGTCCATAGTAGAGCGCGAACTCATCATAGTGAGTGTGTCCGAAGAACTGTTCAGCAATGACATGGGGAGAGTAGCGCTGGACGGCCTGGTAGTAGAGAGCGGACCAGTTCTGCAAGCAATCAGTCTGCGAGGGACCGACGTGGCTGATAATCCAAACACGCTCACCGGCATCCTCAGCAGCCTGGAGCTGAGTGACCAGCCACTTGAGTTCGCCATTGGGATCGTAATCATCGGTGTGTCCGTAAAGGTAGAAGTTCATGGTGTAGCAGAAGTTGGTGTTGAGGGAGATGATGCGGAAGCCAGGAGTAGGGCTGACAGTGTAAGCACCATAGTTCTTGACAGAGTTCACGGCATCAGCAGGCAGCCAACGAGACCAGTCGTCGGCAAGGCTCGCGTACAACCAAGAGATGTCACCACCAGAAGCTTTGGTTGGGAACAGGCTACAGAAAAAAAAAGAAAAAAAAAGAAAAAAAAGCACGTTGGAAATGGTTAGTAGAGATGGTCATAAAGCACCATAGTCGTCTATGGATTACGGCCTTGCTTGACTTACTTGGTAGGACCAGTCTCATGGTTACCAACAGTGGGGTAGACCTTGCTGGACAAGCCAGCCTTCATTGTGCTGTATGCGACCTCCTCTACGATGACAACCGACTCCTTGTTCTGCTTCCAGACGTCATGTGGAGGGACGTCTCCTGTGAGGATCGTGAAACTGACATTGGCGACCTTGGGGACATATTTAAGCAGATCCTGTCCCAATTTAACGGGAGAATCGCACTTGTAGTCTCCCCAGGTGGATGCGGCACGCTTGGGTGTTGCGGGAGAATCGGCATACTTGCGGCAGCATAGAGGTCTGTTGCAGTCGCCCTCTGCGCCAGGGACATACTCGTTATCGACGTGCCAGCTGTGAAAGATGCGAGGGAAAAAAAAAAAAAAAAAAAAAAAAAACGCCGTTGAGCGGTCAATATGCAATAATTAGTCGCTAAGTATCGTAAACGCAATTCATATTCTTAAGATGGAGAGAAGAACATACTCGGACAGGTGCAGGACATCCACAAGGTTGCCGCTGTGGGTGGGTGAGGCAACATTGGCTGGCTTGGGCTTGGGGAAAGTGAGGGTTCCAGACGAGACGCCTTGGGCGGGGCAAGCGCCCAAGACTTGATGGCAGAGGTGCTTTCCATCTCCAGAGAGCAGACTTGCTTGCATCAGAGCATTGACGAGCACGGGACCTTGGGTATAAACCAAACCAGTGCACTGTCATTTCAATGCAAGGAACAGGCGAAAGAGAAAAAAAAAAAAAAAGGTGTGAGAAAAGATAATAGTGTATGTGGTCGACACTATGCCTGGTCTGACTTATGTTCACTTACGACGTCCTTGGGCATGATCTTGAATTCTGAGCAGAGACCAGCAGCAGCGTCCAGGACCCAGCTCTTGTTCAAATAGGCAACGTCCTTGGCACCAACAAGGGCTGCAACACACGCACCGCACTCAAGGCTTTTGATGGCCTTGGTGAATAACTCCTTCAGATTGTCCAAAACAACTCCTCTCTTTTCGAGTTGAACAGGAGTAGGGGCCGCGTAGACAGAAGATGCGACCGCCAACGAGAGGATGACGGTTGGAATATTAATACGCATGGTAGGGATGCTATTACGTAGGGGGTTTTAGCGTGATGGGATGCAGGGTAGTGTCGCTGGAAGCGAGGAGAGGGGAGTCTTGGATATGGAAGGTCAGTGACAAGGAGATCAAATGGTAGAATGGCGACCATCTATTTATGCGAAAATGATGAGAAAGATATGTGCAGAACCTGCCCATGTGCATGGCTGGCCCCATGTATTACTCGCTCATGCATGGCATCATTGGAAATACATGTAGGGATAGCCATGAGAACACATGTGGAATGCAGTATGTAGTCAATCAACATGCTGTTACCGAGGAATGTGTGGAGAGAATAAACAAGCAATGTTTGCCTGGATCGAGTAAAAACTTTAATCCCACAAATACCTGTCTCTGACGCTGGGTTGGTTGCAGTGGGAAGGGCATGCAGCCAACCGCTGTGGATGCAGGTATGGATGCTACAGCATATTGGATGCCAATATAGTCTAACTGGCCTTATACTCCGTGGGCTGAATGGATATTTTGGATATTTCTTTTTTTTTTTGTTCAGCGGCGTGTATCTGTACTTGAGAGCACTTCACGAAGGATGATAAGTGGCAAAAGTGAGGAATGTACACTTACGCTGAGGAGCCTGAGTCATTCCGCCCTGTAGGTTTACAACGTGGCCCCCCTTGAGTATTTTTCACGGCGCCTGAGTCAAGATCATCGCGTTCATCCAAGAATCCCATTCCCCAGCACTCGACAACAGTCTGTGCTGCACAAACATCTGCGATCGCTGCCTCCTTTCACCTCGGCATTACTGTTGGTAATACTGCATTTTTGGCGCCAAAAAGTACACATAGTCGTGATGATCAGGATTTTCTCAGAGACAAAGAAAACAGGACGGCATGATTGAGAGCCGTGACAAAGAGGCCCTTCCACGCCCTAGCAAACAAAACAGCTATTTGTCCCACCGCGCTTTTTTTTTTGTTTTTTGTTTTTTTCACAGGAAGGTCCTGTTTGTTAGCATTAACTTATTCTTCGGGAAGAAATTACCGGAGACTTGTCATCCGAATTAATAGCTTCGATGTGGACCAAGTGTGGGACGTACTTGACAGCTCTTTCAGACTAATAGTTTATAGTACTTTTGCTGCCATACTAGACCTTTGTCGCCCCATCTCTGTTTTTGCCTCACGCTCCAGCTCTTGCTGCCCCTCTCTTGGCGACCACGAATAATTTATCTGCAAGAGGATACCTCTGCGGTCTTGGATCCCAGAATGATTGAAGATAACTCCATGTGGGTCCAAATAGATCATAAGACCAGATGCATATGTCGCCTCTGCTGTTGCTCTCGGGCTCCCAGGCTTCAAAAGGGCCAAACCAGGTCGGTCTTGCGGTGTGCATGTCAAAGACCAGAAGCACCCAATCTGGATTAAGAGCTCTATGTATACGTTCATCATCATGCATGGAAACACAACATAGAAAAGAACGCGCTAGTTGCAAGCCGCCTGGACAGATGCGTGGTGGGGGTTAAAAGTCTGGATAGGGATCTAGATCTTCGCGCGGGGGCGTTAGAGTCTTGGTTAGACTATGTAACTATGGATTTCGCGTTCCCAGGCGGCGTTCCCATGATCGTACCACTGAAGACGTACGCACATTTTGAATGCCCGTCCATCGCTCAGTGGCCGTCGTTGCGAGTAGTAAGCAGGAAGTTTGTAGACACCAACACGTCTGGATCTTTCACTGAGTTTACAGTGCGGGATGGATTATCCGGATAGAGAGGCTATAGTAAACACAAAAGGAGACGAATTAATGGCGCGCTTGTAGGCTGCATATGTCACATCCGTCTCGGATCGCGCCCGATCCATCAATGAAGTTATGCACGTCGTGGTCGTAACTTTGCTCTTTGTTTGGGTGAGGCAGCAACTGCTGATGTTGTGGTGCCACCAGAGTGTGGATTGGACAGACATCTGGCCAATTACGCCCTTGCGTGCCCAGACAGCTGCTCGGGTTCGTGAATTGAGTGCGCATTAACGCTGTTTCCAGAGCCTTTGTTTTGTTGTGCAGAGCCCTCCCCGTCCTTTCGCGTCTAACTCGTGCATTTATGTCAGCACTTAGGTCTTCCTGCCCAAGTCAACATGTCTAAACTACAGGGGGATTGAAGAAAAATGTGGGAAAGCCTTACAGTGCTACAAAGGAACAATCGATTGGAATGAGAGCAAAGGTGTTATCGCTGTTCATGCAAACATTTGGACGAACTTTGGTCCACAACGCTCCGGCCATACTTCACTACAGAAGACCGTAGTCAAAGGCAACACCATGAAATGAAGCCGGGACCATGCTTCTGAGAAGTAACTTGCACGTGGCAGGGCTGTATATACCATGTCTCAAGCTGCATCTCTTATTAAGTCCGACATTAACGCGACCAGGTCGTTTGCGCTGGAATCCAGAGGCAGGGTCCAATCGTTTCTGCATGATGGCTCGATCCTTGACGTGATATGATCGTCGCACACAAGGCATCGCTCCGGTGCCCCCAGAGTGTCCTGAGCTGCCCACCCCGAGGCTCTTGTGGATCGCATCAGCACCATGGCAGTCCCTTTTTGCGGTTTCAAGAGATGACTTTTTGTTAACAATTTTAAAGTACGTCGCCTTGCATCTTACACGCGTGCGTATTTAGCACATATTACTGGCCAACCAAAACGCGTAAATCGATCACGTAAACGCTACTACTGGCTAGTATGGCTCTTGGTTTATTACAGGAAGATCGTTCTAATAATCAAAGTCCATATCAACACCCAGGCTCGTGTCATTCTTGACTGTGTTCAGCTTCTGGTCATTATACATCTCCGCAATCTGCTCACTCGAGGTCGCATTCTCCGGCGACTTATCGTCGCGAACACGGACGAACCTTGGAAACCGAAGCGAGATACCCTTGGTCGAGTCCACAATGCCAACCGCTGCCTTGTACACAGGACTGACAGAAAGATCCGCACACTTGATCTCCCATACCCGGACTGGCGCGAACCACACATCGGGTTTGTTTCCTTCGCCCAAAGCATAGTACGATTTCGGCTCCGGAATAACATGTTCCTTCAGTTCCTTGTAGTGAATCTCCAAATCCTGCTCACTAAATCCAGTTCCGATCTTGCAGATTGACTGATACTCCTCGCGATCGGGGTCATAACAGGCCAAAAGGTATCCTCCATATACTCCAGTCCGCTTTCCGCGTCCCGCATATGCACCAATGACAACTAGGTCGATCGAGTCGCCAACGCCAGACAGGTAATCCTTCTTAACTTTGAGCCAGTTCCTTGATCGCTTGGAGGGTTCGTAGGTTGCTTCTGCACCATTCAGTGTCTTTACCATCAGACCCTCGCAGTTGTCCACCACGCTCTGGTCCAAGAACGTCTGAATGTCTTCAATTTGGGTTGAGTTCATGCTCTTAGCGAACGCAAACTCTCCATTGACCTCGTTAAAATGGTCCACCAATGCCTCACGACGCTTCGTAAGAGGCTCCCTCAGTAGCGACTCGCCGTTGAGATACAGAAGATCAAACGCAAAGATGCAAACCTGGACCTTGATGTCCTCCTCCTTGACGTCCTTACGTTTTCTGGTGCTTAGTACTTGGAAGGGGAGGATGCATTTTTGTTCTCGATCCCATGCTACAGCCTCGCAATCCAGCACGAAGGACTTTGTATCGGGTTTGGCAAACTACCGGTAGACACCAAAGGATTAGTATTAAAAAAGACAGTGATATTAAATGGGAACAAAGTGACACGCATGGTGTATAATACACACCTTTCCTAGTCGCTCCATGACATCCGGATACTTGGCAGACATATTCTCTGAATTTCTGCTGTAAATCCTCATGCTTTCATCTTCCAACTTGTGGATCTGAGCACGCTCGCCGTCGTATTTGTACTCGCAAGTGAACGCAATGTTTTCAAATCGATCTAGGATATCTGACAGGGCTTTTGTTGGATGCGCCAGCATGGGCTTCAAAGGAATACCTATCAGAATAACAAGTGTGCAGTGAGGAAACACGATCAATACGTCAACTGTCGATGAATAGCTAAATACAGTGGCACTATCAGTACCTGGCGTCAGTTTGCAGGTCTCCTTCAGTCCGTCAATATCAGCCTTGAGAAGCGCTGGAACGATGAGGTCGTAGCAAGGCAGCTCGCTATTTTCGTTCGATAACGAGATGTCAGAAACAATATATCAAGAGAAAGAGCCCCAAGGAAAAAAAGAAGTACTTTGGACATTGTGATGTTACCTGTATACCGATTTAACGACCGATGCCGCATTCTCAAGTTCCACTTGCAGCTTCTCCTTTGACATCTTCTTGATATCTACAGTGTAGTTGAGGAAAATGCAGTCAATTACGACATTCGTATCAAAATAAATTGAAAGATGGGCCTCGATATGAACCTTGGACTTACCAGGTCGAGACAGAACAATGGCTTGTGCAAGGGCAACGACGACGGTTCGCTCAGCGAGACCGATTCTCAGCTTTCCTTCGAGCGACCGCATCAAATATTTGGCCTCCTTGTTTCGACATGACACCAAGAGTAGTTTGATCTTGTCGACCTTTTGTTTTTGAGACTACATGAGTGTACAAAAGGGGTTAGGTGGTATTCTTCTAATTCGATATGCCATGTTGTCATATTATCAAGACGTTCTGGGAGCATACCGAGTTTCCTGACAACGAAGCAATGTCCTTGAGTGTCTTAAAGACGTGAGGGATGGTCAAGGCCTTGGGTTTGAACATGGTGGGTTGGTTACTTCTGCTGCTCTAGACGTCGACAAACAGTACCTGGTGAGTCGTAGATTTTTCATGGCCAAAATAATGACATTGTATGGCGATTTACGAAAAACAACAAGAAACAAACTTCCTTACCATTGCAATGATGCCCAGATCACCAATCTCAGCATAGTCCGCCTTGATCTTTTTCATTTCTCGCCCTGTCGACTCCGCGATAGCCTTCATAAGTAACGACTCTCCAATGCCTAGTTCCAGTCCTTCGTACTCCGGGCAAAGCTGTTGGAAATGCAGATGGTGTGAGTCGTCACAAAGAGCAAAATATGTCCATCAATCTATAGCCGACAAGTGGTCCTGCTCACCTTGTTGATTGAAAGATAGATGACTGTAAGCAGACTCTCTGGACTCAGCTTGATAACTGAGATTAGGAACTTGACAAGATAGTCCAAAATTTGAAGGCGCTTTGTTGTGCTCTCGATCTGCTCGAATGTTTGACACAGGGCCGCATATGGGACTCTAAATAGCACAGGAAGTGGTGGTATATAGACCTGCGTCAAAGAAAAGTTCATATGTCCAGTGTTCAAGAGAGTCAAACCCTAATAACAACCACTTACGGCTCACCCTTTTTCCATGATGCTGACTCTATGGCTGCTGATGACTTTGAGAACATGTCGGCCCTATCGAAACACAGCAGCGACGTATAAGTAAAAATCGGCTCAGAGAATCCAGACAATCGACCTTGTCTACTCTGCGATATCTTACCATTTGGCTGCAGCCTGCTTAATCTCAACAGCCTCCTTCTCCTGTTCAACCTCTTCCGCAAGTTCTTTTTCAATTTCGACATCGTCATCGATTGGTTCGACCTCCTTGTCATCCATGCCCTTTGAATCCTTCGACTCGCTCTTCTTTGCCGCTGTCTCATCCTTTGCTACAACAGGCTGCGCCATTGGTTTCCGAGGCGAGACGGGGTCGAGTCTCAACCTTTTCGTAGTGGTGGCCAAATCCTCATTCTTTGACTCCTTTGCTGATGATAACTCCCTTCTGACCTCCTTCACCTCCACAGTCATATCGGTTATGTCTTCCTCTTCTTCTTCAGAATCGATCACCCGACGTGTCCGTTTCTTGACCTTGAAACCCTCTAGAGAAGACGCATGCCCAAGCACCGTTAGTCCTTTGCCAGAATTAGATTTGCCACCAATTTTTTCTTTTTTGGGCCGCATAATTCAAAAACGGTACCTGATTCGACATCCGTCTCCATGGAAGCAGCCTTTGTCACATCGATAGCAGTCTCTGCTGTTGTTTTGGCGATGAAATGCGAGTCCATCTCTTGTTCAGCCGCGCTCTTGCCATCCCGACTTCCTTCCTGTTCCGATGTACTAGTTGACGCCACCAAAGGCGTCTTTGGACCGAAAGACCTAGCGTATTATAAATAAGAATCAGAGCGCCTGTTTAGTTCCAGTAAGAATTCTTATTCCATGGTCTCACGCAATCTGTGAAAGTCAGGCTTACAATCGACTCTGACGCAGCGACATGATCAATAGTGAATGGAAAGGTGGAGTGGAGTTGTGGGGCAAGACGCGTTTGGGTGCACATGAGTTCCAAATAAACAAGCGTTCATATTTTTGGATCGCCACCCTTAACCAACCGGGCGTAGTGTTGGCAAAATTGAGCTTTGCCCCTATCACCCACCTGAATGATACCCCGTTCTCCACTTCTCGTTTTGTTATAGGGAAGAATGGCTCGACAGCTATGTGTAGCAGATAATCGCGAGGAATGAGCTGTGGTCTCATCAGGACTTACACGGTTGCGCACGTTGCAATCCACATATGCAGCCAGCACTTGGCCAGAAGAGATGTCAGCCTTGAACCCTGAGTAATAGCAAGCAGTTGGATGTCAATGCTGAATGGTACTCTTTCGGCGCTACGAGCGTCTATCAGTCGTAGATTGCGCCAGTCAGGAACAATATATAAACTCGTTGTGCAGTCTGCCTTTGCGAAGGTTGCACGGACGGACCAGAGTCTAGTACAATTGGCACAGGCATGATGTCAGCGCTCAAATTGTATTTTTTTTTTTTTTCCTTCCTGATCCTTTTGGCATAGCCCCACCTTTCTTCGTTTGCATCGTTCTGCATTTCCACTACACTCTTGTTGACCATCATGGCACGCAAAACAGATTACCAGACTATCCCAGATGCCGCTGGCTCATCCAACAACACGCCTACACAACCCACCGCTGCCCCCACCACTCTCAGTAAGACCTCCAGTCACTCCAGTCAAAACAGTCTCCACAGCAACAACAACGGCAGCAACAACCCAACCAGTGTAACCAGTGGAGTCGCCACTGGAAGTGCTGGAGTACCACCAAAAATCATCAACCCTACAAAGCAGGCCTTCACCCAACAATCCAATCAACATCAGTCGCCAATCCATGCTCAGATACCTGGCAGTGCCAATGTCACAGCCAAAGCAAACATGGCCGCTTCCAGCGCTGGTGCTGCTGGATCAGGAAGACCTACAGCATTAACAACTGCCCACAACTTATCAAGTACTGGAAGCCCCGTTACTGCCGGAGGTGTCAGCAATGCGGCCGTAAACCTTCGCGGCAAGGTCAAGCAGCCCATGAGAACGACCAAGACCAGTCAGAAATTGACTCTGTTCCCTGAAGAAAAGGAGGTGCCGGTGCTGGAGGACGAGTACGCTTTTGACGATACAACTTACAACCAGATCGGTCAACTATCTTCGGGAACGTAAGTCACTGATGCCGTGTGTCGGCGGTTGGATATTAGTGCCAATTGAGACATGGAGATGTTGCGCCATATCTGCTTGATTGAGATCCTGACCATGACTTACTAAATATATCTATCCCTTCTTCTCCGGAAACAACTTTATTCCATTGATTTTATCATAACGCGCCAATCTTCAATGGACGCTCGCGTATTCACAGGGCAAGAAATGATGCCCATCGCATGAGCAAGCTGGATAGACAAAAACTGCCTCGAGTGATCGCGTACTGCACAGCATCGTCGTACAGGATGGACGATCTCTTCAATTATCTCCAGTCACGCAAGACCGTGAATGGGGCTGCACCAAAGAGATTTGACGAATGGTAAGTATTGAAAACCTTTTCAGGCCGTATTGCACGTGGATTCCTAGCAGGGATTAATCCGGTGTTTATCAAAATGGAACGGATAGTATCTATACACCCTTCTCGTACACGACGACGTCGAAACCACCGACTACGGGTGATCTGTTAGGTCTCGATGAGGCCGCCACGAATGGACCACGTCTTCTTGAGCAGCAGCGATTGAAGGAGAACACACCAGAATTATTCTTCTTTGACTACGGCGTTACTGTAATCTGGGGAATGTCAGAGCAGGAAGAGTCGCGTCTTTTGCAGGAGATCTCCAGGTTCGAGGAGGAAAAGCTGGGTATAGTCATCCTACTACACCAATTTGCGCCCTTGATAATAGTGGGGAGTATAGTCTAACCGCACTTTATTTGATTAGATGAGGAGGATGTCGAGACCGAAGAGTTTTCGTACCATTACAACTCAGAGTATCAACCCAGGTACGTATCATCTGTGCAACACGATCTCGCAGTTCTGAAATGCGGCACCTAATAACGACCTTTGGCCCTTTTTTCTTTACGCAGGATTTACAACGATGTGATCACTCTCAAGAGCGCGGTCAACTACATGGTGAAGCTGACCATTTCGCACGCCATCGCTCAATCCGTCAAGATGACCCTCTTTGAGGGACTCATTGAAAACACGATCAACGCCACGAAAAATATCCCACAGACAATGGCCGAGACGGGCAAGGTCCCAATGTCTAGGTACGCCTTTAATCTTGAAAACGTTTCGCTTAACAGGATGAATCAATCAATTATGCTGACGCCGTCTTTGATGAAACCATAGGACGGCCATCACGAAGAAGATTGGACAGCTTTTCATCATGAGAATCAATGTCAATCTTGTCAGCAACATCCTGGATACACCGGAGATCTTTTGGTCAGAGCCATCGTTCCAGCCCCTGTACTCTGCAATTCGAGGTAACGACAATCAGGCATTCCTACAATAACCGTACGAGATTTATTTCGACTTACAGATAGCTGATACCTACAATGATTCTCTCACTTCGGTTTAGGTTATCTGGAGATCAGTCAACGCGTTGAGCTCTTGAACCAGCGCACATCTGTGATCAGCGACCTGCTGGATATGTTGAAGGAGCACCTGAACTCTTCCCACGGCGAGCAACTGGAATGGATCGTTATTGTTCTCATTTTCTTTGAGATTGTTATAGGAGTCATCACCATTTGCTTGGATGCCTTCAGTTACAGTCGCGGTAGCAGCGCACACGTCCAATACTAGCCAGGCATTGTGAAGTCGAGATGCATAATATACATGACGCTCTTTTTTTTTTTGAACGCTGTATGGCACTATTGATTGGAACTCCAAACAGCGCGACGTGTTGGTAACGTTCAACTTTCGCTGAGTTGGTTCTGTGGACATTTCGCAAAATGGGGTTTGCAGGGATTTCAGGGCAGTTCCTCTGACAAAGCTGCTTCACTCACTTGCAGCTCCCTATAGTTTATATTTCTACTCTCAAATGTAATATCCTTCGATCAGTTTCAGCATTTGTCCTAAGCGAGTGAGGCCCATCTTAATCACCTTATTTTGTGAGTAAGTGGCAGCCTGAGATATCATCATCTTTAGAAGATGAAGGCTTGAGGGGCTCCCATGGTTAGGAGAAGACGGGGCGATGGCTAGGGTGGATGTGGCTTACTGTGGGCTGTGAGTGAAGAAGAGGCAAGCACGACGCGTTGAACTGGTTTCCGGAAAGGTGTACGACAATGCCATGCCGAGTACAACCAAGATGCTCCACTCTTTGAACACACTGTCGTTTCTTGTGTGTGTGTGTGTGTGTGTGTTTCATTGAAAGTCGTCTGAAAAGCATATTTCGTGAAAGGGACTTTGTACATTCATATAGTCTTCCTCCCCACCCCCTCTCTTTTCTTCAATAAATCCATCGACGCACTCGAACTTTGTCCATCCTCCCTCCAGCGCGATCTGCACAATGTCAAGCCTCGGTACAGGGACAGGTAATAACGATGGCGGAATCAACAAAAAAGCAACTCTCACCACTCACTGAGGTCTCTGAACACGTTGCTAAATAAGACAATCCTCCTCCTCTAGCCGACGAGCTGGCCCAAAAATACAAGGAGAAAGCACTTGCGAGGAGGCGAGGCGCGGGGTACGCTCTGGTGAATGCAGGAAAGATCCTCAAGAAAACTTGTGGAAACCAAAACCATGTATATGGGTATGTGTGTGTGTGTGCTGATGAACCCATGGTTTCTCGCTTTTGGATCTTGTAGAACCCATCAACCCAAGTTTCGTGGATTCACCTTGACAAAGAAGTTAGAGGCAGCTGATCCGTCATTAGAAGTGACCAACAAAACTACACCCGGAGCAGAGATCACGACGTCGACAGCAACAACAACAATACAGCAAGTGGAGACAATAGAGATTCAAGCAGACGTCCCAGAGTCGGGATCATATGTATCCAGGACAGTGGAAACCGGCAGTTCAGGATTGAATGAAAAATACCAGGAGCGTTTAAAGGCTCGTTTCCGTGGTGCTGGGTATGTGTACCGTTAATGCGACCCAAAAAAAAAAACCAGGAATGTGCGCCTTTTTGCGTCCTATAACTAATCGGCAACTCTTCTGGATCATTTGTAGGACACATCGGTCAGATTTCAGAGGATTCACTCTTAAACCAACAAAAAACGTTGTGGAGCCAACTAAGCAGACATCGGCCGCATCTATACAACGTCCATCAGGCGCTGAGTTGCGCGCAGAGTCCACCAATCGCAGGAAACCAGTATCAAATACCCAAGATTCCCATCCTACAACTAAAGGCGTACTTTCAAATGCATTCAAGGAGCTTTCGATCGACAGAGATTCTGCCAACAAAGATACCTTGGAAAAACCTGCATCTTCAGGAGATGTCAATCCTCGAACCCGAAGTGAAAAATTTACAAGAAGCACGAGCCGTAGTGCTGGTACGTATGATTTTTAGTGAGATATCGATGAGGATATGATGCCTGCTCAAAGTAATTTTTTACGATCCTAAAGGCATTCTTACTTTTTGATCCGCCCTGCAGGCTATAGTCCGAACTTCAAAATCGCATGGGGAAAGAACTCAACAACTCTCACTTCAGACTCTAGAAAGCAGCCTAATGACAGGGATGGAGGGCTCTCGAGACCCCGATCTGAACAGCGACCGATCATCGAGGATACCATCGACGACGTGGACGTTATGGGTGATTTCGACAACGATGTCTATGACCATCATGACCAGATCCCCAGTCCAGTCCGCAACAGTCCAGAGCCAATAACCAACCATCTGGAACCAGCAACAAAGGCCCTGGCTAGCAAACGGAAGATTATACCGCCAGTGTCCGATACTGCGCCTACATCAACTTCAGGAGTTCGTAAACCAGGCCCAAGTTCTGGTGCGGCACCTGCCAAGAAACGGCGTCTTATTCAGGAAGAGGAAGAAGAAGAAGGAGCTGATGAAAACGAGGACCCTCAACCAGTCCATCAGAACCGGTCTCTTGAGCGAACGAACGAGTCAGGCAAAGGTCTCGAGAAATCTGCAGTGACAGCAGCTAAGAAGACGCCTGCGGACAAAAATGGAAAACTGGCGAGAGCTACCAAATCAAAGGATGTGAGCCGAGCACCACCAGCACGGACAACATCGACATCGAAACCGGCCACAACAACGACGAGGACGGAAGGCGTCAGGCCTTTTCGGCAAACTACATTGATGCAACTCTCATCCAAGCCAGCACGAAATGACGGGGACCAATCAAGAGTACCTCCTCGGAGACAGGACGACCTGGACGACTCGGACGGAAGCGAAAGTGATTTCGAGCGAACTCAGGCCAAAGTAAAAATGCCGATGAGGACGGTCGACAAGGGCAAGGACAAGGATAACGGGAAGAATAAACGAACAACGTCAATGAAAGGACCCTCGACTGCAACTGTCAAAAGCTACAAACAGCTTCAAATCCACTGCCTCAAATTCTGGGGACCATTCAGCAACCTCAGCCGACCAGCCGCTGTCAGTAATAAGGCCACTGCGAGACAGTTGGCTGTGCGAGGGAATGTGCCGGGAGAGCAGGGGAGTGCGTCGAAACAGAAGACCGTTCAGGACGTCTTGCAGTTCGAAGATGCTCCGCTGAGCGAGATGGACGTTGTTGCAGATGCCGTCAGAGATGTCGTGGACAAGTATATGTATGTCGTTTTGGATCGTGCGGCTGAAGCGCGCCTTGGCAAAATAATGAGTCTTGCGGCAATACACTCATATCTTGCACGCATGTCGTTCTTACAGTGATTCAATAGAGGACCAAAACATGGCAAAGGAGATGATGGTATTACGCTCAGAGCTGGAGACGGTTTTGATTGAACAGGTATGGTCACATTTCGTCTTGAAGGACTGGCGACCATCGGCACTGAAATTTATGGTATGTTCTTAACATGGTCGGATACATTCCCTACAAATGCAAACATAGGTTGACTTGCTGGATGACCATATCCTCCTCAGGGCCTCGGTCAAAAAGGCCGCTGCTGTGAAGAAAGAACTGCGGGTACGATTACTGGAGACACAGAGACAGCGGCGGAAGACCAGGGAGGAGCTCCAGCGGGTGCGTGCCAGTTTTGAGAGGGAAGAGAGGGCTCGACGTCGCTTGGAGGAAACACACAAGTTCCTTACGGATCTGGAGGCCCTACGGGACCATGTTGCGGATCCGGACGACGAGGAGGAGGAGGATGACGATGATGAAGAAGAGGACAAACAGACCGGGGGACAAGGGAAAGCCAACCTGAAGGTAAAAACAGAAATTAATGGGCTTGGTGCACCGCACAGACCACCTTGGTTCAACCGACACTAATAACCTGAAACTTTGACACTTTAGACTGGTCTGCAGAGCCTGATTGCTACTGTTGGATCGCGCTGTGGGGGACGCCCACGTGCGACCGAGAACGAGGATTCCCAAGCCGGCGTGCTAGGCACCCTTCGAGAATTCAATCGGCTACTAGAGGCGACAGAGAAAAGTTTACAAAGTATGCCTCTCGTCAATCCTTCGCTGGAGACCACTTCATCGAGGAGTCGGAACGATTACGACGACTCGGATAGCGATTAAAAATAAAGTATAAAAAATAAAGCTCGAATTCTGACTATATAGTATATTACATGATTCTATTGAATACAAGATGTCGTTTGATGAATTATGCTTATGATGAGACGATTCGCGCTTACTAAGTTCCGTCGAGGACACTCTTGCAGCCAGGTGTGCTCCTCCAAGTCGGATAATCTTCCTTGCTCTTGCAGCAGCCGAATGCAGTAAATGAAGTCGGCTTTTTTTAAAGAAAAAAAAATCCTGCTAGTGCACCTGTGGACCTCAATCCTTCTCCAGTGTCTTGCAGGAAATAAGTGGACTCGATGAACACCTCTCAGGAAATGGGAAGAAGAAGGGTGTGCACCAGGGAGCATCCTCGAGGGTCGGTGGTGCAGAAGACAACAGCACACAGTCCTCGTTCGTGGTAATGTCACCCAACGCCTCTGTTCGGGGGGATAGGAAGAAACAAAAGGTCATCTTGGGAGTAGATGGCAACGATTTGGCCGTATTTGCCTCTCTCTCCCCCCTCCATCCCGGTCCAGCCTCGATGGAAAGTGGAAAGAAGAGAGGCATAAAATGGTGTTCACCAGTGCGGAGATGGAGGTCCGGTAGTCTTTTGACATTTTCCTGGTATGTCTAGAGAAAGGCCTGGAGCAGGAGGAAGTGAAACAGGCTGCGATCTACTGGTAGACCATGGTGGTGAGGAATGTACCGATCCAAACTATGGGAAGCACCTCGAAACAAGGGGGAGGGAAAGAAGATATATATACGCTAATACCCAGGATGGGATTGGAATCTGACGTTCTAGGCTCTTTCATTCCCATATGTCCTAGAGATAGAACCAGTACCGGAATTTCGGGATCGAGGAGACGCGTCATTATGCAATCCTTTCTATGAGAGACAAAAAGCCCAAGACATAGTGGAGCGCGGTTCAACTTTATATATAATGAATGTATTTTTATATCTCTCTTATTGTAACATAGCACAGCTAGATAAACGGTAGTCTTGAGTGGAGAAACAAGTAAACATGTCTTCTTCTTTTTTTTTTTTTTTTTTTTTTTACGAATAATCACCACCGAGGACGGCCTCGCAACCGTAGGTGGACTTGTTCACGGGGCAATCAGCCTTGTTCTTGCAGCAGCGGATACAATACCTCTGGCTATCGGGCTCGACCAGCTCGACATAATAGTTGTAACCAGCGCACTTGGATCCGACGGGCGCCTTGATGTCGTACTGTCCACCGCCATCCTTGGAGGACAGACCGTACTTGCTGCGATCAATACGACCGGTGACCTGGACATAGCCCTTCTGGGTGTTGGTCACAAAGTGTGTGGTCTTGATGAATCCCGCGGGGAGGGTTCCGGCCTTGGGGGCGCTGGAGATGGGCTCGGTGCAGAAGGCCACGGCGCTGTCCTCGCTCTCGGAGATGCCGCCGCCGTACTTGGGGGGGAGGAAGATGCAGAACTTCTTGGCGGAGATGACGGCTGCGGTCTGGCCGGTGACCTTGGCGGGGGCAGCGGTCACGACGGAGGCAAGGGCCACGAGGATGGAGGAGACCAAGAGGGAGTTGGTGAAGATCATTGTAATGTGCTTGTTGCAATGTGTGTGCGTGCGTGTGCGTGTGTATGTATGTGAAGGAGGAGTGCTGGTTATGATGGAAGTAATGGATATCTTGGCTCTTTTTATAGGCAGCTTTCTTCATTCCTTGGAGAGGTCGCGCGTCATAGGTCTCCCGGTTTAGAAGAGGATGTATCGGCCGTCGCCATGCTTCCTTCGAGACCCCACCCCGGTTCATTCTCTAAACCAACGAATACCTGTGAATGGTCTGCTCTCCCCACTTGTTTTTTTTCTTCTTTTTTTTCCTTTTCTCCTCTTTCAAATGCATGCTCTTGATCTTCTGGGCGTAGACCAAACAAATGGAAGAAGCATTACCGGGGAGCGAACGAAGAAATTTGTAATTGTGGAAATTAGAGCCATATGCACAGAAAGAGAGCCAAGGACTAGAGAACAATACTAGACTCTAAAAGTATTAACCATATGCACATGCATAGCATTTGGGTTGTTATTTCTTGGGCTAGTTGCATTCGTCGATGTCCTGCATCCACCAGAAAATTGAGATAGTGTGTAGGGGGATGGGGGGTGGGGGATGGGGGGTGGGGGGTGGGGGGAAAGGAATGGTTGTTGCCCAGGAACGACGATTTATTAATAGGAAGAACCCTCAGGCGCGCATTAACGGCCTTTCGACTGGACGCCCAATTGCGGAGGGAGACAAACAGCGATGACAGCTGGAGGATCTAACCGAAACATCGGCCTGTGGATCGCATCGGAAGTTGGCTGGGGACGAACTCGATCCGGATTGGTTGCTTGCGCGAGTGTTTTGATAAGGATTCTGTGGCGGACCGAGTCAATTGGGCGTCATAGAGATGTGAGAGATGTGAGCATGCACACCCATCGCACACACGCATGCGCCCATTACGATAATAATGTCACTGTGCGTGTGGTCATTGACAGATCTTTCTAGTGCGTCCTTACTCTCGGTAAAGATACCACCAGGTGCCCATTTTTTTGCACAGATCACGGATCAAACACATACACACACACACACACAAAAGCAATACTAGACTTGTCCTCCCTGTGATTGTGCCACCCGAGAGCGCGTCTCTTTTGTTAGCATCCGGTTTATTTTTACTACACCATCAACACTATCAACACCGTCCTTTCTCTCAATTCACCTGCTCACAGACATGCATGGCCCTATCGTAGACCACACAGGGTGCACGACAGGACCCAAAAAAAGAAATGTGAAATGTGCCTGACCATCTATGTCAGGAACAGGCAACAACTCAGACGCAGACCTCTTTGTTGTCGTTTTTCTTTTTGGTCGCAAGAGATTCATGCAAATCCATCCACATGGGGAGGGGGGAAGAGAGACGAACATTTTTGACCCCTACTCAGGACTCAATCGTCAGCTCCGCATTCCTCATGAACATGCCAGGTACAACAGCCCACACTGTGTGCAAGCATCATGCGTTCTAAACTAATCCAGCTGGACTGAAACAGCGTGCGAAATTTTCTTGTTTCGGCTCAGTGGCAGGTTCGGGGTTTTGGGCGGAGGAAATAGGAGGGAGTGGGGGAGAGAGGGGAGAGGGGGAGTGCATTGTAGCTGCGAGAGTGAAATGGTAATGGATTAGAAGCCAAGCGGTCCAATGTATGATCAAAGAAGAATCCCTCGTCAATAGGAGACCAACGATGCATATCGTACTGTACAACACTCAGGAAATGCGCTGCGAATTATCCTTCTGGAAATCTTTGTAGGCGACATTCGAAAAGCAAAGGCAAAATAAAATAAAAAAACTTTCGATTGAAGGAACGGATTTCTAGAAGAAAGTATGCTCATGCATGAAAAGACATGGCGTAAAAGTTAATCGCCATCAAGGCGCTGCAATCCCTGTCAGCTTCTGATAAAAACGCGCTAGTGAAGGAAAAAAGGATCTAAAGACCCTGCTCAAAGCGCGTCTCTGGATAGCAGTATAGAAAAAAATACGCGTCTCTTCAAAGGTCCCAAAACTGCCCATTGCTAACTAACTACCACCTGTTCTTGATTGGATTGGATCACTGCACACAAATAAACTGAGCAACCGCTCTCGGACCACAAAGTGTCTCTGTATTTTTAACGTCGATCAATAAAAACAAGAGCAGACTGAACAAGATCAATTGGAAGAGAGCCTCGGCGGAGGAGTGGCTCCTATGGTAGTCTATAGTAGACAGAGAGACAGAGATGTCTAGGCCTGCTGGCATGAGCAGCCATCCATCTCCGCAGTCCTTACTATTCTTTTCAACCATTGTTTTCGCCAGGCCGTCTATTTGTGGACAGAGGTGGTTTGCCAGTACACAATTAGCGAAGGCCATTGGGCGTGGAGGTAGGAAGCAACAGGCACACGTGCAGGCCGGTTGCTTCAATATGGCTGTAGCGCATGGGCCGGAGTGCACACAAAGACAAAGAGAGGGAGCAGTGGCGCACAAAGAGAGGGAGCAGTGGTACAGAGGTTGTGCCGTATGATGCCCAGGGGGTGGGAGTGGATTAGCCGACTGCGTACGGCATCATGGGCAGGCTGTCCAGCAACAGCGGCGCAAGAGGCATGAGAACGCGAGGTATGTGTATTATTATCCGCGGTCATCGTTCTACCGAAAGCGCAGGAGGGAAGGGCGTAAACGGCTAAAATGCTAATGCTATTTTTGGGGGGAATGTTCTCTCTAAAAAGGAAATGACTGGGCGTGTCTGATCCAGCAGAGACATGCGTCCAACTGGACGCTTCTTTCCCATCAATGGGCGGGCACGGAGGCAGAGAACCATGCCATGCCTCCTCCTCTCCCGGGAGCTCATCGAGACGATCTGGGCACGGTCAATTCTGCCTCTTCAGACGTAATAAAGGGCGTCCAGGAGGAGAGGGAGCATGGGTGTGTGACGGGATAAGCTTGAGGATATCCGCTTTATCGATCGTTCTTGTGCGTCGGAGAAACGGGGAGGGGGGGGAAACTCACGTAGGTGTCCTGGAGAGAGGAAGGAGTACACTGTACAGTACAGTTGGGGTCATCTGGAGACTCAGAAAGGGGCCGTACAGCCCTGTCCAGCTGAGTGTGTCCTCCCTCTTTGACAGCCGAGTGAGCGCAGGCCTGGACTCGCTCGCCACCTGTTTGGAAACATGCCAGCAGCCCAGGAAACGCCCAGAGAGGCAATCGTTGTACCCTCCACCCCATTCATTGTACCCTCCACCCCATTCGTCCCTCCTTCCTCTCTCGATATTAATAGACACTCGCACTTCCTTCGTCGTCGCGTTCACTATAAAAAGGAACCATGCTCCCGATCCTCTCTCCACTCTACTCTTCATTCCATCTCCAGTCCCTGTCACACGCATACATCTACAATGCATTCCAACTTGAGAATCATCCTCGCCGCCATGGTCGTCGCCATGATCGCCACTGTCGCCATGGCTGCCCCTCACGCCAAAGTCCAAAAGACCACCGCCGCTACCACAACTACCACCACTCCCGCCAAGTCTACCACCACCCCCGCCAAGTCTACCACCACCCCCGCTAAGACTACCACCCCCGTTAAGTCTACCACCGCCGCTGCCACTCCTACCAGCACCCCCAAGCCCGGCAAGCCCGGTCAGACGGGCGTGATCCTCGACCAGTCCAACTTCTGCATCTTCCTCCCTCCCAAGTACGGTGGCGGCATCTCCGAGAACGAGGACCGCGCCGTGGCCTTCTGCACCAAGGCCAACCTCCCCGGAGCAACGAACGCCCAGGTCCTCCCCAACGGATTCATCAAGACCGCACACTTTGTGACCAACACCCAGAAGGGTTATGTCCAGGTCACCGGTCGCATTGATCGCAGCAAGTACGGTTTGTCCTCCAAGGACGGCGGTGGACAGTACGACATGCGCGCACCCGTCGGAGCCACTTGTGCAGGTTATAATTCCTTTGTGCAGTTGACGGAGCCTGATGCTCAGATCTACTGTATCCGCTGCTGCAAGAACAAGGCTGATTGCCCCGTGAACAAGTCCACCAAAGGTTGCGAAGCCGTCCTCGGTGGTGATTATTCGTAAAAAAATAATAATAAGTAATAATACCAATATTAATAAAAATGAATTTAAATGAATTCAAAAGTTCCTGAATTGCCTCCACATTCCAGTGAAGATGCATAGATACATGCAGTGTTTTAAACCGTTCAATGTTTAGCGAGACTTTTTAAAAAAATCGATTACGTGAAGGGAGGGAAGATCGGTTTTACCTTTCTCCAAAAGGAGGACATTTCCCCCACAAATGGGGGAACAATCGCGCAATAAATTCGATTCCTGTTTTTTTTTATATATATATTTTTTCTATTGACCATCATCCTCCTCCTAGACTACGGCGTATTTCCACTGTCAGCGACAGAATCCACAGGAACATACCTGCGTTCAAGTGCCACATAAAATGGATGTTTCTACAGAGTCACAGACATAACACTTCAACATCGCATACACAATCTTTGAAACGCGTCAATTGATTTTTACCTTTTATTTTTATTCGTTGTTCGCTATTTCCACGAGAACATATTTATAATGCGGCCCATATAGATGAAGACCATACTTGCTAATAAAAGCACAGCACAGAAACCCCCCCCCCCTCCCCTCCAAGCCAGAGGTCTTGATCATTCACAGACGTTCGCACGCTCAGGAGTAGTCTCCCCTAACCATGGACCTGCAGCCGCCCATCGACCCCTCCACAGGACAATCAGCCTCGTTCTGGCAGCAGCGGAGACAATAAACCTGGGTATCGGGTTCGACCATCTCCACAAAGTGCTTGTATCCCGCGCAACGGGCTCCTTCAGGTGCATGTTCGTCGTACAGTCCTCCACTATCGTGTCTCGACAATCCGTACTTGCTGCGATCGATCCGCCCCGTGATCTGGACGTATTTCTTTCTGTCGTTCTGTACAAAATGCAGGCTCTTGATGAACCCTCGGGGAAGGGTCCTGGCATCAGGGGCGCTTGTGAGGGGCCGGTTGCAGAACGCGACGGCGCTGCTCTCGCTCTCGGAAATGCCGCCACCGAACATGGGTGGGAGGAAGAGACAGTACTCGTTTGGGGATCTCAGGGCGATGGTCCTGCCGGTGACAGGACCGCTGTGGGGAGGCGCGGCTTCAGTGAGCTGGGTGCTGGCAAGGAATTGGAGCACGAAGATTGCGATGGAGGAGGAGATTGCGAACTTCATGTTGGGGTTCTTTTTTTTTGCTTGGTTGCAGGTCTACTGGAAGTGAGAAGAGTTGTTGCTGTTGTTGCTGCTGTTGTTCTAGCTTTGATGAGGTTGATGATATGGGATGTTTATGGACGAAGGCCTCCTTTTATATTCGCGTTTTGTTGATGTTGCTGTTGTTGTTGTTATTTTTACGAGGCCTATGTTGTTGCTGGTATTAACAGCAGGGCAGCATCGTGATGGGTGGTGTCGGTTTCATTTTCCTTGTTTTTTTGTGGATAACTTCATATAGGCCAGACATTCACAGCAGGACGTCCATCGACATATTCGCCTATGAAAAAGGCTATGCGAGTCAATTGGACAGCCCAAGTTCTATCTTTAGTGTCTGTACCGAGGATGTTCTCTCCGTTCGCTAAAAACAAAAGGACGTACACGCAAAGGCTAGCTCACGTTCAGGTGAATGAAAAGGTTGGAAAGACGTTACTGGACGACTTTAAAAAGAAGAGTGGCCGGGCTGGGGGATGGAAAAGTCGGAAAGACGTTACTGGACGACTTTAAAAAGAAACGCGCCTGGGCTGGGGGATGGAAAAGCAAAAGGATATATTCGGACTACGGAGGTGGATTGTCTGCATGGAGATAAAACAGTGATCTTTCTCTAAGCAAGAATTTGACCTAGGTTGGCGCGTCCATGAATGTGCCTAGGCCTGTGTGTCCGTCATATTATGAGCCCATCCAGCTGCGATTATGCGTGGACAGTCTAGGTTCTACTGCTATCTAGCAGATCTGTGGTCGAGGAGCACGCCTGTCTGACCGGGCTTGCCGGGATTGGAGGTGCTGGTAGGGGCGGCAGCGGTGTTGGTAGTCTTGGCGATGTGTGGCGGTGTCCATTCCTAACAAAAGGAAGCAAAGGGAAGCGAGAAAATAGAATTGCTCGAGTCCTTCCATAGTGTCGAGTACCCAACTGCGCCTTCTGCGTTGGCAAGAATAGGCCAGACAGGGCTCGATATTCATGCACAGATCTGCTAGATAGCAATAGAACCTAGACTATCTACGCATATTCGTGGCTGGATGGAGTCTTAATATGATCTGTTGATCATGCCAGGACATCATCTATTTATTTCGGCTAAGGTCACTGCTTCCAAATTGCAAGGCGGTCCTCTGAGGCATTGCTAACAATGACCAACGCACAGACCTAGGCACATTCATGGACGCGCCAACCTAGATCAAATTCTTGCTTAGAGAAAGATCACTGTTTTATCTCCATGCAGACAATCCACCTCCGTAGTCCGAATATATCCTTTTGCTTTTCCATCCCCCAGCCCAGGCGCGTTTCTTTTTAAAGTCGTCCAGTAACGTCTTTCCGACTTTTCCATCCCCCAGCCCGGCCACTCTTCTTTTTAAAGTCGTCCAGTAACGTCTTTCCAACCTTTTCATTCACCTGAACGTGAGCTAGCCTTTGCGTGTACGTCCTTTTGTTTTTAGCGAACGGAGAGAACATCCTCGGTACAGACACTAAAGATAGAACTTGGGCTGTCCAATTGACTCGCATAGCCTTTTTCATAGGCGAATATGTCGATGGACGTCCTGCTGTGAATGTCTGGCCTATATGAAGTTATCCACAAAAAAACAAGGAAAATGAAACCGACACCACCCATCACGATGCTGCCCTGCTGTTAATACCAGCAACAACATAGGCCTCGTAAAAATAACAACAACAACAGCAACATCAACAAAACGCGAATATAAAAGGAGGCCTTCGTCCATAAACATCCCATATCATCAACCTCATCAAAGCTAGAACAACAGCAGCAACAACAGCAACAACTCTTCTCACTTCCAGTAGACCTGCAACCAAGCAAAAAAAAAGAACCCCAACATGAAGTTCGCAATCTCCTCCTCCATCGCAATCTTCGTGCTCCAATTCCTTGCCAGCACCCAGCTCACTGAAGCCGCGCCTCCCCACAGCGGTCCTGTCACCGGCAGGACCATCGCCCTGAGATCCCCAAACGAGTACTGTCTCTTCCTCCCACCCATGTTCGGTGGCGGCATTTCCGAGAGCGAGAGCAGCGCCGTCGCGTTCTGCAACCGGCCCCTCACAAGCGCCCCTGATGCCAGGACCCTTCCCCGAGGGTTCATCAAGAGCCTGCATTTTGTACAGAACGACAGAAAGAAATACGTCCAGATCACGGGGCGGATCGATCGCAGCAAGTACGGATTGTCGAGACACGATAGTGGAGGACTGTACGACGAACATGCACCTGAAGGAGCCCGTTGCGCGGGATACAAGCACTTTGTGGAGATGGTCGAGCCCGATACCCAGGTTTATTGTCTCCGCTGCTGCCAGAACGAGGCTGATTGTCCTGCGGAGGGGTCGATGGGCGGCTGCAGGTCCATGGTTAGGGGAGACTACTCCTGAGCGTGCGAACGTCTGTGAATGATCAAGACCTCTGGCTTGGAGGGGGAGGGGGGGGGGGGTTTCTGTGCTGTGCTTTTATTGGCAAGTATGGTCTTCATCTATATGGGCCGCATTATAAATATGTTCTCGTGGAAATAGCGAACAACGAATAAAAATAAAAGGTAAAAATCAATTGACGCGTTTCAAAGATTGTGTATGCGATGTTGAAGTGTTATGTCTGTGACTCTGTAGAAACATCCATTTTATGTGGCACTTGAACGCAGGTATGTTCCTGTGGATTCTGTCGCTGACAGTGGAAATACGCCGTAGTCTAGGAGGAGGAAGATGGTCAATAGAAAAAAAAATTATGTATAAAAAAAAAGAGAAAGATAAAACTGATTTTCCTCCCCTTCTCGTAATCAATTATTTAAAAAAGTCTCGCTAAACATTGAACGGTCTAAAACATTGCATGCATGTATGCATCTTCACTGGAATGTGGAGGGAATTAATTCAGGAACTTTTGAATATATTATATTATTATTGGTATTATTGTCCCTTTCATACAAAAATACAGTGCGCAACAAAAAGTTCTTTTTCCTTCATGATTTTGCGTTCGTATATTCGATTGCACCCCGTATTACTTCCACCACTATGCAAGTTTCGAGGAGGTCTGATGACTCTATGGACTTTTATGTGATTCTAAAGTCTCATATCTATGTGAACTTTTTACTGCGCACTGTATATATATATTCCTATCGACCATCTTCCTCCTCCTAGACTACGGCGTATTTCCACTGTCAGCGACAGAATCCACAGGAACATACCTGCGTTCAAATGCCACATAAAATGGATGTTTCTACAGAGTCACAGACATAACACTTCAACATCGCATACACAATCTTTGAAACGCGTCAGTTGGTTTTTATCTTTTATTTTTATTCGTTGTTCGCTATTTCCACGAGAACATATTTATATTGCGGCCCATGTAGATGAAGATCGTACTTGCTAATAAAAGCACAGCACAGAAAAAAAAAAAACACCCCAGACAGAGATCTCGATCATTCATAGACGTTCGCACGCTCAGGAGTAGTCTCCCCTAACCATGGACCTGCAGCCGCCCATCGACCCCTCCACAGGACAATCAGCCTCGTTCTGGCAGCAGCGGAGACAATAAACCTGGGTATCGGGTTCGACCATCTCCACAAAGTGCTTGTATCCCGCGCAACGGGCTCCTTCAGGTGCATGTTCGTCGTACAGTCCTCCACTATCGTGTCTCGACAATCCGTACTTGCTGCGATCGATCCGCCCCGTGATCTGGACGTATTTCTTTCTGTCGTTCTGTACAAAATGCAGGCTCTTGATGAACCCTCGGGGAAGGGTCCTGGCATCAGGGGCGCTTGTGAGGGGCCGGTTGCAGAACGCGACGGCGCTGCTCTCGCTCTCGGAAATGCCGCCACCGAACATGGGTGGGAGGAAGAGACAGTACTCGTTTGGGGATCTCAGGGCGATGGTCCTGCCGGTGACAGGACCGCTGTGGGGAGGCGCGGCTTCAGTGAGCTGGGTGCTGGCAAGGAATTGGAGCACGAAGATTGCGATGGAGGAGGAGATTGCGAACTTCATGTTGGGGTTCTTTTTTTTTGCTTGGTTGCAGGTCTACTGGAAGTGAGAAGAGTTGTTGCTGTTGTTGCTGCTGTTGTTCTAGCTTTGATGAGGTTGATGATATGGGATGTTTATGGACGAAGGCCTCCTTTTATATTCGCGTTTTGTTGATGTTGCTGTTGTTGTTGTTATTTTTACGAGGCCTATGTTGTTGCTGGTATTAACAGCAGGGCAGCATCGTGATGGGTGGTGTCGGTTTCATTTTCCTTGTTTTTTTGTGGATAACTTCATATAGGCCAGACATTCACAGCAGGACGTCCATCGACATATTCGCCTATGAAAAAGGCTATGCGAGTCAATTGGACAGCCCAAGTTCTATCTTTAGTGTCTGTACCGAGGATGTTCTCTCCGTTCGCTAAAAACAAAAGGACGTACACGCAAAGGCTAGCTCACGTTCAGGTGAATGAAAAGGTTGGAAAGACGTTACTGGACGACTTTAAAAAGAAGAGTGGCCGGGCTGGGGGATGGAAAAGTCGGAAAGACGTTACTGGACGACTTTAAAAAGAAACGCGCCTGGGCTGGGGGATGGAAAAGCAAAAGGATATATTCGGACTACGGAGGTGGATTGTCTGCATGGAGATAAAACAGTGATCTTTCTCTAAGCAAGAATTTGATCTAGGTTGGCGCGTCCATGAATGTGCCTAGGTCTGTGCGTTGGTCATTGTTAGCAATGCCTCAGAGGACCGCCTTGCAATTTGGAAGCAGTGACCTTAGCCGAAATAAATAGATGATGTCCTGGCATGATCAACAGATCATATTAAGACTCCATCCAGCCACGAATATGCGTAGATAGTCTAGGTTCTATTGCTATCTAGCAGATCTGTGCATGAATATCGAGCCCTGTCTGGCCTATTCTTGCCAACGCAGAAGGCGCAGTTGGGTACTCGACACTATGGAAGGACTCAAGCGATTCTATTTTCTCGCTTCCCTTTGCTTCCTTTTGTTAGGAATGGACACAGCCACACACCGCTATCGCTACTAGGACTGGTCTTCATCCAGATCATGCATCCAATCAGCAGGCAAGAGGAGGATGACAGTGTTTCCGTATACGCCGTAAAGGGCTTTCTATTTTTAAGTAGCCTACGCACAAGGTTATCAAGGTTATAGACTAGCCCAAGCTGTCCCTGGATGCAGCGGTCTAAAAATGGTCACGCCACAGCCAGCTGGACAACTTTGTCCATCTTTGCGCTACGAGTCGAACATACGTGTCTCGTCCTCATCTTCGCCGCCATCGTCAACAATTAACACCAAAGAAACTCTACATTTACAAAAGTTCCTTTGCAAAATGTACTTGAGGCGCATCCTTTAATCCTTCCCGATCTTTGTCCCCTGGGCGCTGCATAAGAGGTACGTCAAGACAGTGGTCTGTCAACAGGGCATGAATGGGAGGGTCGATATATTGTAACCTTGCGCACTTTAAACTTCCTAGATCTATCAATGGAGCACTGTACGGACGCACAGGCCTTTCTACATATCATAAGCGTCTTCACATTGGCAGCGTGCGCTAATAAGGGCGTCCGAGTGAAAACTTGTACGAGCCAACCTTTGATGCTGTTTTACTGAATGGAATGAAGCAGGCTACAGTGGAACCGTCGTTATGCAACGGTGTTGCATGGTGCCAGGGTTTACACTGCTGAAACATGCGGGGCCCCAGCTGGGAGAGATTGGTTCCAGCGGCAAAGTCCTTTGCTCCATCATATAGTGCGCTGGCTTGTTGATCCAGATTGGTACTGGATCCAGACCTCGTCATGAAAATGGAAACCTTGAAAATATTAAATATTCGAGAAAAGATTGATTGGTCCAGGATGGCGCCAACAAACAGCCATTTCTTCCCTAACAAACACAGCGCCGCGACACATTTACAAAATAGTATAGTGTACGTCCGTAAGCAATTGGCATTTGAGAATCATAAAAGCGAATTGACATGGCTGGTGTCAGTTCACAGTTTTTAAAAAAAAAAAAAAAAATGCGGGCAGCAGCAGTAGTAGTAGTAGCGTGGATAGTCTGTCCAGAGCGGCGCGCGTTGTGTTTACTGCAGCAAGAGCTGTGTGTTTACGGAAGACTCGATGTGGGGGAGCGGGGTTTGTCATCCAGACAACAGACAATATGAGAGCCCTTGTCGTCATTCCTTCAAACGCAGGGGATATCTCTGTTGAGATGAGTAGCACGGCTGTGACACCTCCAAAAAAAATCACATAAACAACAGAAAACAAAACAACAACAACAGCAGCAACAACAAAGTGCCTCGACTCGCTACCGAGAATGGAGGGGAGGTTCAGGATGTGCGTCGGCCTCGCTCTGAGGTCTTTGAGGGAGGCGGCTTCAGGCTGGGATGGATGCATTTAGAACCGAGATCATTTGACTGAGAAGAGGGCTCAGAGTATGGAAGCAGTGCGCTCGTCTACATCCTTCATCCAGCCTCTGTGGAGATGCACACGAGGTTGGGTTGCCACAGTTCTTGTCAAAAAAAAAGTGTTTCGATCTCGAACGGACAAAGAACCCACCCTCGGCTAAACGAGCAAGAGAAGGCCAACGTGGATACCTGGAGCCCGAACAAATAGCAACAACAGCAACAACAACATGTCATAGTGTACAACAACATGGCAAAAAAGGGGGAGGGTGAGCCATCCGTCAAGAACAGCTAAGCACGGTAGTCGTATGTGTGTCTCCGATCGAATGTAGGTTACTGCTCATGGTCCGATATCCAGGTTTGTGCATGCCGAATGAACTCAGCTTTTCTATGTTTCTAAGGGAGAGAGGGGGTTTACAGAAGAGGGTTCGGATGCGAGGAATGTCCTCCATGTCTGGAACATGCTTCAATGCCCGAGCCGCCATGTTACAAGGTTCAATTCACGGCAAGGACCACCATGGCTGCTACGGAGATACATAGCCCGGCAGAGGTTTTAGGAGATACATTCCAGTGCAGGACACAGAGGGCTGCTTCCGAAAAAATAGGGGGGAGGAGGCAAGCAACAAAAAATATCCACCGCGAATGACGATGATGGCTACACCACGTCCACACCATCCACAGTTTTAGTGTATATAGTGTATATAATGTATTCAGGCACGCGTGGAAGTTACTAATGGTCGATCTGTCAACACAAAACAGCAGCGGGGTTACAAAGCAAACGTGCAAAGGGGTGGTTGCTTGGCCACATGGTCAGCGGTGCTCCTTTTTCCTTATTTTTTTTTTTGCATGTAGCACGTATCATGTAGCCTAGCAGCATGTAGTATGGAGTCCGCCTCCTTCCCCTCTTCTTCCGACACGCGGATAAAAATCGATGAAGGACATGGAGCAATTACGGCTACATGGCCACATATACGCCAACACTGCAGCCTCTGGGGCGGTGGTGGTGGTGTCCGTTTGGGTTCTTTGTCTATCTGTTAGATCAAACTGTAAAAGCGGATGGAGAAATAGAGATGGAGATAGAGTAGAGCGATAGGAAATTGTTGCCACGTTGTACCGATCCCAACAAAGCGCTCCAGTCCACAAGTACTGGGCCCGCCTGCTCCTTATCCACGATGGTATATCGACAAATACTCAGACAAAGCATACTCCATGGTAGCACCAACAATGATGTCCCTGCGCGAGCTACCACGGTAGAGGATGAGGATAAACTGCGACATTGCGCATCCATCCAGGTCCAGCCCCTGGCCCCCTTTTATTTTATTGAGAGCTGCAATACAGCAGCGCTATAGTGCTATGGTACTGCAGGAGCCCATAAAGTTGCCAGCCTCTTTGCCCTCCTATCCCTGAGTAGACTCCCCCCGTTGGACAGGCATGGCTGCGAGGGAGGAGTGGGGCAGGTTAGAGTATGTGTGGAGCATGCAGCACAGTTGCAGTAGACCATTGAAGGCGGCGGAGGAGACCCATAGAGTCCGTGGAACATTGAGGCGGTCCCTTTATAAAAGGCCCTGCTGATTGGTTGGGTTTCCGCCCTAGTTCGCAAGCCAGTCCAGCCCAGCCCGGTCTTATTCCTTTTCTTCTTTTTTATCGATTCCCCCATCTTTTTTTTTTTTTTTCTCTTTTTCTCTTTTTTCCTTCTTCGTCCCCTCCTTTCCCTCCTTTCCTTCCTTTTCTGCAAATTCCCTTTCCTCGACTCTTGTTCGACTACGCCTCTTCCACAGCGACATCAGTCTCTTTATACCTACCCCACTCGCCCCTACAGGATCCTCGTTGCTGCTCCACCCCAAAGCAGCCAAGCCAAGCCAAGCCAAGCCAAGCACGCAAGCACGCACACAAGCACGCACACAAGCACGCACACAAGCACGCACACAAGCACACACACAAGCAGACCGCGCAGTCAAACGCAGGACTCAGTCATGTTCACGCAGCAGCAGACGCACCACCAGCCAAAGCTGCAGTTCCCAACCAACTATCATCTTCAACAGCAGCAGCAACAGCAGCAGCAGCCGGCACATCCCCTCTCCATTCCAATGAACTTTCCCAACCACTCCAACAATAACGCAGGCACCCCCAACAACTCCTTTGCGGGCACTATCGACCCGGGCCTCCTTCAGATGACCATGGGTCGCATGGACATGTCCCAGCTCCAAAACATGAGCTCGCTCTTCCCGCCTACCTCGGGCACCTCGCTTTCGAACAACCAGGCTCTCCTCGGACGTGGCGGTCTCGGTGGGTCCTTTACGAACCCGACTATCAAGCAAGAGGCCGCGTCCCCAGACTATCTGGCATCAGAGATGGATTTTGGCGAAGCAGGCAACATGCTCTCACCAGGGTCTACCTCCCCACTGAACTCGCCCCTGAACGACTTTGACAGCCCGGACGATTTCTCGACACCGAACACGACGAATGCAGGCCCGACGGGCTCGTTTGCCAAGCCAGCACCCCTCAACATCCACCAGGGATCCTTTGGTGAATCGCCGGGTACGGGTTCGTTGTACTCTCCTGGAATGGAATCAGACTTTTTCCCGGAGGGCGACTTTAGCCTGCCCAAGAGCACTCGCCCCCTGGACATGAAGTTTGGTCGTCCGATGCACCCGAACTCTCTTCCCGCCAACCCGTTCCATAGCATGTCCATGCCTGTGCAGCGGTCAGACTGGTTTGGTGGCGCTAACGGCACAGATGGCCACTCTGTCGGATCTTATGAGAATCCTTCTGGACTCCAGTTTGCACCGGGCGAGATGAACATGATGGATAGTCTCTTTGAGGATGGCAGCGACCCAAAGTAAGTTTGTTTTTTTTTTCCTCCCAAACTCTCAAACCTTTTTTCGCCCCCTTCTTTGTTTGAGATACGTATCTCGACAAAAATATGCACGAAAAGAGAATGGGCACCACGAGGGTGGATGGAAGCACCTTGAATGGTGGAAAGGAAATGGCGAAGAGGAAGGGACAAAGGGAACAGCACTCTTCAACACGTTTTTTTTTTCTTTTTTCTTTTTTCTTTTTTGTCGCCATCCAACGGGAAGATTGAGTCAACGTTCATGGACCCAAGTATCTTTATGGGAATACGTTGTTCCCATCTTGACACAGAGCCCTTTGGTCTAAAGGGAGTTACAGGGAATCACCAGGAAAAAAAAAAAGAGAGAGCGGAGGGACACAAAGGGGGCCAATATTGTGACATGTCAAAGATGATGTTCACTAACTTTTATTACTATCCTTCTTTCTACAACTTCCTGTAGGGGCAATAACCGTGCCTTGCTCTTGACGGAAAAGAGACGACGCCGTCGTGAGAGTCATAATGCTGGTAAGAAGAGCAATGACTTTTCGCGTGCAGACAGTCGTAACACTCCTCAGCCCTTGCTTCACTTTAACCAACGTTGCTTTCCTCTCTCTTGCTCCCTCCCCTTCTCCATCCTACAGTCGAGAGACGCCGACGCGACAACATCAACGAAAAAATCCAAGAGCTTTCAACGCTGTTGCCGGATTGCTATATCGATACAACCAACAAGCCGAACAAGGGTGCGATCCTTCGAAAGTCGGTGGACTATATCCGCCATTTGCAGCAGTTGGTTGCTTCTCAGACAAACAGAAACCAGGAATTGGAGGCACAGCTCCAGGGCAAGGCCTTGTCGAATGGGTCAATATCCTCTTTCAGCGGCAACATGGAGATGAACGGGGTGAATGGAGCGAATGGACCCAACGGCAGTTAAGCAAGTAAAGCAGATCAGCAAGTCAGCAAGGCAGCAAGTACACACAGAGTAAGCGCCCGGCTGCAACCATTGTATCATATCGTTTATTGTAATAAAACCGCTTGTCATCCATGTTTTCTGCACGGTGTTACGGAGGAGACAGCAGGCACAGGGATGGAACGATGGTGTGCGTGTGTGTGTGAGAGAGGGAGATAGTCTGTGTTTGCTGCGATCATATGTCAAATGGGACCGATGCTTTAGACGTGCTTACACGTCACTGCAGCAGAAGAGGAAGAGGTCTATTTGTTTTCTGGTGCTGGCAAGCTCCTTTGGCTGCAGTGCGGCAGTGCGGGAGTGGCCTGTGTGTTAAAGTGTATATAAACATACGCCTCATTTTATTTCCCTCTCTCTCTCTTTTCCTCTTCTTCTTCATTGTCCTCTCTTTCTCTCCCCTCTATCCATCCCCCAGAAACTCCCCCCTCATGGACACGTTTCTTCACCAGGTCCACGAGACTTATCTGCCGGCCTGGTTCGCGCCCAAGGAACCGGCGCTGTTCCTGGACTATGGCATCACTCGTTCGATCTACGATTCCACAGGCATCCCAGAGCCCTCGCTCCGATTGCTCCTCACCATCCTGGCCGGCTACCCGATCTCGATCCTCTACCGACTTGTCTTCCTCAACAAGACCTCGTCCATCATTGGCGAGTCGGCACGTAACACCTTCTTCGTGACCACGGGCCTACTCCTGTCCTACTATTTCAACTCTTACGACATTATCCACCCCCTGACCACCTGTATTGGCACCTGGCTCATCTGTAAGGTCGTCACGCTCGTCGCGCCCATGAACCGGAGCCTGGCCTCGACCGTGTCATTCCTGTTCAACTTTGGATACCTGTTGACGTCCTACAAGTACGCAGCCACGGAGGATTACGATATCTGCTACACGATGCAGCAGTGTGTGCAGTGCTTACGGATGATTGGGTACGGAATGGATTTCATGGACGGACAACCAAAGTCGCAAAAAAAGCAACAGCAGCAGGATGAGAAGAAGAAGGCAGCAGATCAGGGACCAGAGGTAATCACAGCGACACCCGCACCCGGAACTCCTCAGCCCGCCACACCAGCTCCTGCTGCTCCAGCTGCTGCTGTCGTCGTCAGGGACAAGACCCCGATCTCGTTCGGAAGGGACATTGCCCTCGGTCGGATGCCGACCCTGGCCGAAACTATCGGTTACGCGTTCTTCCCCTTTGCGTTCCTGGTCGGTCCCCAGTTCTCATTCTCGCTTTACAAGAAGTTCATCTCCATGGATCTTTTTAACGTGCCCGTGCCGGCGACTGCAGGAAAGGATGAGGCTCGGGAGGCGGCTGCGGCGACGGCGAATGGGATTCCTCAGGGTTCTTTGCGATATGCCACCCGTTGCTTCTTCCTGGGCGTGTTCTATCTGGGATTGGGTCAGGTCCTCGGTGGGTACTTTCCCTCGGCTGCATTGTTGGGCAAGGCCTTTTTGGAGCGTCCGTTCCTGGAGAGGGTCTTTATCTTTTGGTGGACTGGAAAGACGGTTCTGAACAAGGTGAGCAAATTACGATCGTTTTTTTTTTTGGGTGACAATATGCATGCATCATGCATTATGCATCGTCGTATCCCGATATGTTATCTTTCCGTTGGATTTTCAGGGATATGGGGAGAGGGGGGGGGGGAAAGACCGTGGCACTTTCTCACAATGGCCTAACTGAACTTGTTTACTCTCATCTGCACGTCCCATTTAGTACCTCGGTATCTGGACCATTGGCGAAGGACCCTGCGTTTTGTCTGGAATTACCTTTAACGGCTATGACGCTCAGGGCAGACCTGAATGGGATGGACTCCGAAACGTGAACCCAGTCAAGTACGAATTCGCAACATCCCTGACCCAGATTGTGAGCTCCTTCAACATGAACACCAATTACTGGGCCAAGCTCTATGTCTTCAAGCGTCTGCGCTTCCTCGGCAACAAGAACCTGTCGGCTCTGGGCGTGCTCCTCTTCTTGGCCGTCTGGCACGGCACCCATATCGGCTACTTTTTCTGCTTTGGTCTCGAATTCATGGACATGGAGACGGAGCGTCGTCTGTCGGCCCGGTTCGGAAAGCCCATCAATGCGTTCATTGCGAGACAGCAGGGTGTGTCCCATGCGGTCTTTAAGGCCATCTGGGGTGTGATCACCTGGTTGTTCACGACCAGCGCATTGTACTTTGCAGCTGTGCCTTTCGATCTGTTGCAGATGGACAAGTCCTTGGCGGCTATCCGGTCGATCAATTTCTTGGGCATCTACGTCATGCTCGGACTCTTGGGCCTTGATATCGTACTCTCGATCGTCATGCCCAAGAAGCGCTCCAAGTCCATCAAGACCGAGTAAAAAAAAAAAAAACAAAAAAAAACAAAAACAAAAAAAAAATGACAGAATGAAGAACAAACACAAAGAAGGAAGAGAAAAAGAAAGGCGAATTGGTATCCGATATCCCCCCCCCCATTCAAGACGTCTAAATCGGTTGTATATATGTCGAGAATGAAAATAAAGCAGAAGTTCCCGAACATGTTATTCATAATAATGGTTTGTTCATTGGAAGGGGGGAGGAGGAGGGGTTTCTCATTGAACATTGGTTAACATGCGTCTTTGTGGACAACATTTTTTAACGAACTATTTAAGATGATGATGAGGAAGATGGGATAGGACGATGGAGGAGGTGGTGTGTGTGTGTGGGGGGGGACTAATGTTTGAAACATGCTGGGTTATGCCTGCATGGACTGGCCACTCAATTCGCGCTCGAGATCCTCATCGACCTCCATGGACGAGGCCAGGTGGCTGACGGGTGCTTCCTCGGCCATGGCGGGTTCCTCCTGGATCTGCTCGCTTGCATGGGGTATGTTCTTGGCCGCCGACGTGGTCGCGCTTCGGTCCGCGGCCGATAAGCTGGCCGCGCGACGGAGTCCGCCGTTCTGTGTTCCCAGTGCCTGTTCCTTGCTTGCCTTGAACGACATGACCTCCTGAGCAATCAGTCCTACGCGGATCAAAACGGTAATAGCGTTAATAAATATCGGACACGATTTGATTTGATTTTTTTTCTTTGGAGGGCCAGAGGAGCGAAGGGGGGGGGGGGAGCTTTTGATGACTTACGCTTCATCTCCTCGATGCGATCTATGACCTCGAACGAAAAATCAAAGACCTTGTCGTGAACGGGCTCGTCGTCCTCCTCATGGTATGCGGCTAAGTAAGGATGGGCCAGTGCTTGCTCGACGGTTATACGGGCCGCGGGGTCAAAGTTCAGCAATTTCTGCAACAAGTCGATCGCCAGTGGGCTGGCGCGAGGGTATAACTGTTGGAATGGGATCGTGGGCATCCTGGGCAGGCTGCGAATATAGGCCTGGGCCTAAAAATAGAGAAAGCTGTCGTCAGAACCCTGTTGAGCCAAAAAAAAAAAAAAAAAAAAAAAAAAAGAGGCATGGATGTTGTTTTTGTCCATTTTGTCCATTTTGTCCATTTGTCCATCTGCCCGGTATCGTCTAACGCCGCTTTCCTTGTGCTCCCTCCTCCGCGTGGTGGTGCATCATACCCGCGCTCTCTCTCGGATATGGTTGGGCGTAAAAAAATGGCGTTCTAATTATTTTCGCAGTCGTCGTAGCGTCGTGCTAAACTTAGAGACACGATCCGATTCGGTTGTAACTGTTGGGCGGTCCTGTTGTCCTGGATACATCTCGACATATACGCCCTCCATTCCTCGTATCCTGCGTACTATTGTTAGTCCGTACGCGAAACACGAAACACAAAACACAAAGTTCAAACACCCACACACACACACACACACACACACATATGGACACCACGCAGGGCAAGGCGGGTACGCATCCTGTGATCACACTTACCCTTTCACTGCCAACTCGTCTGAGTGTTGCCTCGTCAGGCGTTCCCAGGATCTGAAGGATCTGGTTTAGTTGATCCACATAGTCGCGTCCCTTGAACAATGGCTTTCCACCAAGCATCTCAGCAAAAATGCATCCGACTGACCACATGTCGACTGATGACAAAAACGAAAAAAGAAAAAAGAAAAAAAAAAAAAAGGTTGTTTAGCAATCAATCTTCACTCGCCCCCACATTCGAGGGTGATGGGATGAATGCGCAGAGGCGGCTGCTTACTGGCTTTTGTGTAGCTCTGGAAGCTCAACATGATCTCGGGAGCACGGTACCAGCGGGTGGCGACGTACTCGGTCATGAACCCGACATTTGACTCTGCATCATCGCTGAATCCACGAGCAAGTCCAAAATCGCAAATCTTCAGTTCACAGTCGGCGTTGACGAGCAAGTTGCCGGGTTTCAGGTCTCGGTGGAGAACATTTGCTGAATGAATGTACTTGAGTCCGCGGCAGATCTGATAAATAAAGTACTGGAAATGGGCGTCCGTCAATGGTTGCTCCGACCGAATGATCTGGTGCAGGTCAGCCTCCATCAATTCCTGAACCAGGTAGCTATAATAGCGAGATAAAAATAGATGTACAAGAACCACGCAGTGCCCGTTAGCCCATGTACTCCTCGGACCTGCAAGGCGTCCTCTGAGCAATTGCAATTGTACGTCATGTATCCCCCAATGTTCCTGCTGCTTTACATTTCGTTAAAGTCCTGGACGTTGGTGATGTCCATATCGATAATCGAAGTGATCTAGTAAAATAGGAAAAAAATAAAAATAAAAAGAAGAAAAAAAAGAAAAAAGAAAATAGCAAAGCAACCACGGAAGAGATACATTAGGCAAGTGAGGACACAAAGGCAAAAAGAAAATGCAATTCTAGTGTTTTTTGCCAGCAGTTTGCATCCTGAGAACAAAGCATCTGACCCTGCTCTTGGATTCATGTAGACACAAATAGCGAAATGCCCGAAAAAAAATAGCAAAATAGAACATGCAGCGAGCAGCAAAGCAACACTTCGAAAATAGATACGACAAGGATGCCATTGACCATGTCTTGCGAGCTCCACATTAACTCTCTCGATTCATTTTCATTGTCAGCCAGCTCAATCATCAACCTTTAGAGTTTGAGCATCCACCACCGCTCTCGCTCCCGCACTTCCTCCCAGGCCCACTGACTCCTTGAAAAAGATTCTTCCCGCGTGTGCCCCAGAGAGGGGGAAGAAAAATAATATATATCGAGAAGGGAGAAGGGAAGGGGAGCTCTCGATCCTAGTACCAAATATACTTTCAAGTCCAGCAGCAGAGGAAAGGAGAAGCGTGGGCCATGGTGGCCAATGTAAAAAGAATACAAATTTGATCGGCAAAGCCCATGGAAGAACAAAAAAAATCGATACATACGTTTTCATGTCCTGAGAAATGGCGCAAAAGCTTGACCTCGCGCAGGGCACGCTTTGCCAAAATGGCCTTCTCAAAGACCTTGGTCAGCTTTTTGATGGCGACATCCTCGCCGGTCTGAGTGTTCTTTGCAGCACTAGACGGATAAAGTCGCAAATTGTACATACACACAGCCCAGATTAGTTACGTGCATCATCCTTAACGGCTTGTGCATGCCATTGCAGAGCAGATATACGGATGTAGAACCTACCAAACGACTCCGTAAGCGCCCTGACCGATTTCACGAATGAATTGGTATTTTGTGTCCACGATGAACTGCTGGTTGAGCACGGGGAAGGAATGGGTTGGCATCGTGTGGAAAATAAAATAAGGTCGGGCGTAGAAAAGAAAAGGGCGTCAAGATGTCCTCTATGAGTGAAGAAACAGGGAAAAAAAGGCGATTCAGTTCCGTTGTCGGCTACAGCGATTGAGCAGAACGTCCTTTGTCCGGACCAGGACGAACACACACGTGTGATTCATCCTGCCCCTGCCTCGTTCCAATAGCTTTCAAATTCACACACTGTTGTGTGGTGATAAGAAGGGGCCTGTTTGCTTAGTAGCGCCTCCAAACATGCCAATGAGGTGCGGGTCGGTCCAAAGGACGGGGGCGTTTTTTTCTTTTTTCTTTTTTCTTTTTTCCTCCTGAGAAATGCTCGGAGGCTTTAGAGTCAGACCACACGCTGGTCCGATATGTATGCAGGTGCCAAGGTCCGTTCAGTCCAGTCAATATTCCAGCGCCAATTACCTGAAAAAACGATACAAGAAGGGTTACGAAGATGATGAATGATGGAGAGGAAAAAAGGAAAATAGAGGAACGGACGAAAGGAAGGAGTGGGTTGGGAAAAACGAAGAAAGAAAAGAAAAAAGGAATGAAGGAATGAGGTGAAGGAAAAAAAAAAAAAAGAGTCCGACCGCGGTGCAGGTCAAGGCATTGCAGCACATACGACATTTCATTCTTCATGGGACCCCACATAGGTTGAGAACACGAACATGGTTTTGGGCGGGGTCCCCTTCTTTAATAATGGGATGACTATGGCGGCTAATTACTTGTCCTTCTTCGACTCCAGGCGCTCTTGCTCATTGCTGCTGCCGCCAATGCCACTGCCACTGCCGCTACTGCTGCTCTTATTGTCTTGGAGGATGGGAAAGCCATATGCAGTCAGCTCCTGGTCCGTCATGTCCTTGAAGATACCCACGGGAGCATTGTAATACCACCAGCCTTTGATGATCTGCCAATACGAAATGCCGTGGCCACCTTGTCTCCACTCCTCAAAGCAATGGTCGAAATTGAATCGTAGGCACGATCCACCCCAGCTGGTTAGGATCTCGTGTGCGAGTGGGTCGTAGATGTGCAGACATGGTACCCCCTTGGTTTGCCATTCGTTCAAGATGTCAATTTTGATTGGATCGTTGAAGGGGATCGCTAGCCAGCGCGGATGTGCCTCTAATGTCTTGTTAAATGCTGCCTCCGTGGTGTCGAGTGAGACGTAGATAAGCACAAAATCAGGGTGGCACTCTAAAAAGCGATCCACGATCTGGAGGGATATGAAAGGTCGCTGTTAATGAGATATTGGATAATGAATGAGCTGTGTACGACCAAATTTGATGGCAGCCATTGCTCTCACAGTTGATAGCTCCTGGCAGACGGCATAGCGACCGGCACCTGCATAGGCGACAGACCATAGGCGATAGTGCGATAGAAAGATAACAAAGGACAAGATGATCAATACTTTTTGCTGATCATATATTTGATGCACTCCAAAATTCCTTGTAGTTTGTGAGTATAGACATCAGTTGCACTTCCAAGGTCTCTATCTCTTACTGCAAAAGAATCCGATGGTCTTGTTGGCGACCTCATAGACGGGGACATGTTTGCCGGCAGCATCCTGTAGCTTGATGCGGAAGAGGATTGATTTTTGCTTATCGATTGTGGCCTTTGCTCGTGTTGCGTATGTTGCTGTTTGCTCAGCAGTGGGTGTGCCGACTGAAGGGTCGATTGAGGTTGACATTAGATGGATGAGATGGTGGGATGGGATGGGATGAGATGAGATGGTATGATATGAACCGACCTGCAGACGATTCTCCGCATTCTTCGCACGACTACCACACACGTAAATAACGTTTAGTTCGTTTAGTTTCACTTTATTTTTTTTGATCCTCAAAAAAGGGAATGGATGGGAAACAGCGTCGCCAGTTAGTTCGCACCCAAACGGCGCGCGCGCGCGACCTCTTCTTCGATCTGCTCCGGGCTCATCTTGGTGATCTTTTCCCGGACTTCCATCAGAACAATACCCAGCATATTTTTGCCCTTTCCATCGCCACCGTCTGCCCAGTAACGATCATTCTTCGTATGTTCTATTGCCACCAAAAAAGAATACTTTCATAGTCAGGACCATTTGTTGCTCAATGCTGAACACTGTATCATAGAGTAATGGCTTGCGTACATACCATTGAGATACTGCTCTCCAGTGTCGAGAAGAACTTTGGTCAGGTTAGGATGCTGCAGAAACTTTTGCAGCACACAGGCCCTCATGATATCGTCCTTGACCTCCTCCCAATCTGGTCTCAGTGGCCAGGATCTGTTCCTGCCCATCTGGGCGGCATTGCCAGGGGTGTCTGCCACTCGGATTATCTCCACATACTCGCGGTCAGGGAGATGAGCAAACTTTTGGGCTTGAAAGTAGTGCTCCGTGGTGGGCCATTCCTGTCCATCAAGGACAATTGGCGCGTAATAAAAGTTGGAAAACTCGCCGTAGGGGTCCCCCTGGCGGTAAAAATTGATGTTATCCTTCATTTCGTGGAGGAGCTGAGTGGTTCTATGGAGAGAGTATAAAATGGGGCGATCAGAGGTTGAGTTGGGGCGACACGACGCGCGGAGAGGATGAGAGGAGAATAGAATGTGGAGAAAGAAAGGGGGCAGGGGTATACAGCATGTATTTATGTGAACGAGCCAAAAAAAAAATGGTGGCGTTTCCGCTGCCCTTTGGAGCCGTTGTCCCTTTGAACCGCTGCCACAGTGGGGCGGTGACGTAAATCGAGCTGCGGTAGGACCAGCTGCGAGATTGCGGAGAGCCGTTTCCCCTCCAGAGGTGGCGATGGCGATGGAGCGGAATGGCAGTGCGAGATGTTGTCTTCTGTCATCATGTCATCAGCGATGAGTTGGTAATCGCTCTTTTGTACCCTTGTTAGAAAGATATGCATGATCGGTATGTGGGGGGGTGCACAGGCACAAGACCGCGGAGGGTCGGTTACATGGGCAAAGCCCATTGCGCTGCCAGCATTGTTTGTTCATGATGCGTACACGTACGTACGTGTACTTCGTATATATTTGTTTGGAATATGTGGAAGTGGATCCAGTGGTGTGTCAGGGTACGCGACATGGTGCCTGTGGATTCAATCGGGGTTTGAGAAGGGATGGCTCCTTCAGGTATCGGTCGTACATGCCCATTTGTACGGTACTGGATTGGGTACAAGCCAGAGCGGGAAGGCAATAAAATGAGAAATGAGTGAGCACAGGGAGAGGAAGAGGAAGAGAACGAGAATAAAGCAGCGGATTGGTTGCTCTTGCTTCATTCGCCGCAATAATAGTCTGCACTCACACTGGAGACGGATGTTGTGCTAGACTAGACATGTACGGTGCATGCACATGTAAGTGTAAAGTGTATATGAGATATTGGCTTATTGGGGAGGAGGGATGGGATGGATGTGTGTTTGCTGGACAGCTGCACAAAATAACAAAATAAGGCCATGAATCCCGGGAGCGGCCTCTGATTCGATCGCTTTTTTCCCTCTAAACTCAAACGGGGAGTTGGACAGCAACAGAAACGGTTTGGTCTAATTCCCTCCCTCTCTCTTCTTCATCCCATCCCATCCCATCCCATCCCTTCTTCCTCCTCCATCCTGCTCCATCTCCCCTCTTGCCCTCATCCTCCTCTCGCCCTTCCCCAGCCACCCTCCATCACAACCCCACCCCCCTCCCCCAACTTGCCCAGTAGAGGATGCTAAAACTAGCCGTCTGTGTAGCTGGGTAAACTATCATACGCTCTGTTTAACCTTACATATCCTGTCCCTGAATCAGGGCCAGGATCACCAAAGACGTGGCCCTCGTGTCCCTGCCCCTCCTATCCAGGGCGCCAGATGTATCCATACACATCCCCACCCGCGAGCCTATTTCTCTAACAAACTCCTCCTTCTCCTTCTCCACCACACTCTTCGTATATAGCATCTACAGTTGCTTCCTAACATGGGGCTTGCTTCAGGAAAAGGTCTCGACAACACCCTACGGAGAGGAGGGCGAGCAGTTCAACTACTTCATCTTCCTCAACATGGCCCAGGCCATCACCGCCTCCGCCATCGCATTCCTCTACCTCAAACTACAGGGAAAACCATTGGAGATGCCATCCAGGATGTTGCTCGGTAAATACTTCCAGGTCGCCTTCTTCAACGCGAGTGCCTCTCCCTTCTCCTACGCGGCCCTCAGACACATCGATTACCCGACCATGATCCTCACAAAGTCCTGCAAGCTCGTGCCGGTCATGCTCATGAACATCCTGCTCTACCGCCGCAAATTTCCCACCTACAAATATGCCTGCGTTGCCCTGATCACCTGTGGAGTCGCCGGATTCATGCTCCTCGCACCCTTTGACGACCATGCACACGGTAAGAAGGACGCTGTCGAAAGCTCGCTCTACGGCATGTTCCTCGTCATCATCAACCTGACCATCGACGGCATCACCAACTCGACTCAGGACCAGATCTTTCACACCTTCAAGGTCACAGGCCAGCAGATGATGTGCTTCATGAACCTGTTCATGGCCATGTTCATGGCCCTCTGGCTCTTCAACCCCTTCAACTCTGAGCTCGGCAATGCGCTGGCGTTTTGCCATTCCCACCCAGCCGTCATCAAGGATATCGCCCTCTTTTGCTTCTGCGGAGCACTCGGGCAGTGCTTCATTTTTTATACCCTCGAGCAATTTGGCTCCCTCTCCTTGGTCACCGTCACCGTCACTCGAAAGCTCTTCACCATCCTCCTCTCCATCTTTGCATATGGCCATAAACTCAACATCAGTCAATGGCTCATGATCGGCGTCGTCTTTTCGGGTATCGGTCTGGAGGCCTATGTCAAGAGACAGGAGAAACTGGAAAAGATGGTCGACAATCTCCCAAAGCACTCACCAAGGCCCGATCAGCTCTCGTTCAGTCAGGTCGAAATGATAAAGAAGGACAAGATCCAGGACCTCAACTCCAACTTCGTGGGCATGGCCTCGTCAAATCATGGGCCTGGATCGGGATTGGCCCAGTACGGCCAAGAGTACGGATACGATAACGGCAATACTACCCAGCTGTTGCAGCCACCACCATACTCGCAGCTTTCGCAACAACAGCAACAGCAACAGCTGCAGCAACAACAGCCTTTATTTCCGGAAAGCAATCAAAGTACGAGACCATACTCTGTCCGCGCATCCTATGTCAGCTCGATCACGACCGCACCCGGAATACCCGCCAATGGAGGGGGAAGGCAACGAACCAGTATTATCGCGCCAAAGCGTCACGCATAGTCTGCGCATTCTCTTTTATGTCACATTTGTTATGTCAACTTTTTAACAACCATCTCTATTTAGATATCAACTAAGCATGTATACCACCAATCTTGAAAGCACAGGAAGAAAAAGGAAAAAGAAAAGAGAAAAAAAAAAGCATTAAAAACTGTAAAAAAACAAAAAACAAAAGAAAACAAACCAATGGAGCTATTCAGCTAGGCTATGTATATATAACGCAGCAACCGCGGTGGATCCAGGGGCAATTTTTTTTTTTTTTTCAATCAATACATTTCCTGTTGTTTACTGCAGATACAACAAACAGGTCACCTCGTCATATGAGTGACAATCTGCAGTGTAGGCCACCGCTTCCTAATCTCGCTTAACCAGGTTTTCGACTCATACCCGCGGTAAATCTCTGAGGACCACGTATAGCCATAATCCTGCCACAGTTCCATCAGCCGAGGCCAATAATCCAACATCCACTCAACCTCATCGCGTGCGAAGTAGCTCAGGCGGCCGCCCAGTTTCACGGTCACCAATTGACAAAGCTGCCCCAGAGGCTCGAGCCTTTTGTTCAAACCCAAAGTCCTCAGCACTTGTTATTGGCCCGGAACGACTGCGTTTCCTTCCAGAGGATAGGCGTGAAGGTTCCATGCTACGCTCTGCAAACGCGCGCGCAGTTCCTTTGGTCAGAAAGTGAGAGATCGGCTACGATGGTATCCAGAATAAACGAGATGTCGAGGATCGAGATCAATGCCATCTTGGCATGCCATGCAAATGGAATGAATGAGACGAGAGTAGAGGTAAATGCCCCTAAATAATAAGGTTTCGTGCTGTGCTTCGCCCACTGAATAGCGAGCTGTTTCTTTATTTAGGAGCGCGCTTATGTGTTCTCAGCATGCGTGTGGTCTTAGGCATCCTCCAAGTGATGGTCGTAGTTATACGATCGGGCCAGTCTCCAATCGAGGTACTCTCCAGCGGTCATGTTTCGTCCCTCTTCGAATTCCACAGCATCAGCCCTCATCTCCTGCGTGATCAACGGTGAGGGGATAGGGTCAAGTCGAGTATCATCGTTCGCGTGGATGAAACAGGCGATCGAGTAGCGAGAGTGGTGCTGCTGCTGAGGGTTGTACATGACGCGGTGCATCGTCGACTTGAGCAGGCCATTAGTCCACATCTGGAGGTGGTCCGCGATGTTGACCAAGATAGTGTTGGGGATTACAGGCGCAGCTACCCAGGGCACATCCTTGTGCACACGCGATGCCTGGACTTCGAGACCGGCGATATCCTTTTGCATCAGGAGCGTGATGGACCCGTAGTCGGTATGGCTAGCATATGAAGTTGTGGCATCGGACCCCAGTCAGTATCATATTCATTGGAAGTAATGAGTAAAGTATGACGTTGCTAACCCTCACCTTCCTGCCAGGGGTGTGTTGGGGTCACCAGATTGCTTAGGATAGTGAAGGAACCTCAGCGTGGTGCCTGAGTCCGCATCCCATTCGTGGCTCTTATCAAAGTAATGCCGACCACCGGATGTCTCAGGCACCTGGAGTGCAATTGCAAAGCACTGCATGATGTCCCTCGACAAACGATGAAGGTCCTATTGTTAAACGTCAAGAAAAGATGAATATACCAAAGGCCCTTTTTGCAAGTCCATCATACACTGAATATAAGAGAGAACACGGATACTCTTTACCTTGTAGAAAACACCGAGGTCTTCCTGCTCAGCCTTGTTGCCCTGAACAAAGTAATTCGTTGAGTCGTCTTTGATAGAGTACTTGCGAATATTATACGCTCTATCGAAGTCCAAGAATTAGATAACGTCAAATAGCGTGCTTTTGCCGCCAAACACAAATATCCTGCCACTCACTCTTTCAAGTCGCCCATGGTCTGATGCTCGGGATCTAGACTATAAGCGAGCACATTGATAGGCAACGTAGTATCAGTTATACCACTGCTCGCTCGGATAAAGTATAGCTGTTCAACAGGCCCGTAGCCTCTGCAATCGTTTGAACGTACGTCTCGGATTTTATGGGAGTGTATCCAATATTGCCAGGGCCAATGAGATACTGACTCTTGTTCTGGAGGGGCCGCTGGAAGAAGCGCTCGCTGCACTCGAACATACGGTCGATAAGGTCCTGAGGGATGCCATGGTTCTTGAGATAAAAGAAGCCAATGTGCTGACTGGCTTCGCCGACCTGACGTGCGCACTCCGCAGGGTCCGAGGTGAACAAGCTGAAGTCGATAACAGGGATAGTGACAGTGGCACTTGTATCGAGCTGTTGGTTGCTAGACATGGTGTTTTTTTTTCTTTTTCTTTTTCTTTTTCGAGTGGGAAAGTAAAAAAGCGGAAAGAAGAGGTGACAGAAGATAGCGACCGCGGGGAACTTTCCGAATTCATACCTGTTTCCGAAGCGCTCTGTGCGCCCAGTGACTGTCGGTAATGTTCACAGGGGACTAAGATCAAAGGCACTTTCTTAGAAGCACACTTCAGGCACTACACAACTCAACCTTGGACCCGTAATGAATCCTCTGAATGTGCGGCGTGCGTTTGTCTATGACAAGATCATCAACTGGTTCCCGGGACACATGGCTAAGGGACTGCGGCTGATCACCGAGAAACTGAATGCCGTTCAAGTGATCATCGAAGTGCGCGATGCAAGGATATCAAGCTCGTGCTCCTTATTTTTTTTTTTTTTTGCGCTGTGTTCAGTGTGTGCTTGATCCGAATGCCAGCTGCATATCATCTTTCAACCAAAAGAAAAAAAAAAAAAAAAAAAAAAAACTGCTATTATCCTTAACTCTGCCAATGTCAATGCCATGTCTCTTGTCTATTTCTTTCTTGATCTATCTCTATTTATAATTATTGTCGACAACACATCCCTCTATCGTCCATCAACCACAAGTTCGAGCCTATTGCTCAGCGAAAGGACCGCCTTATTGTCTACAACAAGGCTGATCTAGCCCATCCAGACACGGAAGCAGTAAGGCAACAGACATTGGATCAATTGCTTTTTGTCTGCAATGCGTCCGTACAATTGAACTTTGCTTATTCATGCCTTTTCTCGCCTTCACAATAGGCCGTTACAAAGGCACTCAAGGAGTTCAAGGGACAGGATGTTGTGTTCACAAACGCAAACGAGGATGTGAATATCAAAGGGATCATGAAATATCTCGCCAGTACGTCTATTCGCCATCGCGCTCGCTGTTCACCAAATTGCGATTTGTTTTTAGTATGAGGACTTCAAGGAGCTGACTGACGCCCCAATATCGTTCATTTTATTCACCATTGACTACAGAAAAGGCAAAGGTTTCAGGAACGGCGTCTGAGAAAGAACTGACGACCACAGTCATGGTCGTCGGCATGCCGAACGTTGGAAAATCATCCCTGATCAATTCTCTGAGGAGGATAGGTGTCAGGAAGGGGAAAGCTGCACCGACGGGAGCCATTCCAGGAATCACCAGGACGGTCGCTGGCACAATCAAAGTTTTGGATTCGCCAAAGGTTTATCTCATCGACACACCCGGCGTTATGATCCCGCATATTGCAGATCCCATATCGGCTATCAAGGTCGCACTTACTGGCGCGATCTCCGATCATCTCTCGGACGAGGAAGTTATTGCAGATTATCTGCTCTTCCAGCTAAACCAGGCGCAGGACTATAGGTAATATGTCGCACTGTTTATGTAGGTGGATCAAACGGCATATGATCTTCTTCCCAGCAACGATTTCTAACGCTGACGCTTATTTTTTTTATTTTATTTTATTTTATTTTTCCAAAAATCAATCAGATATGTAGAACTGTACAACATCAAGGAACCAACGGACAACATCCAAGAATTCCTTCCGCAGGTCGCAAAGTACATTGGCGCACTTAAAAAGGGTGGAGAATACAACCTGACCATGGCAGCCCAGTTCCTGGTCAAGCAGTATCGGCTAGGCAAGTTGGGCAGGCACACCTTGGACGATATCGACCCCGCATCACTGGAGGCATTTCTGACCCGGGACATCGAAGACTCTGTCAGTCGACGGCAGCAAAAGAAGGCCGATAAGATCGAAGACCGTAGACTGAGAAGGCTGGTTCAGCAACGGAAAGCAGAGGAGCGAGACCGGTCTGGTTCAGGGTCCAAGCTGTAGCTGCCCGGAAACACGCTCGATTAATATATTGTTGCATTTTACGACTATACCGACATCCTTGTGTTGTAAGGGACCAATCTTGAAAGTATGCCTTCTGTTTATTGACAGCGATGATGGAGCCACATAGATATCTCAGAAACGAGGAGGATCCGTAGGGATGGAAGAATTGAATCATTTTTGAATCCCGCGCGCTACAGATAGTTGCACGGGCAGCATCATCCCCCACACACCCCTCCTCCTCCTCCTCCATCATATAATTCGCTTGTTAAAGCATCTCTTCATAAATATTCCTTTTCTCTTCCTCGCCGGTCATGAATCTCGAACGCCCTTTTTTTAATAACAAGGCCCTACCCGTACTTCTTGATGCATGTTTCCTCACGCGCTCTTCTAGAAACATGGTTGCCAATGGCGCCTCTTGGCTGCACGTCTAGTGCTTGCAATTGACTAGAGTAGTGATGTACCCCATTCCAACTGCTCGATTGCGTGCTCTTGTTCGCTGCTTTCGATACCGATAGCTTTGGTGGATCGTCAGGGAGGGAGGGAGGGAGGGGGAGGGGGGGGGTTTCTAATGTTGTCAATTGCTCTCGCCCGACATCCTGAGGCTCCCTAGCTCCATTGGCTCTTGGTTGCGGGCTTGAGACATTTACATCCTGTTATATTGGCGGCTCAGAAGCGGGTAACACGCGTCCAGTGGCCCAGTGTTCGATCCAGGCCCGAGTAAAAGATCACGGTAGCGTGGGCAGTTGAGAGGCCAAAAGGCGCGCTCTTTGTTATTGAACGGGGGGTCTGGAAACGCGTTCAAAACGCGTCGCTTGGTTTGGAGAACATGTTGACTCCTCTTAACCAGTCCCTGACTACCTACGAGGAAGTGGGGGATGACGAGGAGGGTAGTGGAGGGAAGAGCAGAGGGCGCGAGAACTAGGTTGTCGGGGGAATGCTCCACGTGATACAACTGCCTAGAAAAAGATAGAGGCGGGCTGAGCGTCTTGAATGGTGCTCTTTCTCTCTTTCTCACACCTTTCTTCCTGATCACCATCAACCATGAAGTAAGTGCTTCCTTCACCCATCAAACCTCATCGCACTCTTGCATTCTTGTCTACTCAGTCCATTAACAGGAATCTCCTCTTTTTCTCCCTCCTCTGTGTGTCACCCATTGCATTCTCGCTACCAGCGTCGTCAAGGAGATCAAACGACTGAACGAGCGAGAAGCCAGTCTATCGATCTCAACTTCTGGATCCTGGCATGAGCAATACAAAGACTCCGCCCACGTCTTTGTCGGCGGACTCCCCTACAACCTCACGGAGGGTGATATCGTCTGTGTGCTCTCGCAGTTTGGAGAGATCGCCGGTATTAATCTCGTTCGTGATAAGGAATCTGGAAAGTCCAAGGGTTATGCCTTTTTGAAATATGTCGATCAGAGGTCCACCATCCTCGCAGTCGATAACATGAATGGATCCAAGGTAAACTCTTTTTCTTCTTCTTCTATTTCATGCCTGAATGTATGACGAAAGGATTATCCGCTGTGTCTATGTGGCATTGGTACTCATCACAGCTGCACTACTTTTTTATTGTAGATAGGCGGAAGGGTGATCCGAGTTGACCATGTACAGAATTACAAGGTCCCCAAAGTCTTTGACGCCGACGGAAACGAGGTCGAACCGGACGAGGATACGGTCAACAACGTTGCTCCCAAACCGATCGGAGGTAAAAAAAAAAAAAAAAAAAAAACACTCTGCCTCTCCACCAAAGACACTTGATTCTCACCGTGTTCGTCGCAATTTCAACCTCGATGATTTTTTTACGGACCAACTTCCCTTTCTTCTTTTCCTTATTTCGTACCCTTACTACTCCATAGATTCCGGGTCAGAAGATGAATCCTCAAGCGACTCGGACGCCTTTGACAACACCGGGATCGACATTGACGATCCCATGCGTGACTACCTCCTCAAGAAACGCCGTAAAAAGAACAAGAAACCCAAAAAGAAATCCGAAAAGGATCAGGATAACGGTGACGGATCTAAAGAATCCAAGGCTGAACGCAAAGCTCGCCGAGAACTCAAACGTGCAGCCAAAAAGGCTAAGAAGGAAAAGAAAGCCGCCGCCACGACTGAAGACCAGGATCAGAACAAGGACAAGGACAAGGACAAAGAGAAGAGCAAAGGTCAACTCATCCGGGAATCGGACTCGAGCAAGATAGATCTAGACATGCGCGATTCCAAAAGCAACAGTACAAACAATGCGGACGAAATTATGAAGTCGCCAGAACCTCACTCGGAAACAAAGACTCAAAAAGACACAACTTCTGCTCAGCCCTCAACATCACCTCCAGTATTACCGTCATCCTCATCCCATAAATCGAGATCTCGTTCTCGTTCCCCAGTCTCGACATCTCGTTCTTACCGCCCTCATCACCGCCGCGACTCCCACTCTCGATCCAGGTCCAGATCACCGGACCGATACCGCTCATCCTCATACCGCGACGACAGAGACAGGAAGAGAGACTCGAGGGAACGGAGGAGAGATGACAGCCGAGACAGGGATAGGAGCAGGAACATGGACAGGGATCGTGACAGACGTCGCAGCAGCAGTAGGGAACGGCATTACGGATCCTCTCGTCGACGACGGAGTCCTTCGCCCTACTCGTCTCGACGACGCAGTTCTTCGCCCTATTCACGTCGCAGGAGTCGTAGTCGCAGTCAGAGTCCACGGCGATCATGATCTATCTTGCAGCTCTTGATACGTTTATTCCAAGATTACTGCTATGCACAAGAATAAACATAATAATACCACCACCTACCATCAATCAAAAAAAAAAAAAAAAAAAAAAAAAAAAAAAAAAAAAAAAGTCATTGGGAAAAAACAAGACGATTTATTTTAGGAAAAAAAATGCCACGCTAATAGTACAAGTTCAACAAATTTTTGGGATATTCACATGCTCCTCCTCCTCCTCCTTCTACTTCTGCCCCTACTTGTCCTCATCGGCTATGCCCATACCGGTGCTAGTGCTGGTGCTGGTCCATTGCATGGTACTCCACCAATGGTGCACCACCACCATTCGAATGCTCAACCGGATTGCCCGCGGAAGACGCCCTTCTCAGTCTGCCCCTTCCTACAGGACTCACACCCCGACTCCTCGACTCCCTAAACGGCGTCGATCTCGGGAAGTTTGGCTGCGTGGCCGACCATGGCCCGGACGACGACAATGACCTCTGCTGCTGCAACTGTTCCCTCGACAATGGGCTCGCAGTGTTCGCCCTACGTAGTGGAGTTCCTCCGGCCCCCGTTGCAGTCCAGAGCTCCCCCACACGATCCTGCGCCTCTCCGAATCCATCCTCCCTCGCGACCTCATACGATTGACGTCTGCTACCCAGCGCCGAGGCTCGATCACTTTGATTCTTGGATCGACCACGACGACTCGACATACTCGGCGTATGGCGACTCGAGTTTCTCGACACGATACTCGCTGCAATCGAAAGGCGCCTCTGGATCTTCGATCCCGTCACTCCCTCGGCCTCTGCTCCTTGCTTTCCGAGCTCGACCTCCCATTCCTTCCACCGCTGCACCGCCTCGGGGTCCTTCTCCAATTCCTGGTACAGATCCACATCCGACGGGAACATCTGGGCCTTCAGGATCTTGGCCATGATATTCGGCATAATCGCAATCATAAACGCAACAATGATCGTCAGCCAGAACGGCAGGTGACCCGCCAGGGTCTGAAAGACTCCGCGGACATGGTATCCCGCCGTTCGGATCGGGTAAAAGAACGAGTACACGGTATTGTATCCGAACCAGGCCAAGATCGTCAGGAACGAAGTGACATGCGTCATGACCGACCAGTTGTGTGTCTCCAGGTACGCGATCTTGAAGGTCACGACCAACACAATCGTCGTGTACACTCCCAGACCCATCGGGAACAACGCCTCATCATCGGGCTCGACCCCAAACTTGCCAATCGCGCCCGCAATCCACAGCGGCACCATCAACGCCGCAATCGCCTGATACACCGCTGCCGCCATCCAGGTCGAGTACGTCATCAACGAGAACCCACTGTTCCGCTGTCCGAACGTATACAGCTCCGGGACCAGCAACAGCGTCGACGCCTTCAGATCCTGCTCAAACATTCCAACCACCATCACCGGTAACGACGAGAACAGCGTGTTGTAGAACGAAAGCGTCCATTGCTCATACAACGACGTGCCCGAGAATCCTGTAAAGATCTGGAACAGTCCCTGTGTCAGGTAGAAGGTCGCGCACTTGTAAAATGTTCCCAGCACAAACTTTGACACTCGGACATACGACCACCGCCCGTGGACAAACAGAAGCCGCTCCAGGAACCGGAACTGTGCGATCGAATAATCACTCGACCGAGCCGCTTGCAGACCCTCCTTGCCTGTGATACCGATTCCGACGTTGGCCTCCTGGATCATCGCAATATCGTTCGCTCCATCGCCGATCGCGAGCGTCACCGCGTGTTTGCATCGAGCCCGGACCGTCTTGACCACGATTGCCTTCTGCGCAGGACTGACTCTGCAGCAGATCACTGAATCCGCTCGGATGCCCAGCTCCACAAAGAGTGCCATCAACTCTGTCGACTGCTCTACAATTCCCAGAGTCGCTCCGTCGATCACTACCACCACATGGCGGGACTTGCCCTTGTTCACATCCTTCATCGCCTTGTTCAGCGCCCTGTGAGCCTGCGCCTGAGTCGGGACGTCCAGGATGATGGTCGAAGAGTAATCCTTGATCAAACGGCACGAGTATCCGATGTTGATGGCGGTCTCGCGCTTGTCCCCTGTCAACATCCACAGTCGAATACCAGCCCTCCGCAGCTTATCAATCGTCTCCGGCACGCCCACCTGCAACTTGTCCTCAATAGCGGTTGCACCGGTCATATCCAGATTCTGCTCCAACAACTCTGCTACCTGCTCCAGTTTCTCCTGTCGACCTTCGATAGCACTCTGAGCGGCGGCGTACTGCTTTGACCAATCGCTATACTCCTCCTTGGACAGGAATCGGTGTCCGTAAAGCAAAGTCCTCAATCCTGTGGTCGCATACTCTTGAATATGATCCATCGTCTGTTGATACTCCCACATCTCTGACTGTGTCCATCCTGGGGTCTGACCGAAAAAGTAGGCGCCCGTATCGTCCTCCTCGGCCAAAGATGGGTCGTTACCATCCGCAACCATACCAAATTCATCCTTCATCGAATCCATGGTATCCTGACGATCATAGCCCTTTCGCATAGCCCCACCGCCAACACCGATGCCCGTGCCCGAGGTCGAGGACCTGTCCAGGGCATACTTGCGACTCTTTCCCGATTTCGAGTATTCCAAGCTCTCCAAAGGATCGGCACCGTTATATCCATGAACCGAATCCGGCGTGAACGGCATGGGCGATTCCAGGGCTTGGAAATCATTGAATCCCGTCTGAGGATCCCGCACGCGCTCCAAAATGATTGAATCCGCCCCCTTTGTGAACAAACAGATCTGTCCATCCGGCATCCGGTAGATGACCGACATACGCTTCCGCTTACTCGAGAACTCGATGACGTTGAGGATTTCATAAAACTCCTCCTTTGTCGCCTCATTCGGGGACTCTCGCAGGCTGCACACACGGATTCCGCCACGGCTGCGGTCCACAAAGACGTAGCCAAGCTCCTTTGCACCAGCGACCAAAGCGTTCTCGTCCGGACTGGCTGCCTGGTACTTGAAACTCATCGGATCGGACACATCCATCAGCTCTGGGACGGCATCGTGACAAAGAGCCATTGCCAACAAGAAGAACCGAATCCTGCCCGTCATGGGGTGGCGTGCTCCTGACTCTAAGAAGGGAATCAATTGGGACGTGGGCGTGCAGGGTACGATGGTCTCTGCGTAGGATGGTTTGTTGCCTACGTGAACGCTCTCTGGATAAGTACCCGAATATGATCCTGCCCCCATCTCCGAGACTTCCTTCCCACCGAGACTCTGGTAACCTATGCTGGACCTGCGGCTGTGCCGATGCGAGGACCGCTTCAGTTTGCTGACCACCTTCCCAGCCTTGTTCTTGTACTTGTTGCGCCTACGAGTGGCTTCCCCCTCCGGTGTGGGGTCAGATGAGAGCCCATCCTGGTTCTCCTGCGCCAACAACGCTGCTGCCTTGATAGTTTCCGGATCCAGGTCATGGTTGAAGGAATGTCCTGCCACGCAGAATTTGCGAAAGATCATGATGTTCTCCGTGAGCGTTCCTGTCTTGTCCGAGAATAGATAGCTGACCTGGCCCAATTCCTCGTTAATGACTGATGTCCTGGCCTCTGCGGGGGTGTCCGAGATCGGATCATACATCTCAATGTCGTGGTGGATAAAGTACGCCTGCAGCAACTTGACCAATTCCATCGTGACATAGAGCGAGATTGGAATCATGGTGTTGAAGAGGACGATGTATCCAAAGAGGACCGAAGCAGTATCGCTGTGGAAGGGACCCTTGCCTGACAGGTACCAGGCCATGCTTCCGGGCTTGGTGTTCTTGCTGTTCCAGACCGCGCTGAGGACTGTGCAGAGTGCGGACAAAAAGATGACGATGCTGAAGATGACGATGATGACCTTGTTGATCAGGCGCTGCATGCTAGGGGCCTTTGTCCGCACGTTCTTTGAGCCGTTCTGACGGATCTTTGTGTCCTCGCCCGAGAAGACGACGAGGCCGTAGACGTAAGGGGTGTTACGGAGGATGGTGCCGCGGAGGAGGACCTGGTTGATGCTGAGCGGGTATCGCGGCAGGTTCTTGCCCCGCCCAAGTTCCATGTAGCCCTCAAAGTTGTACAGGTCCTGGTTGGGCTGTTCCGTATGGGCGCAACCTGGGTTCGAGAGAACGTAATTCCGTCCAAACCCAAAAAAAAAAAAAGAAGAAAAAAACCGACGATGATGATGATGATTAGTTATCGTGCATATGCGAAATTAGGATTCATTCGATTAGCGCCATTTTTTTTTTTTTTTTTTTTTATCTCCTCCTCATCTTCCGGGTATGCTTTCCTGCCCTGCCCCTGCGGAACCTGACGCCTTTTCCGCCAGTTGATCCCGTCCCTCGTTCGGATGGTCGGGTAATAGAATACGCATATGCACGCACGAACAATACACAAACACACAGACACAAACAACAACGCCATATGCTGCCCCCTGTCGACAAGCCTGCTCTTTTTTTGTGTGCTCTGTGCAAGTCAACAACCCACACACGACCATGACCAAAAACAGAGCCAAATACCCAACCATGACATAACCAACCCCGCCAAGGAGAAACATCCGCTTTAACTTTATCCCCCCCTCCAGTACCGGGCAAAAGGACAAAAAGACAACAACAAAAGAAAAAAAAAGGAAACCATGGAAGGAATCATTGTCATCATAATGGATCACCAGAGTGCAGTGCAGCAACGCTGTGTAGTGTAGTGTAGTGTTGTAGTATAGGGGAATAATCTTTCCCCCTCCCCCCTCCCCCCTTCCCCGGGTGACAAAATGACGCGCCTCCAACATTGCAAAAAGACGCAGAAGCGAGAGCGTACCTGTGAAAGATGCGAGATCCTCGGGAGTTTGGATGTTGTCATTCGTGACCTTGAGCGCCTGTCGTTGCTTGAGATTCGTCTCGCCATCGAGCGCGGCAGTCTCGACATAGCACCCGCCCTCTGGTCCTCCAGAGTGCAGCAGAACCAAATCTGCAGGCACCCAGTCATTCTGATCCACCCTTACAATATCTCCCACGGCCAGGTCCTTCCACTTGATTTGCTGAAAGATTGGAAGATTTGCTGCAGGTGAATGCTGCGTCGTTGCTGGTGTCAATGGTATCGTGATCGAGACATCTGCAGACGACGATTCAACCTCCACGGCTGCTGTAGTTGCCAAAGGCGCGTGATGAGGGAAATCGGCCGAAGAGATCGAGTTGGTTGCGTTACGATAGCTCCGAAAGACGTTTGCCTTCTGGTTATTCTCTCCACTGTCCTGTCGATGTCTCCGGTAATCATCATAGCCCTCATGAGCGATTGCGATCGACAAGAAGACCACCAACGGAACCAAGGTTGTGTACTGGCCTGTTGGGGACCAGCTCGGCACCATCTGCAAGGAAGCGACGAACAAGAAGTAGACGTTTGCGATCTTTGAGAATTGCGCATAAAGCTGCTTTGGCAAGAAATCCCACAGGGTGTAGCGAGCGGTTGTTACTGCATTGGAGACATAGGGATAGCCGGTTTCTGGCTGGATGAGAGGGGTGGTTCGGGAGGGGTTGATGGGGATGACTCGGTCGGACTTTTGGGGGACGACGCCTCTGCGACCTCTGACCTTGTTGAGGACAGTGGTCCACCAGCTCTGGGGATGGATTGGTTTCGAGACATCGGAGGATTCAGAATCCCTGCGGGATTGTTCTTTGAAGGAGTGTGAATGGATAGGAGCTGGTGGTGCAGTTGTTGCTGTGGATGGATCGTGGACTGAGCCGAGTTCCATGACAGAGGACTTGGTGCCGACGGGAGTGGGTTCTGGCTTCTCGATCAACAGGTTCTTGTTGCTGTTGCTGTTGCTGTTGCTGTTGCTGTTGCTGTTGCTGTTGCTGTTGCTGTTGGCTGCGGAGGAGTCATTGAAGGGGTTGTTCCTTGAGGTGGAGGACGAAGGGGAGGTGATGATCAAGGGCTGCTGTCCTTGCAGGGTAGCTCTCCGTCGACGGGAGTGCAGGGAGGGTATGCTGGAGGAGGAGGAGGATGTAGCATTGTTGGTGGGCGAAAGAGGGGCATCGGCTGATGGGGAAGTGAGCAGGTGCAGCGGTAGTTGCTGGTGTTGCGGTGGTATTGACGACGGAGGAGTTGAAGAGGATGAGGGCTGACTGGCGGGAGCCATGGTCTTTGATGAATCCGATATCGGATGCAGCTGCGAAAGTGAAGGTGTGCAGACGAACGAGAGAGTGAGTGAGTGGGTGAGTGAGTGGGTGAATGAGTGAGTGAGTGAATGAATGAATGAGTGAGTGAGTGAGTGACGATATAATTAGACGATGTATGTGGCACGTAGAAGAAGGGGGAGGAGGAGGAGGAGGAGGAGGAGAGGAGGAGGGGTGAGGGAAGTGAGTGACAAGCAACGGGAACAGGCGAAAGGACTGTTGTTGCGGTCGAGGCGGGGAGGGGGAGGGGGACGAAGGGAACCAGGTCAGGAACGTGTGTTCTGGGCGGTGGGCGCAAGTGAGCAGGGGCATATGTATATATATATATATACCTTTTTCAGTGGGTGCACGCGATGAGAGTGGGCGGACGGGGGTGAATGGAGGGAGGGGTGCTGATGGGAGGGAGTAAGGAGGAGTGGGAGTGGGAGTGCGGGCGGGAGTGGGAGTGGATGTGGATGTGGGGGGAAGTAAAGAGTGCGAGAGTGGGAGAGGAGGGGAGAACGACTGCTCAGAGCAGAGGAGAGAGTGAGAAGTGTAAAAGAACGAAAGAGTGGAAAAAGAAGAAAGAAGCGAAAGAGGAAGAAAGCGAGCGCAGCGAAAGAAAGCGAATGCAGCCACTTAAAAAGCCAAAGCTCCGTTCGTCCCCCCCCCCCCCCTTTTCACTATCGGATTTCCTAGTCCTTGTCGTCGGCGGAGCAAAAGCACATATGCAGCCCAGCCCATACAGGGCTGGCGTTCTTCCTTGCCGGCCCTGTCGATGTCAGCCCTGCTGTCAACTGACAACACCACTTGGCCATGCCATGCCTGTAGTCAGCCAGTCTATCAGATTGTCGGTTTGTCACCTCCTTTTGTTGCCACGGGGGACGGCAGGGTAATAAATAGGGCGGCAATGGTCCGTCCCTGAGGAACCCCTCCCTAGTCTCACCCGTTTCACTCTCCGGAAAACCACGAAGCAGCGATGCACTAGTCCACACGCTAGGCTGGCACCAAGAACGTGTGCGTGGGCGGATCAGACCACCGAATCCAAAATGCAGACGAACAGGTGGTCCCTCTACACCGACCACCGTTTCAATGGTCCGCTCTAGTCCCCCTGCCCCTCCCCCGACACTCCACTCTCTCTCTCTCTCTCTCTCTCTCTCTGTTTCCAAGGCAATGGTGCAACATCTTGAAGACTTGAGTATGTCCGCCGTATTAGCCATATCTCGCTCCCTCTCCATCCCCCATGCGCTCTTTTGTTTTGTTCATTCGGTATGACGATGACGATGGTAAATCAACTTTTGCACCTTGCACCTTCGTCCTCAGCAACCCACAAATGAACCAATTGATAGGTGTGCAAACGGTAACTCTTCTACCTCCCCCTCCCCCCATTCATTTGTGTCCATACCTATATCCATCACCATCACCATCTTCTCTTCCTTCTCCTCACTGCGTTTGCATTGAGGTGCTTTGCCCTGCTTTACTGTGCCTCTCCATTGGCCCTTTTTGTTCTCCGTCCGTCCCCATGAACCTGTCCGTCTCCCATTTTTGGTTCGCACAGAGCACCCAATTTCCAGCTGGGCTGTTTTTTCTTTTTATGGTCACGCCCGCGCAACCCGCCCAATATTGCAATGCGATATTTCTTTTGTCCCGAATGTATACCCGCGACATCAAAAAAATAAAATAAAAAATTACGCCCATCCATCCACCCAACTATGCGGATCCTTCGCTTTGTCCGGCGTGTCTCTGACTCCTCCCCATTCTATCCATCACCACCATCCGCCCTGATCAAAAGTCTTGGTACATGTATATATATCACACCGCGAAAATTTAGTCCGCAAGGGGAACCACAACGATCCAAGATTCCATAACTCGGCTGACCGCTGCTTCCCTGTGCAAGCCTATTACAATTAGGTCGACTCAGATGAAGAGCCCTTTGTCATTTCAAAAATGTACCTTCTAATAAATTGACCTTATTATGCACCATATGAACATCGCTAGTACCTTTTCCTCCCCTTTTCTCCTACTCTACATAGGCATTTTCACAACACCCTGCATAGAAAACGCGTCTTTGCGAAGGAAGGGGCTGAGACCCACATATTAAATAGCGGTATGTGCGGTGGTATTGTGGGCTAGAGCATCGAATCTTTGGATCGACGGACAACTCAGGTCAGGACACTGATAACTGGTTGTCGAATGAGACAGAGATGAGCACCAAACGACCAGCAGCAGCAGCAGCAGCAGCAGCAATAACAACAGCAACAACAATAGTAACAAAAACTGCGCTCGTTCTACAGCCCAGAAACGGTATAGGACTTGATCTGCAAAAACCCCGCGTAGGGCTTTGGCATTTGCACAAGACTTGATCCTCCGTGTGGCTGTTGGATGGGGCGGTAACCTTTTTCTTTCTTTCTTTCTTTCTTTCTTTTTGCTACGGAGCCAATTGTCCCCCTCCCTAGCACGCGCCTACACCCACCCGATGTCCTATTGAGCCTCAGACTGTCACTCGTAAACACTCGCCTTAATTTTCCAAACAGTGCGTGTAACCATCCAATAACCAGATCATCGTTTCTCTCCACCAAACGCGCGGCTATAGCCAGAGCTGTCTTGCATAAACTCCCCTCCCCTCCCCCTCTGAGGACGAGAAAAACAACAACAACAACAGCCATTACGCCAGCCAAATCCTCCCTGCCAAGAATTCATCATCATCATGCTCAAATACTCCCCCAAGGAGGCAATTCGAGAAATAAAGGACGCCTGCAACTGCAAAAGCCATCTAGCATAATAGAATGACGGAGCGCCAAGGAAAGGAAAGGAAAGGAAAGGAAAGGAAAGGAAAGGAAAGGAGGGAGGGAGGGAGAGCTGGTGGGTAGAAGGGTTTTCGACGAGGCGCAAGGTGAAGCTGAAAAGAGGGGTGGGGTTCTTGTGCTATAGATAAGATCGGGAACGTGCGTGGTTGATCCAGGTTCCACAAATCAATAAAGTTTCCGCTAATGTCCACCTGCCGTTGTTTTTCCGTCTTTGAAAACTTTTGGAATGCGTCGCGTGCGTAGTCGCGTTTTAACCGCGTTCATCGCGTAGTCGTATTCTTTTTCTTTTTCTTTTCTTTTCCTGTCTTTTTTTTTATCATCTTCTCTTTTTTTTTCTTCATCTTGAAAACTTCACGCGTATAAAATGGTTGTTCAAATTTGAAAAAGCAAAGAAAAAAAAAAACTAAAAAGGAGTGTTACTCTCAACTCGGTAGAGATATCGCGTCTCCTGGCCTTTGTTGCCCCCCCAGCAGCCTCGGTAGCGCCATGGTCACCTCCAGAAAAAAGAATAAAAAAAAAAAAAAAAAAAAAAAAAAAAAAAAAAAAGATGAAGGAGGGCTGAGGAGCTGAGGAATCGGAAAAAAGACCCTCGTTTATCTCATAGACAGGTGTTTTGCACGACCTACCTATCGCGCCAGGGCTTTTGTGCAAGGACCCAACCTTGCTCGATCGTCTTCTATAGCGGGTGTGACCCACCCTGGTATTGTAATATTGTGGTATTGTATCTAGGGAAAATGTCTGATAAGTCTTTGTGCCTAGAGACCTGGCGTCCAGAACGCAGAACTCTTTTTTTTTTTTTTTTTTTTTTTTTCCACAGACATGAAAAGACCACATTTTGATGGGCGTCTGATGAAACAAATCGGAAAAAAAGAAGCCCGATCGATATCCCTGGCTTGCAGCGGGGGAGGCACAGTCTTTCAGGTCCCAACAGGGCACTGTATAGTATACACCGGCACCCCTGGCACGGAAATAATGTCATTTCACTTTAGAAACTCAGCCGTTCTGAATGAGATGAGCCAGATCAAAAAGAATTTCCCTCACCTAGGTCCAGTCCAACTTTCGAGAAAATGGCTGGATTAATTATCGTTGGCCAAGTTTAGACAGTTTTTTTTTTTTTTGTTTTTTTGTCACACCACCACAGCAACGAATAGAGTGGTACGCATGCATTCTTTTTTAATCCGAAACCCACTCCTTGTAAGGCTCGTAGTCAATGCTCGTTATTTCGACATATTCATATATGTTTTTCCATGTTGTAATAATTGTAATATACGGAAGATTTGGGAATGTCTCATGGCGCATAGACCGTGAAGTCTTACTGCTCCAGACGAAGCGTGCACCGCAAGAGATGATGGCTTGTGGATGAACCCAGGATCAGATCATTGCTCCAGAACGCGGCAACCGTTGAAGCTGTTGCAAAAAGGCAAAGCAAAAAAGAACACGTCCGTTAGATAACACGTCATTAATTCACCGACTTGAAAGTAGAGCAGATGGACCAACCCCCTTCAAAGCACTCACCGGAAATATCCTCTCCGTTGCTGTAGAACAGATCCTTGACCTCCCACTTCAGTGGAGGGATCTCGGGCTTTGAGAAGAAGTAAAGATCCGGCTGCGTGCTCTCCTGACTGATGTAGTTCTCTGGCGACAGCTTCTCCAGCTTGACAACATGAGAGGGTGCCTGGGGTTCGTAGCCCAGCTTATGTCGGAGGTAGGTCGAGTACGAGGGGTGGCTGGCAACATAGATATCGCCCGTATGTTTGTCGACAGATAGATTGTCGACGTGGTTACCAACCCAGATATCGATATCGTGGACCAATTCGCCTTGCTTGATATCCTCCGTCACGTTGTAGACATGTACAACCTTGTCCAGGAACGAGGACACGTACAACTGCGTTGCATCAGGAGAAATGGCAATACCTACAAGAAAATGAAGACCCTTAGTGGAATTTCAAGAGCCGCCAGGTGTGCGCACGTTTGGTAGTTGCATGATAGCCGTACCATAGGGGTTCGATAGAGCCTCAAGGACCTTGCGAGAATCCTCGCCATTGTAGTACACCACGGTTCCCAGCGAAAGACCTGCGACGTCTTCGGCAACTCGGCCATACTTGGTGTCCATACCCTATTGGAACCATCCAATTCAGCGTCAATCAATCAATTCAGAGCCAGTATCTACTGTACTTTTAGTCCATATCGCGCCTCAGACTTCTTACATGATGGTTGGTCAGATAGAAACGTTCCTTATCGATTGCAACAATATCCTTGGGAGTCACGAACAGGCTGCTCTGAACGCTCTTGACGTGCGTCAGGGCATTGTCCTTTGGAGCATAATCAAAGATCTCGACAATGTCGCCCTTATGAGAATGGTTGATCACAAACACACGGCTGGTCCAGGTTTTGGTGTCGGGGTTTTGGAAGCGGTAGATCGACATGCCCGCAGGATGAAAATCATCGGATGTGTATGCTCGAAGCTGGACCTCTTTTGGCGTTCCGTTCTTTTGGTTCAATGGCAACATGTAAATGCCTCCGTTCTGAGCAGTCTTTTTGCTGGGTCGGTGGAAGAAGCTGCTTTCCTTCACCCAAGATCGATCGTCCGAAGAGACGAACGCCAGCTGCTCCTGATCGCTGATCTCGATATCCGCAGGTCCGGGGATGTCTAGACCAGAGCGACAAAAATACGTGTTAGATCCAGCAATTTTTTTTAAAAAAAAAAAAGCCTAAACACGCGCGACATTAGCCTGCATTCGATGACGTACTGGCAATCTGGTAGCAATTGCCTTGAAGCCCAATAGTCTGCTCAATGGCGATCTCACGGCTTGGGAAGATGAACTTGTCATACACCGACTTGAGAAGCACACCGAGAGAGGCGATCAGGAGCGATAAGATAAAGTTCCGGAGTTGGTTAGATTGCTGGGCCTGTGGACGCTGACGAGGACGGGCCTGAGCAGCAGCAGCCTTCTTATTCTTGTCGTCCTCTGTATCCTTTGATGCGGGCGGGGCGCCCTTCTTCGCAGAAGTAGATACAGAAGAGGAGATTGAAGTAGCGGTGGTGGTGGCGACGGGCGAGACATCCGAGTCGTCGTCTGCGTCCTCGACAGTTGTCCTCCTGTTCCTGAGCGCGCCCGTTGCTGGTACCGTTGCTGGTGCTGGTGCTGGTACTAGTACTGGTGCGTCCTCTTTGTCTGCCATGGCTCGGTTGGGTGAGAAGGGATGAGAAGAGAAGGGATGAAGAACAGAGAGAGAGAGAGAGAGAGAGAGAGAGATGAGATTTGGCGAACGATCAACAGGGAAGTTGGTCTGGGAACGTTGCAGGAGTGTGCCCAATTGGCTCCTTGCAGCCCACACGTGCGGCCGATCAGCATCCCTTATTTGCACACTGCCAAACCCTAATCCATCCCAGAGTGGTGGGTGCAAAAGAAACGCGCAGATCCCATCAGTCCAAAAATCAACTGTGGTCTACGGACGCGTCGACTATTTCTCCTCCAGCCTGTTCTCCTTCTTTTTCTTCTTTTTCCTTCTTTACCGGGTGTCTCCCACGAGAGTCGCCCACGCACTCACGCATTTCATTTAGTGTCAACCCCACAGCCCTGCAGAAATACCAGTTTGCCCTGAATTTTGGGGTTTCGGGCGTAACCTGTTTGGCGGCTAAAAGCCCTCTGGCCAAATTTTACTTACGCGGAGCTAACTGATCCTTTCCCCCCCCCCCCCCATCTCGAAACTGGATTGTTGTGTGCGCTTTATGGAAGGCATTTCTTCTGGAGAAATAAACACACACGTGCGGAAGCGCAGATATCACGAGCGGAATTCTCGTTATTGCACAGGACCAGCAACACTGATAATATCGGGTGCGCTCAAATTGTATATTGTATACAATCACAGGTACTGGGTACTTGCGCGAAAGAGGTATTGTAGGGAGGTTTGGCAACCAAACGCTGGCCACAAATGGGTCCAAGCATACGGTCACACGACAAGTTAAACCGCAACAAACTACTTGCATTCATTTTCATGCATGTACCCTGGAACAAGACAAAAGATCATCGACTGTCCCAACACCAAAGCGATCTAAGGATGGAAGTGCGCAGTTTATTTGGTTTGGAGCACAGTAAGACCCCCCCCCCCACCAGGGTTCTGATGCGCTTGTTGCTCCTTTTGCTGCTCCTCCTCTGCTTCCCGGGTGAATCGAGTTGCGCCCAAAAAAAAAAAAAAAAAAAAAAAAAAAGGAGTATCGGCAGTTGCATCGCAGAGCATTGGCACCTTTTTAACCCAATGACACATTTTACTCAATTTCTATCCTCAGAAGCCGCTGCGTAGTAAATAGCCATCTGCTTCCAATTGATTGCAATTGCATGGTTGTTGTTAATCTTTAAAACAAGCGTCTGGAACGCATAGTCCACGGATATGTTGTCGCAAAGCATAAAGCCAAAAGTCGTGAGCAAGGAAGGGGCTATGATCGGACGCGTCAACCTGTCGATCTGCACAGTAATGATATTAAAGGAGGAGGATGGGAGTAGGGTACGTGGACGAAATTCAAAATGCCAACAAATAAAAGTCGACGCAGGCACAAACCTGTTGAGTGTTCGAGTCGAATGGATCAAGGTTAGTCAGGTTTATTTTTTGTTAAACCTTTTTTCAACTTTCTTGGCTGTTGCTATAAAGTGAGTGTGCTACACAGCAACGCGTGTAGTTACTTGCGTGCATTGAGTTGGGACAAAGACGACAGACCATCGTATGCACTTCTTTGTCAGCGAAAAGAAGAGGCATTTAGTAAGCAGGCCATAGGCGACAAAGGGCGGAAGGAGAAAAGGCGGGGTACCCTATTTTTTAGGCCCAAGGAGCGGAGGATGAGGAAGGATACTCTCCATTCTATTGGTCCTCTGCCTGGAAAGTGAAGAGAGATGGGTCTGCGCAGCTGCAGAAGCAGACGGGGAGGCGGAGAACACATGGCGCGCGTGCTCATTCTTGGTGTTTTTTTAATAGCAAACTCCACAGTGGACCACGTAGGCAGAAGCAGAGGCAGAGGCAGAAATAGAAGCAGAGGAGGAGGGGGGAGTGGGAGTAGGATATAAGCCGAAGGGGCGGCATCTTCCCTACCCTATGCCGGATAGACAGGGCCGAGGACGGAGCAGAGAGGGGGGGCCGAGGCAATTGTGAAGAAGCAAAAAATTGCCCATTTTGGCGAGGTGGGGAGTTCCTCCTTTTGAGCCTGTCTCTGAGCATGCGCAATTTGCGGCTGCAGCAGGTGTCAACTGCCAATTGCTGGGCATAGCACACGAGTATATAGAGTGGGTGCGCAACAACCCTCAATCTCCACCGGACCCTCTTCTTTCTTTCTCTCTCTCTCTCTCCCTCTCTCGCTCTCTCTCTCTCTTCCTTTTCTTCACTGCAAACACACCCCTCCAGCCATTCCCTCTCCTTCCTCCTTCCCTCACTCATCAGCATCAATCCCTGCAACGACACAACAACCGGGCCCCGCCTTTATTTCCCTCTCCTCCCTGGTGCTCCATTGACTCCAGTCGACCTCAGACTATCAGGCTATTATCTGTTGAGCGGTATGTTCAACGAGGGGGACAAAAAATCAGAGGGCGAGGGACGCCACCAAACAAGAAACAAGACCATGTCAGCACAATCCTGATGTGCTCTTACGCCCCCACCCAATTACGCTTCTTTGCGGCAACTCAGTAGTCCGACGGAGAAAAAAAAGCCTGTTTCCTCGGCACTCAGAGTGGCCGAGCTCGCTCGATGGGGGATGACTAAAGTTGCTTGGGTCGGGGGTCCCTTTTTTTTTTTTCTTCTCATCGTCGTTGGTCTTGACTGGACGCTAAAAAAATATATACCGCAGATACCTTGACGCTTTTTTAGGACAGGTTCTGGTGGCAGGTGGACAGCTCCCGCTCGCTCTTTCCCAACAAGCACCTTCTCCTCTCTTTTTTTTATTTTGTTATTTTATTATAAGACACTTTTCTTTGGCTGCAGATCACACATTCCGCACACCTCCCCTTTCTTTCTTCCTTTCTTTCTTTCTCTTTCTCTCTCTCTCTCTTTCTTCACTCTTCCGTGCGTACGCCCCTCTCCTCCCCACCCTCCATTTGATACCTGGATCGACATCAATTGCTCTTGTCAGTCGTCTTCGTCCCTTCCTTCGCTACCCCCTAATTCGACAATTTATCACCTTGGAACACACAGCTGCGCTTGCTTCGCAAAGGTGTCTGTTCGGTTCATTCGTCATCCCGCTGTCCTTCTTTCCCCTTCCTGGCTCTTCATTTTTCGGGCCGTTTGTATTACCATTATCTAACGTTGTGCCGTATTCATTTCTTTTTATTTTATAAAAAAAAAAAAAAAAAAAAAAAAAAAAAAAAGAGTTCAAACGGAACGAATACGCACGTACACAACCAGCAATCCTTCACTTTTCTCCGCTCACATTCAACTCGACTTATCCTGTAACAACAACAACAACTCCTTAACGACTACAGTAACGTTTCGCCGCAACACCATCAAGTAAAAAAGCAAGCAGGTCGCTATGGCTACGCAGGAACAGCTCGATGCTAAGCGTCGACGGGTGTCCAGGGCATGGTAAGGAGGAATCCCAAAAAAAAAAGAAAAAAAAAAAAAAAGAGACTTTCCAACTTGTATGGTTTACTGGCCCGGATAAATCGGACAAATGAAGTTGCGATAATCCCTGCTGGGAGAGTGTCTTCCCCCCTACATCCCCATTTAAGAACGAAGCCAACACACTTTTAGCAACAACAACAACAAACCTGCACATGGACATGGGAAGGTCTTCTTCCCTCTGCGGCACCATAACCCACACTAACCACAAGTTACAAGCGGGACTATGAAGATACATCTGATCTCCAATATCACTCAACGGCTGTTCTGTGTTGACTTGGGCGCCAAAAAGTGACACCCAGCAGCCGATAGAGCTTCATTCCACACAGCTCACGTAGACTATCTGGACCATTAAACCAGAGATCGACCATTGGTTCTAATCATCGTCTGGCTCTTTTTTTTTTCTTCTATGTTGGCGGTGATTATCTAGTGACACTTGTCGGAGGAAGAAAGTTCGATGCGATGGTCTTCAGCCTTCGTGTACCAACTGCACCACGTTTGGTTTCCAATGCACGTAAGTCTCATAATCTTTTTCCTTCAGTCTATTCCACCGCAATGCGACCCTGTTCTCACTTTTCGTAACTAATAAATCCCCAATAGGTTCAATGACTCTGCCAAAAAGAGAGGACCTCCTAAAGGCTACATCGAAGCACTGGAGAACAGATTACATCGGATGGAGAATCTCCTCGGAGGACTAGTCCAAAGTGGTGAACGCTCCAAGCTGGATCTCGAGAGCTGGAGAGAGGAGCATGATGACGACCTCGAATCCTTGGACTCTGTCTGGCCAAACTCCCCAGATACTCCTCTCCTGAACACGCCCCATCTCTCCTCCGCCAATGGTCGTCCTCACCACCACCGTCGTGAGGACTCTTTCTCTACCGGCATCTCGAGAGCCTCGACCTTCAACAGCCAGCTCTCGGATGAGGATGAAGACGAGGTCCTACCCTTTGACCTGGAGGCCAGATTGAAAATCAATGCCATCTCGGATAATCTCTCGACACTCTCGCTCGATACTGGAGGATTCATTCGCTATCTGGGCAACAGTTCTGGAATCGACATGCTCCAGAAGGATCTACTTAAGAACAGTTATCTGATGACACCGATGCGGATGAAGGAACATCGGGATTGGCTGTTACAGAAGGAGGGCGTTATTTCACAAATGGAGTCCGAAATGCCCATGCCCCCGAGGGATCTGGCAGAGCACCTGATTGACTGCTATTTTACCTACGTGCATCCCAACATGCCCGTCCTTCACAAACCGACCTTCATGCGCCAGTATCGGAATCCGGATCCATCAAAGAGACCCGCAGTCGTGTTATTGAATGCTATGTATGCAATCGCCTCCCGCTTCTCGAGCCATCCAGAGATCACAGGTGCAGGAAGCGATCCCGAAGGGTTCGGAGACGAATATTTTGATCGGGCAAAGCGACTGATTGATTATGAGTACGAGTTACCTCGTCAGTCCTCGATTCAAGCATTACTGCTTATGGTCACTTATCGGTTCATGAGCGCAAAATCCGGTGGTCGAGTTTGGGTTTTGCTGGGAATGGCCACTCGAATGGCGCAGGATTTGGGAATGCACCGAAACTCTGCCCGCTGGCATTTGCCCCCACTGGAAACGGAGATCCGCAAGCGTCTTTGGTGGGCTATCTATATCATGGACCGATGGGTGAGCGCCGGCATGGGACGCCCTTTGGCAATTGACGATAACGACTGCGATGTGGATTACCCCTCTGTCGTGGAGCAAGACTGGGCGGATCCTGATGGTAGCGGGGATTCACCTGTGGAGGACAGCGAGAAGTTGAAAGAGGAGTCGTGTTTTGCGCTGAGGTACTTTGTCGAGACCATCAAGCTGGCAACGATTCTGGGCCAGATCCTGCAACGGGTGTATTCTGCACAGACTAGGAATCATGGCCCGGGACAGGTCAGCTCGACGGTGGCAGAACTTGATACGACCCTCACCAAGTGGCTCCTTGCGCTACCTCCGGACCTGAAATACGACCACAAGGCCGATCCGCTTAGCGTGAACAGATGGGTGTCGACCATCCATATTTCATATTGTAAATATTATTCGTCTCATTTTGTCGCTTATGGGGGGGGGGGGGGGGGGGGGGGGAAAGGGGGTTTGGTAACGAGATCTGACACGATTCGCTTATCTTTACATCTATCCTAGACTCGGTATTGATTCTTTTGCATCGTCCGTACATGGTTCCATCGTCGCTCACAAAGACAAAGCTCTCAGAGTCAATGCCGTCGCTCAACATCTGTGTTTCCGCTGCCAATTCCGTGACCCATCTATCGGAGCTGCTCATGGGCGAAGACTGCTTTAAATACGTCTGGTGCTTCACAACATACGACATCTTTCTCTCTTCACTCATTCACCTGACAAACTCAGCCTCGCTCGACCTGCGTCTCCAGACTCAGGCGCGCAAGAACCTGGTCAAGATGATCGCGTACATGAAAAATCTTGGCTGGCGATGGTTCAACGCAGCAAAGTTCGCGAGCGTACTCGAAGACCTCATGTGTGCTCATCTCAACTTCGACAAATACAAATCTGATGGACGTCCAATGGAGATGATAGCGAAGCTAGGCGAGGAGGACTGCACCTATCCGATCGTGCTGAGGGACCAACATCATCCTTCGGGCGGTACACTGTTGTTCTCACCAAAAGCGATTGGTGTCCCGCAGACACCATCTTCGACGACAAGCACACCGTCGTCTTCACCCTCGATGCCTTCGATTCATAATCCGGATCTACAAGAGATCAAGCAGGAGCCCACAGGACTTGATCATGCGCTTCTTCAGAACGGAAATAACAACCAGACCTCTGGCTCGTCGACTTCGAATACGGATGCGACTATGACACAGCCGCAGAGTCATGGATCTACTACCGGTTACCCGACTGCTAAGCCGAAAAAGAGCCGAAAGAATGCCTCGCAGCGCAACTCGCTCCTGTTCCAGCCCACAAACACCAGCTCCTCATCAGGATCAGGATCAGGATCAGGATCAGGATCGGAGCAGCAACAGCCGATGTTTACGTTCGCATCGTTATCGACGCCGGGTATGTTTACGCAGGGACAGGCGTTTATGGACTACGGAACGATGGCGACGCTGCAACAACAGATGACACAGCCACAACAACCTCAGACGCTTTCACAACATATGAAGCAGCAGCAACAGCAACAGCAGCAGCAGCAGCAACAGCAACAGCAACAGCAACAGCAAAAGCAATTTTTTCAGACACAACCCGCACAGCCGTTCTCGGTCACTCCGTTGTTCTCATCCCCACTGGCACTGCAGGAGCGGAGTACTGAACCGAAGGAGCTGCAACAGCAACAACAACAGCAACAACAACAACAACAACAGCAGCAGCAGCCTATGGGAACACCGCAGCAACAGCAGCAACAACAGCAGCAGTTTCTACAGCAGCAACAGCAGTTTTTGCAGCAGCAGTTTATTCAGCAGCATCAGTTGAACATGCGGCTTCAAGAACAGCAGAGGCAGGCTCAGCAGCAACAGTTCCAACAGCAGCAGCTCGATCCGCAATGCGGAAATCATCAGGAAGGTGCCAACAGTAACAACAACATTAACAACAACGCTAATTGTAGCTGCGGGGGGACTCCAGCGACAGGAGCCGGGGGGACACCTACAATGTCTTCACTGAACGGTATACCTTCTAGCAGTAATAGCAACGGTAGTACGGAGGATTATTCGAGTTTGGCGTTGTTCCCGGCACAGGATATGGTGCAACAGGACCCGAATTTGATGGCGGTCCCGAATCCGTTCTTTGGAATCCCTAATACCATCGACTGGGACGAATGGAATCAGTATATCGCTAGCGCTGGTCTTCAGAAGTTCTAGGCAATCGTTCCTTCGTATCACTCTTTTCGTTTGCTTCAAGTCATTTCTTTAAAGTTTTTTTTTTTTTTTTTTTTTTTACCTTGTATAATTACCCAAGCCTATATAGTTTTTCTACGTCCCATACTGTCTTTCAATCCCGAGTATTTATTGTTAAACCTTTTCAGCTATTTACATAGACACACATTCATTCCACGACTCCTGCTTTCCCCCCCCTCCCCCAATCGTGGTACTTCATATCCTAAAATTATAAACCGAAAAAAATTATTGGCCTTCAGCTCTTCCCTTCAAGCGTGCTTGCCGTTGGTTGTGGCGATTTTCTTGTCACACTTGTCTCCAACTTGCTGAACCAGCATCGCCAACAACCCCGTCCACCCGGTCTGATGTGAAGCCCCGAGTCCCTTGCCGGTCTCTGCGTCAAAGTACTCATAAAACAACACCAGGTCCTTGAAATGTGGGTCCTTATCCGCCTTCGTATCCCCACCATTCGCGGGTCGTCTGCCCTGCGCATCGGGTCTCACCAAAGCCAGCAGTCTGATTTCGATCTCCCATGCGACCTCCTCCAAGGTCTTCATCACCCCAGATCCAGTCGGGCATTCGACCTTGAATTCGTTTCCGTAAAAGTAATGGAATCGCTTCAACGCCACCACCAGTAGGTACGTCGTCGGGAACCAGATCGGCCCGCGCCAGTTGGAATTGCCTCCAAACGTGCCCGAATCCGATTCCGCGGGACGATAATCGACTCGGAATTCCTGACCGTCCATCCACATGCTCAGCGGGTGGTCTTTGTGGTATTTCGAGAGGGAGCGGATCCCAAAGGGGCTCAGGAACTCGTTCTCGTCGAGGATGCGTTTGAGGACGGCGCGGAGCATGGTCTGGTCGACCAGAGCCAGGAGGAAGGACCCAGAGGCTTTCGTGTCTTCTTTCTTGAACACTCGGACAGGGCGATGTTTCTCGCGGTAGGCCAGGAGCCAGTCGAGTCGTTTAGTGAAGCCGGGGAAGAGTTTCAGGTACTCTGGGTCGAGCGACAGACACGAAAAGAGCGGGATCACCCCGACTATGCAGAAGATACACGCACGAAATAATAGTAATAATAATAATAATAATAATAATAATAATAATAATAATAATGGAAGAATGATTTACGCGTTATTAGGGTTGCACGCCCCCAGCTAAATATACAACAAACACGCGTTTTAACGTTACACCGCATCGCTATTTTTTTTTTTTTTAAATGCTGCTTACCCAAGCTACGAGTCTTGAGACGCTGCGTATGCCCGCCAGGCCAGGAAATCGAGTCATAGAAAAAGTTGTCGGTCGAGTCCCAAAGTGACTTTTCCTCCCCCTGGGACTGATAGGTCATCGCATCCGAAATATAGAAAAAGTGCTCCAAGAACTTGGATGCAATGTCTACAATCGTAAAAATGAACGATACTCGCGTTAGTATGCCATTACTTCAAAGTACCCTCCCCCCTCCACATACACACACACAAAATCGCCCAGTAATAAAAATGCCCCTCGTCCTCGCATCGAAAGCTAGTTCCCACCTTCATAAGCTGGGTTCCTCTTGGCCAGCTCTAAAGCAATGTGGAGCCTATCATAAACAAGCACCAGAAGCCGCGTAAGAATTCTAATCATTTCAAGGAAGAAGAAAAAAAAAACGCTGTGGCAGAATGCTTTGGTCACCACAAACGCAAAACTTACATGCAGAGCGAGAAGAAGGCCATCCAAGAGGTGCCGTCGGCCTGACGGAGTGAAGCACCGTTCGGCAGAGGCTCCGATCGGTTGAAGAGACCGATGTTATCCAGTCCGAGAAAGCCGCCCTCAAAGACATTGTTGCCTTCCTTATCCTTTCGGTTGACCCACCTAGTAAACATCGCAAAGGGAATAAAGTTGTATTATTATTGTCGTTGTTGTTAGGCGCTGCGCTTTCTGCGAGTATGCATCGCAACACGCGCTTCAGTACTCCGTTTAATGGTTCTCACATACCACGTAAAGTTCAGCAGGAGCTTTTGGAACACACGTTCAAGGAAGAGCCAGTCCTGGCGGCCATAGAGTCGGTCCTCAGTCTTGAATACCTGCAGCGTCGCCCAGGCATGAACAGCTATATGGGAATCATTGATCCATATTTGTCAGGAATGATTGCCATCATTTTTTTTTTCTTCAAGGCAAGAACACAGTTACCTTAACAAAAAGTCCAAACTTACGAGGATTGACATCCGAAAAGTTCCATTCATATGCGGGAATCATTCCGGAAGGGTGCATATACCACTCCCTGGTCAAGAGATCCAGCTGCTTCTTTGCAAACGTCGGATCCACAATCGACAACGGAATCGTGTGAAAGGCCATGTCCCAGGAAGCAAAGAATGGATACTCCCATTTGTCAGGCATGGAGAGGATGTCATCGATGTAGAGATGTTTCCATTCCTTGTTTCTCACGTTGTTCCTCTCCGCCGGGGGCGGAGGGCCCGCAGAATCACCCTTTCTCCAAGACCTTTGATCGAAATGGTACCACTGCTTGGTCCACAGCATACCCGCCAAAGCCTGGCGTTGGATCAAATGGAGATCCCCAGGAAGATTCCTGATGGTCAAATGTTTGTAGAACTCGTCCATTTCTCGAATACGCAGCCGCAGGACATGATCAAACTCTTTCTGGGCAATGCCTATCTTTTCCTTCGACGATGGCTTCTGATTCAATCGGACCCGGACCTCGACATATTCGCCCGCAGGGACTTTCTCAAACTTGTAAACACCCGCGGCCTTAGTACCCTGGAAATCCTTCCGGTTGACGGCGTCCTTATTCCCGTTGATCAGGTACTCATGGAATCCGTCTTTGACATATTGGCTCCTGTTGAAGTCGTTGAACAACTTTTTCAAGTTTGATTCGTTGTTGGTGAAGATCAGCTCGGGTGCTCTGCCCGCTACACCTTTGGGCGCGGATTCGAAATGGATCCATCTCTGGCCGAGCGTCTTGTGGTTGGCCTCGATCGTCAACGAGTCTGTTTTCTTCAGCGAGGGGATTTCGACCTCGTCATCAGTGAACCACGACCACGTATTTCGGAACCAAAACTGAGGGATGATGTGCAAGGGCGCATCATGAGGACCGCGGTTATGGGCCGTGATCTTGACAAAGACATCGTCTTGATCCTCACCGTCCTTGGCATACTCGACAAAGACATCGAAATACTTGTCTTGTTCAAACACACCCGTGTCCATGAGCTCGTACTCGGGTTCCGATCGACTTCTGCGCGCATTCTCCGCGACAAGTTGATCGTACGGAAATTCGGCTTGAGGGTACTTGTACAAATACTGGTATCACAGGAAAGTAGGACAAGGGATGCAGGTCAGCTAAGCTGCATGATGTCTTGTGTGCTAGTGTGCTCAGCCCGGTGCCTTCTCTCTGTCTTCTTTTTTTTTTTTTTTTTTGAATTTTACCTTCATGTAGGAATGCGTGGGTGTGTTCTCCAGATAGTAGTACAGTTCCTTGACATCCTCGCCATGGTTACCTTTGTCCAATGAAGAGACAGATCATTGACAAAATGAGAGATAAAGAAAAAAAAAAATTAATCAGATAAACAGAGTAACAAGCAAAACCCCCTCCCTCCCTCCTCCCTCCCTCCCTCCCTCCTCCTCCAAGCCCGTACCTACCTTCATGATTTGTCAGACCAAAGAGTCGCTCCTTCAAGATCTTGTCCTTGCCATTCCAAAGGGCGACCGAGAAGCAAAGTCGCTGGTGATTGTCCGAAATCCCCGCAAGGCCATCCTCGCCCCAGCGATAGGCCCTTGATCGGGCGTGCTCGTGCGGGAAAAAGCGCCAGGCATCACCATCGCTACTGTAATCCTCGCGCACCTTTTTGTGCAAATGAACACGTAAATTGTTTGATCCCAGCGTTTCACTTTATGCGACTCTCATCTTCGTTATTATCAACCGTCTCATTTTCTTTTTTCTTTTTCAAAGATCATGTTCTTACTGTAGCCTGCAATTAGAATCAACGACCGCGACGAGAGTGAAGCGAAGGATAACGGATGAAAGAAACGACATAAAGATCAGTCATACCAGTCAGATGGAGCAGTATTTAAGTATCAGAAGTACCAGGTTATGTCTCCAAGGAGTGACACTATATATGATCTGTTGTTACCCATTGACGTTCAGAGAGATAGGGTCCCCATCTAAGAAATAATATAAAATAAAGCCACGATTGATCGATTATTAGTATCAATCAATTAAGGCCAAAATTATTAGAGAGAGCGAAGTTTTGCTTCTGGTTCAGCCTCATTGCCCTCAGTACCTCATCCAATGCTTCTTGTGCACATTCGATTCCGAGAGTCGCTTGATCTCGGCGGAGGAATCGCTCTTGATCACCTTTGTGTCTCGTTTCATATTCACAGGACCAGACAGCGCGACAAGGAAAAGCAGAATTGGATATGTATTATAGGGTGATTTTTTTTTTTTTTGTATCCTATCTTTCGAGCAGAGGCAAGTGCAGAAGGAAAGATAAGAAGAAAGACGACGAAAACGTTGGAGGAGAAGAAAGAAGAAGCAGAAGAAAAAAAGAGCCAGAAGAAGTAAAGGGAAGGATGGTGGCGACCCGTAGAAGAAGAGTGTGAAAGTTGGGCGTCCTGTTGGAGCGTCGTCCTTTATGTCGGCGTGCTCTGCATATGCTCGTCCATTGGGGCAAACAGTTATTTTAGCGAAAGAAACCCTTTTGAAACCCATCCACCGCTTAGGCGTGAGAGCGGTAGGGATCCGAGTCCATTGTCTTTAGCTGGCCGCTTATCGTGTCGTCTTCAATCATCGATCGAACAAAGAATTACGAAGCAGAGATCTCGGTTACAAACCAAAAGCAGAGCCACCCAAAATCTACGCCTCGACCTTAAAAACTATGCATGTCCCTGCAGTTGAAACGCGTCCGTCAACTTTAACGCGAAGGAATGGGCTGCAATCTTAATCAGCATTTTTATGACCAAGACACACAGTTCATTCTCGTCCGGATATCATATCTACGGTCCCTTTATTGCTTCTGGTTTGCTTTAATAAAGCTGCTTTAATAAAGCGGAAGGAGCTGTCGTTTCCCTGGCCGCCAGTAAAGCCTCTTGCGCGATCTCCTGTTCAAACAACCATTTCAGCGTCATGACAAAACCCCGATTCATCAACTCTTGCCAGTGTCCTGAATGTGGTTCGTTCCATATGTAATATGCTGCTGCGTCCTTAATGGCTCCTGCGTGGGGCGGTGTTCCTCAAATAATTGTCCTGCTCGTTCTTTCTCCTGCATCCTGGCCCAACGATTTGTACAGTGTCATAGTTTGTGTATGTCCTTTGATGGCGCCCATTTTATTCCAGAAGTTGCTGAAGGCGATGATAGTTGTAGTAGGTGGCCACAGATAAAAAAAAAAAAAAAAAAAAAAAAAAAAAAAAGAGAAAGACTGACTGTGCAAATGAAAAAAAAAAAGAAAATGAAAATGCTTTGAAAAGATAGACAAAAGTCGTCTCCTGTCTCTCCATGTCTCCCGATGTGCTGTCCCTGTTTATCATTGTGTCGCCTTCGTAAATTGATATTGAGTGAGACCAATGTTACCGTGAGCATCTCGGATAATGACACCGCGGATCATGCCGAGTACTTCGTGCGGCTCGGGCATGGATAGACGAGGAGCATCGCTAGGGCCAGACATGAAATCAGTAGGCAATGGAACAGCCTTGTGCCGGCCGGGTTGATTAGAAGCGAATGGCTGTAGTTGAAGACCAGCGCCGACCTGATGAGCTGTTGCAGCAGCAGCAGCAGCATTGGCACTCATATCCCAACCACCAGCTGCTACAGAATAAGCATACTGCTGTTGGGCTGCAATGGCTGCTGGATCTTGGCCATAGCCAGCATATGCATATCCAGAATAATCCGTTTGTCCTGCCATCGGGTATCCTTGTCCATAAGCGCTGTAACCAGCTTGAGCGGCATGAGGATCGAGGTGCGACAGTTGTTGATGCGGGGCAAGTGGATAGTGTTGAGGGTGAACGGGGTTCCCGGCCTGATGCATTGGCTGTGAGGCAGGTTTAGGGGGAAGAGATGGGTGTGAAGTCAAAGGCGATGCAGTGGCGCTGTGAGATCCTGGATGTCTGCTATCACGGGGTGGCGGCGCGTTGCTGAGGTCAGGCCGATCCCGTCTCCTGTCATCATATCGACTGCTTCCTGCACCAAACGATGCTTCGCCTCTTGCTTTAGACAGAGGTGGACGGTCCCTGAAATCCCGAGGATCCCGTATATCCCTCGGATCGGGTGGAGCCAAAGATCCAGGTCCAGGTGGCCGCATAGCCATGTCTCGTGGATCACGACGATCGAAATAATCTGGATGGCGATAGTCATCGCGTGAATCAGGGTAATAATCGTAATGATCATAGTAATCCTCGCGGTAAGATGGCCACTCTCCATACCCGCGGGAGGGGCTCCGGGAGTCTCTGAATGGAGGTCCATTTGCACTTGTTGAGCTGGCGGGCGGTGGGCCGTGATGCGGTGATCCTGAAGCGGGTGGTGGGAAGCGACCTGCGACATATGGATGAGGACGTGTTCCTGGTGGACCTGTAGGTCTTCCCCCCCTGCTAGGGTATGGGCTGTAGCCAGGCCTTCCGGACCGCTTGGGTTCAATCTCTGCGCGTTTATAGAACGTGTCCCAGATGTTGACAACATTATGCAGCTCTAGCACGAGAAAAGACGACAACTGTTACTAATGGGCGGTACAAAGGGATCATATCGAGAATGGTCGCCGTTGTTCTCCAGCATCCCCTGCTTACCGGCATTTTTGGTGGCCGTTTCAGCGCTGTCTTCTTCTGATGCCTGCTTTCTAGGCTTAATTCCATCTAGGTACAGATCCACGCGGATATCATGCACGGCATCATCATAGCTCTTGAAAACTGAAGTTTCATCCTCGAACCTTTGCTTGATTACCTACAGGGTCAATGAATATACATAATAGTATGCCGTGTTAGCAGATAATTCCAAATAAGCGCTGGATCGCAACAAGGTCATACTAACGGTGCTTACATCTCTTTCTGGATCAACGTCCTCCAGCAGTTTTTTGCCCTGTTCATCCACCTCACCAATGACACGATCGCGGGCCGAAGTCAATACAAAATCGTTAGAGTAGTTGCGAAGATCTGCCGCAAGCGCCTTTTTATCGCTGACGATAGCCGTGATCTCCTCAGCTGTCTTTTTGCATAGGTACCCTGAGATGTGCTAAACATCGACATGAAGTTGGCATTCAACAAACGATTAGACCACGGATACAGCTCAGTCCGAACTGTCATATCAGCTCAACTACGAACAATCCTACCTGTTTACTACAATCTTGGAGAAGCAGATGAAGTGGTTGACCAGTTCTGCGTGGTCTCCTCTTGATTGGCTGCGCAGGCATGGATTTGGCTTGCGTCTGCGGTTGCTGTTGTTGGTGATGCTGTTCCTGTTTCAGTTGATTCTGCTGAGACTCAGGTGTCGAGGCACTGGTTTCGTATTGATTAGAGGGTGAAGGGGGTATGTGGTCCGCAGAGGCACTGTTCTCGTTTTGACTAGTGGTAGGTGTGCTTACGACGCTCTCAGACGGCGTAGGAATGACAGGACCAGCCGACGCAGAAACGAGTGGCTCCGGGCCGGGTTGCTGAGACTCCTGCGGTATGCTCAGGAGCGTTTCGTCCAGTGTCCCTTCCTGCTCCATGGTGTAGAGATTCGTTCAAGCGTTCAAGAGTGGTGAAATGATTCGGGTTTTCCTTTGCAAGTGTTTACTCATTTCATGGCCGTTGAAGAAAAAAGCCACCACTGACTTCATTTGGCCCAAAAGGGCAAAACGCGCTTTTCTATTTATTTTCAAAACATACAACTCTCAACGTGGCCATGTCGACTCAGGACAACCGGGAGCGCGCATTGCTCAGCATCTTTGGGCCAACACTCAGCAAGAATCCAGCAGCGCTTCGGGAATGTAAGTCGCTGCATCACTGTTTGCAAGCAGCGCCGTGGGGTCGTACAAAACTTGACTTTTTTTTTTTTTTTTTTTTTTTTTTTCTTCCTGAAATACATAGGCGTGAACCTTTTGCAGATATACGGCATTGAGCCCGAGACGCTGCATTCAAAATGGGAGGCATATATCATGAACCACACGAACGCTACAGGAGACGAAGACGATGGATCCATGACACCTGCGCATCTGGAAGGCTTCAAGAGCAATCTTCGTCGCACACTGGAGCAACAGGCACAGCAAGGATACCAGGCACAGGTGTCCTCTTCGACTTCATTCGCGACCCCCAAGAAAGCCGCGATCAAGTCAAGATACCATGGCTCGGGAAGACCTGCTTCCACTATCAATTACGAGATGGACCTGGACCAGTTGAATGATTTGTACGTTTATGATATCTCAGGCGGTAGCTCTATCCAGGCGTTGCTGACGAATTATACTAACATGTGCAGTTGATTCATCCCTCTATATACGTAGTGGGGCACCTGATAGCAGATCCACATTTGCGATTCCCACAACTCCGATTAGGAACAGGGGCAGTAATGGCGTCGCTCCGCTTCCAATCTCTCCATCACAGCCCTCCCCTTCATCAAAGCAGTTTGCACTTCGTAAGAACCAGTCAGAAACAGAGGAGACGTTGAACGGCAACTTGTCATTACGCCAAGCAGCACCAAACAACAGCCCCGATTACCGAAATGCAATCAATCTGGTGGTCAGCGTAAAGCCGTATCGATATATGTTCGAAAAACTCGCCGAGAAGGGTGAAGGTACAGACCAGGACGCTATCAATTTGTATGCCGAGGAAGGGACTGGTGCGGATAGCAGACACTCACCATGCGCTACGTCATTTTTTCTTTCTTTTTGGTTCCGCTTACAGCTTTGGATGACAGGATCGACTTGTTTGCAAGTATTTATAAGAAATTCCATCCCGACACCGAGTTTCGCAATCCTGCCTACCCGAGCCAAGCCGTTGTCACTGTGGTCGGAAGGATTTGCTCCGACGCCAATGAGGGCAAGACTAATGAACGCTCGCTTGTCCTGGAGACGAGTCGTTCACTTGGTGGGGGATCAAGGGTAAAACTGGATATTGCAGAGATTTCAGGATTCGGATTTTTTCCAGGCCAGATTGTTGTCCTGAGTGGCATCAACGCGAACGGATCTATCTTTGCTGTTACACGTGTACACGAGGTATGCTTGATTAAGGGCGAGGAATCATTTGAAAGTCATTGCTGCGGCTTCCTCATTTCGCCTACTTACAGTTTTTTTTTTTTTTTTTTTTTTTTTTTTTTTTTTTTTTTTTTTTTCGGTCTTCGCTGATAGTTGCCCTCGTTGCCAATGGCCGGTGCAAGCCCAGCTGATCTGGAGGAATATCACTATAAAAAAATGAATGGCCAGCCCATGAAGATCATTACTGCAGCAGGCCCATACACGCTCAATGACAACCTCCTGTTTGAGCCCTTCGCAGCACTCATGGAGCATGTCACGAGGGAGCGACCAGATGTGTTACTACTGGTGAGTATAAGACCATCTCGATTATTTTCCGTTGCAACCTAGACCAAATATTGACCCATACTTTATTGTTTTTAGGTAGGACCGTTCGTGTCCTCTCAGCATCCGTTGATTTTGTCCGGCAACGTTGACATGACGCCCGAACAGTACTTCTCATTATACATTTCGTCTCTGCTTTCGCAGCATCAAGAGCGATACCCGAAGGAGATGCAGATCTTGCTCGTCCCCAGCCTACAAGATGTTATTCACGAGACCACAGTAATGCCCCAGCCAGGATTTGAACATGTCCGTCCACTCGGCTTGCCGGCAGTAAGTTGTGTTCAGCCTTTTATTTCGCACTATATGCCTTATCGACTCGCTACACAATTTCTGACACGAATGTTCTGCTTTGTCTACCCAGGGAACATATTGCCTACCCAACCCAGCACAATTTACGATCAACGAAATGGTGTTTTCAGTCACCAGTTCGGATATTCTAATGCACCTGAGCGGCGATGAGATTGCACGAAACCCAGAACGGACAGACCGTATGGGTCGTCTCTCCAAATATCTCGTTGAACAGCGCAAGTACGTCGAGTGCTGCTTGAAACGTGAGGTCATATTGCCGTATGCCCAGCAATGATCAAAACGCTAACCTGTCGTTCTTTGCTGTGATAGCATGCATCCTGTGTATCCCGGTCTGACATCGGATGTAGAAAGTGGAGTGGACTTTAACCAATACGACTTGATGGACCTTCGCGTTTGCCCCGATGTTATCATCCTGCCAAGTAAGCTAAAGAGCTTTGCCAAGGTAGATATGCTACGAATATTATTGCCTCTTTTTTTTTTTTTCTTTCTCTTGGTTTCCTTTGATTCAATAGTCCTCAACTAAAATCGTATATTCGCTCCTGTACTTCATCCCCAATTAGACCGTCGATAATGTAGTCGTTGTAAATCCGAATCAGCTTTGCAAGGCGCAGACTGGAGGCACGTTCGCACGTCTGACAATTCACCCAATATCCGAGGGCATCCTCAGTGATGCCGTGATGATGATGGATGAGGAGGATAAGCAGAGTCTGTCGATGTATCATCGGGTCTATGAGCGCTGCCGAGTTGATCTTGTCCGCGTATAGCCATTGCCTTTCATCCTTGCGCCTCTAATAAACGATTCGGCCGCCCATATTCCAATCCTGTACCACTATTGCTTTCACGCCATGTCGCGCCGTTTTTCTTGACCCGCACTGCATCCCTGAATCCAATGAGTTCCTTTCAACTACGCTCCGCAAATGCTAATGTTTATTAATAGTTTTGTATTTTTTGATGAATATATTGGACCTTGCCGAGTACAATCCTCATGATATGATAAGCGCTCGACCGATCTCAGAACGCCCTGTGTGTTCCTCTGTTTAGTTGCTTTAAAATGGGAATAGAAACAAAGACAACATAAACTGAAGCTTTCCCTCTACTTCTTGGGGGTCTCAACGAATCCAGGGAAACAATCGTTGACGGTTTTGCTGTGCTTGTTGGTGGCATGCTCTTCGAGGCTAGTATTATATGACCAATAGAAAGGACCGGTCATTGCCTGTTGTATGAAATGATGTTTCGCGGAAAAAGTTCGACGAAGTGGTGCTCTTTCACTTACGCTTTGGTGCGAATAGTGCACAAAAAGGTCTGGCGGCAGGTTTGGCAAACAATGTTCTTGGCAGCCTCGTTCTAGACGGGGCAAAAAATAAAAATAAAATACAAAAAGGGCAGAGGGTTAGGCTGTTAGATCATTAACTTTGCTTTGTAAAAAGTATCGCAAGAGTAGATAGTCTACTTACAGCCTTGAGCTGACTGTTGGCGATGCCGCCCGCGTTTTTGGCGTTGCGCTCACGCTTCATTTGTGCTTTTTGTCCCTACATACAGGAAAATATAAGGCGCAGAGAGAAAGAGTAGTTGGAAGGAAAGCGCAGGTATTAGGGGAGAGTTTCAAGGCGACGCTGATAGAAAAGAGTAGAGCGGCAAAGAAAGAAAGAAAGGTGTACTAACGTTTCCCATGGTGGATTGTGTAGAGTGTATAGACGAGGAGCCTGAATTTAAAGGTGGGTATGAAGATGTATTCGTTGAGGTATGTGGAAAGGATGGAATCGAAAGTTAGATGAAAAAATACAGGGCGGGGTCAAAGTGTTGTTCTTACTCCTGAAGAGCAAGCAGGGTCTAGCCTAATGAAAAAACACAAGCCACGCTGTGCTATCAACTTATAACTGCTCGATCTGCGCGAGTATTGAGAAAGCCCTCTTTCATTTATTTCAACAACATGTCCGCAAAGGGTGCGTTTAATTGACAGTCACATCGACCATACCTTGGATGCCTTTTACTGTATCTAGCCTGACAGGAGGCTGGCGATCCATCCATCAGCATACGCGGGATATCTATCGACCAACACACGCGCCATCGACATTAATCGACCTTGATCCCACAATGGGCCGACTCTGTGCTTTTTGACTCATCTTGACGATGTTCATTTAAGTGCGGCATGAAGGCTGGAAAAACTCGACCAACTGTTGTCTCTTGGGGTTGTTGCAAGAGTAGCATGAGACAGAAGCAACGCTATTTTTTTGGAAGGCGCCAGTAGAGCTTTATTATTTATGGATTACTCTACGACAGCGGTGTTGACAAGTTCATTCAAAGGACCATCGTAGCAGGACCACGCACAATCTAAGATCCAGCAAAACGCTCCTGAACCAACTGCAACGCGGATAGAGATCTCACCATCCCTTTGCCGCCACAGGACGACGTAGTGGAGTGCAGTTGCTTTATGCCCGTCTCATCCATCAGCTGCAGACTTTCAGCTGTCTGACTTCGCCTGGGCTGGATTGACACTGACTGGATTAGTTGGAGTACAGATCGACATCAGTCTATTCGCTAATCTCTGGACACTCTCATATCTGCTGTAACTATGTGTAATAGGTGGAGCTGCTTCCGGAAACAAGTTCCGCATGACCTTGGGTTTGCCCGTCGGCGCCGTCATGAACTGCGCTGACAACTCTGGCGCCAAGAACTTGTACGTTATCTCCGTTAAGGGAATTCACGGTCGTCTTAACAAGCTGCCTGCTGGTGGTGTCGGTGACATGGTCATGGCCACTGTCAAGAAGGGAAAGCCCGAGTTGAGAAAGAAGGGTATGTTTTTGTAGACTCGTTCAATTGGATCGCTGCTGTAAAGTCCTCGTAAGCTTCTAGATGTGGTTCTGACTCGTCCGTTACCAATCTTATTATTTGTCCTTTTCATTAGTTATGCCCGCCGTCATTATCCGCCAGCGCAAGGCCTGGCGCCGTCGCGATGGTGTCTTCATCTACTTTGAGGGTAGGTGTAGTTCTATTTCATTGCTATTGCTTGACGCTTTTTTTTTTTTCTTTTTTTAATTGACGCCAATCATATTTATCATAAATTCTCTTGCTGAATCGATTATTAGACAACGCCGGTGTCATTGTCAACCCCAAGGGTGAGATGAAGGGTTCTGCCATTACCGGCCCTGTCGGTAAGGAGTGCGCTGATTTGTGGCCCCGTATCGCTTCCTGCGCCGGTACCGTCGTTTAAATCCATTTTACATCGGCACATCAGCTCAAGTTGCAATAAAATAAACCTGGTCTATCCATACTTTGATAATCTCATTTGATATATGTTGTTTCCTGCCAATGCGTTACGTCTGCCCTGCATTAGTATATGATGTTTAGGCCACTTACACAAGTGCTGAACTTCTTTTCTGGTTTGCCAATTATCGAGACATATCCTGCGGTTTTTATCAGACACATGCCTCCGAGATGGCTCAGCGAAGTCGTGTCAGATATGCACCAGGTATGTCAGGCGCCACAGCGCCTTCGCCGCATTGTGTTAGACATAGCTGAATCCTAATGACAAGCATCGATTACCATAGTCGGTGGGGTTATTATTTATTCTGTACATGACAAATCTACTTTGCTTGCTTTCCAAGTATGACGTTAAAGATCCTGAATGCTCCAGTCCTCATATAATTCAGTTGTATGGATCCATTCCTCAAATGTTGCGAAGCACTAACAATATAACACCTCATAGTTAATAAACGTGCAATGTGATACAGTGGGACCAATAAGGCAACTAGAGCATAAACAAAGTGGCATACCAAGAATCACAGAATCTCCACGCAAGAACAGTTTGCTGATAAAGCGCTCCTTATTGACAGGCTTCAGCTTCTTGCCCTTGCCCGCTTTCGGTACTTCGGTCCACATCTGCACATAAGGATAAGAAAGAACGAGCAACGCAGTCAGTGAATGGTTAAATGGTCTCAATGACGCACTACTACTTGCATAGTAGAAGCACATTTGAACGGCGGCGGAGGCCCTTACCTCCTTGACGTTCTCCAAAACCATATTGCAGTGACGATCGAATGCCTTCACTCTGGCGAGAAGCTTCCTGTTATTTCTGCAACTGATAAGGATCTGTGTGTGATTCTTGACGGACTGCTGGAGCACCGAGAGTGGGCCAGTGTTGAATTCTTCTTCCTCCAACTTGCGGAGCTCGTCCTCGGTCATCTCACTCTTGGCCTTTGTGCTGCTGATTTGGGTTGCCAATCAGAAACAAAAGCACGCGTTAGAATGCAAAAAATATCTAGGCCGTTTCCACAACACAGGTGGCAGCGATGATGCAGTGTTGCAGATGGATGCTGACAGGAGACACGGTAGCGATACATAGATACATGGATGAATAACTTACCTCATGGTTGCTTGTTGTTATGCTGATGAATAGTAGTGATCGATCAACCAGAGCTGCTCAGTTTCTTGCACAAGGTAAACAAGCCACCCTGGGACGGGAGTTACGGCCAGCCAGTTGTCGCGCGAAACGTCCTTCCTCCCATCATCTTCTACATACACACACACACACGCTCTTTTAGCTCATCACCGCTTCCATCAACAACGCCATGGACGATTTCAAGTCTGCAACCAACTCTCTCGTGTCATCGTACTTCAAGGGTGCGCTATTCAGAGGCAATCTCTTTGTGCTCTCAAACAACCCAGCGTCAACGCGACTCACAGTATTCTCACCTTGGCCTTATCTCGCTACATAGAGACACCAAAGGCCTTAAAGCTGATCGACGGCTATATGGTCTATGTACTCTTGACTGGAATTATTCAGTTCGTTTACGTTTGTATCGCTGGAACCTTCCCCAACAACGCCTTCTTGGCTGGCTTCATCTCAACGGTTGCAGCGTTTGTTCTCGCTGGTGAGTGTCGTGGCCCAACGGTCGGCATTGTACTCGATAAAGCGTACCCACCTGCAAATGACCTAACATACTGCATTCTACTATCTCTCGCATGCTTCAATTGCTGTATGCGCTCCTACATCCCATGTACCGGGCTTTCAATTGCAGCCAACCTCCGTATGCAGACCAACCCGAAGAATGCGTCTCAGTTCCCTACTACGAGCCCTGAAAGGTATGTGCGCAACATCTATACGTTAATGAAGGCAAGGATCTCTGCATGAAATCTGAACCCTAGAACTTATCATTGTATTATCAATCCTATCATGTCTATTTAGAGCATTTGCGGATTTCCTTGCCTGTAGCGTAGTGGTTCACTTTGCAGTCGCCAACTTCTTGGGATAGATGGTGGGATATGCTGTTCACTGCATGGGTCGACGCAGGACATCGCCCTTATTTACCTACCATACCCAGTCATCATCTTCCAGCGCTCTCTTGTGATGGATACGCCCTACCATTTTGTTTGACTTCTGTAAAATAAATGTCATAAACCGTGCGATTTGTGTTCCGGTGATGAGAATGCGAGGTGGCTTGTGTCGGGACGAGGTGGAGCAAGGGCCGCTGTTCCCGCTGCTGGCAGACACAAACAGACGGTTCCTTCAATCATCGACCCCATCTCTCACTTCATCCTTCAAACTGTCAGCCATGTCTCAATTCTGGAAGCCCACTTTCACGTAAGTGATGCTGCACCGCCCTTTCTCCCTTCCTCACTCCCCCATATATATTTTTTCTTTTTTCATCAGGGGTGCAACACCTGCAACACCAACGACACGGTAGATTGCACGATCACGGACTATCCCGCCTCTTTCCCAATCGCCAGCCCATGGGATTTATTCAGCAGCGATCCCTATATCAGCAGGATGTCTATTCTTTTGAAGCTCATCTTTGTTCGCAATGACACCTCGTCAGCTAGAACCAGCCCTTTGCGATATTTTTTGGGGCCTCAATCAATCTTGGAGCATTCTCACTGTCTTTGTTTGAACGATCTTACCCCTGAGATGATATCGCTCGATCCAGTCTGTTCTGTTTTCGCGGCTTTTAACCCTTTGCGTTTTTTCTGTTGCCTGCTTGGGTTCCACTAGCTATTTGCAATATGCCCAGGTCTGCGCCCGTGCTGTCCGCAACTCGCTCAAAGAGGAGGCCCGCCTCGTCGCCGTTCGCCGTGACGAGCAGGGTTTGAAGTACGCAAAGTGGGAGGCTGGCAAGCAGGGTGACCTTGTAAGTGGAATAATGTTGGGGAAAAGTATTGTTCGTGTTTATGTTTTTAGGTCAGGTCGCTCGATTCACTGACCCAGGCAATCGTCTGCTTCTGTTTGTTACCTGTATTAGAAAAACACCGTTGGCAGCCGCACCACTGCTTAAACATTCTTGGACCCCTACTGAATGTTTCTAGCCGTGTTCAGCCTCTTTTTTTGCTCCCAACAATCAATCGAATGTTGACAGGATGATCATGGTGGAAGAACATGGAAAAGCAATAAACCCAACTTCATTGAAAACCCTCCACTCTTCCCTTCATTTTCTCGTAAATAAACACGTTCACGCTCGCAATCCAGCATGGACAAAAATATATTCATCGGACATGGTCCCTTTCGCCTGCGTGAGTGGGTTATCAAAGTATATATTCATTTTACTGAAACGTGTGTGGATGTATTTGTGAGGAAAAAGTATAAAAAAAAAAAAAAAAAGAGACGACAAATATATTAGGTGGAAGGGTTGAGGGCCATGTTGGTCGCACTTGCGATGGCAATCTATTTACTGACAACAGGCTCCACCGCCGTTTGCCGCTCCCGTCGGCAGAGAAGAGCCTCCAGTATGCATGGGGCCAATTTTGATGCCATGGGCCTACCGTCGAAGATGAGATTGAAAAGGGCATGATTAGACAATCATCCGCAGATGCTATTGCTTGCGGTAACACCCATGTGCTTGCATGCATTATCGTTACCTCGTTGTGGATGTCAAAAACCCCACTCTGAATCTTTTCGTAAATGTTGGTTGCAGTCTCCACGAATGCCTATCGATAAAGGGAAAGACCTGTCAGATCAGAGCGATCGATTTTGCTGATTTATCACAAGCCATTGGTAAAGAGGTCCCTACCTCCTCAACATTGGCAGAGGTCTTAGCGGAGGTCTCCATGAAGAAGAGGCCGTTTGCTTTGGCAAAGGCCTCGCCCTCCTCATAAGAGACAGCCCGCTTGGACTCCAGATCACTCTTGTTTCCAATAAGCATAATAGTCGTGTTGGCATTGGCATGTTGTCTAGCGTCCTCAAGCCAAGTCGTCAGGTGTTTAAAGGTGTCTCTCCTATGGAAATGAGTTGTCAGTAAAGATGGCAGGTCAGAATACCCTCCAGCTGACGCGAAAAAAGGACGCACAGTGTAGTGTTCCGTGATACATATGGTTGCCCTGTCCATCTTACCTCGTGATATCGTAGACTGGAGGGGTACAAAAGAAAACAAAGACACTGGCCATGTGTGAGCAAGTGTTACTGCTGCATCGGTGAATACACGAACATAGGATTCAATCGCACAACAGCAGCTTACCCAAAAGGGCACCAGCAGCTCCTCTGTAGTAGCTTCGGGTGATACTCCTAAAGGATTCCTGTCCGGCCTATCGTATAGGACATACCAAGTTCGCAATTAGACACCAAGCGTTGTGAGCCCTGCAGCCTCGTTTTTGTTTTCCATGCGGTAGAGTGCTCGTCAGCGCCTGATGGCCACAATTGAACTCGTTTAATTGACATACCGTGTCCCAGATCTGAAGCTTGATTTGCTTTCCAGCAACAGAAACGAAGCGAGCTCCAAACTCCACTCTAAAGCGCAAAAATGCAGACAATATATAAGAACGGCGCAAAGGGCTCGGCTTTCTCTGAAGTAGTGCACTGAAAAGTAAAACAAAACATCCGCTTGGTATATCAGAACGTACCCAATGGTCAAGTCATGAGCGGGCTGAAAACGCTTATCGGTAAACTGCAAGAGTAAGCAAGACTGCGACAAAAAAATGAAGATAGTCTGTCAGCTTCGGTTCCCCGTTCTCAGGTAGTTAGCGACCGGTTTTATTTGTACCTTGCCGACACCTATTGAGATTCAAATTGCAGAACGCAAGTTAAAGATGAGGTACAAAGGAGTCCATCCCTGTAAGTTATTTCTCCATCTGCATAGGGAAGGGGCGTCTTTTTTACCTGTGTCGCCGATAATGATATACTAGAAAGCCGGTCGAAGTGGACACACACGAAAGAGGAAAAAAAGAGGTGGCCCAGTCGAGTGGTTAGTAGTATGTTTCTTTGCTCTTGCTCAATTGGTTCCGACTCGGTGCTGGTAGAGGCGGTGGAGGGAGATATGGCTTTACTTTGATGATGTAGTCGTAATTAAAGCTGCTGCTCATGATGGCGTGATGCTGTGTGGTGTTGGTGGGGAGGTTGGTTGGGTTTAGGGAAAGGAAGTGTTGGAAGGGAATAGTATTGGGCTGGGGAAGGCAGGTCATCCTGTGCAATCCAGCGAAAAAACACGTCACTTGCCCCTCTGTGCCCTACACTCGACGTCGAGTGCCAAGATGAAGCACAGAAACGCAGCAACTCTTCCTCAGCACCCCGTCGGTATCCGACCCTCGACCCCACAAACGTTTGCGATCACCATCTGATCTCCAACTCCGTGGATCGAAAAAAAAAGAACTAGATTCTTAATGTAAGAGATGAAATGCCTTTTTTTTTTTTGGACCCAGTCGAAAAGTACAGAACCTATAACCTATACCCCTTTGCTAAACTGTTGCTGCATAGTATGTACAACTCAACAACAGCCACAGGACCCTCAGTGGGACATGGAGCTATACCGGCACGCGGGGCATCTCCTCTTCAACAGAATCTATCCGCAGGTGGAAATAGCACAAGCACATCGACAAATGACAATCAGCCATTGTCTTCAGCAGCTACTCCACCTTACGCGACCAAAATCCTCTGGGTGCACAACGACCTGTACTCAAGGCAGGACTTTCTGCTTGATCCCGCCTGCTTCCCAAACGTTCAGCCGAATGACCTATTTGAGATTTATGATCCTGCCCTTCCGAAAGACACCTCGAAAAAGCTGATCATTCAATGGACTGGTCTTGACAAAGATACCCATCTTAAGGCCCATTGGCAGGTATGGTGCGATACGTGCAATTACGAAATAATAAAGGATCATGATCAGATTATTAATGGTGCTGCAATTCAGGTCTCGCTGGCTAGTAATATTGCCAAAGCGTTCGGACTTTCACCAAGACAGGATGTTATTGTGCAAAGGGTAATACAGGCAACAATACTATCATGCTTGTTTAAAACTTGGTGGGCCGGTAGGAAATACTAATACGCACCCTTTGAATCTTGGGAACGTTTAGGCGGATCCCAGCCAATACGCGGCAACATACGTGGAGTTGACCTTCCGAGACCAATATGTTGGACGAAGCGACATGTGGCGACTGAGGACGAGTCTTGTGGGATCATGCGTGTATGAGGCGAAAAAGATTATATATCTGGGCTGTATTAGGGTCCAAGTCAAGGATATTTACGTCGGCAACCGATTGGTAAGCTTTGCTAAAACTACTCGCAGTAATATCAATTTATTGCCAGGGTCCCTGCCTCTTTAGCATCCTAAAACCTGTACTCAAACTTGAATATGACAACAGGTTCCCAGTGCATGCATCACATCAGAAACAAGGATAATCTTCCGCTCAGAGTCTGCCAAGTACTTTATTTTCATTCAAATGTCCCGCGAGATGTGGGAGTTCGACGAGGATGGGGAGATATTCTTTGAGAGGGTAATTTTCGGCGCTCTTCCAAACCTCTTTGCTCGCTGGCGAGGAAAGAGAGACGGCAAGTCAGAAATGGAGTCCCCCACCAATCATGTTGTGTCGATTGTACTCTTTTCAAGGATATTCTATCAGGAAGAGGAAGAAGCAAGGTTTCGCGTCGATGGTTACCCCGGAGGCCAGACGGGTTTACAAAAGGACGAGGAGGGACGCTACTATCAAGACTTCTACAAGGTCGTCGTTGACTGGGAGGCCAGGACCGACTGGACAACTGCCATTATCCCGCTCAAGGAGGAGGTCATGCGCTATCAACGGGACATTTTACTGCGTCCTGCAGGGCAATACCAGATTCTGTCAGGCGAAAACTCCTTTGCGTTCGAGGGCAATGTCCTGGAATCTATTAATTTGGCACTGAATTCACTGGATAAACACTATGTCGATCGGGATCTACAGAGAACAGGGCTATCAATAGTCGTCATCACGCCTGGATCCGGAGTATTTGATGTCGACAAGAAATTACTGCGCCTGACAACAGAGAGGATGATCAGCGGAGGAATTGGACTTGACATGATCTGCCTCTCAAAGATACCAGCACATATCGTCCCGCTTTTCCGCTGGAAGGGACCTGCCAGTGATAGCGATGGTCTCAAACTCATGATTCAGGGGACCGATCAATTGTCTACGAGCTCCAGCGCGACAAACAACAGCAACGGCAATCTTAACCCTCGGTCCGTCAGCGCTCATTCACGGCCCAACTCCCGTCCTCCGTCAGTGAAGGAGTCGCCAGCCGAAGTACGAGGTGGACAGTTAGGGTCAAAGCTCAGTCCACCATCGGAGGTACTGCTGGATATGTCGGATCCGCTTTATTACGACGCGCCGCCAACATTTCCTTCCTCCCCTTTGGTGACCTACTACATGATGCCCCACTGGGTCGACTGCATGTTCTACGTCAGTTCGCAGAAGCCTAACCCTCAAAAGTTTTATACCCGCTGCAAGATGTACGAGCTCCAGATGATGGGTATTATGGAACACGAGATTTCAAGCATATCGATCCCATATCTAAATGAGAACTACAATCAGCAGTATTCGGCCCCGTTCGGAAAGCGACTCAGCTCTACAGACGCCCTCACCGCCAGAAGCCATCTCTCTAAGTCGATCGACTTTGACAAACACGATGACGACATCTTTTCTGACCCAAACTCACCTTTGGCAGCGGAGCTCAAGCACCTTAACTCATCATCTAACCACACGCCTCGCGGATTAACCAGAGACGCTGTGTCAATGGACAACCTGGAATCCCCGGCTGCACGGATCGTCAGCAATGGGCGTCGATACGACACATATCTCGGAGGCACTGCGCATCAGTCCATGTCGAATCATAATAAGATGGCCCCCGAGATCTCACGGAGCCTGCCCAGAGTTTGGGGTGCGATGACGATTGGAGGTTCGTCAAACATCATTCACGAGAATCAAGTTCTTAAGGATATGACAGCCGTACCAGGACGGGTCTCGTTTTCTTTAAAAAGCGCCAACGGATTTCTTGAGGAAAGTCGAGCGGTCATGCAACCGGACAAGGGCATTGGAGACGACTTTGAGAATCATAATGAGATAAAAGGGCAGCGCGAGTTTCAGGACGACACTGCTGGTGAACAAAACAACTACGGCCGCACTTCAATGCAGGGTCACATCGACATCAGATCGAAGACTGGCCACGTTCGGGCGAGCACTGACGAAGACCCAGGGTTCCTGAGTTCGAGCACAGTCAAACCAATATTCATATCGCGGAATCAACGGGCACTTCAAGATGACGGGGCGCCCTCGGAGATATCGGGAGCTGACTCTTGCAATACAGGATCTATTTCGAGCGACAAGGGCAACCGACCATTCGCGTCAAACTCTGGAGGCCTCGGCAAGATTGTTCAAAACCGGCTAAAATCATTGAAGGCTTCCATCAATCCCTGTAATCCTCCTCGGACCATCCTTCCCATGACATCGCATCTGAGGCGTTGGCAGCACGCTTTTCCACGGGTACAGGGGCGCTCTGCGTCCACTGATCTAATTCGGAGCGAGGTCTACACAGATGGCCTGTCGAACACAGAGGCCTGGAGAGGACTAATGTCACCGGCATCTTTACCGCTTACGACCGACTACTTCCCGAGCGATGAGGAGCTTCGAAAGCTCTATTCAGAGTATATTCACACCATCTCGCCAAGTGAGGAAGCAGGAAGTTATGTCGAAAATGACCAGGAACGACGCCTCAAGGCCAAGTCCCTAATGAAGGAGCTGATTTACCATCGCTTAGCGCAGGGATTTCAACTTATTGTCGGAAAGGCTCGATCATCAACCGATGCGGTCAAGACAGACGTCTCTGGCACATCATCGGATAGGAAAGGTACAGAGACGGTCGGTGGTGGAACAGTTTCCAAACGCTCTAGCGCCAGGGCTGCATTAGGAGGTGCGCAGGATCATGCCCCGATGGAATTCCCAAGCAAAGATGCAGGAACGACAGACGGTACCACACCTGGCAACAGCACAAAGGATAAGGCCTGTTATCTCAGCATGGGACAACAGGTCCACCGACTTTCAATCGATGCTGTGCAGGGCAACGTCGAGGTGAAGCGGTACGAGAGACGCTTTAACTATAAGCCCGAGAATATCAAGTATCAGTGTGTCATATGGGCCAAGCAACTTCCCGGTTACATGCCGCGGAATCTATCCTTTACCTATCCGTTGTTGTCACATTACCAATGGAATTATCTAGACCACCTTGTCTCAGGATATCAGGAGGAGCTTACAGAGGAGCTTCTGTACTGGCGAGCTCGTTTCATCCTGATACCTATGGAGCACGTAGCGTCGAATAATCTGACCAATGTTGCAGGGGAGCACTTGGACGAGGAGGAAATGCGACTCGCAGGATTCCAAAAGTTTCTGGATCTGTTCCAGAAAGCGCGCTACAACGATACTCAAAACGAGCGTTCGTCATCATCCTCGAGGAAACAAGATCTATCGGTCAAGGTGCAGCTGATCACTTGCAGCTTTGCAGCCTGGGCGTTTTCAGAACTGTCGAGAAAGGAGCAAGACAATGGCCAAGCTAGTTTGAATATGACCGCCATGGCGGAACCCGAGAAACTCACTCGTAACTCCAAGATCCAGATAATTGCAACGGCTATTCAAAATCCATTGACTGGGATCAAGTTGCAGGACCGCCGGTGGCATTTGCGAGTTTACAACAGTGTCTTCTTGGGCAATGAGGTCGTGGACTGGTTGATTCACAACTTTGTCGATATCGAAACCCGGGAGGAGGCAACCGATTTCGGAAAGAAACTGTTCGATAAAGGTCTGTTTATCCATTGTCTGGGTAAGCACCACTTTATGGACGGACACTACTTTTACCAATTCTCCGGCGAATATGCGCCCTCTGGAAAACAGACGAGAGGCTGGTTCAGAAATACAACCACATCTCTGACGAGACGAGATGTCGACCTGGAGAAGATTCTCTCAAGGGATAAGGATCCAGATCCAACTTCTGAAAAGCAAACACGACCCTCCAACAAACTGGCTTCAGCATCCACGGGCGGATCAATCGCAACCCTAGGCTCGGTATCGCAAACCGCAAGCGGCAATGCCTCCACTGCAACGAACACAACTCAGCCGTCGAACAATGGAGCGCCGTCTTTTAAGGAGCGCATGGAAATGCTGCAAAAATTGGCGCCACCAAAACGGGTTGAGATGTCGAGGGCTATCAATATTGACGTCGATCCGAACAAACGGAGCGAGCGGAGAGAGACAGCAATTCTGCACTTTGATCTGGCGCACAACATCAGGCATTGCTATCACTTCCAGCTGCATTGGCTGGGGTGCACTGCGCGGCTGATTGAGGACATGTTGCAATCTTGGGGAAGAACTGCGGAGCGGTGTGGCCTCCGCCTGGTGGAGGCACCGATCGAGCAAGACTCGCAGGGCCGCGCCTTCAATCCGTTTGAATGTCCCGTCCCCATCAAACTTGCCTTACGTCCACCGCTCACCAAGGGCTTCTTTAAGCCTTCCTCGTCACTCGACCCACTTACTGAACCGGTTCAAGTTCCCAAGATGCACTTTTTTACGGAGCTGGTAAAACTTCATGGGTTCATTCTGGACATGGAATCGGATGAACTGTATCCGCCATCGACACAACTGAACTACTCTTATAGAAGAGCGCCTTACAAGAATATTCAGTACGTCCATCGGACAGGTGTGGCATTTATTCAGATTTCCTATACCGGGTCTTACGAGTTCTTCTGGGTCAATAATCGACTCTTGACCTCGCATTCGATTACAACGCCTGAGCGCGATCGCAGTGACTGGGACCGATCCAAGATTGGAGCTGCCGGCAGTAGTGGTGCCGGCAATGGTCAAGATGGAGGAAACATTGGGGGTTCTTCGTCAAGCAAGACCACCGCTAACCACGTTCCCAATCCTGATATGCTCCGGAAGAAATTTGAGGATACATGCGCAGACAAGGACGAGCTTGCCAAGATCTGGGGTGAGATATCAAGCCACCTGGAAACCGTATCGGGTATTCAAGATATTTTAGAGGACGTGCCTGACGAGAGGGTGGTTGAGAACGAAGGTCTCGAGTGGGTTATGCCATCTCTGGCCGCTCCCCGACGGAAATCGGATGCTCAGCTCGATGTTTCTCAGGATGGGTCCAAAGTCCATGGGCCTACCGATGTTAGTGACTCAGAAACTGTCAAAGAAAGTGAGATCAATGGATACTCTTCGGTTTCGGCTAATGTGCCTATCATTCGCATTGATATGGACCCTGCGTCTCGCGAGGAGGACAGGAGACATGCAGAAACAGAAGCTCAATTCCAACCCCAGGAGCAGACGCATGTAAAGAACGAACCGCAAAGGCAGACCCAGGCTCAGAATCCAGTGGTTGACCGACATGAGCCAATCCCAGACGCCAAGGTTGAATCCTCAGTGCCGCTGGAGACCACACGCGCTGGAGAAGCCAAGGAGGATGTAGCTGAGGCCAGGAATGAGAAATAAAGTTTTGGTGGCGATAATCACGTGCGCTGTAACATTTTGGATCTGTGGTCTTATTGCTGTTACGGTTGCATCAAGCATAGAACTCTCTCTTTTCTCTATCTCTCTGCATCAAGATGGTCAAGTTCTTAAAGTCAGGAAAGGTATTGATCGATAATCCTGGCGATCATAAGGCCCATGGATGTATATCATCGGCATATTGTGGCCGATGACAGCGAAAGATTCGTTGATTGCAATCGATGGATAGATACGAGTGGCGACAATCCAACTTACATCGCCCATCTTAAAAATCACTGTAGGTCGCCGTCATCCTCAACGGTCGCTACGCCGGCAAGAAGGCCGTCATCGTGAAAAATAGCAAACCAACAACTGCTTTCGAATTATTTTCAAAGGGACTTTTATATGTTTTATCTGGTGGATCGGGACATGGAAGCAGTATTACAGGGAATACATTCGGCCATGGATTCAATCATTAGGATCAGGATCAGGATCAGGATGCGCTTACCTCAAAATTCATGTGGAGAATCTGATTCAGCATATCCCCCAGGGCACTAAGCAGTTGGAAGATCTTTTGTTCACTCATCACTTATCACCACCCTTGCTTCCACTTGGCGCTTTCTTTGACTCGAAACTTCGACGATTTTTATAAGGACTTTTGCCGACAAAGAGGGATCATCAACATCACCTTGTTTCCATTTGGACATATCGCACAGAAGGCGTATATAGTGCGACAACATTGGCCAGCTGCGATCTACTTCATTGCCATACTACAACAGCAAATGATAGCTGTCAGGAGACAGGCATTTTACTCAGATTACTGTGGTCATTTGCAGCAAAATCAGGAACAGCCCAGTGCGATATGCCATTCTTTTGCGGGATACAGGATATGCGAGTGAGGGGGTATTGGTGCTATTCTGGAGTTCTGTAATTTTTCATCCCATTTATTTTCGCGCTATTGCAACTTTATGTTTTTCATGTTCTACACTGTTTCCTCGCATTGGAAATATGTGCAAGATTCGTATGACCTGTGCCCTGCCTTTTTTGTTGTTTTTCTTTTCTCTTTCTTTTTTCCCAATATTACATGTCGATGAGGGAACCAAGGAGCGCGGTTACGGTCACGCTCTTGTTGCTGGTGTCGAGCGTTACCCCCTCAAGATCACCAAGAACATGGGCAAGAAGCGCGTCGCCAAGCGCTCCAAGGTCAAGCCTTTTATCAAGGTTATCAACTATAACCACTTGATGCCCACCCGGTAGGAACAGTTTTCAATTTTTCAATGGAGGATGCAACGCAATTGGAATTTTTCTTTTGCTTGGATGGATAGAATACTCATCATAGAGTTCTTTCGCTTTTGGTTTATTTTCATTTCAATAGCTACGGCCTGGAGTTGGAGACCTTGAAGTCTGTCCTCACCGTCGACTCTTTCAAGGAGCCCTCCCAGCGCGAGGAAGCCAAGAAGGCCATCAAGAAGCTCTTCGAGGAGAGGTATGGGGAACACACTTTGTGCAACATTTCGCTCAATGCCGTTGAATGGTGGTGTTTCCAATATATTCTACAATGATTGCTAACTTTGATCCTGTCTTGGCTCTTTTCTGTCTCCAGATACAACAGCGGCAAGAACAAGTGGTTCTTCACCAAGCTCCGTTTCTAAACGATTGGCATGGGAGGCTAGCCAAACAAATAAAACTTGATCTGTTTTCTTCAAAGCATTGTTATATATTTTATCTTTCCACTTCAAGAGCGCTCAGGCAAAAACATGGTGGCAAATTCACAGGAACAAGAACTGCCCCTTAAGATATGGATCTCCTGTTCTTTTAAACTTGTTGACTTGTACTCACCATTTCATTGCATCACTCCTACTCGGTCGCTCGACAACACCATCAACAACAACGAATTACAGGGCAATGGCAAAAAAAAACAAGAAGAAAGTTGTGCGCCCTTGGTGCTGGTATGTCTCTGTCCGTTTAATCTGATTGTTAACCTTTGTTCTGCTCGTTTGTACTGATCAAGTTTGTCCTTTGTCTGTAGGTACTGCGAACGTAGTTTCGAGGACGAGAAAGTCCTGATCTCCCATCAAAGAGCAAAGCATTTCAAATGCAATCGCTGCAACAAAAAACTCAACACTGCCGGAGGAATGGTCGTTCATGTTATGCAGGTCCACAAGGAAACTATTGACAAGTAAGTAGCGATCGCTTCCGGTGCTAAAAGTGGACCATGGCTTGTTTTGTCGTACCATCACAACTTACAAATGGTTGCCTCTTGCCATTGTTTGTTCTTGTTCTTGTAGAGTACCAAACGCAAACGTAGGTCGCGAGTCGACTGATTTGGAGATCTATGGCATGGAGGGCATACCTGAGGAGGATGTTATCGCATACAACGCAAAGCAGGACGCTGCTGATGACCATGTTAGCAAACGGCCCAAGCTGAACTCAACCCCTCTCGAGTTTTCGGAAGAGGATCTCCAAAGTCAATTGGCTGCTCACAAAGCTATGATGCAGGCCGCCGCGGCTCCATCTACTGGTCCTCCCACTGGCCCTCCTGCTGGCCCTTATGGTGCTCCTACAATGGCTTCCGGTGCCCCTGGCTCAACGCCATTGCCCCCAGGAATGGCCCCAGGAATGGCCCCAGGAATGGCCCCAGGTATGTCCATGACCCCTCCCGGAGCAACAGGTCCTGGAGCGTCTCTTCCACCCAATCATGGCCCGTACCCAGGTCAGTTCCAATATCCAGGTATGCCTCCAGCTGCTGCCTCAGTCATGCCTGCTGCATATAGCCAATTCTATCAGCCCAGACCACCGCAGCCATATGGAATGCCACCACCAAGGTAAGTCTTTGGCCTTGCAGGATGAAATGCTCGCTGGATCACAGTGTTGATCTTACCATGTTTGTACCCATGCTAATACCTTTCATGCCGTCAACCTCTCTCTGTAATCACAATGTGTAAACGCACAGTATGCCACATTCTGGCCCACCTCAGCAGTTCCCGCCATTCGGCAATCAAATGGGTCCGCCTGGATCTTGGCCGCCTCAGAGACCACCTCCAGGAGCACCGCTCACCATGCCACCCCAACAGCAGCCTCCAGGCTTTCCCCCCAGATTCATTAACGGACCACCGCCACCAGGCTTTATGCCTCCTCCAGGAATGCCACTACAGGGACCATATGGAGCTCAAGGACTTCCTCCGGGAATGCCGCCTCCAATGCATGCGCCGGGAATTCCACTGGGCTCGATGCCTCCCAGGCCACCACCTTCGTTCCCGCCTTCTCTTCCAGGTGGGCCGCTTTCTGCTACGATTGCTGATGGAACAGGAACGTCCTCTTTTTCCACAGGTACTCCCAACGCTCAGTTGAATCATAATTTGAAGCATACCCCACATATCACATCATCACCGGATCCCACGACGCTGGCCGCTGTCTCGGGAGCATCAACGACAACGACAGCGACAACAGTGGTTCCATCGGCACCAACAACTACCGATGGTAAATCTGCGACTAGCGGTGCTGTTAGTAAGAAGGACAGCGTGCTCGTATATGCGAACAATGACGTTTCTATGGTAAGTGACCTTAATCCATTTTTTATACTCTATGCCCCTCCTCTCCTCCCTCCTCCCTCTGCCCGCCCGCCCGACAACATACCGCTACCTAGTATTGACTGATTGACTGGCTGATTGACTGGTTGATTGACTGATCCACTGACTTGTTTCGATACTCTTCGTGTGTCTTTGTTATAGGAGGAAGTCAGGGCAGGATTGGAACGATACCGGTATAAACCCAAGGTGGGGTCAGCAGCATAAGTATTCTGTTGTCGCGCGTTTGTTCCGTTCCGTTTCTTTTTTATTTTATTGCAATATAATAAAAAGGAAGAGAAAGGAAGAAGGGCTCATAGCCACCAATGCCAAATAAGAATAAGAATACGAAAATAAAATAAAATAAAATAAGATAAAATAAAAAGCCTTAATGATTCAGGGTCTACTTGGTGGCAAGGCTTGTGAGGTGCTCTCGATGGTTCTTTTCCAGGTCGCTTGTGCTCTACCGGGAGACCATTGCATCTGATCTTAATCAGCACATCGACACGGGGCTAAGGCGGAGCGGACGCGAAAGAAAAGGAAGGAAGGAAGGGGATAAAAATGGATGAGCAAGGATTTTTAACTTCAAGGGAAGACTCTCGCGTGCGTCCCCAGACAGGCTATCTAATTATACCCGTCCCCCTGTCCAAGTTCATTCTCCATTTCTCCATTTGCCACCCCTTTGCACGAGCGGAATCCATAGAAACGCAATTGAAAATGAGAGCACACACACCGCAGACACACGTATTAAAATAATATAAATTGAATTGGGATTGGGGAGTGGGATTGGGGGACTGGGAGTTGGGAGGTTCAGTGGGAGGAGGAGGCGAGGAGTTTCCTTTTCCTCCTGCTGCTGCTGCTGCTGCTAACCTGGTGGTGGTGGTGGTTGTCTCTGCATCTTTCACTGTGCATTCTTCCTTGCTCTCTCTCGTTCTCTTTCTCTCTCTCTCTCTCTCTCTCTCGCTCTTCTTTCTTTCCTTGCTTTGCTCTGCATTTGCCAGCAAAAAAAAAAAAAAAGAAAAAGCAGAACTACCGTTCCTCTTATTCTTGTGCTCTTTTTTATATTCTACTGTATCCTTCTTTTTCCATCCGTCCTTCCTTCCCTCTCTCTCCCTCTTTTTCCCTTCCTCTCTTTTCATCTGCTCTGCATTTTGTCTCTTTCCTTCCTTCTTCCCTTTTCTCTTCCCTCTTCCCCCAAACAAGAAACTCAATGAAGGGCCTGAAGGGTGTCTTGACAAGAAACAAGTCGAAAACCACCAATAACGCCACCAGCACCAGCACCACCAGCACCAGCCCGAGTGCCGACTCTTCCACGACCACAGTCCTTGCTGCAACCGAAGCTCTCGAGCCATCCTCCTCTGTTGCTGCCAGCCAGAATCAGAGCAACCCTATCAACATCCACATCACTAACGGGGCCAGTATCTCACCGAACAGCAGCTCCAACAGCTCCAACAGCTCTAATAACAACTGGAACACGGGCGACTCCAGCGGCCTCAATACGAATACGAACACGAGGACGAACACTAACAGCAATATTGGCAGTGGCAGTGGCAGTAACAGCAGCACCAGAAGCCATAACCACACCTCCCAGACACCTGTCGAGGTACACACCAGTGCCACTAACGTCTACGCAAACGTATCAGATACGGCTGCAAGCAATCAAAACAACACCAGCAGCAACATCGACCCCATCAGTGGCAACAGTGGCGGTAGCATGACACACGATCAGCGCGACAGTCATCCTCCAACTATTGTGATCATGAATGCGGAGCCTGTAAGAATCGCCCACTAGCACTTTGCTGTGTCATCCACCCTCCTCTTTCTACACACAATCTGTTTTTGTTTTTGTTTTTTTCATATTACCGAGACCAGGGGGGCGGGGATATTGACTTTGTACTGTCGTTGGTTTCGTTATTGCTATCGTCGTTATTATTTGATACTGTCGCAGCTGTCCTAGTCCGTACCTGTACCTCTGGCTCTGCAATGTTGTCTTCCTCTAATCCCCCCCTTTTTTTTGCATCCACTCAAGCGTCAATTGTTTATGCGCAATCTTGTATATTCTGTCTTTCCCCTAACCTCTCGTATCTTTCTGTTTGTGCGCTTGCGTTAGTCCGAATATCACCAGACCGAGGCAACAGTGCAGTTTGCAGGCCATCCATCAGCGACGAGCCCTGCGTCTCCGTCTGGAAAGGTCGTTGGCGAGAAGGAGGTTCCCAAGAGCGGACCAATTAACAGGATGAAGAACGCACCCAAGGACGCGATTCCTATCAGCAAAACACCTAGGAGACAGCGATCGTCACGATTTCATGTTACAGAACGTGTTACGCTGGAGAGATTGCAAGCGTTGGATGGCAAGTAGCTCATTCTCTGACCAGAATGAATACCGTGTCCATGCCCTGGTTAATATGCAACTAACAACGTTGTCTTCCTATCCTCGCTTGTTTTGGACCGTCTTGAAAAACTCATAGAAGTGGCGCACATTGATCGACAGGAATTGTTTTTGCGAAAGATTGGGCAGTGTTCAGTCGTGTTTGATTTCAACGACGCGTCCTCAGAGCTGAAGGGCAAGGAGATTAAGCGCCAAGCCCTGACAGAAATCCTGGACTACATCACTAACAACAGAGGCGTTATTACTGAACCCGTATATCCAGAGGTCGTGAGCATGGTATGTTCGTCTGACCATTGTAATTTCTATTCTGTACGACGCATTATATGCCTCAAATTAACCGCGAATTCTTCTGTTCATAGTTTGCGACCAACCTCTTCAGGACAATCCCGCCGCAGGTCAATCCCACTGGAGAAGCTTTTGATCCAGAGGAGGATGAGCCTGTATTGGAGTTGGCATGGCCCCATCTGCAGATCGTGTACGAATTCTTTCTTCGTTTTATTGAATCTCCAGACTTCAACACGAACATGGCAAAGAAGTTCATCGATCACCACTTCATCCTTCAGGTAAGTCAAAAGGAGGCATTGTACTGCGGCATCGCCGCATGTCTAAATATCTGCTTTCTGAAACTCAACGTGTCATGCCCTGCTCTATCCCATCAATACGATCATAGCTGTTGGAGCTGTTTGATAGCGAGGATCCACGCGAGCGCGACTTTTTGAAGACGACACTCCATCGCATTTACGGCAAGTTTCTCAACCTGCGAGCATTTATCCGTCGTTCAATCAACAACGTGTTTTTCCAGTTCATTTATGAAAAGGAAAGACACAACGGCATCGCAGAACTGCTGGAGATCTTGGGAAGGTATGAACAAGTCGCTCGCAGGAAGGATTTCTTCTCGTCATATTTCAAGATGCTGCTATGCAATTGGATCTGTCACGTATCCTTTTTTTTTTTTTTTTTGGACTGACATATCCTAATTTATTTGTTAACCTTTCAGCATCATCAACGGATTCGCGTTGCCACTGAAAGAGGAACACAAGACGTTCCTCACAAAAGTGCTTCTACCCCTTCACAAAGCAAGATCCTTGACACTGTATCACCCACAACTGGCCTACTGTGTGGTGCAATTTTTGGAAAAGGATCCGGCATTAACAGAAGAGGTAACGTATTGGCAGCACTTTTTTTTTTTTTTTGAAGACCCCTGTGCATGTTTTACTTGTTACAAAACTCACCCTAGATGCATTGAATAGGTTGTTCACGGACTTTTGAGGTTCTGGCCCAAGGTCAACAGCCCCAAGGAAGTTATGTTTTTAAATGAAATTGAGGAGATTTTGGATGTTATCGAGCCCTCGGAGTTTGTCAAAATCGAGGGTCCATTGTTCACGCAGATTGCGCGCTGCGTCTCAAGCCCCCACTTCCAGGTATGGTCCCTACTAATCTATGGTGTACTGCGACTCTGACGCGTTCATCCATGCGAGCATCACCACTACCACCACCACCGCAGTCAACTCAATTATCTTGTTACGAATGACATTACTTATACTAGGTTGCTGAAAGGGCGCTATACTACTGGAACAACGAGTACATTGTTAACTTGATCCATGACAACGCGAACGAGATCTTGCCAATTGTATTCCAGTCTCTTTATAAAAACTCGAAAACACATTGGAACAGGTAGATACTGTTGTAATGCGGTCAACCTACTTGATTGATGCTGTAGTTCAATCACTCACCGTTATTGTACCTTTAATAGGACCATTCACGGCCTTGTATTCAATGCGCTCAAGCTGTTCATGGATGCAACCCCCAAGCTGTTTGATGAGTGCACGAGCCACTATCGTCAAGCACGCCAAAAGTAAGTCGGCCTTCGGTGCTCACAAGGCTTCATACGAAAACGAAGAATGAGACCATTCGTAAATACTGATTACTTTATTCTGTGCTCTCGTATAATAGCGACCGCAAGCGCCTTCAAGACAGAGAGGAGACGTGGCAGCAGCTGGAGCATCTGGCGGCCGAGAACTATGCTAATCTCTCGGCACAAGGTGCTGTATCGGCGCCACTTCCACCTTCAGCAGAACCTGTCTCAGTTCCACTCGGTAACGTAGCATGGGCGATGCCGCCTACTACAACTGTCAGCTCTGCTTAGCTATTATCCTAATCGTCGTCTCTATACTTGTATAAATTAGAGCCGTTTGATCAAGGCGATGCTGCGGATGAAGCTGATGAAGAGCTTTTGGAGAACGGAGGAGCGGAACAGGACCTCTACAGCGGCGATTTGCAGACATTTGATAACAGTGGTCCAGTTTTTCACCAGTTCCGCCGAAAGTCGATTATACCAGTGGACGAGACAGTTTTGGACGAACTGTCGCGCCACCGCAGTCTAGAAGAGGTACTGGATATGCAGCGCACGTCAGCCAATGCCGAGAACGAGTAGACTGAGGGAGGAGACAGCAGCAGGGGAAGCAGTTGGCCGTGCTGTCATTGGAAAGGAGCCATGGTTGGATACCCATTTGTAGGAGAGAGAGTGACAGAGGCCGTGAGAGATGCAGACGACGCCATGTCCTGGAAGAAGTGGATCATCAGGGAAGTTCTTCAGAGCGAACTCGGGATTGCAGGTCGGAGGTGGAGACAAGATGGAGAAGAACAATCGCCTCAACCCCTTATAGACTTGTCGAAAATAAAATTAGACATAACTGATTGCTTCTCCATATCTGTGGCCAATGTATTACGTGTTAAGTTGAGGAATGAGCGAGGTGCCTGGCACTGCTTGATACGGATGCGAGCTGAGTCTCTCCGTTCCAGAAAAGAATAGCAAGGTGGGCATGTCCAGCTACCATACACAGCAATGCATAATTATGGAGGGCTTTCTCCTCGTGCATCAGAGTGCACAGAAGCCGATTTTTGTTTCTTGGTCTGTCGGTGTCATTTTCAAAGACATCCAAGACTATTGCTGCTGTGCTTCATACATTTCATTGAGGAGTCTACTGAGGCTGTTTTTGGAGTCCTTTTGGCGATCGTGATTCACCTCGAGCCTGCAGGAGCCGCATTGCTTCCCGCGGTCTCCCGCTTGCCTCGGTTGGTTTCGCTTTTATCGATATGGAAAACAATGTCGCCTGCGTCCAAGTCAATAATGCACTTTCGGACTCAAGTCTCAACTAGAATGTCACCGGTGCCGCCTGGATGTCCTCTCCATGACATTTCCTTGTGCGTGTCTCAAGCCCGGTCGCGCTTTGTGCGCGTCAGTGCTACTGCAGCTGCCACTTTTCGTTCTGCTTGTCGATTTGGATAACTGTGATATCTTGCTGGCGCGCTGACTTGGTCTTGTAAGCGTAACCTAGTACAGCTATAACCGACGCTGCCCAGGGCTTTCTAGCTGGTGTTCACGATAAAAAGAATTGTTAGCTAAGACATCGATTTGCAACGCCATTGGAACATATTAGAGAAAACGATGCTTAGCTTGACGATAGCTCAAGCTCAAGTTGTGTCTTGCGCAGCTCTCGCGTTCTTTTTGTAGCCTCTCTTTATTCAAGAGGACGCGCCCAACGCGCCTTCGTTTTCCATGTGTCGATAGTGGTTTGCAGACTATGGGTCTGCTGGTGTGCTCCTCAAAGAACCAGCCATCGCAGTCGTAGATTGCTCCAGAATCCTTTCCTAGGATCAGGGCCACCTGACAGACCCTTGACCATGATGTCTCCGCCCCTAGACTCACAGTCTACTGTCTTATGCGCTGGTGAGCGATCCTTCGCACGACCGTAGCCGAGCCCCTCGAGGACGATCTTGGAGGAGGGAAAGTGCAGAGTGGGGAGAGGAAGGAAGGAGAAGCGTCTCCAGCACAAGTGAGTTCAGTGCCGCGCAATTTGACGCGAAAAATACCTCGCCGAAAGTTGTGTACAAAAGAAAGATGAATCTTCACACAAAGTGCGCTCTGCGGATGCAAAAAAAAAAAAGGCTGGTGGTACTTCTCTATCTTATGAAAGGTGTGGTGTCCCAGACGCATGAAGGTGCCTTTGCAGGGAGCGATGCATCCATTCTTATGCTGCCAACGATTACTCATAGCATCATGGCATGTCGTGCTTCATACAAAAAAATAGTCGCTGTCCTACTATGAGAGCGGCCAAAATTCACACTCCTATTCGATATGGTCGGCTGCGTTGATTAGCTAACCGACTCTTGAGGACTCAGAGCAGTCGAAGAAGCAGGATGTCTGCAGCGCTGTTTTGATTACGTGTGTGCCAGGAAAACTTCTTCTTTGATCGCTGTAAAATACGGTTGGAAGTTCACTTCAACAGCATTACTGAATAAAAGTCATGCACTGTCTCATACATGCAAATTGACTGCTGTGCTTTTGAACAAAGGGTCCCACAATTGCAAATGGATGAACATGGTCCAACGGTTTGATCAATTGTTCCGAGTGACTACCTCCTTCCAGTATAAAAAGACCATTCTTCTCCCTTCTCTTCTTCCTCATAAATGGCTCAGACCTCAATGGTCCTAGACAATGGCTAGCGGAATGCAATGACCTTTTTGGTACGCACTCTTCCCCTGAAAGTCTCCAGCGTGAACGTGACGCGCACTCTAATCCCCGCACACAATGGGTAGACAGGGACACTTAATGATGGGGTCGGGCACGCGTACCTAGGAGCGAGCAGAAGCACCAGAGTTGTTGACCATCTGAGGATCGAATCGCATTATATCGCGCGGTAATGCGAATTAATTTTTGAAGGCCCCCTTTGGGGCCTTATTCTCTTTACTCCACTACAAAAAAAAAAAAAAAAAAAAAAAAAAAAAAGAAAAGAAAAGAAAAAGAAAAAGAAAACGACACAAGTGTAGGAAAAGGGAGTTCATGGGGAGCAAGACAGGAGCCTGATGCAACGCTCATGTTGCTTTCTGCATTCATCCTGAATTAGATCACCTCGCAACTTATACGGTACTCTATTGGGCGGAGTCTATCTGTCTCGAATTTCTGTCCAGTATGTCGACACACGCGCCGAAGGAGCCCACGACGCAGCACGCAATAAATTCGCGCGCCAAGCAGGCGTCTCTTTTTGTTTGAAAAAACCTCCCATGGCTTCTATTCCCAGCTGTGATTGTCCTGTCTTTTGTTCGGTTTGCGTCGATATTCGTGGTTCCGTTGCTTCGTTAGACAGCAAGGTCTTGGTATCATGGCATGTTGGCACATGCATTTTTTTTTTTCGGAAAACATTATGATGCGGATTTGTCTGCCAAAGGCCATACGACCCTGGTCCAAGGAAAACTATACGTTAGCATTACCACCCTCAGTGAATATTCTTTCCAACAAAAGGCTACCTCCAATGAAAGGCGAGCGTAGCAATCATAGTGAGATAAATAACAATGGAGTACAGGAGTTGTGAAGGGTACAATGGTAGGAAACGGATGTTCAGCATCAATGAGATGACAGACGACAGGTGGTATGCCGACACGGCGAATAATGAGTTGCTTGTGATGGCATGGCCATGGAAAGAGTCTCAGAAAGATGCTGGAGAATAGAACGTAGGAGTCTACGGTGCTAAATCGGTGGCAGATCCCTCCCAAGAGGGGCACGACTGGCCTAAAAGCACCCTAAAAGAAAGAAAGAAAAAGATGAGGGTGGGTTGAGGAGCTGTGTAGAGGAAGGAGCAGCAAGGCGAACACAGAAGTTGGAAAAGACCCTCATTTATCTCATAGACAGGTGTTTGCACAACCGATCGCACAGGGCTTTTGTGCAAGACCCAGCCTTGCTCGATCGTCTTCTATAGCAGGTGGCCAACCTGGTATTAGACCTAGGGAATGTCTGATAAGTCTTAGTGCCTAGAGACCTGACATCCTCATTTCGCCTCGCCTGAGAACGCAGACGCGTCCAGAACGCAGAACTCTCTTTTCCACAGACCAGGGCAGATGTCCTATTGGCTGCACATACATTTTAGTGGCGTCTGATGAACATTGGAAAAAGAAGCCGATGTCCCTGGTTGCAGCGGCAGTCTTTCAGGCTCCACATACCATAGTATAGCTGCATCCTTGTACAAAAACGATAATACTTTATTATCCAAAAGCTATGGTCCCGTATCGTTTGGGATGATCAGCTTTCCGGATGAGTAGATGCTGCTCATATCAATTTCTTTTGAAGTGTAGGCCGGTGCTTTATTTCCAATCTAATATGTAATTCCTACCATGTAGCCCACAAAAAAACGTACTGATCGTTTTTATAGGAACTCCATCGTCCTTTCCCTAAATTTGCAATGAACAGGAACAGGAGCAGGAACGAAGCCAGGGAGAGCGACGACAGCGAGAGCGATAGCCGGGAAGAGGAGAACGAAGAGCAACTTCTATCCTCGGAGACCCAACAGCTGGGCCAGGCGAACCACCCTGACGATGAACCAACAGACCACAACAAAACCAGCGGCAGCAGCAGCAGAAAGGGCGACAAAGCTATGGTAAGGGAGGCGCGTCAGGCAGGTCCTAAACCGCTCCCTCGCCTTTCAACATCTTTGGGTTCCCAGTTCACCATACACGGGAACCCGTCCTCCTCAGTCCTTCCGAGAGCTCCGACATTCAGCAATGGCGTAGGTTCATCGTTCGTCGACACAATGACTCAACAACTCTCTATCCACGTGGAACAACCTGTCGGGAGCATGAGTATCTCGCCTAGCAGCCGTGATGTCGTACTTGCAGCGTAAGATGGCAAAGTCGTTCGATGTCCTTGCGCTCAGCCTCAGCTGATCACTAACGGTATTCGATACAACATTCTTTCACGATTATGAACGTTTTACAGGAGGAAAGGACTTTTCATCATTGATCTTGAGAACCCATATGAACCACCTCGGCTACTTCATCATCTGACAAAATGGGAGGTGGCAGACGTACAGTGGAACCCACACTTCAGTCGAGAAAACTGGATCGCATCCACGGTAAGTGCTCAACTAACTCTAATCTGGCATACCGCACAGCACGGTCTTCTCCACAGCATGGCTTTATAACGGTGCCTATGCTACTTTTCCGCTTTTATCAGTCAAATCAAAAGGCACTCATCTGGAATTTGAGCCATAACGCACCGCGCGCAGTTGAGCTCATCCTACATGCGCATAACAGAGCCATTAGCGATATCAATTGGTCGCCGTTTCATCCAGATCTCCTTGCAACATGTTCAGTAGACACGTTTGTTCATCTGTGGGATCTCAGGACACCAAAGAAGCCCGTTAACTCGTTTTGCGCATGGACTGGTAAGCAGAGTTCGCATTTGAAGGAGCAGCTAATGTGTTACATTGGCGGTATACGAATATGAATATCGATCCAACGGTATTTCTCATTTCATGTAGCTGCTGCAACAGTTGTCAAGTTCAACAGAAAGGATGAGTACACGCTTGCATCAGCACACGACACCAAGGTGGAAGTTTGGGATACCAGGAAAGGATCTTCCCCATACATTAGCATTCCGGCTCACAAGCAAAAGATCAATGGTATTGATTGGAGTCGTAAGCACAGGAATCATATCGTCACCTGCAGTTTGGACAAGACCATAAAATTCTGGGACATTGACAATCCTAGTCAGCCTCACAAGGTGATTGCGACCAAATCCCCCGTTTGGCGTGCAAGGCATACTCCATTTGGTCATGGCATTTTGACAATGCCTCAGAGAACCGAAACGGCGCTTTTACTTTGGAATCGGGACCATTCGGAGGAGCCTGTTTGCAAATTTGAGGGCCATACAGACACGGTTAAGGAGTTTGTCTGGCGTGTGCGCAAAGCTGGAGACGAAACACTTTTTCAGCTGGTTACCTGGTCCAAGGACCAACATCTTCGATTGTGGCCAATAAGCGACAAGATGTTGGAGGCCATGGATCACAAAGCGACAACGCCTATCGACGTTGCACCATATCCACCAATGTATGAAAACATGTCGTTCAGGGACCCGCCACCTCAAAATATGACGGCAACACCATCGAGGGCACTATCGACGCTACGCGTCCTAGCTGGCAATCGACTCTCTACGATGACTCCCTTCAGAACATCGATGTCATCTCGCACAGTGGGTCCTGTGGGTAGCCACGGTGGATATTATAGGGACAGGAAGGCGCCGTCGCCGCTGGTATGGATGCAGGGTGTTCGGATGGTCAAGCCTAGCGGAGAGCTTGGGCTGCCGGATCGTGCATCACCACAGACTGTTGCTACAGAAATTGCGGCTGTCGGACAAAAGTTCCAGAACGTCAAGTTTGAAAAGGTCAATGTTGCTGGCAGGACCTGCACAATCAGCCTCAACAGTCTTCGATCAAACGAGGGAGTGTCGTTTCTTCGCGTCAATATTTCTTTCCCGCAATTCTATCCCAAGAAGGCACCTCCAACATTTGAGATCCAAAAGTCAGGGATGCTGTCAATGGCCACACGTGCTCAAATTGCAGCCAATCTGGACCATATTGCAGCGACACATGCATCCAGGGGGTTGCCGTGTTTGGAGGCTATCATTCGATGCTTGCTGGGGGAAGACAAACGAGACGAAGCCTTAGACAAGGGAGATGATTCGGATGAGGAGGACACGATTGTCAACCCGTTACGGAAATCTCGAGGGCGCGATAGCGGTGCGGGAGATAAGAGGGATCAACAGGTCCCGTTTCCTTGCCTATGTGGAGCTGTTTTTGCCACTAACGGTAAGGACAAGTCCTTCTCATCTTGGAGCGTACGGAGTTGTGGACTATATTTTTTCAGTTCTAAATGTTTGCTATTTTTTTCTGTGTAATCGTGGGATATAGGAAAACTTGTTACGTTCTTCTCAAAACTCCGTACACCTCATGCTACGACTACCAGTATATCAACGACTGGGCGCAGCAATGCTTTGCTTAAGGCTGCATACACTTACACCCACCCTCGAACATACGCGTCGATGGGTGAATACAAGGCATTCTCGCGTCTGCCTAGCGGGGCTGAGGGACTGGCAGGAACGGTGTCCAGCTTTGTCGCAGATGCAGACGACCAGGATGACCTCTGGCCCATGCCCAACCTGTTTACAAAGACCAAACCCAAGCAGGAGCTTGTGCGCGTCACCAGGAAACCAAAAGATCAACCCGTCTATTTCAAAGCGCAGCCGCAATCTCGGAGTACTTTATACCTCAAGGATATCACGCACTTACTCCCCGTATCTCCGAGATTGGCTGCCGCTTATACGTATGTCGTCGATTCCTGTTTAACAGAACCCTTTGCTTCCTTTTTACGTATCAGGAGCTGACGCTTCTTCTTATTCTTGGTATGCCATTTAGGCTGAACGGTGATAATGTATCGGAGATTTGCGAGCAGAACGCGCTGCAGGCACGATACTTGGGACGTCTGGACTTGTACAAGATTTGGAAGCTGGCAGCGCTAATTCTAACGCTATCTGTACCCATGGATCCTGTCACGTTCGAGATGAACAAGACCGAAATTTCCAAAATGAACTCGCAAACACATCCGGACAAACTGTTGGATCTTATGAACCGCTCCAGTCATGCCAAGCAACGTCGCGACAGTGGCATGGCATTCGTTCCTGTTTTAGAGGATACATTTTACCAAAAGGTCCGATGGGGCACCCATCCCCTGGGAAGGAAATTGGTCGATGTGCTGTAAGTGAGGCCTATCGTAGTAGGGTTTGTTTCGTGGCTATTTCGTGTGTCTATCATATCCTCATATCAAGATTCTCATTCTTTTCTATCGCCCTAAAAACAGCTTTTCCTATCTTGAGCGCCACGGGGATATTCAGATGCTGGCACTGCTCTCTTGTGTCTTCAAGGATCCTTTCAGGAACACAATTGCAGTGACAGGCATAACACCTGTAAGTTAGACGAATTTGGGCAGACGTAACCTTGTAAATGTTGGTAAACATTAGCTAGTTGTGCCAACGAACCACTACATATTACCTGACACACATATAGCCACAAGCACATTATCGTCCATACCGTCAGTCGCCAATAAGCGATGTACCTGACTACTTCAATAGCCGACAGCCCAGCAACACAAGGTCACTCACTGGGCTCCCTAGTAATACGACGCCTATGTCCATGGACCAGAGTCCTGTGCGTGCAAGAACACCTGCAACGACAAGGATATCGCCATATCTTAACCGAGTCTCACCTACTACCGCGGCATTTGGCACCTCATACTCTTCATCGATGCGAAGAACACCAAGTCGATTATACAATGGAGCCTTGACGTCGCCTCTTACGACACCTTCATCACTAAGAGAGGCCTATTCTGACATAAACCCAGGATATGGACCGCTTGTGGCGCCCATCATCACGAATGCCTATGCCACCCAAGCAACCATTGCACAGGACACTGCAGCATCGTCCACACTAGCATCGGCATCATCAACAATAAGGGATTCAGGACCACCACTGCCATATACACACAGCAAGCGCGACTCTTACAACTCAGTGCAAGGCACCAGTCCTACGCTGCTCCCGAAATTGGCGCCGATACATCGACGCGAATCGAGCTCCTCTCCATCATCCATTGTTGAGAAGAATGAGCGGCATACGGTCCGGGCGAGCGGGTTTAAGATGGTGAAGATGAACGGCGGTTTTTTTGACTCGGATGAGACGTAAGCAGAACTGACATTTTTCTTTGCTCAGTCCGTATACATTTCAACCAATTGTGTCTAAACAGTATCCTACTCTTAATTCTAGGCCGATGAGCATACAACTGCTGGACCCAGCCAAAGAGTCCCAACACAACACATGGCGTCTACTATACGCCGAAATGATGTACAGTTGGGGGCTGTTTGAAGCACGCACCGAATTGCTCAAATTCCTGACATCCAAACCTAACATCAGCTATCGACTCAAGGAGGATGCCTCGCCACTCGAGCGAATCCTAGGGATCGAGAAGCGAGGGCCCCAGATCTTCAACAAGTGCTTTGAATGTGAAAACAGACTGTATCCGAGCTATAAGTGCGATTTCTGTAAGCGGATGCGAATCGGGATCAAGTGTACGATCTGTCATATCTCGGTCCGCGGTCGGACCAGCGTCTGTCTCAAGTGTGCGCATGGCGGGCATTCGGAGCACATGTGGCAATGGTTTGTGCAGGAGCGTAACACGGTCTGTCCTACGGGCTGTGGATGCGAGTGTATGGTGAATTATGGAGGATGGGCAGGCGGAAAAGAAGTTCCGCTGATGACGAGGCAGGCGCTGCCGCAGGAATCCCTGTAGAAACGTGAAGAAAATAAAAACCTGTATTTGTAGCGCTCATGACTAGAATGATGAACTATTTAGGGCTGACATCTCGAGATAAAAGACATTTCTACATTACGCGACATGATACACAAACATGTCGTGGTGCATTGTTCTCAGCGAGCAGGTTTTATTTGTAACTTTGCTGTTGACTTGCGCGCTGTATATGTACCGCAGAAGGACATCTTTTCTAAAGTTTGGATTCGAACTGGCGGATCTCGTTGTACAGCGCTGTCAACCGCTCCCGGTACTCTTGAATGACCGGATGTCTCTTGAGCTTGAACGTAGGCGTCATCTTGTCATTCTCGACCGTGAATGCCTCGGTCTCGATCAATACGGCCTTGGGAATTTCAAATCTATTATGCAGTGGCAATTAACAACAAAAGTGCATGGTCAGAAGGACTCAAAAGATGGATGAACCTTCAGTATAAAAGAATTCTCAGTTTTTCACTACATCCCTACCCTTTCAAACCAGCCTCCTTGCCGGCCTTGACGAGCTCTTTGAGGACAGCCTTCCGCAACTTGTCATCATTGCAGATACTCATGTACGAAGCCATGTCACCAATCTGAACGTTGGTGCCCTGCAGAATCTTGTTCACGAACGGAATAAATGTCTCTGCATCCGGGATCACAATCGCCACCAAGCAGCTCTCATGTGGGTCGCCATGGACAAAGATCTGTTGAAGGAATGGAACCTTCGACAGGAACTTGCCCTCGATATTCTCCGCAGCAATGTACTCTCCCTGGCTCAACTTGAACACATTCTTTTTGCGGTCAATGATCGTAAAGGTGCCGCTATTGTCTACAATTGCGATGTCTCCAGAGTGTAGCCATCCTTCCTCGTCGATCGTCTCCCGTGTCTTGGCCTCATCCTTGAGGTATCCAGAAATGACGCTCGGGCCACGAACGCAAAGCTCGCCGCGAGGGTAGGGTTTATCCGTGGCAAAGTAGTTGAGCTCGGGAACATCCTCCAGTTTGATTTCGCAGCAGACTTGAGGTGGACCAACATGGCCAGCTTCGGTCTCACCAATGAGGGTGTTGGTCGCGGCTCCGGTACCCTCGGTCTGACCGTACGCCTCAACGACCTCGCAGCAGAATGCAACTCGGGTAAACCCTAAAATTTCGGCTGAGATGGGAGCCGAGGCTAATACACCATAAAATGTAGTCGTGAGAACTACTGGCGTACTAATACATTTGTCTGTCCATGATTCTGCAGCAAGAGATATTAATAACTTACCAGTCAAGATAAGACGCACATTACCACCGAGAGCCTGCTTGACCTTTCCAAAGAGTAGACGGTCCCAGAACGGATGGGTGAATCCTTTGCCCTCCTTCAGCTTGGCCAGCTTGACAGCAAGGCCGCGTCTGGCAAGCGCTCCTGTCAATCCAGGAGCATCAACAGTAGCTGCGCGAATCTTAGCATAGATTCGGTTCAACAATCTGGGAACACAAGGGAAGATAGTTGGTTTTAAATTTGCGAGGTCTTCAAGCAGCAGAAGTTGATCTCCTGTGCTGTAGCCGATTCTTCCTCCTTCAGAGAACATGAACAGCTCCATGAGTCGGCCAAAGACGTGGGGCAGGGGTAGGAAACTGAACACACAGTCGGTGGTGGTCATGGGCATTGCCGAATCTTCCGCAGCCAAGACAGCGATCATGTTACCGTGGCTCAAAATGGCACCTTTCTAGTGCCCAAACCAATATTCAGATAATATAAGAATACGTCGCATTGCCTATAGAGAAATCCGACATTGCGACACGCCCACTGCACTTACTGGCAGACCAGTAGTGCCACTGGTATAGCAAATCGTGTAAACATCCGAGGGACTCGGAGGAGTATGCTTTCTTCCAAACTGGACTCCAAGGGCCTCAACCTCTGCCCAGTCATAGAGTAACACGCCCTTGTCCTGGGCATAGGTCCTGAGGATCGAACCAACACCCGCTCGTCCAGGAGCGGAATTACCGGACTCAAGACTGTCCATGCTGACAACAGCCTTCAGACCAGGCATCTTGTGCGCATCGCACAACAAGGCAGCGACATGATCCACTGCAGATTAGAGATGGTCAGGACATTCAGTCACTTTGTGCTACGTTGATCTACATAAATCTTCATAAAGTATTGCCGTGGCCATTTTCTCACTCACCGCTTGTAACGACAATCGAGCACTCCGAATGATTAACACCATAGACCACCGCCTCGGGCCCTAGTGTGTCATACAATCCTACGGATACCAGGTTATAAGCCGAGCAAGCCTCGGAAGTAATCGTCCACTCGGGTCGGTTGATGGCCCAGATGCCCAGGGACCATCGTTGAGCAACCGACTGGAGTTCGTAGGCCTTCTGATGGATCTTGACGAGACCGCTTCCAAGGCGCGTGATCCGATCGTTTACTTCAGTGTAAGTCTCCCAGGCATAGCCACCGAAGGTCTTTGTGATGGGATCGTACACGCGACGGCCAAGCGCGGGGCCATTGGGCGAAGTTTTCAGTCCTACGGGGAGAGGATTTATTAATAAAGAGAGAGAGAGAGAGAGAGAGAGAGAGAGAGAGAGAGAGAGAGAGTGTGTGTGTGTGTGTGTGTGTGTGAAGTTAATAAGTGTGTGGGGAAGCGTGAACCTTTCGAGAGGGGCTGTCCTTCAATGTACAAGGTTTTACCATGCTGGAAGGCGTCGTAGACGGTCTTGACGTTGGGTCTCAACGAAGGAACGGATACCAAATTGTTCTCGAAGCCCTTGCGGCGATAGATACCTATGTAGTATATTAAGACAAGAGGCCGACGTACCAAGGATCAGAATTGGGTCCATTGTATACAAAGCAACGCGAGTCGGTCGGTCGGCAGGCAGTATGAAAATAAGCACACTCGGTATTACTGTACCGGTCTGTCCAGGTCGTCTGGTTCCTGGAAGTTCCACGGCCTGTTGGTGTCTGTCAAAGGTCATGAGGCTGCAATGAGAGAATGAGTGAGGAGAGAGTGATGAGGTGAACGAGAAGGATGAAGGAGAGGAAGTGAAGAAGAGGGAGAGGAAGAGAGATGGGATGAGAAAGTTTTCGTGTCCGCTGCATCAACGCGCATCCTGCCTGCATGCCTGCTGCATTCGGCTAGCGCATAAATATCATTGCTCCAGTGCAATGCACATTGTGCAATGGTAGGGCTCCTGTCCTGCTTCTCTCATCTCCTCCTTGGTATCCTTGTGACCAGTTGCCATGGCGGGCAATTGCCAATTGTCTGTGTCCTTCGCTGTGGGCCTGTGAAAGGCATGGAGAGCAACGGGCGCAACTGGCCAGAACTCTAAACGGATATGGTTTTTTCTCCGCCTTCCACGTCGGTTCGGCTTGAAATGTTTCTCTTCTCCACACTCTCTTGTTTTGTTTTTCCATCTTCCGTCGTCTCTTCTTTTCGTCCATTTCTTCCACATAAGTAACGTGCTCGGTTCGCTGATTTGCTGTGGGCGGAGGTCGATGGATGTGAACTAAGGAGTAATAGTAAAGTACACGTTTCTAGATGTGAATTGATAGCAGAAAAGAATGAAAGAACGAGCAACGTAGCTTGCATTACTGAAAGACCGGTCGCTGTTCAACTAGTCTAGGGGCTTAAAGCTAGATTTGCATAGAAACTTTCGTTCCATGCTCCAAACTTCTGAAGAACACATTTAGCGCTTAATAGCTCGAGGGAAATGCGTCGACCTTTCCTTTTCCTTCGAATGACAAAGAATCCAGCCGGTTTCTTATCTCATAGGGGCTGTGAGGATGTTGTTCGCATAGAGATCGCTATGTATACCTATGTACATGCGACATTATCGAGGGGGAATGTAGATTGAGAATCTGGGTGCTTTTTCGGAAACCGCGCGGTATGAGTGGTTGCCACCAATTTTGAGATTGCCACCAATAGTGATTGTAACTCGAGTTAACTCAACTGAAAAATTTGATGACATCACTGATTACATTGTCAATTAGCAATAATGTCTTAAATAAAAAGACTATAATTGACAATACATTCAGTAAGGTCATCGAAGAGTTAACTCGAGTTACAATCACTAGCCACCAAATTGATGTTGTTGCCACCAATTTGAGTTGTGTTGTGTGGATCATCCTTTGCGAAGGTTGATGGCCAATAAATTTTGCCCAATTTTAGTTGCTGATAGCGAAGACCTGTATCGCTGGGCGCAGTGCTTCCCGATGTACTGTGCACTGGGCACAATGGATGCAGGCAGTGATATGCTTGCGATCGGATATGTAGCAGGGTCTTTGGGGCGCCTGTCTGTGCATGTGTATATATGTGCATCCTCATCGGGTATATGTCTATCGGATAATGCGGATGATGCGGATATCGCAGACAAGGCGTGTGCGTCTGGTTACTGAACGCGATTACGACAAAGGAACGCGACACATGCAGTAGCTGGGGTGATAACACCGTCGGAACAAACGTAATCAGCATTAATGTCTATGCTGTGGGAAAGTATCGCCTTAGTTGGGCAATTACATTTTACAGACGGACGAGCCTCCCAACGTCCCTACAGCGGTGCATAGATAAGATCCATTTGTCCCCCACAAAAACCAAATCCGTAAAATCCGTAAAAATATTATCTCAATGCGTGGTTGCTGGGCGGAGCCTAGAAAATAAACAGCAACTCTATTTTTTTTTGTAACAGCGTATTACGGTGGGGATGTGGACCTTGCTCCTTCTCTCTAGCCCTCTTTCTCTCTAGGCCTCCTCCTCTCTAGGCCTCCTTCTCTCTTGCTTGATGTGATTGACTACGATGTCAGTGCCAAGCATGATCCACTCAAACAAAAGGATTGCGATGATGCATGATACATAAAACGGACGAAACTGTGTCCATCAGTCCAACGACCGATGCTTATAGTTCCGATGAAAGCGGACAAAGGAACACATAAGTCGCGCGATCCAATGTCTTTGTTGAAGTTACAGCCTTGGTTTTGCATGCACCTGTCTGTGAATGTGGGTGTCTCCATACAAGCACTACCCGTTAACACAAGTCCAGGAAGCACCGGCGAGCAGGACACAGTGTTTGCGTGAGATATGATATGTTACTGGCTCTATGTGGATCCGATGCGTCTGGCCCCCCAAAAGGGAGTATAGCAACAACAAAAAAATAAATAAAATAATAAAAAATAAAGAAATATAAAACCGCTATGCGCGGGGGTGTGGCCAATGACAAGCCCAAAGGCCTTTTTTTTGTTGGGTAGTGGGCCGTAGAGAAACAGGGCAACAACCTTGTTGGAGCACCACAAAGCCACTACAGGGATGGCCCGCACCCCATAATAGGAAACCAGCTAGATTGGCATTCATTTAGAAAATGAACCCAAATCATATATACCAGTCCCTGTCATAGTCTTCCTCCTCCTACTCCTCTCTTCTTTCCTTTCCTTCCTCCGCTTCCTTCCAACCCCTCATTCGACTCATTGCATCCTCATCCTCGCCTTCTCCATTCCAGCTCTGTATTTTTCTTTTCCTTCTGTGTTTGTTGTGCTCTCCCTTACTTCCTTGCTTGCATATTCCCTATATCCCATCCTTTCTCAATTGCCTCCCCCTTCTCTCAGAGTCTTGCTTTTCTCCCAGTTGACCCCACAAAACGCGCCCATCTCTAATATCCCATTGACCTTCGCAACTATCCCATCATGACCACTAACGTACAGTCCTTCATTGGTGAGTACTTCGTCCTCAATTGCTCAACTTGACGTGCATTTGGCCCTTAGTATGATTTTCTGTAGAATGGAGCGTGGAAAAAAAAAAAAAAAAAAAGTCTGCAAATAGGATCACTTACCAAAAAGTTTTCTCCGAGGGTGGTCTCCCCGAGATTCCCGCGCCATGAGATTATACACACATAAAAAGGAGAGAAGGAATACTGGAGACATGAAGAGGGACGGGAAAGAAAACGAAATCAACCAAGGCTGTTGTGTCCTCTGCGTCGCCATATACTTACCATACTTCAATTACTTTTGTTATCCCCATCAATTACTTTCTTCTAGGAGGAAACGCATTAGGGAGTGCACCAGCGGGTGCCGTCCGTGACTTTGTGAGCCAACATGGGGGCCACAGTGTGATCACAAAGATTCTGATCGCCAATAACGGTATCGCTGCCGTTAAGGAGATCAGATCTGTGCGCAAGTGGGCGTACGAGACCTTTGGAGACGAGCGTGCGATCCAGTTCACTGTCATGGCTACGCCTGAGGATCTCAAGGTGAACGCCGAATATATCCGTATGGCCGATCAGTATGTTGAGGTACCGGGAGGCTCCAACAACAACAACTATGCCAATGTCGATCTCATTGTCGATATCGCCGAGCGCACCGGAGTCCACGCTGTGTGGGCTGGTTGGTAAGCATTGCCTTCGGGGTTTTTAATACTGGGAATGAGTTCAACTAGAGACAATATCACTATCAATTGCGGATCGGCTACAATGCCTGTTTATTCTATTGGAGAGAGACGTTTGTGGCAGGTATTATTAGGATCGATGCGTTTCTTGGGGAAGAGTGAGCTGGGAATTGACCTTGAAATTGCTACTGAAAGAGTATGGACATGTGGCGGCGTCGAGAAGAGCGCAAAAAGACTTTGGACGATGAGATCTTTTGATCGGCCAGTGTTGATGCTGTTGACATTAGCACGGGTTTATGCTTATGCGTAGTGCGCTACTGCTGCGGCTGGATAGAGATTGATGGTCGATATCGGCACCATGTTCCCCCAAAACGTGCCTCTTGTTCTTTTATTCTTCTGTCCCAAAATTATTATTTTTGGTGGGGAACGAAAATCAAGCCTTCTTTGTTCAATTGCTTCCACACAGTCACAGTGATATGCGAGACTCTCCGCTGAAGACAGCACTCTCCATGGTCGTGTGTATATGTGGATGTGGATGTGAACGCCAATGTCAACCAATGTACCTGAGGATGGGCGGCGGCGGCACGAGCATACATATAATAATAATTCCGTCTTGTCGCTATGGACCAATACCGCCGGTCTCCGTGTGCTTCCAAAGGATCTAGTCTAGTCCAATAATGGGGGGTTTATTTCGTCTTGATAATGACCAATTGCTAATTGCTAATCACACAAAAAAATCATTATGCGAATAGGGGGCATGCCTCCGAGAACCCCAAGCTTCCAGAGTCCCTTCGCGACAGTCCCCAGAAGATCATCTTCATCGGTCCCCCTGGATCGGCCATGCGCTCGCTCGGAGATAAGATCTCCTCCACCATCGTCGCCCAGTCAGCCGATGTCCCCACCATGGGCTGGTCCGGTACGGGTATCAAGGAGACCACTATGGATGCCGACGGCTTTGTTACTGTCCCCGACGAGGTCTACCAGGCTGCCTGTGTCACCGATGCCGAGGATGGTCTGCAGAAGGCCCATACCATTGGCTTCCCTATCATGATCAAGGCCTCCGAGGGCGGTGGAGGAAAAGGTATTCGCAAGGTTGAGGATCCCGAATTGTTCGCCCAAGCCTTCCAGCAGGTCCTAGGTGAAGTTCCCGGATCGCCAGTGTTCATCATGAAGCTGGCTGGCAACGCTCGTCATCTGGAAGTTCAGCTCCTGGCTGATCAGTACGGAAACGCCATCTCCCTGTTCGGACGTGATTGTTCTGTCCAGCGTCGCCACCAAAAGATTATTGAGGAGGCCCCTGTTACCATCGCCAAGCCCGACACGTTCGAATCGATGGAGAAGGCCGCTGTTCGTCTGGCAAAGCTGGTCGGCTATGTATCTGCAGGAACCGTCGAATATCTTTACTCTCACTCCACCGATACCTTCTTCTTCTTGGAGCTTAACCCAAGACTTCAGGTCGAGCATCCCACTACCGAAATGGTTTCCGGTGTCAACTTGCCTGCTGCCCAGCTCCAAATCGCCATGGGTCTCCCTTTGAACCGCATCAAGGACATTCGTGTGCTTTACGGTCTTCAGCCCACTGGAACCTCGGACATCGATTTTGAGTTCGCCGAACAGATTTCGTACGAAACTCAGCGCAAGCCTGCTCCCAAAGGCCACGTTATCGCTGTCCGTATCACGGCCGAGAACCCCGACGCTGGCTTCAAGCCCTCGAGCGGTATGATGCAGGAGCTGAACTTCCGATCTTCAACCAATGTCTGGGGCTACTTCTCAGTCAGCTCAGCAGGCGGTCTGCATGAATTTGCGGATTCCCAGTTCGGACACATTTTCGCATACGGCCAGGATCGTGGTCAGTCTAGAAAGAACATGGTCGTTGCTCTTAAGGAGCTGTCGATTCGCGGTGACTTCCGTACTACGGTCGAGTACCTCATTCGCCTTTTGGAGACCCAGGAGTTCGAGGAGAACACTATTAACACTGGCTGGCTCGACAGCTTGATCTCCAAGAACCTGACCGCCGAACGTCCTGAGACTATGCTTGCGGTCGTGTGCGGTGCTGTGAACAGGGCCCACGCCATCTCAGAGAATTGTCTCAAGGATTATAAGAAGTCGCTAGAGAAGGGACAGGTGCCCAGTAAGGATGTTCTTCGCTCCGTGCACCAGCTGGACTTCATCTACGATGGCGTTCGCTACAACTTCACCGCCACCCGATCAGGTCCCAACTCCTATACCTTGTACCTGAATGGTTCCATGATCTCGATTTCTGTGCGTCCATTGACCGACGGCGGTTTACTCGTTCTCTTGGATGGCAAGGTGAGTAGCTAGAATTAACTTTATTGCAGCAGACGACTTCGACACTATACCTACATTTATTAACTATCATTCCCTACGTTAGGCACACACCACATATTCGCTAGAGGAGGTTCAGGCGACGCGTTTGATGGTCGACGGTAAGACTTGCCTGTTGGAAAAGGAGAATGACCCCACTCAACTTCGCTCTCCCTCTCCCGGAAAGCTTGTCCGTTACCTGGTTGAATCTGGCGACCATGTTACTGCTTCGCAGGCATATGCCGAGATTGAAGTTATGAAGATGTACATGCCCTTGATCGCTACCGAAGATGGTATTGTGCAGTTCATCAAGCAGCCCGGCACCACTCTCGAGGCTGGTGATATCATCGGTATCCTCAGTTTGGACGATCCTTCGCGTGTGCGCCATGCCAAGCCATTCGAGGGCCAGCTTCCCCCGATGGGTCAGCCCACGCTTTTTGGCGCCAAGGCCCATCAGCGCTACCGTGAGCTGCGCCAAGTCCTGGACAACGCCATGGATGGATACGATAACCAGGCCATGGTTCAGCCCACACTTAAGGAGATCATTGAGGTGCTCCAGAATCCCGAACTCCCCTATCTCGAGTTTAACGAGGTCTTTGCTGCCTTAAGCGGAAGGTAGCCGACTTTACTACACTTCTGTTTGGTATTCAAGTTGGTACTTCGGTATGGCTCTTATCTTAACCACTCTCTCCTATTACTTTTTCGTAGACTCCCCCCTAAACTGGAGTCTGCCTTGCATCAGGAGCTGGACCAGTCCATGAAGAACCACGAGCACTTCCCTGCTCGCACTCTTCAGGCCTTAATCGACTCGCACGGCCGTGCTAACTTCACTAAGCCTGCTGACATCTCGTCCTTCCAGGCTTCAGTCGCGCCCCTGACCAACATCATCAATGAGTACCAGGATGGCCTCAAGACTCATTCGTGGAGCTTCATTGCCCACTATCTCAACAAGTACCACGAGGTCGAATCACTCTTTGATGACTCTGCGCGCGAGGAGGAGACCATCTCGGCTCTCCGCGACCAAAATAAGGATGATGCCGAGAAGGTTATCCAAATCGCCCTCTCCCACTCCCGTGTTACCGCCAAGAACAACCTCGTTTTGGCTCTCCTGGATCAGATCAAGCCCACGTCGGCTGGTGGCGCTCTGGACAAGTTCTTCTCGCCTGTGCTCAAGAAGCTGGCTGAGCTCACTGGTCGCCTAACTTCTAAGGTGTCTTTGAAGGCCAGAGAATTGCTGATCCACGTCCAGCTGCCCAGCTTCGAGGAACGTCAGCTGCAAATGGAGAAGATTCTCCGCTCCAGCGTTACTGAGGAAGTCTATGGCGGTGAACACGAGGCGCGTATGCCCAACTTTGAGAACATCAAGGAGTTGGTCGATACCACTTATACCGTTTTCGATGTCCTCCCCAACTTCTTCTACCACGAGTCCCTCTACGTTCGCGTTGCTGCCTTTGAGGTCTACTGCCGCCGTGCATACCATGCATACGAGATCTTGGACATTAATTATCACATGGAGCACCAGCCCTTGCTTCTCACCTGGAAGTTCCTGCTCAATACCCCTAACAAGTCGGAATCCGGCCCCAACCGTGTTGCTAGTGTCAGTGATATGAGCTACTTGATCAACAGAGCCGATCCTGAGCCTGTCCGCACTGGAGGTATCCTTGCTGTTCGCGATATCACCGAGCTGGAGAGCCGATTCGAGAGCGTGTTGAATTTCTTCCCCTCGCACAAGTCCAACAAGCACTTGAGCCATCTCGCTACTGCCAGTGTCCACAACAATGTCCTGAACGTCGTGATTAAGTCCGAGTCCATTCATCCCAACGACGACAACTACTGGCTGAACTTGCTGAGCCCCATTGTTAAGGGACAGACTGAGCGTCTCCGTTCGCACGGTATTCGCCGCATGACATTTTTGATCTTCCGCCAGGGCAATTACCCTTCGTACTTCACCTTCCGTGAGCGCAACAACTACTCGGAGGATCAGACCATTCGTCACATTGAACCCGCTATGGCCTATCGTCTGGAGTTGTCTCGTCTCTCCAACTTTGACATCAAACCCTGCTTCATCGACAACCGCCAGGTCCATGTCTATTACGCTGTTGGCAAGGAGAATACTTCGGATTGCCGATTCTTTGTCTGCGCGCTAGTCCGCCCTGGTCGTCTGCGTTCGAGCGTTCGTACTGCAGACTACCTGATCTCGGAAACAGACCGTCTGGTGAATGACATTTTAGATGCTTTGGAGATTGTTGGCGCCACCTACAAGCAGAGCGACTGCAATCACTTGTTCATCAACTTCATCCCCACCTTCCAGCTGGATGCCAACGAGGTCGAGTCAGCCCTCAAGGGATTCATCGATCGTCACGGCAAACGTCTCTGGCGTCTCCGTGTTACTGGTGCCGAGATCCGTTTCAACGTTCAGTCCAAATCTGCCAACGGTGTTGAGGCCTCGGACCCCATCCCTCTGCGCTTCATCATCTCAAACGTGTCTGGTTATGTCCTGAATGTCGATACTTACCGCGAGATCCAGACCGAGAAGGGTACCATCTTCAAGTCCGTCGGAGCTGCAGGGCCCTACCACCTTCTCCCTGTTAATCAGCCCTATCCCACCAAGGAGTGGCTCCAGCCCAGACGTTACAAGGCCCATTTGATGGGTACGACCTACGTCTATGATTTCGGCGAGCTCTTCCGCCAGGCTATCCGAACCCAATGGAACCATGCGATCAAGCAGAACGCCTCGCTCAAAGCCCCCTCTCAAGTTTTGGAAATGCGCGAGTTGGTGCTGGATGAGAGACAGGAGTTGCAACAGGTCGTCCGTGAGGCTGGATCGAACAACTGCGGTATGGTCGCCTGGATCTTCACGTTGCGCACGCCCGAATATCCCGACGGTCGCCAGATCATTGTGATTGCCAACGATATTACGTACAATATTGGTTCGTTCGGTCCTGAAGAGGACTTTGTCTTTTACAAGGCCTCGGAGCTCGCTAGGAAGATGGGTATTCCTCGCGTGTACCTCTCTGCCAACTCGGGAGCGAGAATCGGACTGGCCAACGAAGTGATTAGCCTGTTCAACTCGTGCTGGAACGATCCTGAGAATCCTTCCAAGGGATTCAAGTATTTGTATCTTACCGATGCAGGATTGAAGCAGCTGCAGGCTCAGGAGGAGCGCGCTGGCAAGAAAAGCGTGATCACGGAGACGGTTGAGGAAGATGGCGAGACGCGCCACAAGATTACGGACGTTATTGGTGTTGTCGATGGCCTTGGTGTCGAGAACCTGCGCGGAAGTGGTTTGATTGCTGGAGCAACCTCGCGTGCCTACGATGATATCTTTACTATCACCCTAGTTACCTGCCGCTCTGTTGGTACGTTTTAGAACATGAATGTCCGACTTGCAGCAAATCATGGCTCTGGTCTTGTTATGCTAATGTGTCTTTCTTCTTCATTTAGGTATCGGTGCCTACTTGGTTCGCTTGGGTCAGCGTACAATCCAGAACGAGGGTCAGCCCATCATTTTGACTGGTGCCCCTGCTCTGAACAAGGTCCTCGGTCGCGATGTCTATACTTCTAACCTTCAACTGGGAGGCACGCAGATCATGTACAAGAACGGAGTCTCACACTTAACGGCCCAGAACGACTATGAGGGTATCAGCAAGATCGTCAACTGGCTCGCCTATATCCCCGAACGCAAGGACGCCCCTGTTCCCATTACCATCAGCAACGACACTTGGGATCGTGACATTGAGTACTTGCCTCCCAAGGGTGCAGTCTATGATCCTCGCTGGATGTTGGCCGGTAAGGAGCCCGAGGAGGAGGGTGCATCCTTCCAGTCCGGATTCTTCGACAAGGGCTCCTTCACTGAGACCTTGAGCGGATGGGCTCGCACCGTTGTTGTCGGACGTGCTCGTTTGGGTGGTGTGCCCATGGGTGTGATTGCAGTCGAGACTCGCTCGGTGGAGCACATCATTCCCGCCGACCCTGCCAACGGCGACTCTGTGGAACAGGTTCTGATGGAGGCTGGTAACGTCTGGTATCCAAATTCGGCCTACAAGACTGCGCAGGCGATCAACGACTTCAACAAGGGAGAGCAGCTGCCGTTGATGATCTTTGCCAACTGGCGTGGATTCTCCGGTGGCCAGCGTGACATGTACAACGAGATCTTGAAATACGGCGCGTTCATTGTTGATGCCCTCAGCTCGTACAAGCAGCCAGTCTTTGTCTATGTGGTGCCCAACGGAGAGCTCCGTGGAGGTGCCTGGGTCGTCGTTGATCCTACCATCAACGAGAACATGATGGAGATGTATGCTGACAAGCGCGCCAGAGCTGGTGTCCTCGAGCCCGAGGGTATTGTCGAAATTAAGTTCCGCAAGGCCCAGTTGTTGGTGACCATGGAGCGTCTCGACGAGAAGTACCGTACCTTGAAGGCTCAGTACGAGAACCCAGCACTCGCAGGGGCTGAGCGCGATGAAATCAAGACAAAGCTGACAGAGCGCGAGCAGGAACTCTTGCCCGTTTACCAGCAGATAGCCATCCAGTTCGCAGACCTGCACGACACCGCCGGTCGCATGAAAGCTAAGGGCACGATCCGTGAATCACTCGACTGGACGAACGCTCGTCGCTACTTCTACTGGCGCGTACGCAGAAGATTGGCTGAGGAGTATGTCCGCCGCAGGATGACCATTGCCAACAAGGACCAGGCCCGTGAGGAGCAGACCAAGGCCCTGCTGGCCTGGTTCGGTCGCGACACTGTGCATTCGAGCGAGAACGAGCTGCGAAAGATCTGGGAGTCTGAAGATCGTGTTGTGCTCGAGTGGTTCGAGGGTCAGGCTCAGAAGGTCGATGCTTTGGTGCAGGAGCTGAGCACTTCGGGTACTGCAAACGAAATCTTGAGGATGTACACCTCCAACCGTGCGGGTGTTGTCGAGGGCTTTGACCGCATTCTTGAGAGCATGACGGATCAGGAGAAGCAAGACATCATGGCCAAGTTCTCTACCATGGCCGTCTAAGGGACATATTTACCGCCATCCACACAGATATACATTTACATAACTTTTACATATCAGCGCAATAACATTATTAGGGTAGAAAGGGATTTAGAAGTAGGAAAGCACTTGTAAAAATACATAATCATTTAACATACCATTCATGTAGTATCCTACTCATCCGCAGGTTGGACTTCCAATATTTGTGTATTTATTTATTTCCAATCAATCTTTCTCCTACTCCAAGGGCTTAAGTTCAGCATTAAACTGGCTGACCTTTTCCTCAATCTTCCCACTGAACCACTGCAACGATGTCTGCTCAAAGATCGGGATAAAGTTCTCTTGGCGATCCCTTCGGCTCGTAATGGAAATGCCTCGCGGGAACGGTGCAATCGACTGGATCTCCGCGAACTCGAGATCCCACTCGACCTTTAGACTCTCGGCCCTGAACACCATGATCCTCTTTGAAGTCAACATCGCCACCAGGTTATCACCCTTCAGCACCAAATGCGCGATATAATCGTCATAAAAGTACTTTCCACTGTCGACCTGCTTCAGCCAAAACTGTCCCAAGGCCTCCGATTTGTCGTACAGCGTCAAAATACCGTTCTTGGGGACGTGTCTTGGAATACGTTTCCGTCGCTGGTCCCTGTCGAATACTGTCGTCGTGTTGCGAATGCCTGATGTGACATTGGTTGTAAAATCAAACACTCCGACTAAGGGCTTGGTCACCACACCGACAGCGGCCTTGCCCAGCCCCTTGAAGAAGCCCTCGACGCCCTCCTTCTGCGCTCCTGCCAATGGCTGCTCTACAATACCTGTCACACCACTGACGACTCCCTGAGCAAATGACGTGGCTCCTTTCGACAATCCCGAGAGCGCATGCTTAGGCGCATTCCTCTGATTGCCCAATCGTCTGCGTTCCTGGAAGGATCTGTCCATTGTCGCAGCTGAGAGACCTTTTCCGACCGATCCAGAGATCTTAGCAAGACTGTCCGAGAATCCAAATACGGTCTTCTTCAGTAAAGACGACGTGCCTCGCACCACGCCCAAACCAAAATCCTGAGGACGATCGCCCATGATGAAGCCTTGGTAGGGTTCATAGAAGAAGTCCGCGACTCCTGAACTTAGGTTGTTGAAAAGTCCAACTGGGTTGCCCAAGAACTCGATCGAACCCACAATCATGTGCAGCTGGTAGAAAAAGTCCTGGCTGTAGTGTCTCTGGAGCAGATCTACTAGCACTGGTCCACTAGCGCGAACATTTTCCAAGAGAAGGGCGTTCAGGGCGATAGGGGCAGCCTATTTGTATTTGGGTCGAACAACAGAAAAAAAAAACACTCAGTTAGTGCCGAACAACAGCGCAAAGGTACTACCTGGCCAAAAGCACTCCTATTCGCATGACTCACATCAATGTTTCCAATGGCCATCGTAAGGACGTTGAAGATATACATGATTGGATTATGGCTCGACGTCTTTTGTTGCGCCTCCTCGATGTTCACGCGGTCCGAACGCATGAACGACAGGTTGACCTTCATTGGATGCAAATGAAGCACTTCAAAGAACAACTGATTCTCATCTTCGCCAGCATTTGGCTCCGGAAGATCCAAACTCTCGTCGCACAATTGGGCCTTATTTGGGTCCTCTGTCCATCCGGGGATATTGAACTTTGAGAACTCGATCAGTGTGTACAAGAAATCCTCGTCCATCGCCACTGTAAGTTCCTGAAGCAAGGCTGAGAAATATTTGAAGTAAACCACTCCGTGGGTCTCATCCTTTGCTCGAACCAATGCGCTGTGCAGTGTCGGGTGGGCTGAGGCATCCTTGCTATCCTTGGGTGTCTGCGTCGGGCACAATATGATGGGACTCGATCCTCCATAAAGCTGGTTATCGATCTGCAACCACTTAACCATGAGGTTCACTGACTGGTACATGTTCGAATCCGTGTACCGTGTCTCAAGACCAGTCATTGAGATGTAGATCAGTTCCTGCATCCGCTGGTTCAGGATCGAGATACCGATGCACTCAAGTCGGACCTGAAAACTGAAGGTCACAACTGCGTCCACGTCAATCACCTCAAAGCCCTCTTTTGTCAAATCCTTGTTCGACTCTTTGTCCGCGTCATCACCTCTCTCCGTGACAGTCAGCTGGCTGGAAGACCGCTGCTTAAACAGACTCTGCTTCGAGTCATAGTCCGCAAGGACCAAGACCTGAGTGGGACCCTCAGCGATTACATCAATCGAGATAATACTGCTGGCATCACCTGCAGGGAACTTGAAGGGAACCAAGGATCCGATTTCTTGTAAGCTGACCTCGCGTTCGCGTCCATTCACGCTCAAAACCAACGCCTTCTCCTTCAGATGAGGCAGATCCCAGGAATAGGCCATTGTCTCGCCAGCCTTGAGCCTGTAGACCTTGGGCGCAGAGCTCGAGAAAGACGCCGATGAGGCCGACGCGGAGTCGCTCTTTGTAGGGCTCTATAGAATATGAACAAAAATAAATAGCAGAAATATCATAGGTTCAGTATGTTATCGTGATCATGCTCGTCCAAGGGATTAACGTAGCTGGAGAGTAACCACTTACATGTTGACTGAAGGTAATATCCCACGATGACCTGTTATCTATGCGGTATGGCCATCTACCTTCCTCTTTGTTGAGAACGATAAAGACCGTGGCGACCTCCATCATGACATGGACACGAATAAGCTCAACTTCGCCGTCACTTCTTAGAATAGTAACGTGCATCTTGCCCATCTCATCGATAATGAAGGGTGCCGACCTATTATCAATGGTCGCACAAGATGTTAGATACAATGAGGGATATCAATCTGAAAATTGGCATAATCACAGCAAGAGCAACTTACCATCGCGCGGTAACTCCAGAGAGGCGGAGCGAAAGCAGCTTTTGCTGGCCCTGGCGCATATATCGCAAGGGCACGCGCTGGTGTGCCGGCAACGGCGTGACATTGTTGGATCCAACTTCTCTAAAGTTCAGATCTTCATCCAGGTTGTTCTTAAGGATAAACCGCGGCGTAATCGTCACCACCTTGGTCAATGCATACTTGCCCTTGCCAAGCTCGACATTCATTCCCAGGTGTATCTCCTCCTTCCTATCCAGCGCCTGCATCGAAATCTCCATTATGCTTCCCACAGCTTCGAAACTGACAGGTCGACTCCACTGTGAGTTTCCTGCCACCTGGACCAGTGTGCGGTTGCCATTTTCGGTCTTGCCATACGAAAACATGAGTGGCAGGGCCTTGTTCTGCACCATGCGGTTGGACCCTTGACCGGCAGCAATCTTGGCGTTCTGCATGAATGACTTGGCCTTGAACACGAGGTCCAGTCCAGTCTTGTTCAGGATTACATACGGGCAGAAGATGCTAAACTTGACAGCTCCGCCAGAGTCAGGAATTACACTATTTAGACATCAACGAAATCAGTTAGTATTTGTGACAACAGCATGCTGTGCTCTCTCCACTGAAATATCTGCAAAGAAACCATGTCATAACTTACTGTCGGTGAATACCCAGCATCAGCTTGAGGCCATCAGGATCCATCAACGTCAGCGTGTTCTCAACGGGTAGCTCGTCGGGATCATGCGAACTCACAATAGAGTACTCACTGGCTGAAAAAGACGTGTTTTCGATGGCAACGCTTAGAAGCATAAGGTTGCGTACATCCACAGTGTGCAAGGGCGAGATGCCGCCCTTCCGCAAGTAAGATGTCAACGGCGTTCCCTTGTGCTTGGGCGATGTCTTCTCCATGATAGTGTACTGCATGTTGTACGGTAACAGATTCTCAATCTCCACTGGAGCACTAAGACGAATGGTCATATAAGGATAGTCCTTTGCAAGCGGATCGAAATTGTCAGTGCCGCCCCGCACCTGGAATCGAAATGGTTGCTGGCTGGCATCATCGTTCGCGCGACAGCTGACAGAACTGACAGCCTGGCCATCCGAACTGTATCGCTGCTGACGACTCTGCTGCGTCGCAAGGTCGCGCCAGAAGATCGTCTCCGTACTCCAGTTGTAGTTGAATCCAGGGTCCGGTCGGACGAGAATGCGGTTTTTGTAGGAAGCCTCAATAGGAACCGAATAGTCCTCGCCAGGCGCAATCTTCTGGGGCTTGTCAAGGTGCCTCTTCCTGTCATCCACAACAACAACTTCGATGGGGAGAGATGTTGCGTTTTCAATCAGTAGAGCTGAGCTGAAGGTGACCATCTTGACGTTGTTCTTGATGTAGATGTCAACCGCAACTCGATGGGATACGCTGCTCAACTTGGGACGAAGAACGTACAAATAACGGCCTTCTCTCTCTACTGGCACGTCCTTCAAACTCTCCCATGGTACGCCGTCAAACTGAATGCCGAGAGTGTTCTTTTTACTAGCAACTGTCTCACGCATCTTCCTCCAATCGTCAAAACGCCATGGCAGATTCGCACCGTCCTTGATCTTGTGTACAACGATATCAATGTTGTTCTCGGATTCGGCCCACACGTGCAGGGGGTACCCTGTCCTGTTCCTAAGGAGGTAAGGAACCAAGGCCTCGCGATTGATCGAGGTGACTTGCTCGGGCTCTTTTTGAATTGTAGTCATGACCTGCAACGCTGTCTCGATAAAGGTGTGCGTGATGTTGATGTTGAGATCCTGTTTCGAGAACACATCAATGAGCATATTTGGAGGCTGAACGACCTTGGATACATGGATCACAAATTGCCAGGGCTCCAGCAAAGGCTCCCAGTGCGAGTTCCTGACATTGAAGTAATTGATGCTGGTTCGGAGCGAGGTATCCACCTTCATCTCTGACGACCACTCCTTGACCTCTAAATCAAATCGGTCCAGCTTCAGATCGAGCATTGGCAAACTGTACATGTCATCGATCAGAATAAGCTGCAAACCCTGGATGACTCCTTTGAGCTATCATAACAAAATGATAATCGTAAATGGTGCGGTTAGCAAAGACTGTTCGTTTAGGAGAGTGATTCAAACAAACTGCATCATCTTCCTATAAACTTACTGTCTCGCGCGTCGAAACAAACTGTGCTTCCTCAACCAAACGCTTTGCATTAGGTTTGGTGGGGGCGGATCCGCTCGCGGTCATCGCTGGTTTTCGCTCAGACTCTGTGATGGCTCTTGGCGCTGGACCTGCAGCAACGATTTGCTTGTTCGGCTTGGGTGAAGTCGGCTCGGAAGCAGGCTGAGTCTTGGATTGAAACTCTGTTACCTTGTTCACGATATCCATAATTAACATGGCATCACGATATGACAGTCTCAGCACCAAGGGTCGAACATCCAAGGTGATGTTGGTCAGTTGGTGTCCCGGAGTAGGCGAGCGGGTTCCCATTGAGAGCGCAATATCAAAGTTATCAATAAATCGAAGAGAGGTGTCCTCTCTCTTGTCCATTTTACACAGAAACATTCCCACGCGATCGACAATTAACGTCATGGTTTCCTGCTGTGACATGACCACTTGGTGCGCAGAAAGGATGATGGCGTCCGTGGCGGAACTGGCAGCATTGGCAAGTAAAATGATTTCGGGAGAGAGAACACTGACGCGGTAATGCAGAGATGGGCCTGGCTCCGTTGGTTTGGATGGCTCAGCAGGTTTTGTGGCGCTCGAAGGGCGTCTCGCCTTCGAGGCGGTCGAATTAAGCGTTTGACTGGAAACTTGACTGGTGCTTGAAGGTCTCCTCCCCTGCTCTGGTGCCTCTGGATCTGGTGTCAAAGCGCTCATGAAGTAGCTTTGCAATGCAAAAATGTACTCCAGATGAAAAATCACCTTGGGACTGTCGACGTTTAACAAGACGAGCGTGCTGTTGTCGTCAAAAGTGCTCAGCGACATGAAGATCTGAGGACTGTCGTGGAGATTGGCTGGGATGATTTCTCGAAATTTTGTCTTAACATTGCGCCTGGTATCATTAATGATGAGGTCCTGAATGGTCAACTCTGCCTGCATGGTAGAGTCCGTCAACATCTTGTACTTGAAGCCAGTCTTGGACAGAGAGAATTTCGAAAAACTGCAGTCGCGCAGCTCTTCCTTCTGAGTGGCATCCCCCTGGTAGATCTCGAGCGTAACCTGAGGCAGGTTGAACACAAGATCGATCGACGTCCATTTCTCATCCGAGGACTTCGTAGGCGGTGAAGATGGAGGAGCCGAGGGGATGCCAGCAGAAGCAGCCAGGGCATCTGTATCGACATCGCTGCCACCTGCGAAGGCACGAGCAACAGACATGGAGATTCCGTAAAGCGTCCTGTACTGAAGTTCTGTCAGACTCATGCTGACGTCCGACATGCGGCCGACGAGTTCCATATCTGGCCGTGGTAACCCGTCCTTGTGTGTAGCGCGGGTCATGTCGAACTCGATGCTGACATCTTCGATTATTTGCAGCTCCTGGACAACGTCTTCAAAGTAGAATTGACTGAGTAAATTGATGGAGTGGATGCCGAGTTTCATCTGGTCCAAGAATCCGCCCTCGATATGACTATCGTCCGCAAACTCATTCCTGATCGAGATCTCTCCCAGATTTGCCACAATTGTGTTGCGAGATTTAGCGTCTTTGGGTAAGATAACGATAGGAGTGCTGATTTGAACATCAAAGTGAAATCTGCTTGCGGTAGTCTGCAAAGCCTGGGCCTGGTTCACCGCTGCATTTCGAGCAGAGTCGTAGAGAACATGCATCCTTGCAAACTTAGTCGAGTAGTCCAAAAGCTGCCTAATCGGCTCCTCCAAGAATGTCAGCTGCAAGGATCCAGCACGCAAAAAGATTGAAGCATCGTAGCCTGGATAGCTGGATGAGTGCGCGTCAAAGGTCTCGTATGCGAAATCGGCCAGCTCTTCGCCCTGAATCGCCAATATTTGCTGTTTTCCTGGATTGATATCGTCCGTCAGTGTAAAGTTGCCCAACTTGACGCTCACACGCATCGTTGGAGGTTTCATGAGCACAGCAACATCGCACTGTGAGAGCGCCATGGTGGCAAGTCGCTGACCGTCGTTGTTGAGGATAAAGTTGATACTAGTCATCTTCACCTTGACTTTCATCGTATCCTGCGCCGGGGGTTTGTCATCAACTTGTGCCTGGGCTAGAGGCGGCCTGAGATCGTTGTGATCTCCTGCAGTTGCGGGTGCTTGAGACGGGCTTTGAGTGGCAGGAGCAGTGAAGGTTGTCAGGACAAAGTCGAACAAGGCCAGCACACTCCTGCGGGTGAGAATTATTGTCACAGTCGAGAACGAGATGTCGACCGTGGCATCGATGCCCTTGTACTTTGTGAGGTAGTCAGGCGAAATGGGGTTCACCTTTGTATAGGAGACATGGACAAGATCCTCGGATGCACCCGCGGCAGCCGACTTCCCGTCGGCGTCAGACGAAAGCAGGTACGGGTAGCGTGAATCTTTCTCCACCTTGTCTTCTACATAGAGCGATCCAAGAACGATATTGACATTCATGTCCACGGGACGGAGGACAAACTCCAAATCAAATCTTTCGATAATCAGATCAGCCAAAACTCGCTCCGGTAGATTGACGTCCTGAGCAGCCTTCTTGAGCGTCACCGCAAACTTGGTGACCTTGAAGCTAAACTGGAATGTCTTTTGGAATAACAGAGCACTGCTTTGCTCCTGTAAAATACAAATATGGGCAAACTGTCAGTATTACCTTTCTATGGAAGACATAATTCGCAGCCAGAGTCCTTGATTGACTGCACATTTGTTGCCTATTACCTTATCCTGAGCATCATATTTCTTTCCACGGTGGGCAACAGCGCGTTCGTCATCAGAATCTCCTTCCGTAGTGTCGCCTAGGACAAGATCATCCGCGTAATTGTTCTTCCCAAGTAAGGGAATGTTCATGGAACTTTTTGGCTTTGGCGGAGGTGGTGGTGCTGCGGTATCCGGGTCCTTGGGTACAACTAGATCAACAATGTGCATGAGCGTCTTATATTTGCGATCAGAAAAGTTGATCTGGAGCAGTGGCAGATCGCCGAAAACCCTGATCTTCGTCAAGTTAGGCGCTTGCGGCAGGATCGAGAGGTGAACGTGGAATGTCATATTGATCTTGTCAATGACATGCAGGTCATTCTCCGCTGAAGGCTTCCGGATTTGCTGCAGGCACCGCTCCACAGACTGGCCGACCAAAAGCTACGTATGACAATGGGGTGATGATTAGGACATGTAGTCAAAATAAACACGATGCCGCATTATGCTAGACGGGATGTCTGTGTACCTGGGTGCTGGAAAGTTGCACAATGAATCGATCGTACATGAGATCCTCTAGCTTTTCAAAATCTGAAGCATCCATGGTGCGATTTTGATTCTTCTCAACAACCGCCAAGTCTTCCTTGGACACCAGGTTGCTTTCAACAAAAATATGACCAACGTCAAGAACTGCCACGAGAGCGTTGATGTCGGTGCAGCTATGAGAGGTTAAAAAAATAAAAATGAAAAAATGAAAAAATGAAAGCGAATAGTAAATATTCAAGTATAGATGTCTCGAGAGCTTTCGAGTCTGGCATAGATCACGTTCCCTACCTCTCGGGAAAGATCATGACGGGCGCATCCATGTCCACACGCAGATCCAGTCGCTTGTGTTCCTCCAATGCATATTCCAGACCGGCTCTCGTCTGAGCAGCTAATCCTTCCAGAGTGTCCCCAGCGGCTTCCAAGAGAGCATTGATGCTGTCGGCTTCACTGGGCGGCGGCTTTAAGAACTCCATGACAGTGTCAACCGTCTTTGGATTATACAAAATCTCCAGATGTCTCATCTTGACCTCCAACACATTGTCGGCATGAGCGTCTAGGGGATTGTGCTCGAAATTGACGGAGAAAAAGGGGTTGAAGTCGAGACTGCAAGTGGAAGCCAAGTATTAATATGGTATCTTTGTGATGCCACATACGGGATTGCTTCTGACATCCGTTCCAAATCACTTACTCTGTCTCTACAGAACTTCTTTGGCTACTTTCTCCACCATATACAGTATCGCCTTCGGAGACGTGGGACAGGAGATTTTTCTTGTTCTCTGCATCCTTTACGCGAATAATCTTGGGGTATAGCGTATTCTGGGTAGTGCTGTCGATGCATGTCAGCCCTCCTAAGGCGACACCCGCCACAAAATTGTCTGTCCGCTGTAGAAAGTTGGCCACAAAGGTGTCGAACACGATGCTGAAGATGGTCTTATCGACACCATGAGGGTCCTTCTTCAGAGCAAAAGAACCCGTCCTCAGTCGTGCGTTAACGGCGTATAGAATCGTATCCTTAGCCTCCTCCAGATTGGCCTGCAACGCAGCTTTCTCGTCGTAGTCGATGACATCGTAGAGCTGTTTCTTTTGGGCATCCGTAAGTGTGGCCGATTCCTCCTCCTAATAATAAACGCTGACCGCATCAGTACCATGCTCAATTTGAATAGCTCAATATTCCACTGTTCAGCTTTATGAAGCCGCATCAGCACGTTACCTCCGAGGTCTCCGTCGAGGAACCGCTAGAGCCGTGCCACCATGAGCTGAGCCAGCCCTTCGGCTGCTCTTTCACTTGTTTCTTGATCAGAATCTTTTCCCTGCGCAACGCACCCTTGGCAATACTTCTGTACAGGCGGATGTCCTCATACGATAGTTTCCATTCCAATGCCTTCAGTCTCTCGTCATCCTCGATATCGTTACGTCCAAGCTTATGATTCTTGTATAACTCCACGTACGCCTTGCGATCGTCCCGGCGCTCCTCAAAGTACGCCCAAGTCCACTTGCGATTCCTTTCGTGAATTTGTGAGAGTACTGCATTTCCAGCATATCGGAACCAGGCCAGCGGGTCCTTTTTGGGGGTGACAATGCTCGGCGGACGGAATTTCCGGAACTAGTAGACTCCAAGGAAATAGGACATCTAACGTTAGACTGGGATCGACGCTGAACAATAGCGACATGCATGTGAAATTGGCGCAGTAGATTACCTCGTGCTGTCTCATGAATGAGTGGAAAAGACCCATCATCAGCAGTACATTGTTGTATTGCTCGTCGTCGACAACGAACCCCAATTCGTCAAAGTTGAGGGTGACACCCGCTTTTGGCACGTCTCCACCATAGCGCTTGTTGAGTTTGATCTTTCCTGTTCCTGAAACTGGCTTGAGGATGTACTGGTGCTCATCCGGCACGTGTTCTGCCTTAGCAATCAAGTCCACAAATGCCTTTAATGCATCGTCCATACCCTTTCCTGCAAGAGATCGTGAATCAGTATTCCAGTACATGGCTAAGGAGTCCAACGTGGCAAGCTAAAGTGTGCAGTGGAAGCTGCATTAGCAAGACGAACTGCACAGACAAAGCCGTGATATATGCAAGATACGGATAGTAAGCACATTTAGATCTACACACCTTGTGAATGGTGTTGGCTTCATCGTGGATGAATGTTGGGACCCACTCTCCGTCGGTCGATACTGCAGAGAGTTGGGAAAGAGTCAGACCAGCCGAGAAAGGGTGCTGAGGGTAACAAAGGTTACATAATCGGGTGTCAGCGATAATAATAATAATAAGAGAGCAATCAAACAAGAACACAGCGCGAGTTTCTTTGAGTGTCAGTATTTACTCACCTTCGGATCGGACAGCTTGTCCTCGTATCGGACATGAATGTTATTGATGGACACCTGTAGATTATCCACGACCTTTGTGATGAGCTGATTCAGGAATGTGGCATTCTTCTTTTCCTCATCTGTCAGCGAGCAAAGAAACAAACAGCAAAGCGGGTTTAGGATCCGAATTTTGTGCGTCAGGATCCCATGATAATCAGAATTTTAAACATTCGCGTGTAAAGGGGAACGTGGTTGTTACCATCCATTCCAGAGCTCGGCTTCGTATTAAGCAACTCTGCGTTGGCCAGCCTGTCCTCCTTCAGTGCCTGGGCCCTAGCGGCCTCTTCGTCGGCGTCGTACTGGTGGAGAAAAACGTAAAAGTGAGTGCAGGGCTCAGCCATGAATCGATCTGGCATGACTTTGTCACTTTAATTACCTCGGACTCTCCCTTGGGGACGCACAGCAGATAGACATTGTTGATGAAGACCTTGACGGGCTTGCTCTTCAAGTTAGACCATGGAATGCTTAGCGTGAGTTCGCCGAGGTATCCTAAAGTTAATTTCAGGAATCGATTGTTGGTGTCGTTTTGTTGGGTTAGACAAAAGCGATCCGGATTTGTTCAAGAGTAATTCTGTCATTCTAGCGCTGCCCCCGTATCCGGTTTCCTTGACTGACCTTCGACCACATCAACTGGCAAGCTGAACTTGTCGAGTGCCTCCTTCTTGAGTCGGAGGTTTGTCAGCTTGACATCACCTACATAAAATTCACGAAAAATGAACCATCCGAATGAATACACATAGACAACATGCAAGCAGCAAGTAACAGGCAAGAGCAAGACCAGGCAAGAGCAAGACCAGGCAAGAGCAAGACCAGGCAAGAGCAAGACCAGGCAAGAGCAAGACCAGGCAAGAATAAAGAAACAAAGCAGAGACGAAGGACCTACCACTCCAGATTGCGATGTTGAGCTGGTTGACATTGAGATTGGTCACATATGGCCCGATGAATCGGTTCAAAAGACCGGCAACCAGACCCTCCAACATGGCGCGTGTGAACTACGAATGGGAAGGTGAGAGGGAGGTGCCTGCGTGTCCTTGTTGTAATGGTAGTCTTGCGTAGACCAAGGATCAGTCGGATCTCTCTCTTTGTCTTCTTTACTGCTCTCCTTTTGTCTAGTATCTTGTGTGGGAAGAAGGCGGGTCGTTATTGTGCGAAGGAGTAGGTGGGGGGCAAGGTGTAAAAAGATATGAAAGACAGGGACAAAGCTGGAGCGAGAACATTGCCCACTGTTGGATTTTAGGCGGGTGGACTCACTGTCCACGCCCGCGGAGAGAAGACAAGCGCGCTTTATGGCACGATGACACTCTCTTTCACGTACAGTATCATTTATGTACGCACGCGCAGGCACAAGTCCACTCCAACCAATATCGAACTTCCTGCCAAAGACAGTAGCAGCCTTCCCCCCTTACCTCCGCATTCTGAGGACCAGCGAGCTGAGGAGGAAGGTGTTACCATTCCTCCTCCTGACACCAATTTGTCTGATGCACTATCAGCAGCCGAAGGGACGTGCACACGAAAATCGAAAGCACCATCAATTCGCTTTGACTTTCGCAAAGAGTCAATTCAGGAACTCATCCTTTTGCGAGCGTTGTCAGTGCATCGACCTTTTATCGCTGCTCACGGCTGTGGTGGTGAAGCATGGGGAAAGGTGGTGAAGTATCTTCACGACACGGATCGGGCCGAACGTCCAACGAAACCTTTCTTTACCAACGCAAAGCTTCGTACGTGCAAGCTGGCGCGGGAACGACTCTCAGAGGAACAGAAAACGTACGAGGCGTATCTTGAGTCGGCTGCAGGAATCTCACCCGAGGAGACGGAGCGATGACGCTCGATGGAGGGACTCTACCATCTCAAACAGGCAAGCGCTGAGGCCGTTACTATGGCGCGAGGAGAGCGCACCCGGCAACAGGAAAACGTGATAGAGGAGAGAAGGCTGGGTCAACTTCTTTTGGAGTCGGCCGAGTCTGAAAAGCCAAAAGGTCGGACGGGGTCAGACTTGGAGGGCAGCACTATCTCCACGCGTTACAGCAGGAGGCGCATCACTATTCAGCAACTCGAAAAGCAGCAGCAGGAAGTGTTACAGCAAGTAAAGGAGCAGCGCGACTTGATGGCACAGCAGGTCGCACTGCAAAAAGATGTTGACTATCGCAAACAACAAGCCCTGCGAGGGGAGGAGAGGGAGGCCGCCAAGAAGGCGCGACAGGAGCAGAGAGACTTGGAGAAAGAGGAGCGGTTGCGGGACTGGGAACGCGAGAAGCAGCGGAAGGCTGAAGCAATGGAACAGGAGCGACAAAGTCGGCGAGGTGATACCGATGAGCGGCACCATAAGGAGGTCTTGGATATCATTAGACAGCAATCAATGACCATTCAGCTTCTCGCCCAGGTCATCCTGAATATGCAACAAAAGTCATGAAGCACTATCGCCAGAAAAATGAAATCATGTTTTATTATTGGCTGAGGCACTCGGCTGCAGTGAAGTTGTCCATTATAAAGCGTCTACTAGTCTGGGACCCATGGTAACAAGTGTGAAGGTTTGTAAGCAGCACAGCTACCTTAAAGTGTAGAGCAAGAGGCGTGGAAAGAACTCGTTGTGTGGGAGAAAAAATCTAATGCAGAAAACTAACGAACGACTTTTCCTAGCGTCCACTTGGCGACCACACGTTGCTTGGCCATCATCCGGTTAAAGGCGCACTGCTGAGGAGTCATAAGCGCATGGGAATGATATGGCCAAAGCACATGGGCGCCCAGTTGGTATGCAGAGTCCCCGTAGATTGCAAGCCTGGTCCTCCTCTGTGGTCTCGATGCATTTTGCCGAAGAATCGCTGGTAGGCCAGAGTTCCTGTGCATCGTCAAATCGTGGACATTCCCACAAGCGGCATGGCTTAAGTGAATGATGGTACCATCAGGAGCAACCAGGGCTTGGTATTTCAATCCATGATAGCGCTTATGGCCATTGTACATGGACCACTGTCCAAATGAAGGGTGACATACCTTGCAGACTGTCCCATCTAAGAACCCAAAGACACTTGGATGTCCACCTCGAGCCACGACTGCACCTGCATACCCTCCCAGCCTCTCTCTCGTCAACCGATTTGCATCCCACATCAAAATGTGGCCCTATCGCGCCACCAGAATCGTTATCGTTTTCTTTGTAAGTCGAGAAATAGCAGACGCGTGACGCGTGAAGACCGATTGCATCCGATTGAGACTTGTTGGAAATGATAAACAGTATAATGTTAAACATAATGCCTCCACCGCAATCGCCGCGTTGCCCTTGTCAAATTACACAGCTCAAGAATCTATCTTAGTGCCAAGCGAAACTGCTTAACGCATTGTTTTCGAGAGAGAGAGAGAGAGAGAGAGAGAGAATATCGAATAAAACACCCGGTGAAAAGATAGTGAGAGGGAGGTGTAGCCGACCATTATCGTCCTCATCATCATTATCATCATCATCATCATCGTCGTCGTTATCGTAGCCGTAGTGGATCTTGTCCTGGACAACCAGCGTCAGAACATATGAGTTGAAAGCAACCGAAGAGGCCATTAGGAAGTGGGGAAAGATGGGGCGACAAAAAAACCCCCATCCCCCCCTGCACTCTGTGAAACAATTTTGCATTGTGGAAATTTCAGAACCTCAAACTCTTTAATGTGTGTACGACCGTGAGATTTCTATTCCCACAAAACAGTCTTTTTATTCGTCAGCGTCGGAAGAATCAGCCCAAAACATCCAAAATCAACAGAACGCTTGCTTGATTTACTTCTTGCTCTTCTTCTTGGGCTTCTCCTCCTCTTCTTCCTCCTCGTCCTCCTCATCTATTTCAGACATCGGTGTGCAAAAAGGGAGTGCCCAAGGGTTAGATAACATGGAACTTTCTTCTTGTGCGTGTTTAGTATGCATGAGTCTGAATGGACCGATAGTAATCTTAATCGGTTCATTGAAACATACCATCCAAGTCGACAGACTGGTCATCATCGATCTCCTCATCGTCGTCAAAGTCCTCGTCATCCTCGTTAGCGTAGATGCTATATAGTACAGAAAAGCAGTGAGAAAAATGAATGACGACAATGCACTAAGCCATTTCTGCAATTCGCCCTCCAGCGCCAATAATTACTTGAGGGCATCAGGGAAGACTTCCTGAACGAAAAAGTTAGCCAGGCTAGCGTCCTCATCAGCGAACCAGGAGAAGAATGAGTCTGCGGCGTTCGCGGCATCATCAGCACCAGACTTGCGTTTCTTGCTGGGGTCCTTGAGGGTCACATCCTTGCCCTCCTTCCAGTCGATCTTGAAGACCTCGGTAGTAGGCTCGTCGTCCTTGACAATGATTTTCTTGATTAACTCCTTGTTGCCAAAGTAAGGATTCTCCTTGAAGGTCTAGAGAACATTAAAAAACAAGATGACGACGGTTTTTTTTTTTTTTTTTTTTTTTTTTGTCAATGTCAGGCTCAATTGCTGCTTCTCTCACAACTCGTTATCTCGGCCCAATGAAGACTTACAAAGACGATCTCGTAGTTGCGGATATCTTTGGGATCGTGCTTGACCCAGACATCGGTCAAGTGCTCCAAAACCTGTTGACAATCAAGATGAATGCTCAATGTTAAAAAGAAAAACAGGCGAAGAATGCACAGAACAAATAACAGTTGAAGAGATACCGTACCGGACGATCGCTTTCACTGAGCAACTCAGTGGTCGCCATATGGTTCTGCAAAACGGTGCTCCAGAACCCGGGGATCTCGGCAACGATCTCACGGCGCTTCTCAAAGATAGGGGTCATCACTTCATAGCGCTTCTTGGCTAGAAGCATATGGAACAAAGGCATAGTGTTGAGGTTAGGTTTGTGTCAATAAAGTGTAGTTGATCTGATCAGGATCCTTTTTTATTTTGTTTGACACGAACCGATTTCAAACTCGGCCTTCTCAGTGGCCTCAGCGAGGGCGGCGATGTCGTCCTGGACAGCCTCGAGCGCAGCTTGATCGATTTCGGCCATTATGAATGTAGTGGAATGGAGTGGGGAGTGGTACAAGTCAGTTGGAGTGAGGAGCAATTTTTTAAACCCTTTGCTGGAGGAATGGCTTCCGCGTCATGTCATGTCATGTGATTTAGCGCCCTAGACCTCTACGCGTCTGGTTTCTGTGTGAATGGATACCGTCCAATCAAACATCTTCCCAGGCTGGGACGTGCTGCTGTAAGGGCCAAGTAAAAGTAAGAGCGTCCTTGCGCTGGTAGCTATGCATTTTTTAGAGCCCAAAGATCACATCCACCCACCCCATGCCAGAGCCTTATCTCAGTTAAGGTTGTGCAGACCAAAATGTCATGAGTACTAGACTTGCTAGAACAATTTGGTAACATATTCTTACATTCATCTTTTCTTTTACTCAGGAAGACATGGTCAGGCGCGAAAAGCCTCGAGAGGAGCTCGAGCAAGCATCTATCCGTAGAATGGAACAAATGGATGTTCGAAACGACGAGATGGTAGGACAACATCTCACTTTCCTTTTTTTCAACCATTCTTCTCTCCTTCTCTTGCACTTCTGTTTTTTTTCTCTTCCGCATCGTTACCCCTCTGTCCTTTCGTCTTTCTTTTCAGTCCCACCCAGCTCTGTTCCTTTCAAGGGGAATTCGTACCTCCATAGGCTGCAATAGTACCCAGGGTTCCTCGTACACGAACAAAAAAAGGTTATTATGAATGAAACTTCCACCAACCAAGGCTTCGGCTTGGAAATAACAAGGTAGGCATGTTTAACTACCACGCACAGCAATGCGTAACTGTGGAGAGCCTTCTCCCCGTACATCAGAGTGCACAAAGGCCGATTTTTGTTTCTTGTTCTTTACCCGACTGTCGGTGTCATTTTCAAAGACATCCAAGATCATTGTTGCTGTGCTTCATACATCTCATTGAGGAGTCTACTGAAGCTGTTTTTGGAACCCTTTGGCAATCGTGATTCATCTCAAGCCTGCAGGACCTTCATCGCTTCCCGCGGTCTCCCGCTTGCCTCGGTTGGTTTCGCTTTTATCGATATGGAAAACAATGTCGCCTGCGTGCAAGCCAATAATGCACTTTCGGAGTCAAGTCTAAATTAAAATGTTGCCGATGCCGCATGCCAGTGCTACTGCAGCTGCCACTTTTATTTTTGCTGGAGGTCAAAGCCATCAGTCCAGAGTAGCCTGGTGGATGCATACAGAGGTCTATGCCATATGTTGACGCGCATACGAAGCCAACATAACATAGCTCACCAGTATATCGGTCCATTGGGTTTTAGAGCATAGTAACTAAGGGCCAATTGACGCACTGGTACAATAGTCTATTCAGTTCCTATAATCAAATAAATTGAGTGGACTCATCCCATACAATGTACAACCCTCTCTTCTTCTTCTTTTCAAGCACCGTATAAAATAAGAAATGGCTTCCAACTTCAAGGTTGTCCAGGAGGTTGATGTGAATGGGCATAAGATCACCAAATTCAGATCCAACAAGACTGGACTAAGCGTCGTTCATGTCGATAACGAAGGTGCGCTCAACCCGACTTCTGTCCACAACGACTACTTTCACGCGTGTCATTCTTCATTGCTCATGCTGACTGCCACCACTGAACCTAACTGTCATGCAAACAGGACCTATTGTCAATGGCTACTTTACTCTGGCGACTGAGTGTAAGGAACTTGATGGTGTTGTATCAATCGCTGGAAATGTGAAGGTCGACCGCTTTATAACTAACAATTCGCTCTTCAATTGCTCCACCCATTTGTGTCTCGCACGCAGCCTTCGATGACGATGGCTGTCCTCACACCCTGGAACAGTATGACAATATTGGTCTTTGACATCGATGCTCAATTACCTGCGTTCTGATCCTATGCGCCAGCGAAATAAAGAATACCAATGGCTTTCTCCTCCTCTAATTTCACGTAGCTTCGTCTTCCTTGGCAGCGAGTTGTATCCGTATAAGGTGAGCAGATGGATCAGGCGGAGACACTCGTGAGAACAATGACCAACCACTAGCATTGCAACAACAGAAAGACACGTGTACCTCTGCAGAGAAAATTTTCTGTGTACGTCTCTAAACTCCTCTTTCCCAACTCCGTCACTGGGCTGTAGGGTGTCCTCGATGGCCTCGCGAACCGCGCCTTGGCTAACGGGACGAATGCATGTAAGGGACGCAAGTTCAAAAGGGACGAGAGGCCATAGCATTTCTCAAGGTGTCTACGTACTCACCACATCAATTCACATCCGTACCTTGATTATTAGGGACCGATGTCGATCATACCGCATACAGTACGTTTCTACACTACATTGATCTTGGACATCATGTGCAAGAAGCCTCACTCACAAAGCGGCTTTACATTCCCAATTTAATCCTAACGTAGCCATTGCCACCGCCGGAAGCGAGGGATTCTTGAATATCATGCCCAGTATGTAGCACTTGATTGACGATTTGTCCAGAGCTACGCGTGTTTGGATCCTCGTCCATAGAACCTAACCGTGGATCGTTCTCTGTTACAGTCTACATTGATCATATCTTGTATCCCACGATGACCGAAGCTGCTTATTACACTGAGATCCATAACGTCAACGGCGACGGTGAGAACGCCGGTGTTGTGTACTGCGAGATGCAAGGACGCGAGAACAGCGCATCATCTATCATGGATCTTCGGTGAGAAAATCAACAGACGCAAGCAGGGGACTGGGTGAATGCTATACCAGTCATTACATAGGTTGTTCTGACAGATCGAGCAACACTCTGTGTATCCTACTAGCCGTCAGCGCACTATGTACCCAGAAAACTCGGGATATCGCTACGAAACGGGCGGTCTGATGTCGTGCCTTCGTTCTCTCAAGGCCGAAAAAAGTGAGTTGTCAGTTTATTTTGTCCGGTCTCGCATTTATTATCTATGAGTTGTTTCTAACAATGAGCATGTTTTTGCACCCTCACATCTAGTTCGTCAAGTATGATGGATGATTCGACGTTTCTTTTTTTTTTTATGGAGCACAAAGCGGCATATTTAACCATTACCACTTCTCCTCAAACAGTACCACCGCGATTACTACCGTCCCGACAACCTGTGCCTCATTATCTCTGGACGAGTTGACCATCAAAAACTCTTGGACGCCCTTGATCCGGTCGAGGAGCGCATCATCTCTAAGGGGCCACTCCCCCCAATGAAGAGGTGAGTTATTCGTTTAGCGTCGTAGTTCTATCAGGACGCTCGTGCAGCCATTAATGGGCCAAAACGATAATTTTTGACGCGTGCTAGACCCTGGGTTGATTCTCCTCAGGCCCCACTTATGAGCAAGACTACCAAGGCAACTGTCACCTTCCCCTCAGAGGATGAGGATATGGGCGAGGTGGCGATCAACTGGTTCGGCCCTCCAATCACTGTAAGGTCCCCAGCGATCCGTAAATTTAACAAGTTTTTTCTTCACTGTCTTTGCACTGACATCACTCATCGGAATATCTGTGATATTTATGAATTCGGTAGGACTTTCTAACATTCCAAGCATTGGACATCATCGAGACGTATCTCACGGACTCGGCTGTGGCTATCTTGAGAAAGGAGATGGTGGAGATCGAGGATCCTTACTGCACATGTATGTTTCTTTTTCCCTGATAATTTTATATGTTAGATGTGCTCTCTCTTGAACTTCAGGCACTGCACTACATACTCACCGGCTTCCCATATGTTCACCTCCAGCGATCGACTTTCGAACTTCTCAGCGTATTCGCGTGGAGATCCAGCTGAGCTTTGACAGCGTTCCAACCGAGAAATTGGAGGAGGTGGAGCCGAAGTTCTTCTCAATTATCGAGAAGATTGCTCAGGAGGGCTTCGACATGGAACGCATTGCCGCGGTCATCAAGCGGGAGAAGCTTAAGCTGCTCGATCGTCTTGAGACCGACCACATGACTCTAGCCTGGCCTTGTCTAATCCACTTTTTGTACGGAAAGGAGGACGACAGTGATCTGGCTGATTTCACGAACGATTTGGACAACCTGGATGCAGTTGCCAAGTTTGACAATGCCACCTGGATCAAGTATCTCCGCGAGTAAGTTGATCAGTACATCGAATAATCGAATAATTTTTCGTCCTTGTGCGCCTGGTTTGACCATTGATCTTCGTTTACGTTTCCTTGTCGTAGGTATTACATTGACTCAAAGAGAGCAACCATTATTGGCAAGCCTTCTGCAGCTCATGCCGCCAAGCTGGCTGAAGATGAGGCCAAGCGCATTGAGGAACAGCGAGAGCAGCTCGGCCCAGAAAAGCTGAAGGAGCTGGAAGAGGAACTGCAGAAGCACAGAGCCCAAAATGACATCCCTGTTCCAGCAGAGATTTTTGGTAAGGACATAGGGGACTTCCTAAATATGTACTGTGAGCGTGTCCGAAAGTGCGCAGATGGACTAATGGCATGATAACTGCATTCAACGCTAGATAACTTCCCTATCCCTAGCGCCAAGGGCATTGAGATGATCGAGGTCCTTACTGGACGCAGCCAGCCTAGCTCTAATTTGTGAGAGAACGATCTACCAAACTTAGTCGCGCTTCGTATTTTTTGCATGACTCTAAATATCATACTGACATCTCGTATCCTATTCAACTATAGCAACAACGAGATTCAGAAACACTTGGATAACGATGCCTCCAAGATTCCTTATTTTATTGAATTTGATCGTAAGTACAACGACAGCACGAAATATGCGAGCGGACTAGATCGTAAATCAGTGGGAGCAAAACTTGCTAATGGGCTATTCGTCTTTGTAATCATAGATATCAAATCCGAGTTTGTGGAACTCACGCTGTTCTTCACCTCGACGGAGCTGCCACCAAGACTCCGCCCTTACTTGGATATCTACTTTGAGTCGTTCTACTCGCTGCCCCTGGTTGATCCCGCCACTGGCAAGGAGACCCACTTTGAGGACGTTGTCAGGATGTTGGACAATGACACCGTCAGCCGCGGATGCGGCGCTGGCGTGTCTAATGCGTTTCGTCAGCTCGCCTTGGTCGTGCTGAAGACTGAGCGCGCCAAGTACAGCGAGGGCATTGCTTGGTTGAACAAGATGACTTGGAACACTCGCTTCGATGCGGATCGTCTGAAGGTGATTGCTACCAAGCTGCTGAACGATATCCCTGGCCAGAAGCGCGATGGAGCAAGGGTAAGATAGCGTACCTTGCTTTTTCTGTTGTTGTTTCATTTACGAAAACTGTCCAAGAGACTTAAATGTTGCTTTTCTTCCTCGCAACTGCTTCGCCTATATTATCACAGATGTCTAGAGCCTGCATGGATGTCATTGCGTATGATCATGACAACTCCAACACTGCGGCTTTAAACGTGCTGGAACAGGCCAAGTTTTTGCCTGACGTGATCAAGCAGCTGGAGCAGGAGCCTGAAGCAGTCATCAAGGCCATGATAGAGCTCCGCGAAATTCGTAAGTTCCTTGAGGATGTTATGCGTTGCAGGCAAGACGGATTGGATTGAAATACATGCAGACTAACTTTTTGCGTCCCAACCTCATCTTAAATATAACAATCCTAGTAACCCATCCCGCCAATATTCATATCCAAGTCCAAGGCAACATCTTGAACCAGAATGAACCCAAGACCGCCTGGGCCAAGAACTTTGGGCTCAAGAACGCAGCTACCACCCTGGCCCCCATCCCCTTCTCGAGCCAGGTGTGGAGTGAGGCTGGCAAGGCGCCTGGAATGAAGGGCTATGTGGTCAACATGCCCTCAATCGAAAGCTCTTTTGCCTCTCATGTGGCACGCGGTCCAACTGAATTCCTGGATCCCGACTATCCCGCCCTGCTGGTACTGTCTGAGTGTTTGGATACGCTTGAGGGACCTTTCTGGAAACAGCTCCGTGGAAGCGGCGCCGTTTACGGTGCCAACCTCCGCGTCGATATTGAGTCAGGTACGGGAAGCCCCTTGTGAAGCGGAAGCAATGGATCATCAATATTGAACTCGCCTAACTTGATGCCTTTCGTTCATGTTCAAAAACAGGCTTCCTCTCATTCACGATCTACCGCTCTCCTGACGCCTTGAGGGCATACAACCTCGCCAAAAAAATCGTCGATGACTATGCCTCTGGAAAATCCAAGTTCACGAAGCAGGAGCTCGAGGGTGCCAAGGCTAGTATTGTGTACAGAATCGTTCGCAAGGAGGAGACCATTTCTTCGGCCGCCACCGAGTCCTTTGTCAACCAAGTCCTGAAGAAGGTCTCGGCCAACTATAACAAGGAGTTCTTGGAACGCGTCCAGTCTGTGACTCCTGGACAAATGCAGCATGCCATGGACAAGTATCTCAGCAAGGTGTTCCAACCTGAGACCTCGCTCGTCGTGGTTACCAGCGCCACGACCAAGGTCAAGGACATCTCGGAGGGCTTTAAAAGCATTGGATTCCAGTTGGAGACTAAGAATATTGACGATATTTAAATGTGTTACAGGCTAGATGTTTGTTCGGATAGTTCACACTGATAAATGCTTTTTTATTTGCCTATCTGAAATGGGTGAATGATGACAGCCCATGTGAAGAAAGCGGCAAGTCTGGCGGAAAGAAGATTGGTAATGAACGCGGCGCCACGGTAGGATACTGTACAGATTGTCTGTAAATGTGATATGGGTTTGCTGCGTACAAGGGGGGGTAGTATTCGCGCAGAGGATGAAGCGAGGGAAATGGCAGGGCGCTAGAGGTTGTCCCGGGCATGTTTGGATAGAATAGCTCATAGCCATAGTACTGATAGTAAGGGTACGCTGACTCTTGCTGAAAAGTACTATCGAGTCCATGGCCAGGTATCTCAGGGGAAATATCGCTAGTGTCTGACTCTGCACCCGCTCCTTCTACATCCTCCGCGCTGTGCGACACTAGCGTATTCCCAGTTTGGAGATCCGTCATAGGTGGAGTCATCTCTGGTGTCATTAATGAATGCCTGGCCTGAGTCCTTTTCCTGTTTTTCTTTGAGGTGACGCCCTGCTTTCCGTGAGACGATGCATTCGTTGATTTGTTCCTCTTATCTGTATATCCATCGCTGCTGCTTAACTGAGACGCCTCATCATTCTCCCGAGCCCTCTTTTCACTCACTGTCCTCTCAGCCTCCAACTTTTTGAATTGCTTCAGATCCGAGGGTTCTTGCAAAGGTCTTTCGTGATGTCGTTTTTTGCTACTGCTATTCAATTCTCTATAGTCCATGTCCTCTTCCGACAGTTTCTCGATCGTGATGCTGAAGTCCTGCCTCAAAATCTCAACGGTCTTAAGCTCTGCACTGTCCACGATGCTCACTGCCAGTCCAGTGGTTCCGTATCGTCCTGTTCTTCCCACACGATGTAAATATGTCTCTGGATCCTTGGGCAGATCGAGATTCACGACCAAGTTCACCCGGTCAATGTCAATTCCGCGGGCGATCTATAGAGCGGACAAAATTACAATGAACATTAAACTCCCACTGCAGTTCCATAATAGAATACACAGAGTAAAGCTATCACAAGACTTACCAGATCGCTGCATACCAAGATCCTCAGCTCGAAATTACGGGCTTTCTTCATGACCTTTAGTCGCTCCTCCTGTGAGATTCCTGAAGCAATATGCATTGCGGGCCATCCGTTGCGCGTGAGGAACTTAACCAGATCTGCGGCTCGACCTCGGTGGTTCAGAAATACAATGGCTTGGTAGAAGGGCACATGTGTTAAAAGGCTCTCTAGCTCTGCAAACTTGGCTTCCATGATATGCATCTGCCTCAAGAACACGGAACTGTCTTTATGCTTTTCGTCCAACGTCGCCACCTTGTAATACTGTAGGACGCCTTGAAAGGAACAAAGGAAAATGAAGCAGACGTCAATATGCTGCGACAATCAATGGAGAGCTAGTTTTTCAGTTCTTCATACAAAAAAGTATCCTTCAGACACAATACGTTTGATCTAGGTCAAGTTACCTTCCAACTCGGGAGTGCCATTACTCAACATCACATAGACAGGGTTCTTGACCAACTGATCCAGCTGTGACAACAAATCATCGTCATAGGTCGCTGAGAACGCCATGACCTGCTTATTGGGGCCCAGCTTTCCTGAGATTTCAAAGACATCCTCCTTAAAGACATCCTCCATCAGTTTGTCAGCCTCATCCAGCACGAGCAAACGGACCTGACTCGTGTTCAAGTCCCCCGCAGATATTAGCCACCTGAGTCTTCCTGGCGTGCCGACAACAATGGAGCATCGTTTCGCGTTGTCCCTGTCCTTTTGAAGAGACATTCCCCCAATCATTGAATAGCAAGCAACGCTCTGTCCAAGCTCTTCGTGGATGAGGTTGAGGATAACATTCTGGATTTGAACCGCAATTTCCCGTGTGGGCGCAACGATGATCGCCTTTGGATGCTGTAGATCCCCTGCTCCTATCCTTGAGTTGTTGGAGATAGTCGAAAGGACGGCTTCGATGGCGATAACGCTAAAGACGATGGTTTTTCCTGTACCTGACTTTGCTTGTGCAATCAAGTCGAGCCCCAGTCTGCCTAGGGGTATTGTCTTGAGCTGGATAGGTGATGGTCGTTGGTATCCCGCATTCGCTAGACCCTTGAGCAACGCAGGATTGGAGACCAAGGAGGAGAAGTCGAGGTCCTCGTTGATTTGGACGTCTTTGGAATGGAATCGGTCGAGCGTCATGTCATGGTATGTGTCCTCTGTGATTGTAAAGCTGGCCAGGGATGACACCGCTGTCTGTGTTCGCCCATTTTTTTATCGAGCAGTCCGCTATTCGCGTTTCTTTTTGCCTCCTCTCCACTAGTTTTCCCGCCCATTCTTCACTGCGTGGTCGTCTTATACATTGTACCCTCCCCTCTGCAGACCTTTACCACTGCCGACACGCTCCTCCAATCGCTCATTCTTAACCACGAGTATTCAGCGCCTTCGTCATTCATACAACGCTGCAATTATGGAAGCAAACTGGGGCTCAAAGCTGGGCCTCATCGCCGATAGCACCCTTGTGACAGTCTTTGAGCGCAACCGATGCAGAACAAACGGACTCAGCTCTACATCCCAAGATAAGACTATCGAAAAGAATATGCCGCGTCTAAGGGAAGGGCTGCAGCAACTGGAGGCAGAGCTTTCCCAAGCAGAGCAGGACGGTTCAGTGTAGGAAATACCTTGACTCTTGGCATTCTTGGTAACCTTCCCATGACGTCTTGGAGTCAATTGACCGCTCATGTATCTTTCTTCTCTAGACCGTCTAAAGAACTCGCAAGTCGAGAAGATACCCTGATCAAGCTACAACAACAGCTGGAGAAATTGGAAGCATTGCTTCAGGACAAAGATGATGTCGATGCAAGGTACACATCCCCTTCCTTCTCTTAACACGCGATTGAGCAAAGTCGACAACACCAGGAAGGGATAGGATGTACGACCACACATGCGCACACACAGTTAATAATAGGGCATCTTGGATCACCTGGCGTATCTCATGTAGGGCTGTCCTGCTTGGTCTGAACCAAAACTCGACAAAGCACTCACGGTCAAAAATCGTGAGGTTTTCTGAGCACGAGGTCGAAGTTGACAATCTTGGCAACAGCCAAATGCTGCAGCTGCATCAAAGAATTATGGACGGTACGCCTTGTGTAATAGGTAGTGCCACGTTGTTGAATTTCACACATCGCAACTTTAACCTGACAAGGGCTTCTTGGCGTTTTACTATACTTCTAGATCAGGACCAGAACTTGGATCGTCTTAGTCATGCCCTTGGGCGGCAACAGGATATTGGCCTGATGATCGGCGACGAACTGGACACTCATATTGGCATGCTGGACGACACGGACCATCTTGTGGATCGCACAGAGAGCCGTCTAGGGCTTGCTCGGCGACAGCTAACAAAGGTGGCCGAGAAAACAAAAGGCTGTGGTACGCTGCTTTTTCTGCCGGATTTGCTATGTCTATTGTCGTCAAAAAAAAAACTGAGCTTTATCCCCTCAGCATCGACTAACACTTGCTTCAAACTTTGTTAACACAGGTTCGTGGTGGATCATCCTCGGTCTGCTTACCATCCTTATTATCTTGATCAAGAATTGAAGGAACCATAGTTACATTTTGTCGTTTATTAAAAGCAGCAAACTACATACCATTCCATTACTCGACTTACTCTCCTTCGCATATATACTTGCTGAACGCTTTGTCCTTGCTGCACCAATGTATCCATGGTGAATTATACGGACGGGCCAGTCCTTGTGCTGTCCATATTCTCTTCCGTCAATTGCGAACCAGTCACTACCCGCTCGCTCGCATCAGTTCAAAAGTGCGGGGAAAGAAGCGTGCCTTCTCCTTTCCACTTGCATCAAAACACACTCCTCATTCTCATCAACAAACACTACAACAATGACCTCTTCTGCACCAGCACATACCCTGAGCCATCTCCTTCCTCTCAATTGGAAGACGAAGATCACTGAATGGCTCCAGGAGGACATCCCCTCGTTTGATTACGGCGGTTTTGTCGTGGGAGAAAAAGAAACCACTGCTATCCTCTATGGCAAGAGCCAGGTACTTGGCCAGATCGGACCGAATAATGTCTTTGAATGGATCTGTATTTCTAGATAGGCAATTGAACATTTCCCTGTGGTCTTTGGCCTGTATGATAGGGTGTCGTTGCTGGAGTTCCATTCTTCACGGAAATTTTCGAGCAACTGGGATGCCGGTAAGTATTTTCACACGGCACCGTACTTCTCGCAAGGACATCACTGTTCAGAAAACTAAACCTACTGCTTGCACTTTTTTTTTCTTGTTTTGTTCAGTGTGGAATGGCATGTCTCTGAAGGCGAAGTCCTCAAGCCCATCCAAACCTGCGCGCATGTCTACGGTCCCGTCCGCCAGATTCTGATCGGTGAACGCACTGCTCTCAACATGATGGCTCGCTGCAGTGGTATTGCGTCGCAGGCCCACCGTCTCCGCCTCTTGAAGGAGAAGAATGGATTCAAGGGTGTCATTGCCGGGACTCGCAAGACCACCCCAGGTACTATACCGCATGCATTGAACACAGACTGGAAGGCGAGAACCCCGATATTAACAATACGCTCAACTGGCGGTTTGCAACTAGGTTTCCGCATGGTCGAGAAGTACGGGATGTTAGTCGGAGGTGCAGACACTCATCGCATGGATCTTTCGTCCATGATCATGCTCAAGGACAACCATGTCTGGAGCACGGGTACGGTCTACACTTCCTTTATACGGATATGCATTTGCAACAGAATGATGCGACAAAGTTGTACAGCCGCCTTACCAACCGCTCGACTGTTGTTTTAGGATCTATCACGGCTGCTGTACACAAGGCCAAGGCCGTTGGAGGATTTTCCTTAAAGATTGAGGTCGAGTGCCGATCAGAGGAGGAGGCTGATGAGGCTATTGCTGCCGGCGCGGATATCGTCATGCTTGACAACTTTGAAGGCGATGCTCTCAAGATCGCTGCCGGCAACATCAAGCAACGATGGGCCGCCAAGGGACGCCAGGTTCTGGTCGAGTGCAGCGGCGGTGTCACTGAGCAGACCATCGAGGAGTACTTCTGTGATGGTAAGCGTACAGGCTGTTGAATGCATTGTAGCGATAACGAGTAGGGAAATGATCGAGAACTAATATGACTCATTCCTCCGCCTCTTCAGCTATTGATATCATTAGCTTGGGATCCATGACCCAGGGCGTCTCCTTTGTGGACTTTTCGCTCAAGGTCCAGAAGCAGTGAATCGCTAGATGCCTTTGATAGTTCGTTTTGTATATTTTGGCGGTATGAAATAGAGCTATTTCTGTGAAGTGTTTATTTGACAATTTTGGATGAAGCGCTGCGAGAAGACTCACGCGTACACAAGACCGTTGATACAAGGCTACCGCATCAAATCGAGAATAGAGAACGTACGCGAGGTCACTTAGACAATGCGATCCATATCTCTAGCATAGAACATGGTCTGCTTGATGATCTGCTCTGCTGGAATGCTGGTCTTCTCGTCCGCATCCGAGTGGAAGTATGCCTTTTGCTCGACGGGGTTGACCTTCCAGTTTCTCTACATTGAAGAACAAGGAGGAAAGAGAAGAAGAATATCAGTCAATGGTTGTTGACACAATGGAAGCAACCAAGAAACACTACGTGGCTGTGTCAAACGTACCTCTTTTGCAAAGTTCAAGATATCCTCCATGTTTGTAAAGAACAGCAGAGTTCCTGCATCCTTCAATGGCAGGCTGGTGTAAGCCTTTTCGCTGCAGCTTGCAATCTCGTTCCTAATGACCCCATGAGTAACCATATAAGTATTCTGTGCTTGAACGATTCGAACAGCAGATATAACGCTCCGTTGTTTCCTCCAGGTTCAATCGCTATCATTTACCTAATAGTGTCCATCAGGATATCGATGAAAAAGAGATACTCTTTTGATGGGACATCCGACCTTGAGCTCCAGACTCTGTTGTAACTGCCCTCCATGAGTGATTGTTCCAGCTTGATGGGATGCTGGATCGCAGGGTTGCTGTGCAGCTGTTCCGGATCAATCATCTCCAGTGCCGTGTGAAAGTCAGAGATCCTGTTCTGTGACAGAAGGCAAAGCAAGTTGAGGCCGATCAAGTTGTATTTCAGAGGGGAAGCAGGGAGCTCGCTACAAAATTGAGATGAAGGACAGAAGTATAGTATAGTCAGCTATGCAGCTCCAGAGACGCGGATGCGCGCAAACGCCATTGACGCAGCAACTTCCCCTTACGTGTAGTCATTATAGTAAGTTTGGAGCTGAGCCATATATCTCTCGAACGAAGGAATGTCCTTTGTGCGAACACTCCACTGTGCTCCAATCTCGAGAACGTCGCCTAGGTATCAGAAAGATAAAGTGGATGGAAGAACGATGTGAATTCCAGCAGTATGTATCGAACATGACTCTTTGTTATCGGTGTAGGAAAGACCAGTATTGCCCTTACGTGCCACAGTGAGCTCCTCAATGTTACTGTGCCTGTCCTCGTGCGTCAGATACTGCAACTCAATCAGGGCGATCTATTGTGTAAACTACGGTTAGCGGTTCGTAAAGAAAAGAAAAGAGCCAAAGGGAGCATCCATGGCTTTCGTATAGAATCCATAACGGCAATATCCGTTGAGTTACGTGGTTGTACCTTGAGCTGCTGAAGATATTGTCCGCACTTGGCGAGGTCTGGGTTGGGCGTGTTGTACTCCGCGCTGAGTGCCTGTGCTAGGTGCTTGACTTCACTGACAGCCATGATCTCTATTCGTGTGTCGAGGTTGGGATGAGTTAAAGCCGAGGTAGAAGAAGGTATAAAGTAGGTTGAGAGAGTGAAGGAAATGATTGTTGTTATAGCAGGCGCGGTTGTTGATGGATGAAGAAAAGAAGTGGCCTGCATGCGCACACGCGTAATACTCGTTCGTAGTCAGGACAATGGCAACGTCACCGGGAAATAAATTCGCGCGGACACGAAACGCGACCAGGAACCTATTCCTAGGCAATTGCTCTTCGCCTACAAAGCGACCTACACTTCTTCAGGAAAAGAATGCTACTGCTAGGCCCTAGTACTGAATAGCCTAGAGTAAAGCAGTTCTCACTGATCCCGGGTCCATAAGCGTCTGCGCCATTATAAGTTATATGCGTCAGTCCCTTTAGGCTCCATGCTGTGCGCTTAATACGACAGTAGGACCCATTCCCATCCTCTCTTCTATGCGTGGGACTGACGACTGAGGGCCAGTTGCGTTGAATAAGCTGTTGCCTATCAAGCTCAGTGTGAGGACCTGTGGGGTACCAATTGAATACCTGTTGCCGTTAAGACCAGTGTCGGAGAACGCTTTGTCCACTTGGGAATAAAAGTTGACCTAGGAGAATCAAAGCTGGGCAAGAGAGCGGCCATATTCCAATGTCCCTCCCTTTGTACCGACATTCGTTGTATTGAACGCATTTTCTTGGTCCATGACGCGGGAGGACAGAAGCAGGATGTTACGATTCCAACTACACATCTCTCATGTCATTCGCTCATCCACACACTTCATCGCCCAAGTGGACGTGCGATCTTGCAACTTTGACCGGTACTAGTAGTGCGTGTTTATATTTGCATAAAGCGCACAGTATCGATAGCGACCTCATCTCTCCTTACCCTCCCCGCCTATATCTCCCACTCCTCTTTTCTCTTTTCCCCTTCCTTTCTTCCTCTCTTCTCTCTTTTTCTCCTACTTGCGCTCCTTGCCTTGTTCTCTCATTGCCCTCTTGGAACATATATAATACCAAGAAATAGATATCCAACGATTACGGCGTCGATTACCCCTACGCCGTAGTGCACACAAATTAATTTCATTGGTTCATTTCCCCCTAAGCGACGCGTCCCCATCAGCCAACTACAGGCGATCTACAACGACCACATACCCTCTCCTTTACTTCTCAGCAGCTTCTGCTCGCCATGAACACCGCCGCCCCCACTCAAGCGCCCACGCATACCCAGCAGATCCATGCTCAAGACACAGCAGCCTATATCCGACCAGAAGCCCATGCGGCCGACCGCATATCTGCGCAGGAGGCTATGAAGGGCATGAGGATTAGTGAGCCTCATCAGGTACGTGCTATATTACATATATTTGGCGCTGAGTATCCATACAGATATATTGACTAGTATGAATGCTATTCAAACAAACTCTGCTGCTGCAGCACAACAGCAGACAAAGGCCCAGCGACACCGACGACGCGTACGTTGCCTCGCGTGTCGAACGGCACCTGGCCAGCCGTGCTCAAAGCATTCGGGCGTCGTCCAAACAGCAGACAGAGGTACAGAAGATCGTCTTGGCTCACTTCTTTTTATCTTCTATCATTCAACAATCTGCCGCCCTTGCCGTCATTTCTTAGCCCTTCTAATACTAATCCCCTCTCTCTTTCCTCCATTCTCGCGCCATCTCGCGTTTGTCATCACCAAAGGAACTGGCGCTGAAAGTGGCCTTGACCGAGCGTAGACGCTCCCCTCCAGAGAACATTACCACCACAGCCCCCGTTGCCTTCGATATATACAAGCCTATGGAAGTCATTCCAGAGCCGAACGCCAGCAGCAAAATAACCTGCAATAATCTGGCTCAAGGCTCTCAGTCCCGCCAGCCTCAGAGCTATTCTTCTCAGGATCCAGATATTGTTGCGCCTTCACAACAACACGATCAAGGATCCCGCTCTGGACCAACCCAGCAGTTTCACAACCAAAAAGCACCCATCCCGCCATCGCCCTCTACCAATGACAACGTTTCTCCAACCTCTCCTCAGCCTATACCATCGTCAGGACGTCAGTCAAACCTCAGCAGCGTCAGCAGCAGTAGCAAGGTGCGTTTAGGGCGTTTTTGAAGCTCTAACATTTTTATTTTTATTTTTTATTTTTTGGTGATATAACTAAAGACAACAACGCAATCCTTGCTATCTGAACATAGGAGTCCTATCGACGGAAGTATGGCGACATTCAAGGATACACATACATTGGTACCATCGGTCAAGGCAACTTCGGGAAGGTCCTCTTAGCAGAGAATGATATCACTGGCGAGCATGTAAGAGAGAATGGACGTTATTTAATGAACACAGACACGATATCCAGCTCCTATGAACCTCCATCTAACAACAAATATCCCTGTGCGTACTTAGGTTGCTGTAAAGATTCTGGAAAAGGCCCAGTTCAAGAGTGAGCAGCAACGACTTCATGCTACGCGCGAGGCGCGTCTGATGGCCACCTTGAGACATCCAAACATTGTCGATGTCAAGACCGTAATGGAGGATGACTATAGGATCTTGATTGTCATGGAGAATCTGACCGGAGGGGAGCTATTTGATTACATATCCAACAAGGGTTCTCTGGATGAGGAGGAGGCTCGCCGCATTTTTCAGCAGATTGTCCTTGCGATCCACTACTGCCACGAGGTACGACGCGTAAAAAAAAAAAAAAAAAAAAAAAAAGGAACAGCACAGCACAGCACAGCTCTGCGCCGAAAATTTTTAACATCTTTCTTTTTTTTTTATTTTAGAACAAAGTTGTGCACCGGGATCTCAAGCCAGAAAACATTCTCCTCGATAGCGAGCGTAATGTCCGTGTCGCCGACTTTGGGTTCGGCAACAATTGGCATAAGGATCGCCATCTAACCACATACTGTGGCTCGCCCTTCTATGCTGCCCCAGAGATGGTCAGCGGCACGCCCTACATTGGGCCTGAGACCGACGTCTGGAGCCTCGGTGTGATCCTATACGTCCTCGTCTGTGGTCGCCTGCCTTTTGACGCCAGCGACCTACCTGCGCTCTTTGCCCAGATCAAGCGTGGAAACTACCAGAAACCCAGAGAGGGATCCATCGGTAAGCAAATAATCTGTCCTCATCAAAGCGAGGTTCACGGCAATCGTGGTTCTAAACCGTCCTTTATGGATCTTTTCTAGATGTCTGCTCGCTGATTCACCGTATGCTGACTGTCGATCCCAAGCGCCGTGCCACGTTGGCGGACGTGCTCCGGTCCCGCTGGATGCGTGCTGATGGCATGGAGTCCTTAGCCACAGCCCTGCCTGCCCTCTCTACTGCTCTCCCAACCATCCGCTCTGCCTCAGTCCATCAGCAGCAGCAGCAACAGCAGGCAGGGTCGACTGTACTTGGGACTCACCACCCCAACAACGATATCAGCACCACTATGGCTGCGCCCGGCGTCCACACTGGCCAAAACCGCCATTCATACCACCCGCCAGGCGCGCATGAACTTGACCGACAGCAACAGCAACAGCAGGAATCTCCGTCTGTATACCGCTCATACCAGCATTCAGAGGACTATCAGCAGGACTACCGACACCAGCATCATCGCCAGAGCTCACAGTCGGTATTGCCCCGTGAGTTGCGTGACAGCGACGACCAAATGAGCGACGTCTCGCCCTCAATGGTCAGCTCCCCGACCGAGACCATGGCGACCATCTCACCGTGTACGCCTGTGGCCCCAACCTGCAAGAACGACGTCCTTGGCAGCAATGCCGCTGCTAACAATGCAACGACCCTCAACGGCTGCTCACCAGCCGTGTACCAGAAGCGACCGACTCCTGTGAACGGCGTCGCCTACGACGAAAAGCATCACCCTTACAAGCACCACCACTCTCGGACAAGTTCTGTTCATAGCCACGGATGCGGACAGAGCCCCGAGGCCGTAATGATCAACATGTGTCCATCGAACGATGTCCTCATGGACAGCTATGACACGTCCTCGAAGAAGAAGAGAAAGGCACTGACAAAGCTCCGTCAATTCTTTCGCTTCGAGACCAACAAGGTCTGAATGATACACTGCTGTGCAGCAATAATTCCGTATCTTAATATATGCACTCTACTCCCTCTCCCCGGACGCTGTGCTTGATGTTGAGCATATGCAAAACGCAGCAGGGAGTACGACATCGATCTGGCTATCGATGCAGATTTTAAGATAACTTTTCCCTTCCGTCATTTGTTCGCTTTGTTCAATCCATGTATAGACCCACCAACAATAGTTAGATTATACGTAACAAAGGAACGCTCCCCCAATACGAATGCTAGTGCCCCGGTTCTACAACGTCACTAAGGACTCCATTGAGTTCAGATGGCGGGGCTTTACAAGCGCGTCTCCATCGTTTGTTTTGAAGGACCTACATCGCTATAAAGTTTTGTCAATTCTTCACCATCATCCCTGGATCTCACTGCTGAATCAACTTTCTGCACATCGGAGCACACCGTTGCCTTCTCAAGCATCAGTTTGCTTACACTAGCTGCGAGTGTTTTTCTTAAAAACTAATTCCTCAACGAAGCCTTGGATGCTGTGGAAGATGGCTTCGACGACTACGATATACAGGTTGCCAAAGCCATGTCCTTGTCTGAAGTCCATGCTACTTCGCCGAACAGGTCATCCGCGAAAACTTCAAGAAAATGCCTCTGCCTTGATCCTCTTTCCGAAACTCTGCCCAACGATCTGGAAAAGAGGAAAAGCCAATAGCCTCAGAGACCTTGGAGATGATTGAGAAGCTGCAGAAGAAGGTCAAGCTATTGCAGAGCCAGATCAGAAAATTGCGAAAGGTCCCGCCTCCTAGCAATACGTTCGTCTCAATCAAACAGTATAAATGGCCTTCAAAAAAAAGGGTGTTTGTAGAGGAGCGTAGAGCAGTACTTTAATGCTACGAGTTTTGCAAGGGAGAAAAAGAGAACGCGAAACTTTTTACGACATCGGATCCTTTCCTACGAAAGGCCTATTACATGAGATTCTCGCTCAATGCCGTCAAGAATGTCGTGTTGAGAAAGGATAACGGAGACGCTCGAGGCAAACATCCTCGCTACAACCACACTCTATCGCTTGCTTCAGACCTTTGACGAATCGCAACGGAAATGAGCATCAAGGGATAAGCTGTTAACCTTAGAGTCCTTTTCAACCGTATCAAGCTGCTATTCGCAGCTCAATTCAAGGCTTCAAGCAAGGAAGCGATTCGCTTGTTGATGAAGAAAATGAGTTCCCGTTACCAGGATGTCGTGAACACTAGGAAATTTGTCGAAACCGAGGATATCAAGGCCAAGAGGCAGGACTACCTTCAAGCGCGACGGTCTGATAAGTATAAGGATATAAGGACGCCGTATTTGTGTATGTGGACGAATCCTACTGTAACCAGAACCATAAAGGCTGGCTTTTTTGAGCGACCCATTCCTTTGTCAACCTTCCTCAATTCAGAAGATACCGCAACAAAGACATAAGACGCACCAAATTGATTGCTCCGTAAGCAGGGTCTATTTTGTGCGCATGAATAAAAGATTTGACGCGAGCTAGCCTCAGCCGTAGACGGAGATATATCAGGCTATCAATCACGCCCTGTCCTCTTATTTCCCCTCATCTATCAAGGCCTGCCGAAACAAAAGGCTTGGCGTCTCTTGACAGTATAAAATGCACTCTCGTCTTTTCGTATCTCTTCACTCCCTCCCTATCTTGCAACGTATCTTCTTTTCACCAAAGCACGTCTTTGACTTTATTAATCCTTCATCTTCACATTCCCGCTTTCTCCTACAGAACCATGCTACAATGCAAAACCCCGACTTTTATCCCTGACCCCGAATAGTATACGAAAGCCCTTGTCAGGCCCAGCACACCCAGCATGCTTTTTTTTCTAAGCTACTACTCCCCATCCTAGTGCTACCAGCACCACTATCACCGCCAGTCAGTAAGCACTGGAGACTTTTTCAAGCTCCCGATATCCAGGAACGATGCCACGGGCCCTCCAGAGTGAAGAGGGGATTATGATAAGATGAGGACAAATATGGAAATATGCATTCGTATTGTATATTACTAACAGTTCAGCTTTGGGTTGTATAAACGGAAGACAAAAAAAAGCGCATTCAACAATCTGGAAGTGACTTCGCGTTTATTATATCTGCAGATTTCTGTTGTTATGAAAGCACCAACACATTCCCTCCGAAGGACATTTCAGTCGTGCCTTACACTAAAAATTTGCGCGTTATCAAAAATGAGAGACAAGGATAGTTAGCACTAAGGGCCAAAAGAGGGGTGGCAAAGCAATGATTGCATTCAGGTAAGGGTTTACTTACTGGCATACTTTCGGGTCCACTCCCGCGCGTTTGTCTCGTAACGCTGGCGGTCGGTCTTGTAAGTGTGTGCGATCTCTGGAACGAGAGGATCGTCAGGGTTGGGGTCGGTCAACATGGAGCAAATCGACAACAGGACCTTAGAGATTGTAAGCGCTGGCGACCACTGATCCCTCAAGATATCCAAGCAGATGCTTCCGTTGCTGTTGATGTTGGGGTGGTAGATTCTGGTTGTGAAGTTCACCTACAAGGACACGCACATATTTATAGTTTGTCAGCGACGAAAGGATTAAAAAGACATAAAAAATTATGCCATTGCAAAAGATAAAGAGACAATTACCTTTGGTGGTTTGAAAGGATAGTCCGTGGGGAAGTGAATCGCCAAGAAGAACACTCCTCCAGCATATGGTGAGTCCGACTGGCAGAAGGTATTGAACAAAATTGGATTAGCAATTGGGTCTCGAACAGCGGAAAAGATAGAGCGACAACACTGCGGTCCGAGCCCTCTCTCCTTGCCGCGGATAAAATAAGGAAGAGGCAGGGGGGTACGATATTGTTCCTCGGTCATCTGCGATGGCAATCAATTCAAAGATACTTACAGGACCCATGATGGTCGCCTGCCAGTGGAACATCTCGTCGCCGATGGGGCCGGCAGAGCAGGATGAGGGGGGATCTCTTCCGAGATCAGCTAATTCCTATTTTCACAGATCAATACCAGAACAAAAAGACGTTTTGGTTAGTATTTGTCATTCGAAACAAAAGGACTGCGGCAGCAAGACCAAGACCAATGATGGCAACGACATTCAAACACCACAGCAACTGAAGATTCCTCATCTATAAGATCCTCAGTCTTCTAATCAAGAGAGGTAAGCCACAGCCGCAAAAGCGAAGGGGAGTAGACGAGCAAGAAAAAGGGAGAAGAGGGAATATTATGCAGCTAAGAAAAGAGAGGCAGTGTCCTCGTGAGGGCATCGCAACTATTCCACAAAGGACATCCGCTACATTTCGAGGTAAACATCCACAGAGGCGGAGCTGATGAAAGGGAGGACAAAGACATAGACACCGCATTTCCTTGAGCGCAGATAATACATATATTAAAAAAGACCTGGTCACGAAGGGTCTCGAGAGAGAAAAAATAGAGAGAGTAGTGTGTGCAGGCAACGGAACGATGTCATAAACAACAAAAGCGATGCAGGAAGACACAGCGGGAGAGCGATTGCAGTGGATAACAGAGAATAGTTTACCTTGTTAATGCGTTTAAGAGCCATTGCAGAAGGGAGGGATGATGAACGAGATTTGGGTGTAGCGGGTGGGTGGTGATGAAAGAGAGAAAAGAAAAGAACGAAAAAGACACTCGTGAGCAGATATGGAAGAGCAGTTCCGCCATTTGCCCCTTCTTCCTTTTGCCATCGTCATCACAAAATCCACAGGGTTTCACGTACGACCAATCATATATACGTATAAGATGTGATCACTTCACAAAAGAATACCCTCCATCGACATATGAAGCAGACCACCTACCCGCTTCCAAAATGCCTCATGCTGGCGCCATGCATCTTCCTTCCACCATTCTGCAAAAAAAAAAAAAAAAACTCCACCTAAGGTGGTTTCAGTGGGAAAAAGAAATTGCGACCTGTGTGGATTGAACACACGACCTTCAGATCTTCAGTCTGACGCTCTCCCAACTGAGCTAAGGTCGCTGGTTGTACTTAAAATGGAAAGTAGGAGAATTATTATATTTCCTAATATTTTAAGGTTACACGTGATAACGTGAGGTGTTAGAGGTTTATATAATTTAGTCATTTCTCAACGTTTAAATAAGAACAAAGTTTGTATGGTGTAGTTGGTTATCACGTCTGTCTAACACACAGACGGTCCTCGGTTCAAGTCCGAGTACAAACACTTTTGTATTTTTGTTTCATTTTGCATTCACTTGGGAAGTACATCGACGAATACCGCACGTCTACACTTTGCAAAGAAAAGGTGCCAGAAGTTGGATACTGTTCCTGTTGCCATCTAATCTTCCCACGCCAAGGTGTTATGGGCTCGAATCAAGAAGATACAGGGTCTTCGCCCTACCGACAGCATAAGGGAGAAAACTGACAAAAGAGAAGCGTCGAGCCACTCTAGAAAATGGCAAAGCTGCTTCGATAGCCGACCCTATGGAGCAATGTCAGCGATGCATTATTGAACAGAAATATTGAAACTACTAGTATTAAAGACGCGCGCCTCCTTCACTTGAACTTCCGTCTTTACTCAGTAAAATACACTTTATATACCTTCATTACTTAACACACCCTTTAACCCTTTAACTTTTGTAACATCACGCTCCTAGACTTGAACCTATTGTATATTAACTATGTTTTTCTTCATTGGACTGATTGGCAGTGGAAAGAGGATGGCTATTCTTAGTCTCTCTCGGCTCAGGAGATAATGTGACGGAGACAGAAGACGCGCCAAAAGTGATTGTTGGCTATCAATCGCACCCTGTCCTCTTCTTTCCCCGCATTTATCAAGCCTTGCGGAAAAAAAAGGCTTCGCAATCTTGGGTAGTGCATGCATGCGTTGATGCCTATACAATCCGCGTCTTTTGGCAACTCTCCATCGCTCCGTACCTTGCAATGCATCTTCATGTCACCGAAGCACACCTTTGACTTTATCAATCTCCTTCTCCCACGCATCCCCAACTTTCCCGGCAGAACCATGCTTCAAATGCAAAATATAGCTTTATAGCTCTTATCCCTGATCTCAGCTATAGGCTGTACGACTTTAATTTGTTTAGTTATCCGCAAGGATTCTGTATTCATGTTGTGACAAATCCGCCTTCTCGGCAGACTTCAATATATTCATTTCTTGTTCTTATATCGTATATATGAGTACTACAGACCTAAAAACTATTGCAAAGCAGAAACCATAACTACTAATGGGATTCAACCCTATCTCACAAGACAACAAGACAAGAAAGAAACAAGAGGAAGAGAAAGAGTTGAGTCTCGACAACCCATCGCTTTTAGTCCCTCTTGCGTCCGATTCCGAAGCCAAGGACCACCACGGCAGCAGAGACGACGACCGTAGTCTTGCAAATACTCCACAGCAAGTTCGGATATGTCTCTGGCAGTAGCTTCTTCTCAGCAGAATCAGCATCAGAACTGCCAACGTTGGTCGTCTTCGTCTTCTTCTCCATCGCATGATCATTCAACACATCCATCGTCTCATTATCGCTCTCCACCGACTTTTCCTGCTGCTGCTGCTGCACCAACAGGGCCTCCTTGGTCAACTGCTCCTCCTCTTGCTTCTTGCTCTCCATAGCAATTTCACTAAAGACCGATAGCTTGGTCGTCGAAGCAGACGCCTCCGACCGAGGCGTCAACAACACAGACAAATCAATGCTCTCAACATCAGAGTCCTGTTCTTCTAACGATGTGTTCTTCTCAGAGACCGTGTTCGGAGTCAGAGGTGGTGATGGGACCTGGGAATAGGCTGTAGCACTGGTATCGGTCACGACCTCGAGCTGTACAGCTCTGAAGGATTTGTTGCTGTGATGACGAGCCACAGTAGGGCTGTGATGCTCTTCAGGATTGGCGGCGGCTTGCAAAACGAATGGCTCAGGCTTGGGCTCGACTGCAGCGCGTGACTGGACCGCAGCGGCATACGACAATGGAATAGTTGCAGGAGCAGGAGCAGGAGTAGGAGCAGGAGTAGGAGCAGGAGTAGGAGCAGGAGCAGGCTCTGCTGCATCGATGGTTTCATCTGCAGGGACGTGCTCAGGGACGTGCTCAGGGGCAATGACCGCAGTAAGCGTTGGCTCCTCAGCAGCTGTCAAACCCTCTTCCTCCACAGAATGGGTCACCTCGGTCTCGACTTTAGCCTCAGACTCGACGTTCTCTGCAGTCTCCTCAATCGATAGTTCCTGGGCAAGCACGCCGACCGGCTGCGCAGTGATCTGTGGCAGTGATTCGTCTACGCTGGAAGCATTGGCATCGAGGTTCTCTGGTGCACCTATCTCTCGCTCAGAGTTGGTAGCGAGAGCAGCAGGCGCAGATAAGGGGTCGGCAACAATAGCAGCAGCGACGGCTGGCTCGAGCATGTGCTCATCTGAGTGAACGTCAGTTACAGGGCACAAGTACAGGCACAAGACAGGATTATGGGAAAATAAATAAGGGATAAAGTGGATGATTAATATGATTGCCTCTGTTTCGCAGATTGGGGAGATAAGGCTCATTCAAACTGTATTGTCTTGTGTTCATCCCGCCTGTATATGTGCGCCTTGGATTTTTTCTTTTCTTTCTTGTTTGTTGGTCTTTACCTTGGTCAACAAGAGGTGCTGCATGCTCAGCTGCATGGGGTTGTTGTCGATCGTGTTCTTGTTGGGGTACAACCACAATGGGCTCGTTTGCATCCTTACCAATAATTTCATGATTGGCAATATTGCCCCCCTTGCCGTCGTCGTCGTCGTCGTCTTGGTCGTCGTCTGACTCGGATGCGGATGCATCCTGATTGCGCCTCGAGCGACCCTCACCGTCACTCAAGTCATCCGTCTCATCAAAGATCAACACGGCCTCGAATGTGTCCCTAGCTTTTGACCCCTTTGGTGTGGTTGGTGTGGTTGTGGTTTTGGTAGTACCTGTAGATGTGGAAATTCTGCCATCCTGATCAGAAGCAGGGGGTGTGGGTGAAGAGTCAAGGGCGACAGCAGTGACAGCTGTATCCCCATCAGATGTTGTCGCAGGATTAGGGGCTTCTTCGACCAACACTTGAGGGATGGTTTGACTTGCCGCGGTCTCGACATTCTCTTGCTGACTCTGGATGCTCGAGCTACGGCTGCGGTTGGGGGATGGGGACAGTTGGATCTGTTCGATTAGGTCGACGACGAGTTCGTGGTTGCAATGCCCCTCGTTATCCCATACTTGGTGTCGGTGGGGATCGCATTTCCACTCGTCATCGATCACAAACTTGAATTGATAGCGGTACTCCCGCATCAAGGGCAAGATAATGCCATCCTTGCTCTGATGGTGATAAGGGAGGTCGATATGGAGATCTCGGGAGGAGTCTAGTGTAGAGGGTGTCGATGTGGAGGAGGATCGCGATCGGCCAAAGAACCGGGCAATGCGCTTGCGTTTGGAGAGGTGTGCAGGTTGGGTGGATGCAGGGGAGGAAGGGGTGGAGGAGGACTGATCGTGTGGATGGTGGTGGTCCAGCAGCTCATGGTGGAGATATCCGTCGTCGTCGAGATAGTCGGAGATGTCTTCGACCTCTTGGACGTCGAGATGGATTTCGAAGGTGTCTGTACCGGCGATGCGGGTCATGGGCAGCTTCTCCCATGGCCCGTGCCCGGGGACAGACCAGGTACCGGCGATGTATGCGTTCCCGCTGGGGACGGGGTATGGCCAGACGATGTGGATGTCGTGTTGGGGAACCATGATGATAGTGTGCTGCTGCAGGGCGTGGGCGTGGACGTGGTGTTGCGAGGAGAGGGAGGAGGAGGAGGTCTGCAGAGTGGAGGACGAGGACGAGGAAGAAGCGGAGGAGTGCTTTCGACGTCTGAAAAAGGATGGCAATCGGCTCTGTTGTTGTTCCTGTTGCAGCTGCTGATGGCTTGGCCCGACACTGAGGCTGGAGGATAGGGTGCTGCTGGCAGTGCTTCGCTGGCTGGCAATGCTCCGCTGGCTGGCAATGCTGCTGCTTCGATCGCGCTGTCCTGCGGGCAAAGGCGAAGACAACGCGGCAGATGGCCCAAGGAAGGCTGTCGATGTCATCAGGCTGGCGCTGACCATCATTCTGCTGATATCCTTGGTGCCGTTCTTGTCGTTCTTGTCCTTGGCCGCAGCCTTACCGCGTCCATCGAGATGGTCATGCGACGAGTGGGCGGACGAAGATGCGGTAGAGAAGGACGAGGACTTTTTCTTTCCGCCGCTGGTGATGGGGGCGGTCAGATGGTCAGGGAGTGCAGGGAAGCTGGAAGGGAGAGCTTGGCCACGGATAGCATGCATTGTTGGGAGAGGGATGGTATTCAATGGTATGGATGGTATTCAGTGGTATCGAGGGTGTTCAGTGGTATCAGAGGTACTAATTCTTTTTTTTTTTTTTTTTTTTTTGTTGATTCAGAGATATGAATGAAAATATGGAATGTGCTGTGCAAAATGAAACAGGCCCAGTTGGACCAGGGGATGGTGAAGATGACTATGTACAAATAGGGTGAAGGCAGCCAGGACGAAGCAAGAGGGAGTGAAAAGAGGGAGAGGGAGTGCGAGGTGGAGAGAGGAGGATGGGGGTGTTGGAGGGAAGCTTATATATGCATTTGCATTCGTAGAAAAGCATTGGGTGTGCATTGGGTGCACTGGCTGCAACAGCAGCGGCCCAGGTCTGTTCTGTTCTGTCCACGGATCTCGAGATGGGATGAGGGGACGACTGCAGTACCTAATCCTCAGTCCCCTGCCTTTACAACCTGGAAGGGAGCAGCGGCAGCAGTATGCAGTAGACTGCTATCCTCACAGCCAAGGAGCCAAAAAGACGCCATCCAGCTGCTTATGCAAGAGTGTGCCGCAACAAGGACTTTGCAGGGGTATCCATCTCCAACCGTAGTCGTCTTTCCCCCCCCTCTTCTGCCTATCTATAGCCTGTGCGCACTTACACCCATCCTAATCGCGTCTTCCCGTTGTGCATCTATATGGACCACAAACAATTCTCCGCTTACTACTCTTCTACTCTGCCCTCTTTGCGGAACGGATGGATTGGAGAGGGACACTGGAAAAAAAAAGGAACTCTTGAACATTTTTCACACGATCGATCAATTGAACAGCCATCCACAGTAGACAATTCACACACTCAACGCTGCACCGAAGCAGCAGCATAAAGATAAGCAAATGCTTGCGCCCAACTATTATGGCTGTCATTCTGGGCCAGTGAAGAAAAAAAAAGTCCCCTTTCTACAACGCTTCGTCCTCTCTTTTTGCTCCACAAGCTAACCGCGGGGTGGGAGACACAATAAAGAAGCGTGTACAGCTGTTTACACGAAAAAGATACAATGGTGTGGAGAAACAAGCAAGCAAAAAGATAGACAGCATGGATTCGCAATATTCAAATGGCCCCTACAGTCGTGTAGTTCCTCGGAGAAACGGAACGGCTGCGTCCTTTTTTTTATTACGTTAGGGACTACATGCGTCTCTCGATCTGTCGAGGCCTAAAGGGTTTGCGTTCTCACATGCCGGGCGCTTTGCATGTTGAACAACGGGCCAGTTGTCCACCTCATTTTCATTCGTTTTCAAAAAAGCACCGACCACTTTTCTGTGTTTGTTTGTTCCCTGGCACTGCAATTCGTCGCTTTTATTTGCAACACAAACGCACAGAAACCCTCCGCAATAATGAAAGGAAATATCCGCTTGCATTGCAGGAACAAGTTGGAAAAAAAAAAGTCTAAAAAGAAAAAAAAAAAAAAAGGAAAAAGAAAAAGAAAAAATGAGGGCGCCGCAAGACCATTGGGCTACGCTAGTTTTGCCAGGACACCCCGGGGGGTTGCCTCAGTCTTTCCGCCTCCCTCAACTATTTTTGAGTTGCATAATCCGTTGACAGATTTCCTCTAGAAAAACAACAAAACCGAACGCGCAGCGAACAGGAAAAAAATTAATTAACAACCAAAACCACACACATGTCAGTTCCCCGTCCACTTCATTTCGTTCAAGATGCATAAACCAATACTCCAAAAGAACGCCTCATCTTCCATATCCACTTACGTGCTTGCTGTGGATTCTTGGCCTCAAACTCATATGTCTTCTTCTCTCGATCGCCACGGATCACTACCAGCTTGAAGCTACTCGGCGCCTTCCTGCTCTGCTTGCAGTCGTGGATTGTACTTTTCAGATACGAAGCCGTTTTCCCAGAGTCAAACAAAAGCGTTTTGGTTGAAGAAGGCATGATCCGGATGTAGTCTCCATCTATTGCTAGAACCTGCTCATGATGACCCACATATCCTCCACGTCGCTTTCGATTCAACGTGTATTCACGATACACCTCAGCCGAGGTAAGGTACGAAACACTTGACCCCGGGATTTCTGCCAGTCCAGGTCGACCAAACTTTGAGCGCTTCGCCGTCAAGTTTGACTCTACAAAAAAGTTTAGCGAGTGGTGCAAAAAAAAAGGAACATACAAAAAAGTTTCGCGAGTAGCGCAAAAAAAAGGAACAAAGTCAGAGTCAGATAGAGACCATTGGGAGATGCGCACGCACAACAGCCATTGTTACATTGTAGTGCGTCTATGGATTTCTTACCGCTGGTCTTCGGGACAAGAGAGAGTTCTGTCGTATTGGGGATGTCCTCGGCTGCACCATCCAGGGGTAAGACGTGGTGCGTGTCTGCCACCACAAGGGACCACTCTGCCGGATCCATCTTGCGCTTCAGACAGATATAATCAATGACCCCGGACACCAACATCTTTGGCAAGATCTCGACCGTCGTCGTATGCTTGACTTCGTGGTTCGTATGCAAACGCACCCGAACGTAGTGCTGCGTGCTCGCAATGAGAGGTTCCGCTCTGGGTGGCGCAACGATGCCCGTCGTGCTGCTTCCTGCACCCATGGCCGATATGGCTCCGCTTGATGTACCTCCGCTTACACCATTGGGCTCTATTGAGGCCGACTCCGACCATTGACCTGCCTGGACTTCTCCCTGGAGACCCAAGTTAGGCCTTGGAGGATCAGGTGGACCAAGGCCAGTCGAAGACTTTTGTCTCTTGGGCCGCACCACTGTCCTCCCAGACTTTGTATAGAGGATCTCGTTGATCTTGGCCTGGGCTGGCGTCGCTTCACAAAGAGCAAATTGATTCATGGCAAACCGCTGATTCATAGAGAACCGTCCAATTTTTAATGTTCTTTCCACCGCTATAGAATAAAGCATGAAGTATATTTTGAACGTTAGCCTTGACTGATCCCGGCACTTTTTGCACACTCAAAGAACAAAATATAACTAGACCCGAACTTACCAGGCAAATCATCGTCAATCTCGCCATCATCCTCTACGATGCGCAGGTTCCATTGCACCACCGTCGATAGTTCGTCACTGAGCAACGGCGTCCGGCCTTCATGGTAGTACTGATAAAGAATGTACCCAATAACGTCCTCGACACTTGCGTCTCGTTTCACAACCACCTGCATCGGGTCCTTTGGTTTGTCACTGCCTGGCAGGTAGATCTTCAGCTGCACTGGGTTCGCTTCTCCCATACCTGCAATTCGAAGGAACTCCTCCGCAAATGGGTTGTCCTCCCTCGACTTCTGTTGCTTGATGAGCAATGCGAGGAGTGACACTGGCGGAGGTTTCAACGGAACAGGTTCGGATATGAAGCCGTTGGTTTGAGGTGTCGCTGACTTTTGAGGCGGAGGTGTGTTAGGGCGAAGGGGCAATGGCGATCTCAAAGCGCTGACGGCTGAAGCAGAACTCCTGTACATCCGTCCAGCTATTGCAGAGTCCGGTGGCGACAAGTCAATGGGCGAGTTGATCGAATCAATCGTAATATCGCCAATTTCAGTTTCACGCTCTGTCAGCTCGGATTCCTGTGCAGTGTTGTCGTTTGCATGTTCAGAGCTGCGTGCGCCATCATTCTCTTCTATCATCTGTTGCTGTTGTGCTTGGGCATCCTCTGGAATAGTCGCTGACGAGGGTCTGGATGGGGTAGTGATGAAGATTCCCGGTGCAAAATTACCGCCAACATGTGCTGGTATCGCCATCTTGGGGAACGTTCTTGGTGGCGATTTTCTGTTGGTGATAAGGTCAAGATAATAGTGAAGCGCGTTTAGAACAAGATTCATCAGTAAACATGCACGACCTTCTTTGCTTCCTTTCTACTGAGCATGTCCTTGGAGACTCACACTGGTTCCTCGTCATCAATATCAATATCATCGTCACTCTCCATGCTGGCGACAGCCATTGGGATAGGAACTCTCATCGCGGGAATGGGTGCAGGCTGGAGAGGGAACGCAACAGGCGCGCCTCCCTCGATGCCTCCTCTTCCAAGACCGGCAGCTGCCGCGGCGGCAGCAGCCTGAGCGGCAACGATCCGCCGTCGATCGAACTTGACTCTGTTGCCAGCAGCAGGTTTGGTGGGCTGGTTCGCGGTCGAGAGACTGTCAGTCGAGTTGAGGGCAGAATCGCTGGCGCTGAGGAGCAGAGGGTTGCTGCCGAGTATCATGTAGTCATGGTTGATATTGGGCGAGTAGCAATATTGCATCTCTGGAAAGACAGGGCCTGCAGCCTTAATGTACTCATTGGAAAGGAGCTGGGGCGGGAAGGTGATGACCTTGTCCGAGATACGATCGTCCAACCTCAGATTGCTTAGTCGCAGGCTGTGGACAATATAGGCAGGGTCGCTCAACAGGGACATTAGTGGGGACTTGATACACTTGTTCCTGTTGATGCTTGGTTGCAGGGGGGATGTATATGTACAGATGAGAAGAAAGGGGATCAAGAGCAGGAGAAAAGGAGCGAGGATGTGGATGTGGATGTGGATGTGTATGTATATGTACAGGTCGAGGTGGGTCGCGCTTGTTTATTTGAGTGGAGAGAAGGAAGGAAGGTGAGTGGCGGCCGAAGGAGCGGGGTAAAGGGGTGAAAGGCATTCGGGCTAGAAACGGTTGGTTGGTTGGGTGCATGGGTGCAACTATCGGCTTTGGTAGGGTTATGCCTTTGTAATATAATAATGCGTGACCGTTGTTTACAGAGAGGATGGATGGATATGGTCGTTCTTTTTTTTTTTTGCCACCGATTTTTCCTCATAAACATCATAAACATACCCTCTCGAAAGGACAGATATAGGGACAAGAGCAAGGACAAGGACAAGGACAAGAACGAGAGGCCAAATCATGCACAGGACACTGCAACAGTTGACAAGAGTGCGTCAGCAGCTCGCACGCAGGACAGACCAGTGCACACTCACAACCATCCATAATCCAACATATCGATCCCATGGAGCAAGCAGAGTCTGGCGAGCCATTCCTCCGACGCATTCGGCCACTCGCTTCTCCACCTCTGCAATATGCCAGGCCGTCAGGACCATGAACCTCGACGACCTCGAAGTAGATACTCTGGATGAACCGAAAACTCGTCAGAAAACCTCAATACCACCGCGGCCATCGTTACTATCACCATCTAATGTTGCAACGCAATCAGCGTCCGAGCAGGAGGCCTCCGAATTTTTCGATCCAACTATTGTCGCCCCAGAACAGATTAAAGAGTTCAGAGATCTCTACGAACAGGTCCGGCACTCCAAGGACCCTGACGATCAGGAAAAGATCCTATTCGCTTACAGGTCCATCGCAGATGACCCCGACATTTTTTCTCAACTTCAGCCTATCGACTTTATGTACGCACTCAATTCCTGCAGAAATCTCCTCAAGGTTGTCCCTCGGATGCGCCGGATCCTCGAGGATGTCGAGAAGGCCGGCTTTGGTAATATTCCTGAGATGTATCATATCCTCCTCAAGGTGTACGTCAAGCTATCGGACTTCAAGAATTGTGGCAACCTTGTCGATGAGATGAAGCGCAAGGGAGTCGATTTCAACACCGCGACCTATCATATTTTGCTCGACGTCTGCAGGCACGAGAGGAGTCTCCGGAACGCTGTCGGCTTGTTGGCTCAGATGCGGAAGCGCAATGTCGAGGTCACGGCCTCAACCTACCTGATCATGCTGACCATCTGTGCTCGTGTCAAGAACGCACGGCTGGCGAGGGAGTACTTTGACGAAATGCCACTCCTGGGACTCGAGCAGGAGCCGGTCCATTACAACGCTTTGCTGAATGCCTATGCACACGCACGCAACCTCGACGGTGCTAAGCAGGTGTTCCGGATGATGGAGGATGATGGCATCCCCGTGGACTATTACACCTATACGGCCATGATCAAGGCTCTAAAGGGCGCCAGGCGATATGTCGAGGCTAACACGTTGGTCAGCAGCCTGGGGGCGAACGGGACGAAACCGAACGCCAAGATTTTGGTCGCCCAGGGCAAGGAACCCTTAGATATCATGAATGAGTGCACCAGCAATAATGTTGAGATGGCCCAGCACGATTTCAATATGCTGATTATTCAGGCCCTCAAGCGTAATCGGTTTGCTCAGGTACCAGAACTCATGGAGCAAATGCAGAAGCGTGGACATCGACCCAATGTTTTCACCTTCACAGCTATGATCGACGCGGATATCAAAATGGGCAAGTACTACGAGGCCAAGGAGATCTTCCAGGCGATGCAACAGGCCAACATCCAGCCGGACGTGATCGCATACTCCGCCATGATCTCAGGCGCACTGTCTCAGGCGAGCGTGAACGAGTCCCTAGAGCTCCTCAAGGCCATGGTCGGTGACGGTCTCCTGCCCAACCTGCACACCTTCAACTCCTTACTCTCCGCCAGTGTAGGCGAGATTGGAATCGACTCCTTGAAGGTCATTCGCGAAACAATGCAGGCACTTCATATCCGACCGGATCAGCGATCTTTCAACGCCCTGCTATCTGCCTACGCCCTCCAAGGAGACATGGATGAGATGTTGCGATCATTGGAGGACATGAAGCGATCTAAAGTCGCCCCCGACGCTCTCACGTATTCGATCCTCATCTCGGGGTTTCTTCAGAACGGTGACCTGCGATACGCCATGGAGTGGTACTACAAGATGATGGATGGAGGATTCGTGCCTGCAACCTTTGTGTTCAACAACTTGATGGCGGCCCTGCACGGATCCGGTCAAGGTCAGCAAGTTCTTCTGATGTGGGCTGAGATGGATCGTATTGATATTAAGAAGAATGAGCAATCGTTCGAGATTGCGCTGGAGGCCTGCGAAAAGTTTGATCTGCACGATGCACGCCCACAGATCGAGGAGCAGCTGAAAACATATCTCGCATCCCGATACCTCTCCGGCTCTAAGAGGCATTAAACCATTTGCAATGCACAGCATCCATTACGCCCTTTTGCTTTGCTTTACTTTGTTTCTTTAATGGTGTTGTCAGTCTATGTATGTGGAGGAAGGCTATGATATTCATGGCATCATGTCCGTACTTAAAGTCATCTCGTTGGTTGGTTGTTAGATTGCGTGGGTGTATCTGGTCGATTCATTCCATCTCCGGTCCCATGAAGGTAGAACAAAGGATGAGTACTCCTTCAGTCCCGGAAATTACCCTGTCTATGAAGGCGGGGCAGGGGCTTTACCCTTTTTTTCCTCCTCCTCGCGTGCGATACGCGCCTCCATCGCCTTAACAGCCCATCCCTTCATGTCAACCTCTACATCCTCGTACTTTGTCAAAAAAGGATGCTCCTGTTGAAGTTCAATAGAATCGTTAATACATGAATCGGACATAGGGGCCAATACAACAGAAAGAAATATCAAGTCCATGGTCACGTAACGTACCAGCAGCGCAGCATATGTAGGACGGTCCTTCGCGTCCTTGAGTAAGCAGAGTGCGACAAAGGCACGAGCGTCCTCCGAGTAGGTGTCGGGAAGAGCGGGTGGGGGGCTGCCGACAATGGCACTCAGCTGTGCAAAGACGCTGTTGTACTTCTCGGGCGGATATGGATATGATCCTTCTGCGGTCTCCAAAATCGACAAACCAAGTGACCAGACGTCGGACTGAACAGTGTAGGTCTGACCCTGTGAGATACGCTCAGGCTAATGATCGATTGAATTCAAGGAACGAGCAAGGACCAAAAAAGTGTTAATAACAATGAAGTTCTGCATCAGGGTTGATCGTGTAAGCATCGCCGAAATGATTTCACGTACTGCCATGTAACTCTGGCATCCAATGTGGGTCTTGGCTAAAGACTGGACAAGCTGACCCGAGACACCGAAATCACACAACTTCACTTGTCCCTGCGAATTGATGAGAACGTTGGTTGGCTTGACATCTATACATCACGATTGCAGTAACGTTGGGGAGACGTTTTATGAAAATTATCAGTAAATCAGCGTGGCCTTCCAAAATGTCGCTCTAAGAGCCCATTTTCATTACGCGATACTGGACATTAGTTTCAATTTCGAACGAGAAGGCCGCCATTTAGTACCTCGATGAATGATAGACAGCTCGTCCTTTAGGAACTTGAGTCCCTTGACCATCTATCGAATATTACACAAAGAAGCAATATGGTCCAGTGAGTTGAGAGCGCTGATTGCTGTCATTTCGTATTGATTGGTTGGTTGGTTGGTTTCCGGGAGAGCTAAAAAAATATAATAGAAGCGATTTCTGGCAAGCGTATTTCCACATTTTACATTTCCACATGTCCCGCAAATTGATTCATACCGAGAGGGTGATACTTGAGAGGACATCCTCAGGAACGCCAATTTGATACAGCTTATCCAAAGATCCAGCATCCATGTACTCCATGCAGTAGTACACACACGTCTCGATGAAGAATGCGCCATAAAAGTCGACAATGTAGGGGCTTTGTGACTTGTGGAGGACATCCAACTCCATAAGAATTGAGTTCAATTTGCTCTGATCCAACTCTAAGCGAGTTTCCTATGGAGAATAAGGGGAAACAGAGTGTACATGGAGTGAGATAAAAGTGAATTAGTTGCAATTCGATCGTGAAAAAATGGGCACCAGTGGTACGTTAAAGTGATAATACACATGATGGAAAGTTTCGATCCAGCACCAGCCTAGCCACGATGAGGATTATTGCAATTTTCATAATAGTGAACCTGGATACGATTTGGTCATTCTTGTGAGCACAACTCGCTCCAAAAACACACTCGCTGCAAGAGGACCCTGTGCGCTCATAGACTCGATGCACGTATGCGCACTATCCCTTGCCACGCACATAAGCACACAAAGAAGCACAGAAGACGAAGAAAAAAAAAGTGGAGGAAATGTCGTACCGGCACAGGCACATCAGGACTGAACCTCACCCAATTAAGATATACCGCAGCGCCATGAGTGTGTCCACACTACCCGAGGAGAGCACACCTTGTGTCGGAGAACAGAACAAAAGACCGCGCAATGAAATAAAGAAGACCCACCAAATACAACAGGCCACCGTGCCTGTCGTCACTTCCCTCTCCCTCTACACCCGTGGTACTGCAGCAAAGAAGAAAAAAGAAAAAAGAAAAAAGAGAAAAGAAAAAAAAAGAGCAAGCGAGTGAGGGCGAGTAACCCCCGGACATGAAGAAAAAGTCAGCGCAAAAGGGTAGATGGCGATTGGTTCAAACCGTGTCGAATACTTTTTTTTGATTTATTTTCCAGTTATGCTGTTTTGCAGAAAGAGTGATCTCACTTTCGAGCATGCTGACACATTCAGCAGCATATCCAAACAACTATGCATGAGCACATGTATCTATCCTCTTTCCACAAAAGAAAAAAGAGGAATCGCGGAAAAGAGGGGGAAATACTGCATATAAGGAACAGATGAAAAAAATGACGAAGGTGGCGCTATTGGAAATGCTGGTAAAAAAAAAAAAAAAATCGGCTCTTCGCTTTGCAGCACCGCTCGATCCCTTCCAAGGAAGAATCTCTGCGTGGTCATATGCATCCTCGCTGTTTTTCGCCTGCATCCTCCCCACCCCCGCTGTGCACGAGTCGTTTTTTCCTTTCTTCCCTCATCCGATCACCATATTTGAAAGCCGAAAGAAAAGCATGGTAATTACCTTCATTGCCATGGTGACATTAGTGGGCTTGTGGTAGACCTTCTGGACAGTGCCGTATTGTCCCTTGCCTAATTCTTCGAGGAGCTTCAATTCCTCCATATTGATCTTGAATTTGTTGCCATTGCTAAAATCGACGCCGTCGGCATGCAAGATCGCCTTTCCGTTAAAGTTGAGCTTTCCGGAGGGATCCCTTTTCAAGAGAAAGAAGCCGAAGAAAGAGGAGGGATCCAAGAGTAGGAACAAAAGAGAAGAATAAAGTCAGTGCCGTAGTCAGGTTTATGGGTGAATTCAGATCAGGGTTAGATTCCCTTCCCCTTTTGGGTCGACACCGATGACGCCGTTGACCTCATAGGCGTTCATTGACGTCAAAACACGGTGAGCAGGAACAGAAGGAGCAGGGAGCAGTGGAAACACTTACACGAAGCGCGAGAAGTTGGCGAAGGGCGTCTCCTGCTTGGGGGCCGGTGCTCCACCACCCATTTCCGAGAGGGTCATGCGTGGAGGGGCACGACGCGCTGGCGTAGGGGCGTTCATGACTATTTTTTTTACTTGGTTGTGCTGCTGGTTAGGTTCTTGCGTGGCGAGTGCGAGTAGATATTCGGTGAAGGAAAGAAAAGAAAAAAAGAAAGAGAGCAGGAAGAGGTAGGGTATAGCAGACAGAAGAGGGATAAGAGGATAGGCAGTGTAATGCGGGCCGAGGAAGAGGGAGGGAAGAGCGTGCTGGGGAATATGGAGTACGAAGAAAGGGGAATAGAGAGGGGAGAAAAAAAAATGAGGGAAAGGGGTGCCAATTGAGTTGTTTCGATTCATCTGTGGCTTTTTGCGTGTGGAAATCGAGAAGAAAAAAGGGCCCAAGGAAGGAATATATCATTTGGAGAGCCGAGCAAAAAAAAAAACAAAAAAACAAATGACCGCATGGCAAAAGGGTTTGGTGTCACGATTGGCACGTTTAGTTTATGAGCAGTGCTTCCTGGTATGGTGTAAGTTTGCTAGTTACAACAACAAGGCACTTGGTTGGAATCGACTACTTGTCTATCAATCACACTCATCCACGCGTGCTTCATCGCTTCAAGAAGCTGATCCGTCCATTGGCATCCTTGCCACGTCTGCTGTCGAATGAAGACGACGATGGACCGCCTTGGCCTCGTCCTATGCTTCCCTTCTTCCCATTTTGTGCTCCTTGAAAGAGCTGATTCGCAGCCTGCTGCTGTTGTTGTTGCTGTTGTGGTTGTTGTTGTTGATGCTGTTGTTGATGCTGTTGTTGATGCTGTTGTTGATGCTGTTGTTGATGCTGCTGTTGTTGTTGCTGCTGCTGGCCATGGCTCTGCTTCGAGCCTTTATTGCCATGCCCAGGGCTGTTACCACCAGGAGAGCTACCGCCTGCAATCGACCCATGCCCTCGCACGATCTTAGGCTTCTTTGGTTTAGTATTAGGCTCCTGTTCAGTCTTTCTCTTTGTAGATCCGCTTTGCTGTTGTTGCTGCTGCTGCTGCTGTTGCTGTTGTGCGGGTAGAATCTTTGATGCTGGTTTCGCATGGGCTTTGGCGGTGGATTTGGCTGCGCTGCCAGGAGATGTTGTTGTCACTGCAGAGGCTGGTTTAGATATGCCAGTTACGCTTGCTGTAGTAGGCTTGACCGGCTCTGGCAGTGGTTTCCATGAAGGATGAAGGACTAGTTTAGTGCTCCTCAGATGCCGTGGTTTCATAAATTCCTGTGGATGACCAAATTTGGGGCGTGTCAGTCAAGAAGCCTGATTCATTTGATTCCATTTGTTTAGTCTGGCGTCCATTTGGCATTCGGTATACTTGCCTTAACAGCGCTATGGATGTTGTTGTGAATCAACATGGTCTTCTTTAGGTTCTTTATGTTGGCGATTTGCTCAGCGTCTTGAGGCTTCTTTGATTCCGCCGTCGTCAATGCCTGCTTCAAATTTGAAATTTGGGTTTGTGTTGACATATATAGATTCCTGAATCTATATGGTGCAATGGATGTCAGCCACTGATTGTTGCTCTCTAGAGGATTCCCTGGAAATGCAAAGGCTCGTTGTCTTTCTTACCTCGGCGTCAACGCTTCCTTTTCAACGAGCTCGTGGTCCTATGGAGCGTGAAATTTCAGCAGTCAGCACAGCGATACCGAATACGGCTAGACTCGATAAATGTTCGAGTTACACAGCCAGCAATTACCTTAGTAGCAAAGGCATACATGACATTCGTCACGCACTCCACCTGTGCGAATGGGGTGGGAGTAGTGCTCTCCGTCTCCGCAGGAACTATCGCCTATGATCATGAGAGTGAAATCAGTCGTCAGGATCGTCCCGTATATTACAGGGCAAACTGAAAGCGAAAGTATCCATGTTGCTTCAGAAACTGAGCCATACCACCAAAAGGTCGGTTAAAAGCCCGCACGCCGAACTTATTGCCGAGGCTGATGGGTGTCCTGTAAGCACACTGTCCGCATATAGACGAAGGAGCGAGGTCTTTTGTTTTTCTGCCAATCGATCATATGCACTGCGGGGGAGGATATTGGTGGCAAGGAACTCCAGAAGAGAGCCGGCAGAGATGGCTCGCTACGTTGGAACAAACAAATAAGCACAAGTTTATTTGTTTAGTACCGCCGCACAGACAGCGCTTGTAGTAGCTTTCTGATTTGGGCCTCCAATCTGAATCAGGTACCTTAAAAAGGGGCATAGAGAGCTTTCCTACAACAAGGACACGCTTAACCGACTCTGGATCGTTGATCTAGTTAATAAAAAGGGCATTAGAAGCTAACACCGAGGAGCGAGTAATAACAGGTGAAAGAGCAAACACATCTCTTACATCGAACGGCTTTTCCGATGTAATATGTGCCACGTAGGCGTTCAGAAGTCCCGTCAAGTCCAGCTTTCCGGTCGCGTAGGATTTCGTCTGCATAATGATCTTTGCGAATGTCTCCAGCTCATCGTTTGATACCGAGCCCATAGCCTATAGCCGTGACAAACACAATGGATTAGAAGTATATTCAAAAACATTGACCTGTAGAGATGTGGGTCATCCGATCACCTCCCTACCTTCTGCATCTCTTCCAGGAAGAACAGCTCGATTTCAGGATCCGAGAAGAGGGTTGTCTTGGACGCCATGACCTGATGGGTTATAAAGTCCAGTGTTCTCTCCCGTAAATCGGCTCCTTTGACACCTTGACGGAATAATACAGCAAGCACCTCTAAAGCAATATGATGGTTAATAATGAAATAGCTTCAGTTTCAGTAAACGCTGCGTACTGTGAAAGTAAAGCGTATAGGTCATATCTTTGCACATACCACGAGGACTTTGAACCATTAATGACTGCAAGGACGCTTGGACCACCACCAAATCTTGCTCATCTATAGTATTAAAAAAAAAGTGAAAAAGTTAGCGACATGGATAAAGGGCCTTGGCAAATCAGACATAAGAATGAAGTTTACTCTGCACACCTAGCTGAAGGAGTTGACACAGGACGTCCGCGATCTTGATCGTGTGCTGAGGTCCATCCTTGCATAACAATGGGAGAGTCTTGATTGCCGACTGCCGAATCTACATCACGGTATCAATGAGCGCCGGTTATAGTCGACTCCGCCACCATCCTGACAGAATAGATGAAAGTCCGCGGTCTATTGTCTATTCCATACCAAACTCGAGTCATCTTCGCAGAGATCAAAAATACCGTCGATAGCCTTTGAATGAAGTGCAGGAAAGTGCTTGAAGAACGTGGGAATAAACCTAATGGGTTCGCAGATGTGTTGACAATGGTGGTAAATAAATCAGAATCCCATGTCAAGTGAGACCAAGAATTAGAAGGCGGGATGGGTCCATCCTATATGGTGTTGAACGTACTGTGCTGCAAGTCGCTTGGCACCGTCTGATCCCTGAGATGCTGATATGATGGTTTTGTAGGCATCCACATGCTAGATAAAACGAAGGGGAGGTCTTAGCAATCTTGGTATAAGTTGGTATCGCGAACAGCAGCAGCCAGAGACGATATAGGGAATGGCGATAGGTACCTCTGATGCTTTGTCCTTCGCATCCGTAATCTCATTATAAGCGTTGTAAATCGCGTCCAGGTCGGCCATGTTGGTGACTTTGTTCTCTCGCTTCTGATGGAATTTACCAAAAAAAAAAAAAAAAAAAAAAAAGGTCCACATGTGGTGACAGGTTAGAGAATGGACTAATCAGAAGTGAAGCTGAAAGAAAAAACAGGCACATCCGATGTGGAGAGATGGAGTTACTTTGTCGAGTGTAGATTAAGGTGAGGAGGGGAAGGCGACGCGTGCCTGAAAAAGAATGCAACGTTCAAAGGATGGAAAGGGGGAAAAGTGTGGGGACTGGCGGCAACAAGATATGAGGGTTCTGTGCGCGGCAGATACAAGAAGAATGTGTGGCCCATGACTGCTTGTTTGTTTGGCGGACTGACTGGGCAGCCCATTCTGTGAGGTACGTCATGCTTCCAGCAAAAACTTACTACCGCACACTCTGTTCTGTCCGCTGCACTTTCTTCCTTCCTCTCTTTTTCAGCTTGCATTGCTGCCAAACAGAACAAACACACCCACTTCTCTCTTCGAGACACGCACACAGAGCAGCACAATGTTCATCACTATTAAGACACTGAAGCAGGAGACGTTCAAGGTCGAAGTCGACGAGTCCGACAAGGTAATTGCTTGGCCTCCTCAGGACCTCCTTGAAAAGCAACAAACCAGACCCCATGCGGCGCAAAAAGAACGAATGCGCCTTGCTGTCTACACCCTTCTTGTCCATAAGGCTAGTCTGCTTGTTGTCAGGGCGGTCTGTTTTGAGGAGCGCAGTCCTGAACTATACTCCATATCGCGTTTCTGGAGCCGGTTTTACATGGCTCGCGTTTTTGTATTTTAACCCTTATACTCTTCCACCTTGTGGTGTTTGTGTCCCATACAGGTCCTCACCATCAAGCAGAAAATCGAAGAACTCCAGGGTCACCCCGTCAGCAGTCAGAAGTTGATCTTCTCTGGCAAGTAGTCTATTACACTTATGCGTGGTGTGGTGCGCAATGTGGCATACTGGGGACAGAAGGATCCACGTCACCGAGGGCAAGGCAGGATCCAGAGCCGGACATGACACCAACTTTGCGTGGAACAGCGCCTATTCTTTCAAAGCGGCTAGCTGACCAGTTGTGCATTACCTCTTGGTTCATTTAGGCAAGATTCTTGTGGACGAAAACCCTGTCTCACAGTACAATATCACGGAGAAGGACTTTTTGGTGATTATGGTTACCAAGGTATGGCGAGGCCTCGACAGACGGCGGATATGCTTGGCGTAAGGCTTCAGGAAACGGTGGCGCAACATTACTTAAACACCAGTACTCTTTACATCTCGTCTCGCTTGCTTATGTATAGGCCAAGACCTCCTCAGCATCAGCCTCCAAGCCAGCTGCCGCTGCCACTGCCGCTACTTCTTCGTCAGCACCCATTGCAGCATCTGTCGCAGCACCCGCACCACCTGCACCGGTCATCCAGACGCCGGTTGAGCAGGCACCAGCTGCTGCCCCCGCTGCTTCTCCTGCAATTGGCGAGAATCCTACGCCTGCCGCTTCTACGGAGCCGACTGCCCCTGCTGACTCAGCCGACAATGCTCTCTGTAAGTTGTGTCGGATGTGAATATTTTGTACCTGCTACCCATGAAGTCTTTATATTGACGCGCTACTACTTCTGGATGCCTTTGTAGTGACCGGTACTCATTTTGAGACCGCTATCCAAAACATGATGGAAATGGGATTTCCCAGAGAACAGTGCATGGCAGCGATGAGAGCCAGCTTCAACAACCCTGACAGAGCTGTCGAGTACCTGATGACCGTAATGGCGCTTTATATATGTTTGTTTTTAACTCTCACGGCGACATCATGGCTTCCGATATCTGCTAACGCTCTTTTGTGGTGTTCTTATAATGTTTTGTAGGGCATTCCTGAGCATCTCCTTGCTCAAACAAGTGCACCTGCACCTGCTACTCATGCTGCACCTGCTGCACCCGCTGTATCTGCCACAACACCATCCTCCGCACCGATTGCTGAGAGCACACCGGCCGCCCCCACAAGCGCTGCGGTACAGCCACAAAATCTTTTCACCGCAGCTGCCCAGGCTGCCGCCAATGCTCGTCGCGGTGCTACTGGCGAGCCACAAGGTGGAAACGGAGGAGACATTGAGAACCTTGCATTTTTGAGAGATCAGCCTCAGTTCCAGCAGATCCGAGAGATGGTCCAGAACAACCCCGACCTGCTCCAGCCTCTTTTGATCCAACTCGGACAGTCTAACCCTCAGATGCTGCAGGTACGATCGCCAGTCAAAAATGCATTTATCGTAGGTGCGGTCAACGTATTACAGGACATTTTACTAATACATTTGTTTGATCTACAACCTACAACTATACAACTATACGACTATACAACTATACAACTATACCACTATAGCTCATTAATCAGAATCAGCAAGCATTCTTGCAACTCCTGAACGAGGGATACGAGGGCGAAGAGGGTGGTCTTCCACCACCAGGTGCTAACCACATTTACGTGACACAGGCTGAGCAAGAGGCTATTCAACGTGTAAGATGCCTTGAATAGGCGCATACGTAACGTAACGTAACGTAACGTAACGTAACGTAATGTGGAAGGACGTTTACTTAGTGTTCTAACGATAATTACTTTCTATCATTCTTTCTTTTGTATGTATTAGCTGGAGAGCTTGGGTTTCGACCGCCAAACGGCAGTGGAGGCATTCTTGGCTTGCGATCGCGACGAGCAAATGGCAGCGAATTATTTGTTTGACCACGGCAACGATGACTTTGAGGATGAGATGCAGTAGTCGACTATTCATATCATATCTCTCTTCGTATTTTTCATGATTGCATAAGGAAGCGCAGCCGTCCGATGTAGCTTTCTTCCCTCGTCCTCCCTCTCGCCCTTGCCCTCGCCTTTACCCTCAACTGTATGATCGTTTTTATCTTTTTGAACGAGCTGCCTGACCTCGCAAATCAAATAAAACGTGTGTACAAACAAAGAGATTAAAGTCTGTGGTCAAGTCCTTGGCTATGAAACTGAAGAAGAGGCGAAGCAGACATGTTGCGGAAGCAGTGACCGGGAATAGCATAATCAGACAGCAAATATTCGTTTTGGGTCATTGGCGGATGAACTGTTGGTAAGGGGTTTTATACACTGCATGCAGAGGGATGTTGGGATTACTCTTCATAGTGCCAGTCGAGCCATTGGAGTCGTGTTTTGTGCGTGTGTATGCACGCGCATGCGTAGAAAAATGTACACGGGACAAGCGGAGGTGATGCTGGACCAGAGAAACAAACAAAGGGATATATATATATGAATGGAGCTAGTTTCTTTGCAGCTTGCAGAGGTCTTCGTATGTCATCATTGCTGCGTCCTTCGAAGCAGTGTTTGAAGAACTAGGGTATGGTTGCACAGGCGCCACAACGGCGTTGGCTAGGCCTGTTCCTGAAAGGGGACCAGCTGCTGTTGGGGGAAAATGCTGTTTTATATCCTTCAGCTGGTTGCGCCAATGTGGGAACCGTTGTATTCCTGTTGTGGATGGATAAGAATTTGTCAAAGACAGACTAAACTAGACCAGGCTAGGAGATAGACAAAGTCGACTCGTTCGCGCATCCTTCTGGGGACACATCCATGTCGTCAAGTAAGCGTGTGCATTTTTTTTCAAAGGTAGAGCGAATGCATACTTGTACATACATACACAAACATGCGTCCAATGAACTATATGGGTGGGAACAATGCTTGTCTTGAACCAAATCGTAAGGAAGTTCACCGAATATCCAACGCACTCGGCCGCAGGGTCCTTCCGCCGCAATGTCTCCGCCGCAGTGCCTCCCCCATATACCTGTGTCGACGAAAAGGAAGCATCAATATGGGGCAGGGAAAGTGTTCGAAGGAGGGCCGCATTCATTCCATCGGTCGACTTTACTTTCTGCGGATAGATGCCATTTCGGAGGCACGGCGTTCAAAGAAGAAGAGGACATGGACAGGAAGGCTGTACGCAACTCGCATGCAAGTGCGCACACATGTATAGTTTCCATGCAAACACACGGGTAGTCTACTTTTTACATATCTGCCGCAGAGTACTGTACCACAGGGCCCGCGACCAGCCAGTTGTGTTCATCACCTCCATCCTCATCCTCTTCCTCTTCCTCATCTTTCATCTCTCTTTCTTTTTTTCCTCTCTTCTCATTCTCTTCTGTCTGACACCACAAGTAGTGGCCTTCTTCTCCTTCTTCCTTGTCACAATTCGCCTATACATCTCCTCTCTTCAAATCGGATCGGTCGTATCACTTCTGCATAGGAATAGCTGCTGCCATAGGCCATAGTCATACCTCCTCATCCCCTCTCATAACCATGAAAGAAGCAAAAGAAGCAAAAGTCGATCGATCTGAGCAAAGGTGTGCGCGGAAACAATCCATCAATTGACCCATAGCGCATTGTCTCTTACACATCTGCAATTACTCAGCATGATCTGACCCCGATTTTCTCCTCCTACCTTCAAACAAGGCTCCGAGAACTGGGTTACAAGCAAGAGCTGAAGCGTGAGCTTACCTCGTTCACCAACTTCTCCGTCTCGTTCTCTGTTGTCTCTATCCTCACAGGATTGACATCCCTCTATGGCACGGCTCTGAACTCTGGAGGACCTGTTGTCATCATTTGGGGTTGGGTATGGCATACCAAAGCATCAATTTGCGCGGCTGCTTCCTTCCCGCGACTTTTAGTCCTATATATTAACGCTTGTTGCGCAACCTTCTAGGTATTTGTGTCTGCGATGTCCATGTGTGTCGCTGCTGCCATGGCTGAGATTTGTTCGTCCTATCCCACTAGTAAGTACGGGGCATACACAAGTCAAGCAGAGGGTATTCGGTCTTCAACCGGAACGGACGGACGGGGTCTGACAGTCAACAGAACTTGAATAACCAAGGAACCAAGGACCTTTGTGTTCAACTGTCACCTGGGCCAATTGGAAGGAAGAACAAATCTTATTGCGATTTAAGTTCGGTCTAGACGCCATTGGTGCGCGACCCGCGGAGATCAACAACAAACAACAGCAAAGAAAGAATACGCTGCGCCGTGTGGATTATGACGAACAATGGCGCATATGCTGAGCACTAAGGACCTCTATCACTTTTTATGCATCCCTTTAGGTGGTGGATTGTATTACTGGAGTAGCAAGTAAGGATCCTGTCGATGGTGGCATGATTGTTCAGCATATATTGGTGTTCTTTTTTTTTTTTTTTTTTTTTAATATTTCTCCTTTCTGCCTTTGTGTCCTTTTCCTTAGACTGGCTGGTCACCGCGGTCCCTTCTACGCATGGATCACAGGCTGGTGGAACTTGCTTGGTCAATTTGGATGCACTGCCGGAATCGACTTTGGACTCGCACTTTTGCTCTGCTCGGTTATTTCGCTCGGTAACGGATGGGTCTATGAGCGTTGGGAGGTTGTCCTGGTCTACTTTGCGATCTTGATTGTCCACGGCCTGATTAACACGTTCCTGGTCAAGCTGATGGCTATCATGAACACGATCTCGGTCTGGATCCATATCGGAGGCGTTGTTATCATCCTGGTCACACTTTTGGTCAAGACCGAGAACAAGGCCTCAGCTTCGTTTGTCTTCACAGAGTTTGTTAACAACACTGGCTGGAGCAGCTCTGTTTATGTATGGGATAACTATTGCTTTAGGTGCTAGATTCCTTATATTCTCATCTGAATGATCGCTTGAGACTAAACATTCATTTTTTTTTTCTTTTTTGGTATTCCTTAGGTCGTTCTTTTGGGTCTTCTCCAATCTCAATTCACCATGACTGGGTAGGTGGGAGCATTTAAAGTGGCAAAGCTGAGTTTGTTGAAAGACCAAGCAGCGTTGAAGCAAACTCTTCATAAACCCTGTTCGTTTGCTAATCTTGTATTTTTTTTTTTACAATAGATGTAAGTGGCGTTGAGTCGGATCAATGTAGAATGAACCTTGCTGTAGACAAGTATGGTGCCGTAATAATGTTCGCTGTTGCTCACTCAATGTCTCTCCTCTTGTAGACGATGCATCCGCACATATGACTGAGGAGACTAAGAACGCAGATGTTGCTGGACCCGTTGGAATCCTGATGGCTGTCGGCGTTTCGTTCGTGGCGGGTCTGGGATACCTTATCGCTTTGACCTTCGGCATCCAGGACTTGGACAATGTCCTCAGCAGCTCAACCGGCAACCCGATCACTCAGATTTTCTTGGATTCTGTGGGTGAGACTGGAGCGTTACTCTTGCTCGTCATCCTTCTGCTGGCCCAGTTCTTCTGCGGTAACGCTTCGGTCACAGCCAACTCCCGTATGATCTATGCCTTCTCGCGTGATGGTGCCATGCCCGGTTCTAAGTACCTACACAGAATTCATCCAACGCTCAAGAGCCCCGTCTGGGGTATCTGGTTGTCGTGCTTTGTCTCTGCACTGCTCGGATTGCTCTACCTGGCCAGCTCTGTTGCATTCTCGGCTATCACTAGTATCGCGACTATTGGTCTTTACATCTCTTATGGCCTGCCCACGTTCTGCAAACTTGTCTATGCGGGTGATAACTTTGAGCCCGGTCCTATTACTCTGGGCCGTCTGAGTAAGCCCATCGGTATCATCGCCTGCATCTGGATCGTCTTCATCACAGTCCTCTTTGTCCTGCCTCCCAGCGCACCGGTCACAGCGCAGAGTATGAACTACACTGTTGTCATTGTAGCTGCTGCTGCGGTGTACATCTTTGGCAACTGGTACTTTAATGCCCGTCATTGGTTCAAGGGACCTGTGTCGAACATTGACTTGGAAGACAATGAGAACGATTTTGTGGCGGGATCGCTGAAGAAGTCAGAGGAGATGGTCCGAGCGGATAAGGCCGAGTTTGATGAGAAAGAGAAGGAGGAGATCAATTAAAGACGCCTCAAGCGATAGTATACATAGTTCATGCGTCTCTTCGACGTATCAGTGTCACCGAAAATATCAAGTAATACTGCCTGTAATAAAATTATCTTATTGTATGTATGCATCTCTTCGTGAGGACCTCATATCTCATACCATTCAAAACTTCGAGAACAACATCCTTTGTAATCGATGAGATATTATATGTGAATTTATTAAATACAGTGCACGCGTGCTGAGTACATGTAAATAGTGATGGATATACCAGATACCCAGCTCAAGGATATATAGTCGCGGCTGTCAAAGCAGACGAACCGGTTTCTTTTTTTTTCTTTTTCTTTTTCTTTTTCTTTTTCTTTTTCATTTTTTTTTTCATTTTTTTTTTTGCTTTCCAGGTTACATCCTGCGCTCTGTTAGAACTTCGTATCCCCGAATATATATTTTTTTTCTTTTCTCAATTTTTCCAGTCGCTTAGTTGGAGTCCATGCGGCTCCTGAGGCGGCGCTTAGCGGGCGATTGCTTGGGGACGGTGACGGTGATAGGCTTGCGAGCAGCAAAGTAGGACTGACCATAGTTGCCGCCGGCGAGGACCAGCTCCTGAATGAAAGGGGTGTTGGGTCCATAGTTAGCAATCAAGGGCTCAACACCCGAGATCGAGCCGCCATTGGTACCCTGGATGACGACATCAGCACAGGAGGAGTAGAGCTCGCGGTTGCCCTCGTTGTTGTTCCAGAACAGGTTCACGATGGCCGAACCCGAGGGTGCGTTTGCGGGGATGGTGAAGGGCAGGCTGTAGGTGATACCGTTGCTGGCATCGCCCATGCAGGTCAACAGCTTGTCCTACATTTTTTAATTTTTATAAGGGGAGAGAGAGAGACATCAGAATGTGTGGGGGCGTTTGTTTCGAGCGATCAAGGTTATAGAGCGGGGCAGGAGTGTTAATGGGAGCCTAGGGTTTGGTGCTTACCTGGAAGACAACCCAGTTGGTGCCGTTATCGTAGGAAAGAGCCCATTGGCAGCTATTTCGAAGGAAATAATTGATGTTGTTAACAATAAGATCACCATCGGCGCGTCTTTATAATCGTTCGTTTAATTGTACTTCTGAAATGTTTACCTTCCACCCTTGTGGTAAGCGCCAATGTCCATGGTGGCGTTGATGGTCTGACCAGCCTTGAAGACAGGGCGGACGCCAGGGAAAGAAGATGGCCATTTGCAGATGGGGCTGTTGACCGTACCCTAGTAAATGATAAGTACAGCAAGGGTGTCAATTTCTCATGTGCTTGTTACATTAGGCTGTTGCTAGGTCTTCGCGTAGATTCAGGTGCCTTCCCCTTTTTGCATAGGTGCTTGAGGATCGACAGAGCACTCCAAAAAATCGGGTAACAATATTCCATACGCGACAAACATTAGGATAGTGGAAGTGGTATAAAAAGTGCGGATAAATTACTTACGTGGTTACCGGCAGGGGAGCGGATATCATAATCGATCAGGCTCCAGTCACCCTGGGGGCACTCGGAATAAGAACCGCGGCGAGGGCATGGGTAGCGGAAAGAGATGTGGGCCTCAGAGAGGAGAGCGAATCCAGAGAGGAGGATTGCGGCGGCAGCGACGAAGGACTTCATTGGTAGGGTATTTATTATTGAAGGTAAAGAAAGAGATAGATAGAATGAGAAGATTGTAGAGAGGAGAAGCGTTTACTGATAGAGCGAGATCTGGAGAACAAGACGTAACAAAAGTGGGGGGAGGTTGAAGTGCGGCTCCCTTTATACCAGATCCTCCAAGCCTTGACGCTTTTGTCCCTGAAATCTCCCATCGTGCCTGACAAATAGACCCTCTTTCAAACGTTTGAAATACCCCTGTATAGTCTGAATGAGACTTTGGTCTGTAAACGCGCAATGTTTTTCCGCCCAGGGACTTGTTGTTAATGAGTTTGCCGCAGACACATGGATCGACTCGGACCGCCAAAGGCGAAAGGATGATGCGCTCTGGGGAGAGTGCAATGAGCTCAATTTACAACAAAGGAAATCATTACGATCATGCTCTGAACGATTACATCGTTTAATATTGAAGCTGCTGTTACTGTTGTTGTTTGCGGTATGAATGTGGGGCTGGATACTTGGATGCTTGGTCGGCCTAGAGCGCCCATGTGCTCACAACGATACCATTTCGAGGGTACTTCCCTAGGCTGATCCTCTTCGGATTGTTTTGCAAAAAAGGTTGCGCGATAGACTCTATAGTGGAGATCAGATAGTTAAGGCAATATAACGCGTTCGTATTTTTTGTTGATCAAGGTTTTCAGGTTCAAGCCAGGTCATTCTCCTCGATTCAATTCCGCGTAATAGAACGGAATTCACCCTCTGACGCATGGCAATCTAGACTACTATAGTGTCGACGAAATGATAAAAAACACGTCTTTCATTCACGTTGCTTTAGTGCGTTCATCAGACTAGCAGAAGTGAGGATAAGACTCATCACTTTGTTCGAGGACGAGGTCTTCTCTCCAGCCAGACCTCTTTTTTTTCTGCCTCTCAGGGTACGCTAACAGCTGATTGGTTGACAGGTGCTATTTTGCCCCGTGGAAAGGGTGCTTGTCCATGTTTATGGCTTCAGGTGCAGTACAAGGGGAGGAGGAGGGGTAAAGACAGGAACGAGTCCATTAAACAATAATATGAACGTACGATAGATGCTGTTGAATGGTCGCGCCAAGGATGGTTACACAGATTCTCTTATCATACCCCGCGATCTCAAGAATCAAACTTTGTTTGGTCCTCTCCAGACAAACGCTCTCATTTCATTCACACACACGACTTTAGGTCGTCAACCATGTATGCACGCTCTAAATGTCTGCAGCCTTTAACAAACAAACAAACAGAAAAGTTTGTCGTGGGCAGGTCGAAGAGAGCGTAGAGTTGAACCAGAGAGTTCAGCACTTGCTCATTGGTACTGTAGACTAGACTATGTTGCTAGCTCATATTTGTTATAGACTTACTTTGCTTACTTTACCAAGTATCCACGAGTGAATCGCATGGGCTATTGATCCAGTTGATGTCATGCCCCTGGAAATCGGTGAGCTGTTTTGATAATCGAATCCATTGTTACTCGGTATGGTCATGTATTCTCGCTCCAGTACGAGGTGTCGAAGGGAATTCATGCTGGAGCCGCGCGAGCGACAAGGGTTTCGAAGAGAACAGTTGCAGCTGTACGCAAACAACCTGTTGCAAACACACACGCACACAAGTAGACTAATCCACCTTTCTGGTTTTCATTTGTCTACCACGGACAGAGTGTTGTTGTTGATAGTCTAGTCTGTACATTCTCTTCAAAAACGACAGGCAGAAAAATAAAACAGCGTACAGATGATGCCAGATGATGCCCTGGTTGGGTTGAACCCTCTTCAGGAGACGCCTCCTGCACGCCATACAGTCTATCTATCTGTATGTGTTCAAGGGTGTGTGTCGTCCTTGCTAATCAGTGTTTGATCGTGAGAGCACATTAAACAAAGTACCAATCGCGTGCATGAGGATTTCGCCCTTTCATCCCAATTGCATTTCCCAACAGCAACATCATGCATTAATGAATTGTTATGAATATAAAGACGCGAATATACTTTATAGCAGAAGTATGATGGGGATCAACAGCCGCGAAAAATGACCCTGCATGTCGATAGATCATGCGCGCATGCATGTTCAGAGTTATCTTATCCAACGAAAGAAATGAGAGGGAAGAGCTGTTGACAGGTGTGTTGTATTTGTTTGTACGCCTGAGTGCTTGTTATCGTTTCATTGCTGATGAGGATCTCCTGACGCATGCTGGACATACATGGACTCCAATATCTTTCTGCCCTTTTTTTCGCTCTCATCTTTGTCATCTGTGCTCCATGATCTGCCTATCTGCCGGACGGACATTCCTTCCTTCCGGGCCATAGCCAGCCTTCTCGACTTGTTGGTTACGTTGAAAGCAAGCAATTGTTCTGAGCGCATCCCATGGCAAGTAAAAAAACAATAGCAACATCAAGTTAAACCCATCTCAGTCAACCTCCGCGCGATTTTCCTTTGCCCGTGTCATTTCTGTCATTACCGTAACCACTGAGATCTGCCTCGAAGATTAAACAAGAGAGTCTACCTTAGTTTATTTAGTTTGGACCGCGACTTCCGACGCCAATGTCTTGAAATCGCAGCTGCCTTTTCAAATCGAGCTCATTGCGTAGGAAATAAAGCACTTTAATGATAAAGAAAAAGAAAACGAGTATTAACAACAGCAGCCATCGATTAGATCTAATCAACCATCCTTTGGATACGAAAAGCACTTTCTGACTTTATTTGTTAATCTACTTTGTTTATTTGTTTTGCATGATATCCTACATCCATATGTCTTAGGATGATCGTAGAGGACAGAATCGGCACATAGAACTCTGATGCCCCCCATATTTACATAATCTAGAGTACAAAACACTTATGTTTCCTATTCTTCCGTCCTAGCTTTCCTTCCATTACTTAGCTGCAGCAATATCGCGTCGCAGCAGGAAGAGAAGAAAGAAAAGTATACTAAAATAACAAGTTACCTCAACCTCAAGAATGTTGCGATGTAGATGACAACAAATTAATTCTTCCGTCTGATGATTCTTCAAGAAATATTAGTACTGTACCAAGGAATCCCCGACCATACCTTCAATAGTTTACTCCGCGCTTCATATCTTTTCCTATTGTCTTTTTTATCGTCGTAACGTCCGGTTTCTTTGACGAATCGAGCATCACTATGCAGATGTGGTGTGACAAACCCCTACTTTTTCCACGCGGCCCATTAATTTCTCTGCTGTTCTGTATGAGGTCTTTTTTCGCATGAACAAAAATGACCATTGTTGGTTCGACCGGCTTCGAGCGACACAAGATACCAAAAGAGGGCAAGAAAGAGGGAGGTAGGTGCGGCTATCGATCGAGTAATATAAAAGCATGTGCACTCCTTTGCTTATATGAAATATTGATTATGTGGTCGCTTCAAGTGCCATAATGACAGTTTGACTAGAAGTGAGGGCAATATCAACGGTGCATGAGTCGCGACTGCAAAGGCGAAGGCAAAAAAAAAAGCATTTATGAGGCCTAGAAGACATTTGCAGCAAAAAAAAAAAAAAAGCCATACGCTGTTTGTCACAAGGACGCGCCGTTCGACCAAGCGTCCACACTTTTTTGTTGTCGTTGTCGTTGCTTTCACGGCCAACAACATAGAGTGTGAACAACCAAAGAGAGCAGCCTAGAACATGCTTAGTATGACAATCTAGAGCTGCCCATGTTAAACCCGGCTATAGTTCACGAGCATTTTTTTTTTTACGCGCCCCATCCTTGAACTTATCACTCAAATTAATGATAACATAGTTTTTAAAAGACCTTTCCATTCATTGACTCTGCTATTCAGTCTATTGTAGAAGAGCTGGTGCTGACGCTTTACGTTTTTTCCCCTATCTTTGGTCTTAGTCCTGCTTGCCCTTTTCAGCTGACCGTCCTGTTATGGCCTTGACCAACGCAATCACAACCGCCAACGTTCCAGCACCCGCCAACGCAAACGTCGCTGTTCTGACCAGCGGCAAGTCCTCCAATCGACCCACAGGTACAGACACATGGCTCTCCGGGTACTGTTTCGGGATAGGATCCGGCAGCACAAATCTGAAATCGACCGCGTCCTTGCTGCCTTCGCTCGGAAACAGGAGACTGAGAGGCAATGGTGGGATATGGAACAATTTCTTGGCGCTCGCGAGCGTTGCCTCCTCACTACCTGCAGAAGCCGCACATGCCCATGCGACAATAGGCCAAGGAACTGCGACATCGACATGCGTTACTGGATTCTCGGCCGAGACTGGTGGCTGATATCTCATATGCATGGGGATATCGACCGTTGAAGTATAGGGCGACGGCTTGCTGCTGGTCTTCTCGCCTTCTGCAGCAGTATCAGTCCTGTTGTTTCCTGTTGCCATCCATCTCGAGGTCTTGACAGAATCCTCTGGCTGAACCTTCACCATGACGAGACTGCCCCAGCCAGAGACAACGCCCACGGGTTTCTCCAAATCTGTCTCTCCAAAGACCACAGCCTCTCCGATCTCGGGTGCGAGACCCTCCAGCTGGAAGGGGTCTACAAAGATGCCCGCAGGTAGGACCTGCAAGACATAGAGGTCGCAACCGGCTGTCGTTCCTGAGATATAGGGGTTCGATTGAATGGTCGTGATGGAATGAGGGTGGAATGTCTGAGGAGGGCTCATTGTTGAAGTATAGGCATGTCCCGGAAACCGGACCTTGCCTGTTGAAAGCTCGCGTTTGTGCGGTGGGAATACTGACGACCGTGATTGGATCAGGGCCTCACTGACAACCTCGCCCTCAGCATCCATCTTGATTGTTGCTCCAAGGTAATGGTCGTAAACGGTGTGTTCTTGTTCTGTGAGCTCGCGATAGAACCAACCAATCTCGACCACTTTGTCTGTTCGCTCGTCGAATGAAATCTTGATAATATTATTCTGTCCATCCCGATCATGGCTTCCAACAGGCCAAATGACCTTCAAGTTTGCACTGCCATTCTGCAAGACAAGGTCAATCAATGCTGGTCCTCCAGTGGATCCTGCTCGTTGTTGCTTGGAGATAAGCGATGAAATAGTGGAGGAGTTAGATAAGAATCCCGTAGGGTCGGTAGTCCTGTGCACATAGTGGTGATTGTGCATGGAGATCAGGTGCTTGGAGTTGACAGCCTTGGTGCGCTGATCCTCCCGCTGTGTCTCTTCTTGCTCCTGGCAGTCAATTGCCCCGATCAACTCTGCCAAGGTGGGACAGTACTCTCTCCATGTCCCCTTAAAGTCCTCGCTATTGAAGGTCGAGAATACGTTCTGTCGTTTAAAGCTCGTTTCTTTCATGAACCCCACCAGTCTCGATCAAGCATAAAAAAACAACAATAAAACCAGCGCCGACGTGTACCTTGTTACAGCCAAATGGAAACCAGGAATGAAGGTCGGGGTAAACGGGGGTCGAAGAAGCGGCGCCTTGTTATCGAACCATTGGACATGCACTCTGCCACTGTTGACTGTGCCCTGTTCAGTGGGCTGGGTTCGTGTTGTATCAGAAACCACTCAATTATTGATTAGGATCACGGTTGCGATTCAAAACTGCATGCCCATTGCATTCAATCTCCAGCATACCTTTCCAGCAGCTTTTGAGAAGCCCTGGATAGAGCCCTTGACCTCCCATTCCCAGAACCCAGATATTCCCACGACCTGAACCTGATGGAGTGCGACCTTGAGGTTCTCGTCCGAGGGCTCGACAGGGAGAGTGCTGACGAAGGAATGGCGGTGTTGTAGTGATGACGAAAGAGGTGATGCAGGTTGCGCCGAGACAGATGCGACGGTGCTGAGGGCCAAGAGAGCGGCAACTGAGAGGGACAGGGTCAGCATGGCGGAGAAGACTGATGAGGATGTTGATTCAGCTGGTTTGATTGATCGCGCGTTGTTCTTTGGGGGAGGACCACAGTTGTGCGGGGTTCCAATTGGTCACGTCCTTTGTTCGCGTCCCAATTGAGTTTTCTACGGATTTCCCTTTCACACCCTTATGTTTGACTACAACGTATAGACTATATCATGCACAGGTAGGCTTCAATAGAGTGTTCTTTTGTACAAGCGTTTATTTGCTTAAGTTATGATACAATTCTTGATCAAGAATGGCTGTATAGTTTATAGTAGGCTGTAGCCCGGTAGAGAAAGAGAGAGAAAGAGAGAGGGAAACAAACATAGAGAGGAGTGTTTCTTGAAGAAAAGGGATGTGCTTCGTTATGCTTGGACTCATACAAAAAGAATGCTAGAGTTGAAGGCAAACTTGTCTAGACTTGAGCCGCCTTTACTGCGAGCGAGGCTGGGCGACGTGGCGACGGAGATGGGGATCCGTGGCAAGCTTGCGGAAGGCCATGTAGGTGCCACCGATGGACGCACCGGAGACGACAGCGACGAGAGGGTAAACCTCGGTGGGGGCCTTCATGCCGCGCATAGACTGTCTGAGGAATTCGGCCAACATGGTGATGGTATGTGTTTTTTGGGAGGGTGAAGGGAAGAGAGAGTGAAGTGATTGTTTTGTAGTTGCAGTGGTTGTTGCTGGTTGCTGTATGATGATGAGAAGAAGGAAAGGGGAGAGGAGTGAGGTTCCCGCTTTATATACACAATCCCCAATGCCAGTATTATGTGGTATAATCATCATTATCCATTATAGCACACTAAAAAAAAAGGCGCAAGTTGGCATGGTTTCATCTTACCGAAGGACGAGGGCGCTGTCGTCGCCTCGAAGCTCCAAAAGGGCTGACACAGACCAGGTAAGGATGGGCCAATGGCGTGTGCTTCAGTGTTTCAGTAGCCTATTTTGGCATTTGCACTCCGGCGAAAATTTATTCGTTCTTTCGCGCGCTCCCTTATTCGTCTTATGCTCTCTTCTTGTCTTTCACAGGAAGAGCATAGTTGGGCATCCTAAAAAAACCGCCGTGCCATCCCATTGTGCTGTACTCCACCGTACCACACACTCACACACTATCCCTCTTATTGTATCCATACGAGGCCACCATATCTCTTCAACTGGCCAAGACTCCCTTGAACAGTCCTGTTAACCTCTCAAACAAAACGACGTATCCCAAGAGACATATATGTTCCTTACTTGAAAGAACTACAAGCGAAACGCTGCCGCCCACTCAAGCCACAACCCCAGTTTCGCGTACCCCAGATTCGCACCCGATTCAAGTGATCGAAAAAATGGGTTAGGTTTCCGGTTTTTTTTCTCCCTTCCGAAAACGGATGCTTCATTCTCATTGGTCAATTCGGACTCGTTCAATTTGGAATGGACTGTCAAATAAAGAGATTCCGAGCATCGCCTGTTTGCATATCTGCAATGGGTTGACATCATGTGTGTGCAACACAGGGTGTTCAATGGCGCTGAGGTTTATGGGGTGACAACCTGCTGAGACATCGTTTATTTGAGCGGCAGGTTCTATACCTGGTGCTGCTGCATATGCTGCTGCGCCTGTTGATGACTCGTCAACACCTCCTCCATGGCTCTCAGGCCGTCCGCAGGCAAGTCGAGCGACGACTGAGCGTTCCCAAGCACCTGTACTATACCAGGTCCACTGGGAGGCGTTGGACCCGTTAATGACATCGAACTGACACTAGGCAGTTCAGGATTCACAAGGGTCGATATCGTGGATGAGTTATGTACAAATACAGGCGCGCTATCTACAAAAACGAAAGAAATCATAAAGGGCTCCGCATTAGTCATATTGATCCTTGGTCGTAAACGCGAATGAAGCAGTAGATGCGTCGACAATATTTTTGTCGCCACCAAAAAAGAGTTGCTTTCATTTCTGCAGTATTTCACAGCAAACGTACCTGGGTTGCTGGTTCCAGACACCAACGAAGGAACTCCACCCAGGAGCAGGCCATTGTTGTTGGCAGCCCCATTTTCGGCCTCTGTCTGGACAAGCAGAAACCTTCGCAGCTCCTTGACCAACGGCAGCTTAGTCGCTCCGATCTGGCCATTCTGGAGCAGGTATTCTGAGATGACATCGAGCGCGTCGTTGGCGGTCGCAGCAGTGACCTTCTTCACCTCGGGTCGATTTCTCAGGCTTGAAGCTGGGGGTTCCTTGGGTGTGAGCACGATGTTGGAGATATTGAGCTGATCTTTCAGGTAGGAAGGTCCAGATGTGTTCGATCCTGCATCGCCCTCGCCTGTCGTGCCGTTAGGAAAATATAGAGTCAATGCTAGAATGATGAGCGATAGGTCCAGAACAAGCATAAAAGAAAAAATGCTCCGTAGAAGAGGGGCTGTTGCAATTCCACCCTTACCCTTATTGTCGGCATCCACATCCTCCATTTCCTTATCGCCATCACCGCCCTCGGCCCCATCGCTGGCATCACCGGTCTCCCCTATACCAGACCCACTGATCGAGTCCATGGTAGACGCCGAGCCGCTGGCAGCTGGACTCCCACCACCCCCGTTGACGCCACTTCGCGACTTGATTTGGCGATGCTTGATGCCGTGCCGCCTCTTAAAGCCATGATACCATCCAGAGGTCAATCCGAGCTCTGTGACAGGAATACCCATGCGCTCCGCGATCCCCTTGGCGACCTGCGTGATAGCTGCCTCACTGGTCAGTGTCATGACGGGTGGCAGCTGGGAAGGGTCCCCAAAGCTGCTCATGGAACCATCGGTATTTTGACGCTCCTGTTCCTGTTGAATCTGAAGTTGCTCCTGCTCCAATGCCTTCAGTTCTTGAACCAGTGCCTTCTCGAACTCTGGAAACTTGACAGCCCTATGGCGCTTGGCTGATGGGTTGAGGAGCTCTGTGGCGAGACGCTCTGTGGCAGAGGAACGAAGTCTGGAAGCCGTTGATAGTGAGATGGTGAGGCCAAAGCGAGTCTTGCAGAATTGGACAATTTCCTTGCACGAGATGGAGTTATTTCCAGTGATAGGCGCAACCGGGCTACTGCCGCCTGGACTGCCCACAAGCACAGAATCGTCGCCGCCGTTGCTTGCTTGGAGTTGCTGCTGTTGCAACAGCTGGGCTTGTTGCTGCGACTCTGTGATGAAGACGGCGATTTTTCTCCTCTGGGACTCTGTCAATGAGACGTAGTTCGGCATGGCTCTGTTGAGTAATGCTAGTTATGTGAGGAGGGGTTTACGATAGTAATATCTTGCTGTGGATCTTGATGTTGACGTTGATGTTGATGTTGATGTTGATGTTGATAGTGTTCTGCAATGGATAGTGTTATCTTCTTGTGCTCATCTCTTTCTCTTTCTCTCTCTCGCTCTCTCTTTCTCTTTCTCTCTCTCTCTCTCTCTTTCTTTCTCTTTCTCTCTCTCTCCAGGTATGCTTTATGTGCCAGAAGGCCAACGAAGTGTTGATGAGTGTTGTTGGATTAGAGGATAGGAAAGTGGGGCGGAGTGAAAGGGTGGGGAAACACACAGCAAGTCTATCGACTGAAAAATAGTGACTGCACTTTTCTTTCCTCAGTCCTGTCGAGACTGCACCTTCGTTCTTTACCTTCTTTCATGCATGCCCTGTCTGCGGTCCGTGTCTTCCTCTCCAGCTCTTGTTGAGTGAGCATTTGCTCAGATGATAGGAATATAGACACCTGTATAAGGGTGCGAGAACAGCATTCATTCGTGCGAGCCATTTTTAGGTGTAGTTCACCCCCCCAGGGGACCCCAGCCGAGATGTAGTAGAACTAACGTACGAGCCTGAACATACCTGACTTCTTGCAAATGGGGTTCGATCTGCATGCATTTTGCAGCAATCGCCCCCCTTTCTTCTCTGTGCTTTCGACACGAGGGTACATGGACGTATCGGTACTCTATTCATACCGCAAAGTTAGATCCCCATGAACCGTAGTCTACAGCTCATGGCTCGACTGCGTCCAATAAACGAGCCCTTCGACAGAACTTCAAGGTCCTTGATAGGACGCAACACGTACATGTATGCTGTATGCCGCTTTGGTTGTTTGTTTGTTTGTTTGCTTGTAAACAATGGCGTGAATGAGGGTTTAATTGCACTGACTACAAGGGTGCCTAAAGGTGAGACGCGTCACCTTTGCTTTACCATGAACATCTTTCTGGGCTGATGGACAGCATACGTACGTTGAATATAAGCCCATGTTGGTACGGACAGTCAGTCGACGCCATCGACTAGCTGAGAAAGAGAGAGAGAGAAAGAGAGAGAGAGCGAATAACACAGCCTAGGTGTCTTGCAGCGTGTAGTGCATACGTTTGGTCTCCTTGGCACTGCATTTGGATATCCACCGGGTGTGATTGCCTCCATCATCAGCCCTAAATGGAAATTGCAGAATACTCCATTTGGGCACACGACAACAGGTCGCATGGGGAGAGAGGCTCCCCCTGGGTTCGAACCCCAGCCATTGTCAAAGTGGAGTGTCTCCCCGTCTTTCCCTTCTTTTTCTTCTTTCTTCCTTCCATCCTCCATCCCCATCCACAGTCGCCACCAAACCCACCAAAGCAAACCAGGAGTCCCTTCGTTACTCTCGTTTATCCTCCGTCCCAACCTATATCTCCGTCAAAGTCGAGTCCCTTGCTCTTTCCTTGGACATACTCTCAATGGACAAGTCCTTGCACGTTACAGGAATCCTCATTTACCGTCATCAGCGGAACTCGACAGAGATCTTATTAGTCAACGATTCTTTTAACCACAAGCGACACTGGACAGCTCCCAAGGGCAGAGTCATCGGCGATGAAGACGAGCTCAAGTAAGGGAAACTGCCAGATTGCATCCTGATGCTGATCAAGCTCAAGGATGAACTCGATGGAAACCAGTTCCTTGCGACAGGAACTAATCATCTGTTTGTTCCACTTCTTGCTTACCATAGAGCTGCTTTGCGAGAGACCCTCGAGATCACTGGACTCTCGGTCAAGGACTTGAGGGTCGAGGACGCCTTCCGCGCCGAGATCAAGTACCTCTCAGGCACTAGGTAAGCCTTTGTCTTTCTTCTTTGCGATCAGCAGAGTCCTCCCTTGAACAAGAGTGGGTTTAATCGCTAATATATTTTACATCGCCCTTTTTTTCCCCGTGAGCAGACCCAAGCGTGTTGTCTATTACTTGGCTGAGCTGATCGACAGCGCCAAGGTCCTTCCCACGGGCGAAGGCGTTCAATTTGCGTGGTGCAACCTTCAGCAGGCGACCGACAAAGCCCTCTACAGAACCATGCAGGATGTCCTCCGCAGTGCCTTTGCTGCGGCTGAAACTAGTCGCGCTAAGGCTCTGGCTGCTGCTCCACCAAAGCTGCACCGCAATCACTCTAATAACAATAGCAACAATGCCGGCGACTCCCTCGAGAGCAACATGAAGAACCTCAACATCGCTCTCCCTCTGGACTCTCAGCGCCAGGCTATCACTCGGGACTACAACACCCGCGGTAGCAGCCAGCACCGCGATCGTGATCAGCACCGTGATGGCAGTGCCTCCGGAGGCCGCTATAACAACGACAATGGTATATTGCACGCTGTCTGTGTTTCAAATCATTAAATCGTCAATCATACCGACAAGATCGACAAGACTAATATGCTTGATATCTTCCTTCTATCTTGTGTCGTCTTCTAGGCGGCCCCAGTCGTTCACATGCGGACAACCCTAACTACAAGACCCGTCTTTGCGAAAGATTTGAGGCAGAACAGTTCTGTCCCTACTATGCCAAGTGCACCTTTGCACACGGCATGGCCGAGTTGCGTCAGCGTCCCGCGAACCCTGATCAGCAAGACAAACCCGTCTCGGCTGTTCAGGCCTCGTACCAGAACCGCGCCAGGCGTGAGACTACTGAGAACGAGTTCCACAAGACTCGGCTCTGTGAGCGCTTTATGAACGATGGCGAGTGTCCCTTTGGCACCAGATGTACTTATGCTCACGGACGCGAGGAGCTTCGCCAGCGTGTAGGATATCAGAACAACAACAGCAGCATCAACAGCAGCATCAACAGCAGCATCAACAGCAGCATCAACAGCAGCATCAACAGCAGCAACAACAACAACGGCAGCAATAACAACAACAACAACGGAGGATTCAATGGCCAGAACAGGAACTACCCCAGGGACGGTCAGAGTGGTGATCGAGCCTATAGATCCAATGGCGAAGGTTACCAGGACCGAGGTTACCGCCCACAGCAGCAGCAGCAGCAGCAGCAGTCTAGCGAGGGCCCAGATGACCGTGCCTACCGATTGAACCGTTCGGAAGGACCCAACCGATCAACCTTTGCAGATCGCGAGAACCGTGATGGTCCTTATCGACCACCTCAGGCACTTGACCAGGAGAGATCTATGCGACCCCAGCTTGAAACTACCAGTTCCACCGGAGCATATCGTGTTCCTCAGGCACGTGGCCTTCCCAGTCAAACCTCAGATGATAATAGCCTGAACCGATCTGTTCTCGCACCAAGGGCTACGATTGCAGCGCCTGTTGCCGCGGCTCCATCGCCCTCACCTGCGTCTACTTCTGCCACGCAAACTCCCAAGGGTGTTTCACCAGCAGGCACGCCTGTTTTGGGATCGGACAAGGGTGGAAATAGTCGTCGCCGTGTCCAGGATTTCGATGAAAAGCCTAGGGCCAAGGTCATGGAGATGTCTAGCGAGGACATGGAAAAGTTCCAGCTTCGTCGACCTGAGACGCCTGTGGCCGCCAAGCCTGATTCGAAGCAGGCCCAGCGTGATCAGTTGATTCAGGACCTGCAAAAGTTTTTCCAGAACAATCAGCAAGGCGTCCTGGACAAGAAGCAGCAGCAACAGCAGCTCCAGGATGAGATCAAGGAGGTGACTCGGCTTGAGATGCGAAACGCGTTGACCAAGGCGCAGTTGTATTACATCCTGATTGCGGCATTGTTCACGGAGACATCGGTGGAGACATGGAAGAAGGTGTTGGTCGAGAAGGAGAAGTTGCTGGCGAACTTTGTGCGCTCGAATGAGGACCAGCTGACGTTGATGCGTGCATGGGAGCAACTGTTTGTCAAGCACCGACCGAACATGATGGCGAGAGCACCCATCGTGCTGAAGGCCCTGTATGATGCCGAGTTGGTGGAGGAAGATGTGATGCTGGCGTGGTATGATTTGCCAACGACGGATGCGGAGCTCAAGAAGAAGTGTGTTGTCTTTGTGGACTGGCTTCGCTCTGCAGAAGAGGAGTAATGGTGGATCACTAGTCGCCAACGTCTTGGATCGTTTCTTTTTCTATTTTTCTATCTTTCTATCTCCTTTTTTTTTATTACTTTCCATCATCAGTCATCAAGTCGTGTTGCACTTGGTATTCTTATGATGGCCTTTCCAGGCATTGCAGAAAGCGTTTGTTATTGTTATTATCGTTATTATATTGATTAGTATCATCGTAGAATTTAAAATATACGCGATCTTTTTCTTTTCGAGAATGAAGGTTCGAGCTCGCGTTGGATGTTGCAACCGTGCCCTGATCCATAAACACGCGTTTGATGAGGACATTCATATCGTCTTGGTGCGTAAATAAGGTTACGATTAAGACGTTGTTCACACGAAGCAAGGCATTCTTTTAATCCGATTTTATAATTTTTTTTTATGGCCGTGCCCAACGAATCTATTACTGCTGCTGCTGCATGGCGCCGGCACCCTTCCAGTGGATGGCCAAGTTAGGGCGTGCCTCCTCAATTCTCGAGGTAACTCTTTCCCATGCACTTTGTTCGTCATCTGGATCCTCTGGATGGTCACCGTGGTCGTCGTGAGGCGGAGGTACGTGTGATCGGTCACCATTTCCTGCAATTTCCAGGCGAATTAGAGACGGCAAGAGGCCCTTGATGAGGCAGACGCCCAGCTGCGTGTAGTCTTCGCGCGAGATGCTGTTGCAGCCTACATCCAGATGGACCAATTTCTCGAGCAACTGGTTCGAAGAGCTCGTGCCGTTGGGAATTCTGGCGCTCAGCGGTGTAGTGGGCGAGGTAACCGTGGCGGATGAAACGGCAGATGTTGGCGAGATGACCGCGTGGTTGTTCTCGAGGGCCTCGTGAAGGACGTTGATCTGATTCTCGTACAGTCCAAGACTCTCGAGAGAGCTGGCGCCGACAAGACCATGCCAGCCCAGAACACCGACCTTGTTGGATCCGAGCTCAAGGTTCTTTAACGTCGTGTTATGTCCTGTAGGTGTAGAGTCCTGTGGGTCTGCGGATGTCGGTGGTGGTGATGTGGACGTGAGCGCTGCCCCGAGGGCACGGGCACCCCTGTTTCCGATACGGTTGTTTCTCATGCGTACAGTCGTCAGACCATGATTATGACGGAGGGCGTCTGCCAAAAAGGTCGCTCCGATCGATGAGATATTGCAATAGTCCATCCACAGCTCCTGCAGCGTCTGATTGATCTTCAAGGACGCAGCAATTGACTCCAGGACCGCGTCGCCATCGGATCGAATCTCTTGCTCCTGTTCTGGCGCGAGGCGCTTGTTCAAGACCTGAACATCATCGTCCCACTGGATCTTATCCTCGTCTCCTTCCTCGACCGGCAAGGGAGGATCCATACAGGAGCTCATCCGGAGTCTCTGCAGCACCTTGTTCGTCTCGAGCGCACGTCCGATCGCTCGACCAGCCTCCTCCGAGATCTCGTTGTCGCTCAAGTCAATCTCTGTCAGTCCGCCTTGCTCGATCTGATCCTGGCTCGCCAACAAATTCGCGATCGATCTCGTGCCGGGCTCCTCAAACGAGTTCAAACACAGATCCAGTTTCTGCAGCGTACTGTTGTTCGGGCCACTGTCGTTCCCGCGGCTCAAAGCCGTGCACAGGACCTCGATATCTTGGTCCGTCAGCCTGTTCCTCGCCAGATTCAATTCTGTCAATGTGTCGTTCTTCTCCAACGCCTCAGCCAAGTACCTGACGCTCGTGTCATGATGGCCTCCCAAGCCCTTGTTCTCCAGATCCAATCGCTTGAGCCCCTTGTTCTTTGCCAAGCCCTCAGCCAGGACCTTAATCACGCCCTCATCGCTTCCAAGCCGATCATTTCCGATATTCAACCGCTCCAAAGTCGTGTTCTGTTCCAGGGCCAGAGCCAAGGCCGTGGCCGCGGTCTCGTCAAAGGAATGTCCGGAGGCGTAGAATTCCTGTAGGGTCGTATTGGATTTGAGGGCCTCGAAGACCTGACCGAGTTCAGAGGATGTGATTCGACGGAAGGAGAGGATATGAAGCGAGGTGAAGGACGAGTCGTTCTCGCTTAAACGCTTCACCCACGACTCGACACTGTTTGCGTTTCCACCACCCCAAGCCATACTTGTATCAATAAAGTTGGTTTTGCGTTTGTGCTTGTTGGACGGAGGAGGTGTTGCGGTTGTTTCTCGTTCAGGCAACGAGAAGTAGATGGGGGAATATTTGATGCTTGACAATGGAAGGGGAAAGAAAGTAGAGAATGACGAATGGGACAGGAATCGCTCTTTTCCAGAACCGTTTGGCATGCTGTCCCCTTTTTTTTTTTTTTTACAAAAGGGGGGTGAAAGTGTGGCTGAGTACATTGTATTTTTTATTTTCCTTTGTAACTGAATGACCGAGAGACGCATCCCTCTTCTTCAAAGGGACACTCGTCCTGAAAGCCGCGACAGCCCCTTTGCAAAGGCCCGCCAGTCAACAGGCGCCCTATCCTGCAAAGAAGGCGGATCTTCTATTGCCGCTGTAGCCATCTCTGACAGATATCGAATGACTTCCTATAAGGTGCGGTGAGAACGCAATGTGATTTCCCTCCATTATCAGAACTCTGCACCTCAGCGGACTCACTGTTTATCAAAAACAAACCCTGACCTTACCTGAGCCTCATTTGGCGATGAGTCCAGATATGCGCGTAGGTTACGCATGGCTGTATCGACCGTCAATGGGTTGGATCGATCGGACAGCTTGCGGAAAATCAGACGTGCTTTCGCCTTTCGATCGATACTCTCCGCCGATACATTTTTCATAATGTTATCTGTTCCAAAAGAATAAAAAGAAGGGGACCGAATTGGGGAGAAAAGTCAGCGGCCCTGCAGGAGACAGTCCCCTGTTCCTCTGTGTCCTCGTTGTCGCCTCATTTTTAGTCCTTACCATGGTTCAGTATAGGTACTATTTTTCCAAGCTGCAGAAAATGCGACCGCACGCCTGCAATTAGATCGTCCATCGCATTGTTGCTCACAATTGTCTACACGCGCATAAACGAGACGAGGTAGTCGTCAGCGACTCAACGGGGGCTCCCTTCAAAAATCCAATGAGCCACTGTCGCCAAACATTCCTTTCTGTTTCACACCAATACCAATGTGTCATCATTCAGACCCGTTCGCGAGTCTCTATTCAATAGTATCGCCATCAATGCGCTGTCCGACAATCCAGGGTTCTTGAGTAGCCGCTTCCGTAACGCAGCTGAAGGATCCAGAAGCTCTTCCTCTGAAGGCAGTTCATCCTGCGTAACCCCATTCCCCATCACGGCGGTATCATCATCGTATCCATCTTGCAGCGTCTCAAGAAACGACCTGATAATATCAATCGCTCCATCACCTCCCCCAATATTCCTGGTTGTGCTTTCCGGTGTCGTTTGTCGTAGCAGTCCAGCGAGGTGATCAGTCCACTGAAAGGATTGCTCAAGGTACACGGGAGTCCATTGCTGATCAAACTGAGCATGAGTCGCGAGTGGGATAGAGGCTTGCTGCAGGATCCGGGCGACGATCCTCAGCTCGGGATGTGTTTGAGCGAGATTCATTCATCCGGAAACGTCTTTGACGAGAATCGAATGATGGTAGGCAGGCAGGCAGGCAGGCAGATACAGGCGAACTGACCACAGGGCGAAGCTGGACTTGTTCTAGAAGTCACGCGTAGAGGCGTGCAGGGGGTTTAATTGAAGTGACGCCCGCGCAGAGCTCCCTTTCTTCTCTCCCGTCCTCATTCCCTTGCCTCCCTCTCATCCCAACCCCACACCCCCGACCCCTCTTTGAAAACTCGACTCGAGAATATCTAACGCTAGGTCTTGCCGGAAAGAAAAAAAAAAGAATGAGTGTTCGCGACGCAACCCACGCCGGCTCCTGGTACTCGTCCAACAGTAAGCGAGCAGTCCAGCCATTTTTGTCCACATCCTATCCGGCAACTCGCCACCATTCTTAGGCCGTACTTTCCGTTGCTGGCCCCTGTCTTCGCATTAATTAGTCGATGCTGTTGCGCTGAAAAAAAAAAAAAAAAAAAAAAAAAGCTGAAAACATGCCCATACTTCTATTATTTGATTATTTGGTAATTAGAGCAGGATCTGGATCGGCAATTGACAGGGTGGTTGACCGCTGTAGGCGCCGCCACTTCAGATGGGGATCCGGTCCCAATCAATGGGTTGCGTGCTATCATTGCGCCGTAAGAATGCAACACTGTCTCTTTTATTTTATATTGTTTTATTTTGTCCAGGAAATCATGTAGTCCCACGCTCATCCAGAACCTGTTCCGCAAATTTCTAAATCTCACCATTCAAAAAAAAAAAAAAAAAAAAAATTAGACATGCTGGATACTCGTATAGTGGACCGGCTGCAGGATATGCCTACAAGTGCATCCAACCCGAATTTTTGTAAGCTCCATCTTTGTCTGGACCATATTCGTGCAAGAGGGGGAAAAAAGGGGGAGGTGGAAGTTCTTGGTTCTCAAGGTTCGTGAAAGCTAATGATTGATGTATTTTCTTGGCTGTGATCCTCACGGCGTGATGGGCGGGTGATAATAGCAAGCGCGTGTTTATCCTCGGTCCTTCCCATCATGTCTACCTGTCCGGATGTGCCATCTCAAAGTGCCCCAAATACAGCACTCCGCTCGGTGATCTCATTATCGACCATGAAGGTAAAAAAAAAGCAAGCAGGAGGACAAAGGAGGAAACGCCAATGTTAGTGTGTGTATCCGCATTTTAATCTTAATCACTCATTTACATTTTTGCTTTTTTTTTTTTTTTTTTTTTTTTTTTTTTGCCGCTACGTTGTGCGAGTAGTGAACAAGGCATTGGAGAAGACAGGCCAATTTGGATACATGTCCCAGGAGACCGATGAGGATGAACACAGCATAGAGATGCATCTACCCTATGTCTATAAGGTTTTTGAGCACCACATGGACAAGGTTCAAATCGTGCCGATCTTGGTCGGGGCATTGACAGAGACCACAGAACGGCAGTACGGAAAACTTTTGGCACCCTATCTCGATGACCCTCAGAATCTCTTTATTGTCTCGAGCGACTTTTGTCATTGGTAAAGCGTACAACTTCATCAACTTCCTATCGTTATCGATTGCGCATCCCCAAAAAAAAAAAAAAAAAAAAAATAATCACGCTTTATTTACCATTCTTTTTTATTTTTGGTGTCTATGGGGCACGGTCATAGGGGTCAACGGTTCGACTACACATACTACGTCGACAACAAAGGCGTCGTAACCGAATCCCTGGCCCATGCCGGCGGCAGCCAAAAATACACGCCTGACTCCCCAAGGTCTCGGATTCGATCCGCACACTCGATCGCGAAGGCATGGATAAGATCGAACAGCAGAACCATGCCAACTTTTGCAAGTACCTCAAAAAGACAAGGAACACCATCTGTGGACGACATCCCATCGGCGTCCTCATGGCCGCCCTTGAAGCTGATGCGACCAACAACGGTAACAAGTACCGAACCCGGTTCGTCCATTACGCCCAGTCCAGCGGCGCTCGAAATGCCTCAGACTCGAGTGTCTCGTACGCGTCCGCATTTGTCCAACAGGCACAGTAACAGGAGCGGCGGAGCAATCTTGATTCGACAATAACCAAAAAACGTGTTAGCTTTTACGGCGGGCAGTGTTATTGCTAGAGATTTTTTTCTTTTGTTTCTTGAGAACATTGATAGCTTTTTACAAGCACATGGAGACCACTTAACTAAAGTCAGCGAGACCTGTATATACATTTTTTTCCATGAGCGTTTAGGCGATCGTAACCATTGAACGGACTTCATTAAAAAAGAAGAAGAAAAGACTATTACGAAGTAAACGATTACCGAGACGATTAAGAGATGTGTGAAAGAAAAAGGGCATCCCCTGAATAACGAACTGGAAAATGAAACAACGAAGCTAACAATCGACAGAACAGGAGATGGTACAGACAGTAAAAAAAAAAAAGCGAAGAATAAAAAACGACAGGCAACAGTGGTACAGACAAACGCTAAAAAAATTATACGAAAATGAGCAAAGCAAAGGTTTTAGATACACGGATGAGGGTAAGCAAATAGACAAGTGCGGAAGGGGAAAAAATGCAAAAAAAAAAAAAAAAGTATTAACATAAAAATATCGATCCACCTATGGCATGATGTAGCCTCCAAGAGCTAATCCTCGTCCAGTTCGTAACGGTTCTCTGTCTCTGATAAAAAAGATGTTTGGGCCTGCCTTGATTCGCCATATGGGGATGCGGAAGTAGATGTCGAAGCCCGTTCTTCCTCTTGAGTAGGATGGGAATGAAGAGTCGATGCAAGAGCAGGGGGTGCAGGCGTCGATCGCCTAGATGGATCAAGGGGACCGGATGCAACAGCCGCAGCCGCAGCCTTGTGATAATTCGCTCCTGTTTTAGACGAGATTGGCACCGCTGGGCTTCGGCGCTTGTGGACCATCGATTGGTGGCGTCGAAGCAGCATCTGGGCCGAGAACCGCTTGCGACAGCCGTCAATACCGCACTCAAGCTCCTTGGGCCCGTGTCGCTCGAGATGGCGCTCCAGCTGGATGGCATCGATGAACACCTTTTTGCAGTCATCATAAGTGCAGTGGAAGGGTCTGGGACGAGAACCGGCTGATGCTGAGGCCTTGGACTGGGCGTCCTCAGAGGGGCCTTGGGCCCTTTGCGGCGACAACCTGGTCACTTCCGATGCGTCTACATCCATGTCACCTGCTCCAGTACCGTCATCACCGGCTTTGGGCGCCAGCTTCTTGGGAATATAGCCTTGGGGCGGCTGGTGTTCCTTGGGAGACTTGATCTTGGGTTGCTTGAAAGTCCTGGGTCCCTTGAATTCCTTGGGTTCCTTGGGTGTCTTGACCAGGGATGGCTTCAGCTCCTTTTCTTTTTTGATAGAAAGCGTTGCGGTAGGTGTAGCATCATCGTCATCTCGACCAGAGTCTTCTTCGCCATAGTCATCAGCAGAGTGGTCGACTTCTTGAGAACCCCTTGGCTGACGCTCCAACACAGCAGGGTCAATGACATCGCCCGAGGCCACGATCCGGGGTTCCCGTCTTCTTGAACGACCCGAACGCTGTCGTGTTGTACCAGGTGGACTTTCCCATTTCTCGGATCGCCTCTTATGTACCATGGACTGGTGTCGACGCAACAGCATGATATCGGAGAACAGCTTGCCGCACATATCCAGATCACACTCCAGTTCCTTGGGTCTATGTCGGTCGATGTGTCGTTCGAGTTGAAGGGCATCCACAAACCGCTTGCCGCAGTCCTCAATATTACAGACAAATGGACGTGGACGATTTCCACTCGAAGGCGAGGCGCCAGGCATATTGTTGCTGTTGTTGCTGTTACCCTCGATTGGGCGACGTTGACGTGGAGGAGGCGTGCCGTGATCGGACATGGTTCCATCGACAGGAGTAGTTGGAGTCGAATCTCGAGTTGTCGAAATATGGGACTCGGAGCGTTCGCGGGGGACCTTGCGCATGCTGTTCTTCTTTTCCCTGCGTGCGTTCATGGGGTCGCCACTATCCCTGTTAACCTTGAGTCGCTTGTCTCCGGGGGCATAATCCTTGACAGGATGTTTGCCCTTGAATTCTTTCGAGTGTGATTCGATATGGCGTCGCTTGTTGTCCATGGGCTCAGGCGATTCCATCAGGTCCTGCGGGTCCCGAGACTCTCGCAGGGCCATGTCCTTTAGTTTCATCTTTCGCTTCTGACGCGCAGTATGGGCCTGCAGCGGATCTTCGGCCATAAGATGGTGGTGATGGTGGTGATGATGGTGCTGGTGATGATTGTTATGGGGGTAATAGCCCGGGTACGAGTGTGGACGCATGAGATCATGATCCATCCTGTCGGTGTCCATCTCAGCGAGTACGACGGGTTCGTTCAGGTGCATTTCCTCCTCTACTTGTCAGCAGTGTCGATGGCGGTGGCGATTGGCGATATGAAGCAGAATGAGTGAGGATTTGTCGGGGAAATGAGCGGAATAAGAAACATTGGGTTAGTTAGTATAAGGGCTCATATTATTTTTTCTTTTTCTTGTGAAATGTATTCCACGCGTCCTGCGGCTGCACGGGGCTACAGCGCGAACGTATTCTTTTTTTTTCCCGCTCTCCTTCCCCCACCTTCTTCCTGCATATTTAATTTCATGTTCTATTGAATCGCCATAGATATCTTCCCGCCAAAAAAAAATAAACGGAAGCTGAACACAAAAATAACAACAAAAACACCGCATGGTGCAACCTACAAGAAAAAAAATATAAAAACAGGACGATAAAATTGTAGCCCCCGTCTGTCTGTAGCACTGTAAGAGTACTCCCCTGTTTCCCCCCCCCCTTCTTTGTATGTGCTTGTCATACCCCCAATGCACCATGCAGGACAGGGGCACTCATCGTCCTCTCTTTTGCTGTCACATTTGTTTGTTTGTATAGGAAGAAAAAAAAGAAAAAAACCCCGGTGGGCTGGAACGATTGGATCAAACCGTGGGCGATGGGGGTTATGCTTCCCATTGTTTTCTTTCTAATCTTCTTCGTTCACCATGGTTATGATTAGTTCGAGAAAAAAAAGAAAGGTAGAAAGAGAGAAAGAGAGAAAGAGAAAAAGAGAGAAGAAAGATGACCATGCCTCCTTCTTGAATACACCGCACCCTGGAAACACCCAATGATGAAATGCTATAATGACAAAACACTCCAATGCATCAGGATACCGTATGCATGGGTGAAACCAATTCCATTTATCCCCCAGACAACAACACGCTGGACCCCACACGTCGTTTCCGGGCACTTGTCGTCCATAGAGAGCCACCAAAAAAATAATAATAATAAAAAATAATAAAAAAGAAAAGAAAAAAGCATATAGTCGTACCTGTAAACCAAAGAGGTGTCATCATCTCACCCCCAAGTGTCTTGACGAGAACCTGCCTACAGATCCATTTGCGAGGCACCGAGTCCTTTGTAATGGAGTCCCTGACCCGACTTGCACGTGGCATAGGCATGCTTATGGGTGCGGATGTCATTGATAACCCTGTTCCTGAAGGCATCCCTCTGTACGATCTCTGAAGCTGATCATCTCGAGTCGACATCGGTTTTCTCTCCAAATGGTTGTACTCAGCACTGAAACCTTGTTTGGGTTTACTTGACCGAGCTGTGTCGGACATGGAGGGCCACTGACGGGCATTGTCGATGCCCTCCAGTGCCAAGCTCCTAAACAGAAACATGAGCATCACGGAATACGAAATGTTGGAATGGAGTACACGGACAAAAAAAAAAGAAAGAAAGAGCGGAAAGAAAAAAAGAAGAAAAGATATGAATAAATTAAGACCGCAACCACGAAAGAAATGCAAAAGAAGAGCGAGGAAGCAAGCAAGGAAGAGCTGGGAGAAATAGAGCCACAAGGAGAAGAAGTGCGTTCATGCGTCTATGCTGAGCAAGGCCGCGAGAGATAGCGACGATAGAGCGCGAGTAAAATGAGAGAAAGACAGTGACAAACGGAAAGAATGCGCTGACTCAGACAGGACCTGGGATAGGCCCATGGCTCCCACCAATCACTTCATCATCATGCGGTTTGCAGCTCGCAGTTTGCAGTTCGCAGTGAAGACCCAGTCGAATCGCCTGCCCTCCCCAGGGGGTTGCCATGGTGCATGCATGCATTCTCTGTCTTTCCCATCTCTCATGCTTCCTATTCATGCAGCAGCACATACACGCGGATGAACCAGCCAACCAAGGACTGGACAGCCGCAGCTGCTTTGGTTGCTATGGTCTCATATCTCTCACATACATTTCCCTTTTTCCTTCTCTGAGCTCTCTTAGAATGTTTCCCCATAGCCATACACTGTGCCACCGCTGAGACGCTATGGTTGTCCATATTCCCTCATGCATTGTGATGCATGGTTACTAGTCGTGTTGCAAATATGTCAAAAATAAAATACAGTAAAAAACAACAACAACACAAAAGGCCATAACCTCAAGCAGCTCTTTTTTACCAACGCTTACATACCACCCCAGGATGCATGGTATAAAGGATCGTTTCCTTTCTTTTTGTTTCCTCCGCAGGACCATTTTCTTTTTTGGTCCGCATCAATCCCAGCTCAAGCAATAATTCCTGCTCCCCTCCACGTTGATCTCACGGAATTGGGAACAGCAAATAAAAAACATAAAGTAAAAAATGGGTGGATGGTACAGACAGGGTGCGCAAATGGGAAGACAGGGACAGGGAGCATGGGAAGGGTATCCTACTCTGACTTAAATTGGATCCGAAGGGGAACTGGGAAAAAAAACAAATCGATAGGGAAAACTGAGAGAGAGGAAGAGAAAGAGAGAGAAAAAAAATAAAAGCAAAATGGCACCCAGGTAATGTACTAAGATCATGAACTTACCCTTCACTTTCGCTGGCATTTGAGTCTTCATGGATAGAGATACCACTCCGAGGAACAATTTCACGGCGGGGCATTTGTCGCGCAGCTACAGCCAACATTGTTAATCCGTCCAGACCTTCGTCAATATCCATGGTCGGATCATGGTCCCTATACCGGTGGTCGTGACCATGGGCCGTGTCCACGGACCGCGATTGAAAATCACCGTCATGACCTTGGCGATATGCAGAGCGCACACCCAATCTTTGAAGGTCCTTGGATGGGACAGGTGCGGATGTTTTCTTGGCTTGTCGAGGCGACTGAGGTCCAGACTCCAGATCGGGATCCGATTCCGAATCAGAGTTGGGATGAGATGTCATGGCAGAATCGAACTGCGAATCCGAGTCGGAATGAGAGTCGGCACCGGCTGTTCGTTTCTGGGCCCCAGAAGCAGCGGAGGAAGCACCACGACGCGTGAGAGTCTTGGCGGTCCGGTTACCGGTGTTTTGGTGGCAGCTGTCTTCTTCGTCCATGGACAAGGAAAGGGATGGGCTGGAAAGATCACGACGGTGGTTTCGATGATATGGACGACCCCTATCCTCGTCATGATCGTTATTGTCTTGTACAGGCTCGTCCGAGTCCATCTCCTCGACCTCCTGAGCTTGGATTGGGCTGCTGTTGGGATTATTTGTGATTTTAAGGTGCTCGTGCCCAAGGTTATGGTTGGGCCAGGTGGAGGTGGGGGTGGGCGAGGTCGATATTCTGGAGGAGAATGAGGATGGTGGTCCTGCCTCGGGTCGTGCGCCAGCTGTGGTGGAGAGAGGGGAGAGCTGGGTTACTGGCGAGACGAGCGAAGGGCTGGAGAGGGATGTGGAGTGCGAGACTGGAGACAGGTGCTGCAGCGAGGATGGGGAGGAGGATGAGGACGAGGAAGAGGAAGCGGATAAAATCGATGAGGCGGTAAGAGACGAGGCTGTGGTGGCTGTGAGGATCTGGTGATGAAGAGGGTGCGGTTTTGCGGCCCGTGGTTGGGAATGTGGATCGGGATTAGGACCAGGATAGGGACTGGAATGGAGATCGGGGGGAGGGTGAGGATGTGAGAGAGGGCGAGGGTGAGGGTGAGGGTGCGGTTGTGTAGAGGAAGAAGACGCTAGATGGGACGAGGAAGTGAGAGTGGAGGAGGAGGCGGAGGCGGAGGCTGTGTCGGAGGGGGGGCGGTGGCGACCTGGAGCAGAGCCAGGGTGGATGAATGGGGTGTCCTCCATGGATGGGGGTCGCTTTCGAGTCGATCGCTTGGCGGGCCTGCTGAAGACGGGGTGTGGGTTCTTCAGAGTGGGGTCAGAGGACGGGGAGGATGTGGCCAAGAAGATGAGGCGAGGGAGGGGCGACGCAGACCGATAACGGCGGAGGGAGAGACAGGGAAGTGGAGAAAGAAAGAAAGAAGGAAAGGAAAGGGAGAAGAAAATAAGGAAATAAGGAAGGAGGGTGGAATGTAGAGATTAGTCAACCAGTCGGTCGGCCAGTCAATGAAGAAATGAAGATGTCAGTCAGTGGGCGAGTAGAGGGGTCCGCAGAGCGGAGGAGGGAAGTATCAAACGAGGTGCGGCGGAAAAGAAAAGAGGGCGGAGGGCGAGAGGGAAGAAGGCGAGCGAGAAGAGGAGCGGAAGGAGCAAGAGAGCGGGAGGAAGAAGAGAAGGAGAGGAGGAAAGAGAGGAAGAAAAAAAGAGAAGAAAGAGCGAGAGAGATGTGAGATGTGTCGATGAGGGATGGAAACGGCCGATCAAGACTAACAGCGTAGAAGACAGACCGACAGACCGACAGCGAATCACAAGAGGCCGGTGATGCTGGGTGATGATGATAATGATGATGAGGAGGAGGAGGAGGAGGAGGAGGAGGTGGTGGTCGAGAGGAGGATGGGCCGTGGTTGGGTGTGTGTTTAGGGGAGGAGGGATAGGAAACAGAAAGGACAGCCCGGTGGTGTTTTGGGATGAAGAAAACGCAGTGAGGGAGTGGAGTGAATCAATAGGGAGAGCTGAATTGGGTATGGCGGCGGTATACCTTCGTATCGTCTCTTTTTTTTTTCTTTTTTCTTTTTTCTCTTTTTCTGACTGGATGCTGGGAAATGAAAAAGATACGATTCGCAGAGCGAGAGCGAGAGAGAGAAAGAGAGAAAGAGAGAAAGAGAAAGGGAGAGAGACGAAGAGAGTGAATAAAAAAAAAAGAATAAGAAATTTGGCGGGAAAAAAGGTAGAAGGGGTTGCACATGCATGGGAGGTTTTTAGGGAGAGTACAGCCAGTATAGCAATTGAATCAGCCTGTAAACAATACAAAAGTACCGTGGTAATATTTCCTAGGCTATATGTGCATATACAAACTCTTACTCAATACAACAACAACAAATGCGACAAACAACAACAACAACGACAACAACAACAACAATAAAACGGACTTCAAGCGGAAAGGAACGTGCAGGATCAGAATGAACAGTCGAATGGAATGAGTTGAATGAATCCCAGTTCGGAATCAGATTCCTTTTGGTGTGCGCGTATATCTGCGCGTGTGTGCGTGCGTGTGTGTGAAAGAGTAAGCGAGAGAGAGAGAAACTGTCAATCATGCGCCTTCTTTATAAGTGTAAAGTGGATATGCGTGCCATCTTCTTTGGTATGAGTGCAATTGATTGCATATAGATGAACACGTATGTCAATGGCATGGCACCTATTGAATCAGTGTGTTTGCGAACACAACCACCTTCGCCCACTCATTCATTCATTCATTCATTCATTGACATATCCATTGATAAACGACTTCATTTCATACGTCCACACATTGGGACATACACACACGAAACACATCCACAATGCAAAGTCAGGTGTTGTAGTGCGCATGGTCCTTGATATCGCCGGTGTCTCTTTTCTCACTCTTTGTTTCTTTGCCGCAATTTGCGGAGAAAACATAATAATAAAAACATTACAAAACTGGCGCTGTGGACATATATTGATAGAGAGGGCGTAGAAAATGACTCGAGGGCACGATAGCCCCTCCCCCTCCTCCCCTCCTTGACGCCTAGCTGGTTCAAATGACCAAATAGCAACGTGCCGAATGGCATGACATCGGCAACAGCATACACATAAAGAAACACAAATAAAAATGGCGGGAAAAACAACAACAATAATAACAACAACAAAAGAAACGACAACGCTGCAGCATGGAATTCAACAAAAGGGAAAAAAAAAAAAACCAACAGCGAAAGCTAGGATTGCACTTGCATTGGATAATCTGCAGAGTAACTCCGCAAAAGGAGCAACATCCAGCGTGTAACAAAGTGTAACAAACACCACAGGATGGCGATAGTGGTGGCAGTGGTGATTATTTACTGAAAATTGCTTGTCATGGTAGTGCAAAGAAATAGTTATTGGGGTGGTACCACACCACTGTGGCACACAACGTGGCCAGCATCATGTACCTGATGTGAAAGAATAATCGATGTGAACAGGCGTCATCATTCCAATCTGAGGACCATGTACCCATGCCACGATGCTACCGTGGAAACGCTTATAGTTACCACTGGCCAAAAAAAAAGTTTTATGATTGATCAGGCGGTAGGAAGTATGTGTATACAACAAAAACATATATCCGCAAACAAGTACATACATCCATTCAGCGATGGAATATGGTTAATGGCATCACGGAGAGTGGCAAACGGCTTGCCGTCCTATACCACACCATCGTGGGTCGAGACCGTCAACAATAAAACCGATCCGCGATTGTTTTTGAATAGTCGACCTTAACTCAGTTAAAAGACATTAGGTCGTGATGCGTGGTACTCGATCCATTTGCCAGGAATCCACCCGGTCTCATCGGCCACTTTGCACTCAGTATCCAGATCCAGAAGGGAAAAAAAGCGCGGCAAAAGAAATCTTTTAGTCATATAAAAGATAAATGGTACCTGGTTGGCCGTTCATTTGTCGAGATTCAGAAAATGTTTTTCCTCCGCCCTCCATAGGCTTCCTTTCTAGTCACTGTCCCTGAGGCAATAGAAAGTAAGAAAGTAAGGGGTCTGGACATGCTTCGTCACCCGCCTGAAGAATGGGAAGGTGACACTTCATCACTAAAGTGCTTCAAACCTCTTGTGATCTTGCAATTGATAGGCGCCCATCTCAACTAACCCGGCCAACGGAAGAAATATTTGTTTTCCTCCACGGAAAGTTCAGGTCGACAATCATTTTTTTTTTTTTTTTAATATTTTATCCTAGTTAACATGGCACCATGCCTCAGAAAAAAGCTTGCTTACGAGCGAAAGAATGCATTGAGTATACGATGCTTATCGAATAACTCTGCATACACAAATATAGTAGAGTATATCAAAGCGGCATCCAAAAAAAAATGGAATCGTGATGTAGCACATGGCTTCAGCCCGTTCCAGGACTTGGGCCATGCTTTCGTCCACGATGCTCAAATGCTCACCCCATCCATGCATGGGACAGGAACGAAAGAAAAATTGCCAATGCTCCAAAGGAAAATTTTGAACACAGCTTTGACTAAAGAGTTTAAGCACGAGAGCAAGGTTGCGTCGTCGTGCAGCATGCAGGCACAACGGACAAAAACAAACACGCACGAAGTAAGGAAAAAAAAAAAGCGAACGCTAGCTTCGATCGATTGGGCTAGGTGCATGCTGGCAAAACACGGACATTATTGATATCGTCATCAGGCATTGAGTCAAACTACAAGAATGCGCTATTGCTCTATTGTCTATGGTCTATCTGTGAATTTGATTGTTCACTTTTCTACTGCAAACTCTGTGACCAGCTTCAAAAACTCTTCTGGCTTCTCGGCATGGACTATTGTAGTGTCAATAAACATGTCCAAAAAAAAAGAGAGGGAATGAGATGGTTGCATGCTATTTTCCAGCTATTTTTTTTTCCTTTCATGCATCGTTCCCGCAAAATCACTCTGTCACGGTATGCCACCTACCCCAATGCCCTGTTTCCAGTTCCGCGATCCTCGAGTTTGGGAAGAATGTTCTGATGAGATCCTCATCCTTCTTCTGAATGTACTTGGATTTGGTGCCCTTGATAACCAACGTCTTGCCCTCATATCGGTCCTGTCCAGGCTTGAAATCAATATGTCCCAGCGTCTCGAGTGACTTGCCCAGGGTCTCGATCGGGATGCGGAAACTGTATCCATCCCCTGCGGCATTCCTCTTCAGATTGGTAAGTAAGAATTGGCGCACTCCCAAATCCTATATCGACAGAGGATGAATGAAAAAGAGTCAGTGTAAAAAATAAAATAAAAGTGCGAAGGCAATGATTGCTACTTACAGAGACATAGTTCTTCATGATGGCATCGGCCTCGCTCTGCTTCTTGACATTTGCTTTTTGGATCTCCTTCATGACCTCGACATATTTGGCAAACTCGGACGACAGCGTTACCTGGACAGGAGCAATATCGACGATGATAAGGCGGTCCAGATCTACATGCCTCAATGCCATGTTCATTGCCACCCTGCCGCCCCTATTGTGTCATTGCAGTTAAAGAGTGGATGAGGCGATTAGTTTTTGAGTATAGCACAAACATTTGTCCCTAATTCGCCATTGTTGCAAGGAAGATAATCGAGAAGGGCTGTCCAGCGCATTCTGTGTCGTGCTTCCTCCTTGCTCTGATCCTATTGACTTTCTGATCTGGACTGCGCTGTTGCCACCAAAAAAAAAAAAAAAAAAAATCTCCTGTGCTCCGTCCTATGTTTCTGATTCATTTATTCCTGTGGGATAAACCAGAGCCGCGCGTAACTGTTGTTGCCGTTCTTACATTGAATGTCCAATAACGATGGGCTTTTCCAGATTCCGTTCCTTCAAAAAGTGAGTGACATCGTTGGCCATGTTCGCATAGTCGTGCTCGCTCGAGTGACCACTTTCTCCATGATTGCGAAGATCCTAAGGCGGATATTAGGTTAGATTGTTGTTTAAGCAGAAGAAAAAAATGTGTTAATGGCCAATTGCATGCATTGAGATACCGGGTATGAAGCCGATCTGCTGCTACTCGGATCAATTGATATAGTTCACGATTTGAAGGGCCATTCCGGCACAAAAAGCGGGGAGGGTGTATACAGATCGGATTGAATTCATTTGTCGAAGCACTCGACTTGATCATGTGTTGTAGGAATGTCGCCGGCCATGATGATCTATTACTGCTGTTGCGGGTGTTGTAGTTGTTGCTACTACTGCTGCTACTACTGCTACCATGGCGCCATGGTTGCCGTCGTCGTGGAGGAATAGTAGTGCTCCTCATTGTTGCCTTTTTATGGTGTGACAAAGCTGTGTGTAATAAGATTACCAGTGCATAGACTTCGGTATTGAGACGGGAGGCCATGGCCTTAGAGAGAGCCTTCCAGTTCTGTTTCGATCCAAAGAGACCATGGAGGATGACGATGGGCTGGGAGCGTGCCTGTTGCTGGGGAGATGGCCTTGGGACTTCAGAAAAGGCAAGTGTGACAGGGGTGAGATGTGAAGCGGAAGTGGATATGGGTCTGACAGCCCATTGCGCACGGACGAGCCCCTGGCTCTGGTGGGAGAGAAGTTGGAAGAGTGGAGAGGCAGCGATGGTCGATCTTGAGAACATGGCTGGGAATAGAAAAAAAGGGGATGGGGGTGGGGAAGAAGAAGGTCGGTTGTGAACGTGGGAGAAAGGGAACGAAATGATTTGGCTTCCGCACTTGACATACCCCCAGCAACAGATTTGAAACAAAGCCACGCATTGGAGGACATGCATGCTCTATTCGGGAAACAACACCCGCTGGTGTGTTCCAGCAGATCGAGCGTGGCAAAGTAAAAGAGGGGATGTCCGTGGGTGTGTGCCGTGGATAAGAAACGCGACGTATGTAAAAAGGGGATCGCGAAAAAATGTGATCTGCGGGTATAGACTGGCGAGGTTTTTCGATGAGATCCCGGAATTGATTAGTCAGACCCTTCTTCTGAATTCTTTTTTTTTCCTCCAAGGGCACACATATAAAAACCTTTTTCTTCTTTCATTCCAATGGGTCAATCATCCTCATCACTCTCTCCCGAAATGGCTGCCAATCTCAAGACCGAAGTCGACAATATCATCGGTAAGCGACCCAGAGAGATATGTCCACGCCCGCTCGCTCATAGTATCATACTCACACATGCTATTGAGCCTCCACTTACCACTTACATATAATTTTTTTTACGCCGTCTGCATGCTGAACTAGCCAACAACGCCGTTGTTGTTTTCTCCAAGACCCACTGCCCCTACTGCACTAAGGCCAAGGCCTTGCTTGAGAAGCACGGTGTCAAGGCTTATATCATTGAGCTCGACAACGCTGACAATGGTGCTGCCATTCAAGCCTACCTCCAGGAGCTGACCGGCCAGCGTACCGTCCCCAACATTTTTATCAACCAGAAGCACATTGGAGGCTGCGATAATCTCTACGCGTTGGAAAAGTCGGGTGAGCTTAAGACCTTGCTCGCCAAGATCTAAAGCTGCAAGACTGCAAATTCTCCATTGTTGCCTGATAAGGTGCTCCCCTGTAGATACTTCATCTGTTGCTTCAGCGCTTAGCAATACAAATGAACACCTTCCATGCTCTCTCGAATGCTCCTGTGTCTGTGTGTGTGCATACGTTGTGTTTTTTTTTCGAAAATTGACTGATGTCACATCATCATTGCGCGATCCTTTAATTAGCCACTATGTCATATATGAATTGCAGGCAATTGAGGCCATTAGAAGTAACTAAGAGACTCTCTCCGCCCCATGACATCATTTCGACAGCGGTGAAGGCGAAGCAAACGTTTAACAGATTTGATCTACAATTGTTCTCATCTGGAAACGAACTGCGTCGTTCTAGTACCGAGTCAAAGTATTCAACAAGATTGAGGTCGTACTGCGAGGAGCAGACGCCAGGAAAAGGAATGTATTGAAGAGCTGAAAGGACACGTGAGACAAATGGGGGAGAACCAGGACGTTTGCAGCGTTGAACGTGGTTATGAAGTGATCTGTCAAGAGTTATTCACACCTGGGCCTTTGACCTGGTATCCCGGCAGAAACAGTTTCGGGAATATGTCTGCAGCAGCCTGTGCCTTGATTGTCGAGGTGTCGAGGTGGCTCCACGATAAGGATCTGTATGACGTTCAGATCTCGGGTCGGAGCAAAAAAAAAGAAAGAAAGTGAAAGTTCCATACCACAACAAGAGATGGCGCATAGAAGCCGATCGGGGAGCATCTGGATGCTGTTGTTGCTTGTTTAGAGTTATGGGGGTTGTTCCAAGAAGTGGGCAACCAAAACAAGTAAAATGCAATAAGAACGTTGCGAAAAAGAGAACGAGAGCATTTTGAGATTTAGGGTGATGAGAGCAAAAGGATGGTGTTGCAGCCTTGGGGAGATGGGTTGGAGGGGATTGAGGTGGTGATGAACGAATGAAGGAGAGATAGTCTGCGGTTCCTTTGGGGCTGAAAGAGAAGGGTGGTTGTCCGAGTGGGAGGGAGTGGTCGTGGGGATGCGGGTGAGGACGAGGGGGAAATGGAATGGAGGGCGATATGAGCGAACGAACGGATGAAACGAACGAGTGGGAAACAGGTGGAAGGGGAGGGGGGAGACAAATTGCATTATTGGGGGTTTTGTTGAGCCGACAGCTGCCCAAGGGACAAACTGACAGTGGACAGTGGACAATTGACCATGGACCATGGACCATTGACCATCAATTGGCGCGTTTTTATTTCATTTTTTCGTGTTTTTCTTAAATCTCTTTTTTTTTTCCCCCTATGATGGGTAGTGTGCCCTTTTACCCTTTTCTCTTTTTCCTTCTCTTCCCTTTCCCTTGTCCGTCCGCCATTCACACGGCCAACACCACACCACCACTACTTATTGCTATCGCTGCTGCTGCTGCTGCTGCTGCTACTGTTACGCTACTAACTGCATCATATTTCATACTTCATATTTCACCATATTTCATTATTTCATTCGCCATACCTCATGTCCTCATAACCAAATCCATACACAGGCAACTTCATAACACTAGCGCTCCCCAGTCGCAATCTCCATTCTCCTCTTAACGACATCACCAATCCCAACAACTGCAGCTACAACACATTCCCATCCCTTGTCTTCCTTCCTCTCGCTCTTCCCATCACCCTATGGCCACTGTCGCTTTCCGTTGTCTGTTATTTATCACCAGGAATCCGAACCACCACCACATCATCCCATCCACCTCGCTTTGCTCTGTCCCTGTCTCTGTCTCTATCCCTGTCCCTGTCTCTGTCTCTGTCTCTCTTCTGCTGCACCGTCCCATTCTCGCCCTTTGCTCAACCTTGCCTGCCCTGTGTCATCAACTACATTCGCAACAACAGCAACAGCAACAACAACAACAACAACAACAACAACAACAACAACAACAACAACAACAACAACAACAACAACAACAACAACAACAACAACAACAACAACAACAACAACATCAACAGTAAAAACAACAGCGCCTCTCGCGGGTTCTCTCTCGACTTGATTTCTGTCGGACAGGGCCATGGCTCAACAAAAGGTGTCCTTCAAGAAATGGTGGAAGAACATAACAGGGACCAAGGCTGTGAGAGGTAAGCATCAACATCCCTCGCCACCTTTGACATTTCTCTGACAAGACACTGAACACAGGACGCGCTTAAGTAACACAGGACAGATGGACTGCGGCTGGAGCCAAGACCTATTTGACACAGTCTGGGCAGATTGAAACTAGTGTGTGCAGTGGGCATTTTATTATTGCTATTTATTTCCTTTGCCAAGAGGCAGTGAACTGGTGGCACTGCTCTCTCCCGCGCCCTGGAGCGTGAATTGGTGGCTGTATGCGCCCAGAGCACAGTTGTGGATACAAATGTGCTGCACTGCCATAGACAGCATACTGTATGTACCCAGCCCTGAGGGGACGAGGGACACTTGAACTCGATTACCAGGAAATATACACAGTACATAGGGACTGGGCTGCACCGCGTTCGGACTGCCCACGTTTGTCTCAGACTACTTTAAAATAAGCAACAAAGATCCCTGGATTCAAGGAGCAGTAGCAACACTACAGACGTCCGAGGGAATAGCACATCAGTGGACCCCGAGTGGAACGTAGATATGGAAAGCTCGGTGGACACCAAATAGCAGGGGGAGTGGAGGGAGGGGCAGGGCGCTGACTAGAAAAAAAAAGGGAAGTTCAGGAAAAGGAGTGCTTGGGACCCTTAGTTGCCCCTGGGGGTGGTTGAACGCCAACAATACCAAACGACAATAGCATGGACCATACTATCGCAACAAACAGCACAATGAACAACCTGCTGTTACTGTGCCTTGCCTACAGAAGCGATCGATCGATCGATCTTCATCTGTCCTCTCCCAAGTCCCAGTCCTATCCCGTCTTCCTTGCGTCTAACTCCACTAATTTGGTCCACCCTTTGGTGCTTTTAGGCCTCTTTCATATCGACCTTGTCGACTCGATCGTATACGCAGGCGTCCCGGTCCACTACACAGTCAATGGTCAAAGGCGGTGCCAAGGCTATATTCCAACCATTGTCTCAAAATGCGGATGGCTTTTAAAAGAGCAAGGTGAGTCTCCCTAGCTATAGACTTCCATAAGGACGTGCATACATTATCCGTCGATCCTGAAGATCACGCGTTAACCACGAACGCGCTTTTTTTATATACCGTCATAGCCACGAAAACAAAAGGCATTTTTCGCGTCAGTGGCTCTGCTAAGCGTGTCGCAGAGCTGCAGCTCATCTTTGATACCCCACCAAAATACGGAAGCCAACTGGACTGGACGGGCTACACAATCCACGATGCCTCCAATGTCCTTCGGAGGTATCTCAACCACTTGCCGGACCCAGTCATTCCTCTCGAGTTTTATGAAAAGTTTCGTGATGTTCATCGTATGTGTCGTCTTTCTTGCGATAAGAATATCTATCTGGCTATTGTTTCGGTCCAACAACAGGGAACTCATGTATTCATCTAATCTATAGGGAACTTGACAAACGACGAGGAAAAGATTGCGGCCTACCAGGAATTGATCAGCAAACTACCACCACCACACTCTTGTCTACTTATGTATCTCCTAGATCTACTGGCGCTGTTCGCTCACCACAGCGAGGAAAACTTGATGGATTCAAAAAACCTTGCTTCTGTTTTTCAACCTGGCGTGATCTCGCATCCCAACCACGCCATGTCACCTGGGGAATATATGACTTCAGCTGCAGTGCTTAAGTTTCTTATCGACTACCAGAGCAGCTTCACGATGCCTACCCCGAATATCGACGAAGAAGATGAGGAGATGGCTAATTTTGGACTCATGAACCACCCTCCTCAGAATCAGTTACCGACGCAAACCAATATGAACCTCGGCTATGTGAGCGCATCGGATCATGAGCGAATCCATAGTTCGGCTGACCGTGGTATCAGCTTTGAAGCGGACGATGCTGTGCACATCCTGAACTCTGGCGTCAGACGACAGCTTTCGCTTCACAAACCTATTATCCCACATTCGACCCTACCGGGTAATCGTCCGCAGAGGAGCAAATCGACCAATTCCAGTACCAGCAGTCACCACAGTAACCCCTCCGGTCTATTTTCATCATCTCTCATTCCAAGGCGACGGTCCAACAGGAACTCGAAGACGGGATCTAAAATCTTCAATGGAACAGGACTGGAGGGCGTTGAGCAGGAGCAAGGTACCATTCGGATCGTAAACCTTATCGTTATTGTTGCAATCAGATAAGAACCACGGCGAGGTACTAAACGCGTTTGATGATCAATGCTTGTCATAGATCTATCTGACATCCCTGAAAACACACAGACTGCCGAGGAAAAGTCACAGCAATTGACGCCACGGAGCTCAATGATCCGCAAAGCGGTTGCATCGCCAGTGATAGGATCCGACGACACCAGCCGGGAGTTTCCTTCATATTTTACTCGTCGAAAGCAACTCAAAGCGGAAGGACCCCATCGGGAACCATCCGTCTTTTATCAAACGATCGAGATTCAGTTTCCAGCACCGATTGGTACGGATAATCCTATGCCGTTTAAGTCGACAACGTCAATGTCGCCTACAGCATCCTCGTCGTTGCCGCCAATCCTTCCAAGAGGTGATCGCAGCACCCAGAATACGAGCAACTTGTCAGGAAGGGGAGGGCCCACGAGGACTCCATCAGGGCCAACAGTCGCACATGCACCCCCATTGCGACAGCGTGACAGCTATTCCTCTCCTCAGATTGTCTCAAATAGACCTAATCTAGGACAAAAACGAGTTTCTGGCTCGGGGCAAAGTCTCCAGGCTCAAGCAGCGGCGTACAACACAACGGCAGCTCGGCGTCCCACTAACCCTGGCATGCCTATTCTGAGAGCGAAGAGTAATCCTGGAGATCTCTCGGGCGCTGGAATGAAGGATCGGCCCTATGGCTTATCCAGTTCACACAGCGCAGGCGGCAGCCAGGCTATTGAAAAGTTCATGGGTTTGTTCACTGGAAAGCACCGGGATCATGATTCTTCATCATCGAAGGACAGCGACAGCAAGGATGGCAAGAAGGATAAGAAAAGAGATTCTTTTACGGACAAGCAGAGGAAGTACAAGAGTCAGGAAGTGAATCCCAGTCATCTACAGGGATTTGCATCGTCTGGACGGAAGGGCGCACCCGTTCACGGCACCATCAACGAGAACGAAGAAAGGCCATACGCGCAACCTCCGCCACCGCGGCCCATGCAGCAATCAGGAACAGCGCCCCAGAGGCCACCGCCACCACCTCCAGAGGGCTCCTTGATGGATCTTCTTGATCCTCCCCAGCGGATCGGTTATCATTCTGGACAGTCGACCCCTTCAGGAGGCTCCCGCTCCAACTCGCCTGCTCGTGCACCTTCAGCGTCGAGACATCCTCTCCCGGCCAACACATCGTTCACCTCGACATCGTCAGCAAGGTCGACATCGAGCGGCGATCGACTATACCACGGAAGAGGGTTGCCGTCCCACGGCAGCTCAAGCTCACTGGAGATGCTGAACCCAGGACTGCGTCCGGAGGACGAACACTATGCCCGCAAACGATCCCCACGACCTGGTCACTCGCCTCAGGTTGATTCTCACGGACACGTACTTTATGACAATCATCTGTATCATCAACAGCAACATAAGCAGCACTTAGCATCCCATCCACACTCACGTCAACAGCACCAGCAGCAGCACGGGGCGCACAGCCCCCATCCCGGATACGAGTACGGAGGCAACAACACTGCGGGTTATTTTCAACCGCCACAGATGTCCTCGCCTGCGCTCTCTCCAAGGAGCAGACAGGGCTCTTTCGGGTCGGTCGAAACATACGATTCAAATGCACCGACACCCACACCAAAATCCAAAGACCGCAAGCTCCCACGAGAAGGATCCTCGCCCTCGATCCTTAGGGATCATCACAACGGCACACCCTCAAAAGAGCGGAGTAATTCTTCAAAAACCTCTTCGCCGCATCACTCACCCGCGCTTGGACCACTTTCCAGAGCTGCATCAAATCAGGGCGGATATGGATATACGCAGCAGCAGCAGCAGCAGCAGCATGGATCGTCTCCTCTGGCAGAGGGATACGGCGCCACGAGTTATGGTAGCCTATCACCTTCGAGTCGTGCAAGGACCCGTGCACAGAGTCGGGATGAGCAGCATCTGCTACATCGCCAAGAGAGCGGTAGTATCGCTCATGCCCATGCTGCACCGAGACCACCATACTATGAGCGGGAAAGGAGTCGGTCAGGCACTGGACTTACCATCTCAACGATGACTTCTGGGTTGGTATTGGCATCAGCTCCGGTATCGGCGCATTCAAGTCCTGCGATGCCGCCTGTACCGACGACATCGTCGCTGTCGTCAGTGACTCATCACCACAATAGTAATAATAGCAGCGTGTCCCTGGCTTCGACATCTTCGACAGCGTCGAGGTCACTGGGACCCGGTCGGTATGCGGCTCCTCCTCCTTCTGGATAAACGTGAGCTTCCTTTTATGATATCCAACGTTATTACAGATATATCTTACGAACATTATTCAATTTTCATCTCATAAAGAAGACAAGAAAAACAAGCTTCAGCTCCACCTGTCTCTTGCCAGTTTGTGTGTAAATCACATGTCATTACCAGCGCAGAAGCATGGTGTGCATAAATCCAACGCCAGCGAGGTAGTTTATTCAGGTTATCACTTGCGGACAAGGTGCAAAAAAAAAAAAAAAAAAAAAAAAGACTCGCTATTCCCATGGATTATCAAAGACTTCCTGAGCCGAAACATCCTTATCGAGAGCATCCTTAGGCATCTGCATAATCGCCAGCACTTTATCCGTGCTCTGGCTTGCCAGCGACGTTGGTCCCAGGAAATCCGGATCCTGCACCGCCGCCTCAACCGCATCCAATACATTCCAGTTCCTTGCTGTCAGACTCGAGACATTACTGACAGGCGGTGACCTCGACATGGGTTCTTGCGCTGGCGCTACACGCGAAGATCCTGTATTGCTGCTGCCACCGCGCTTGCTGGATCCCAGCGACGAAAACACGTCGTCAAAACCGCCAATGTCATCCTCCAGCGATGGTATGGGTATTCTTGAAATAGAGCGAGTCGTCGTCGTCGTCGTCGTACTCGTAGTGGTGATTGCCGTCGCGTCCGCGCCGGCAGTACCAATGGCAGTCATAGTCGACGTAAACGCGGCCTCCGGTGCAAAACCGGGACCGGCGTCCGATTGGGTATAGTCGATCCTGGGATTTTCCCTGGCCAGCTTTGTCTGCTCCAGCGAATCCGCAAGCGTGTTCATCCATGGATTCGAACTGTCCGCCACATCCTCTCCTAGCGAAAATCCAGAAAGCGATTTGGCCTGCCCCACTGTCCCTGCGCCGACTCCAGATTTGATGACAGGTAACGTTATGGTCGATATTGTTGTGGCTGTGAATGTCTCATCCATGGGACTAGTGGAAGAGGAAGCCGCTGCCGTTCGAGAACTGCTGAATCCAGAGTCTAAGAAGCTGGATGATTGAAGGGTGCTGGTCGAGATGGTAGGCTGAGCTGGCTCAGCCGTGAACAAAAGATCCTTTGCAAACGCCTCTGCTGCATCATCCATAATAGCTACATTCACGGGTATCCTCGATCGCGAGACCGGTGGTGGAGACATATAGTCGTTTTCTCGCTCGAACCCGCTTTTACTCATAGGCGGCGGAGGGACAATGGCGGCCGGTGAGGACGTCCGAGAGATAGATTGAAATGTTTCGATCGATTGGGACGATATGCTCGATGGTGATGATGCCGATGGCGTGGGCTGAGATGGAGATTGAGATCGATAGGTCAAAGGGTTGAAAATTGGATCTGCTGCCGACGGTGTCGTCGCCTCAGATTGCTTGGATGGTTGGTCCACGCTCGTGGTCTTCCTTGCAGTGGCTGCCGAGCGTGCTGAAGATAACAGTGCTGGTCCACTTGAGACCGTCGCCGAGGGTTTCACGTTTGCATTCCTGAGCGTGCTCGCTTGCGCGTCCTCAGCTGTCTCCTGACTTTGCGCACTCCTGCTGCTCTTGACACTCTCATGGCTCTTGATACTCGCCTGGCTGTTAGTACGCGTCAGAGGCGCCGTCGATAGAGGCGACCTGATGGAGAGGATATCATCATCTTTACCCTGTAATTTGCTGTTATCCTCGAGCGGTCCCCCTAATGGTGAGGCGCCAGTGTCCAATGTCGTGGCGGTTACAATACGGACCCCAAGAGGCGGTGTGGACACTCGAGAGGATTGCTGTGAGGACGACGCAGTTCCAGATTGATTATTCCTGGATAATGGAGGCGTGGATGTTCTCCTGGCTGATGAACTAGTTGAAGTGCCTTCTCCAAACAACAGGTCTCGTTTCGCGGCCGACAATGTTGCAGAAGCTGGGGCTGCAGAGTCGAACAGGGACGATCCGGTGTCACCAGCTAGCGAGGAGAAGAGTGCATGGTGCTGTACGCGGGAGGAACTGCGAGAGTTAGGACCCGACCCTGGAGGAGAGCCTCGGGAAGATGCTGCTGCTGTTGCTGAAGATGCAGAGGTAGTCGAAGAAGGGGGTGAGAGTGTAGCCTTGACTGTAGTCGCTCCTCCGCGTGTCGTGGTAGTGGTTGCGGTAACAGGTGGGAGCAGTGCAGCTAAGGGATCCCTGTAGAGATCTCCCGTTCCTGAAAGGCGACTCTGGTTGCTTGACGTCGAGGAGCTATCTGTGGATGTTGAGAAGGAAGGTTGTCATTAGCAACTGGGTCCACGCAGAGCGAGATTCAAGCTGTAGCCAAGCCAGGTGGAAGGAAGGTGTCCGATGTCTCTTCTTCTTACCGCTGGTGTCACCAAAGAGATGGCCGAACTTTGAGCTGGATACACCCTTGCGCGACATCTGGTCCGTGGAGTGATGGTGAGTCGATTTGATGCTGGAAAAGAGGGAGTGGAGGAAGGAATGAAGGAGGTGGTTAGAGTAATGGAGCGATTGGGAAATAAGGAGGGCGGAGCTCTCCTGAGGTTGATGTTCACTCTTCTCTAATTACAAGGTAACTCCTTTTACAACTGCAAACCTCTTCTTCGCATACTTTCTTTAAATGCAGAGTAGCGTGCAAATAACGAGAACGAACAATATTTTGGTGGCAAAATAGGAAAAATACGATAAGTAGCGTGTTCTTTTCTCTCTCCTTTCCCATCTTCAACCCAACCCACCTTTGCTACTCACATCGCCCATTTCCATTCAACCAACATGGAGCACGCTCAGCAAGAACACCAGGTCGAGATGGAGGAGGAAGAGGAGGATACCTATGGCAGCCATTTGCTCAGTAAGATTCATTCACAGTTTTCTCTCCTCTGAATGTGTGTACACAGGGACATTCTCGTTTGACGCCTTTGACCGATCGTTTTCCATTCACCTATCCTTATACTATAGCCGAGAAACTGGAGGTATGTATCTATACATCTGCCAACAGGGATCAAAGAATGCTACTTCGACTGGGAGGAACTCTTATTAACGGACTCTTACGGTGCACATTCTTTGGCTCTCCTGATTCGTCATTAGGAATGCGGCATTCAAACAGCGGACATCAAGAAGCTGAAGGACGCAGGCTATTACACCGTCGAATCGATCGCATTCACTCCAAAGAAGACCCTACTTACCATCAAGGGTATCTCGGAGGCCAAAGCCGAAAAGATTATCACAGAAGGTAACCAGTCTTCGCAATGCACGACCTCGGTGTTCACTTCCAGGGTTCTGACGTATGTCGAATGTCAATCCTTCCGAATATAGCATCCCGTCTTGTCCCTATGGGATTCACAACGGCAACAGAGTTTCATGAGAGAAGAAGTACCATGTTGCAGATTACGACCGGCTCGGGAGAACTGGACAAGCTGTTGGGTGGAGGCATCGAGACTGGCGCTATCACAGAGTTATTTGGCGAGTTTAGGACGGGAAAGAGTCAGCTTTGTCATATGCTGGCAGTTACTTGCCAGGTAAGGGTCAAGGGAGGTCTCCCGTAACTTGAATTTGTCCGTCCGGCATATGGGACATCAGTTTGACGCTTTACTTTATTGGTCATATAGCTACCAACGGCAATGAATGGTGGCGAGGGAAAGTGCCTTTACATCGACACCGAGGGAACATTCCGTCCCGAACGTCTACTCTCGATCTCCGAGAGGTAATTGTTCAACTACTGCGGTCAATGTTTATTGTAAACTGGCAAGGTGCGAAGGATTTTGTTGTTTTAACGAAGGTACTTTTTTCTGTCCGCTCTACGATGAACTAGATACAATCTCAATGGTGAAGAAGTCCTGGACAATGTGGCATATGCCCGAGCATACAACACAGACCATCAGATGAACTTGCTGGTCCAGGCGGCAGCCATGATGTCGGAGTCTCGATTCGCCTTGTTGATTGTTGATAGTGCAACGTCCTTGTACCGTACGGATTTCTCAGGACGCGGTGAGCTCTCTGCCAGACAGATGCACATGGCGCGCTTTTTGAGGAACCTTCAGCGCCTTGCTGACGAGGTACTTGATGTTCTCAAAACAGGACTTGGCGAATTTGATTCTGTTACAGGAAGATCAACTACTCATTGCGACTTGTTTCTACCTCATGATATGTATAGTTCGGTGTCGCTGTTGTTATCACGAACCAGGTCGTCGCTCAAGTCGATGGCATGGCCATGTTCAATGCAGAGAGCAAGAAACCTATCGGAGGAAATATTATGGCGCATTCTTCAACAACGAGGTATGCGACAACGTATTAGTCCCATCACATCTCTTTTATCGCTCTTTTGAATCTGATAGTGACTGATCATCGATCGTTTTGTAAACTAGATTGTCGCTTCGCAAGGCGAGAGGAGAGAACCGTGTGTGCAAGATCTACGATTCTCCATGCCTCCCCGAGTCCGAAGCCCAGTTCTCGATCGGCCCACACGGTATCGCAGATGCCACCGAAGCGTAATCTTTGGATCTCCATCACCTCCTATTTGTAACTTTTCACTTCACAGTCTCTGTATTAATATTTTCAAACAAATAAAACAAAAGATCCCTGGACTACTGTCACTTTCCTTTACATGGTGTCTTTTATTTGAAGGTACAATTGCTATCATCTTTGCAATGTGGGAATAGAGTGTTTACTTTTACTGACTTTTCTTGTATGCCAGCGAGTCGTCCTTGCCGCTTTGTCTATCACCATAAGGCGATAACCACAATGTCGACATTTCCTCATCCAGCCTAACCGGCCCGCTCGGCTGTTCCAATGACCACGTTCAATAGTCCTCAATCCAGTACTCAGCCTCATACGCCTCGACAAGGTTCTTGTCGTCCTTGTGCTTGCGCTGCCAGTCGCCAAATCCACCGCGCAGGATCTTAATGCTGCTGCTGTCACCACCTCGTTCAGTAACGGCCTCAGACCAACGCGCGGCTGCTTTGGGTCCACGAATCTGTGATAGTGCGCAGTGGAAGAAAAGCTGCGGCACATCCGCGTACTGTCTAACCAAGGCTGGGAGTTGGTCCGGGAGCTGTTTGGATGGGATATTGACACTTCCGGGGATGTGGCCACCCTATAATACGTGTTGAATGAAGGATATTAGAAATGCGCTACAAGGAGATTTTTTTTCTGGAGTCGAGGAATGAACGAAACGAAAACCTTACCACGCGATCCTCATCGCGAACATCAATGACGAGGTAATCCTTTCCAGGCACCTTAGTCTTGTCCTCGATAAGGGCCTTGAGGACCTCAGAGTCGACGAAAGCAGGCAGTGGAGGCGTTGACATGGTTGTGTCGTGTTCTTTGTGCGGTTGAGTTGGGTTTAGGAACGAGGGCTGGCGAGATTTATATCGCCATATCTAATTAAAATTTTATATTCGCTTTCAACTTAGCATAATTCCCGCTCTTCCTTTGAGCCCCCCGTGGCGTCGTTTTTGGATGTCAGGGGATTGGGGATGGCTCCAGTAATTGCTGACTGGCGATGATGGTGATGTTTATGGCAATAAAAGCGGGGAGTAACTTGGGGGAAAGGCGCGAGACAGGCACGGTTGGGCTCCATGAGGGCCGACAGCCCTGCGAGTTCTGGAGGTTGATAACATCTCCACATCGAAACCACGGGCAACCCAGACTAATGCGTTTGATTGTGTCATGGACACCGATGGTCTTGATCTTGTCCTCACGACGTGGCGGGATTTCAAGCGACCTGGTGAAAGTAAAGACGCGTGTTTTTTGAATGACTGATAGCCATGCGGTACCTTCTATACCCCTTTCGTATCCTCCTATCGCCCCTCTTCGAGCGACCTCCCCTGCTGGTAGGGCATGTCGCTTCTCAGTCCCCGTCTTCGGGCCGCAGTCGACGTGCCAGACGTCGTTCGAATCTAGTTAGAAAGAAATGTGGTAGTGATTATGATAGTCCGTGTATCATCCATCCATATGGAATCTTGAAATACAGGCGCCGTTGTAGCTGCTTGCACGATAGAGGATTCTGATGTTAACGGCACTGTAGCGATTTCTGGCCAGAAGCCGCGATACCAATATAATTATCCCTCCCCCCTCACCTCTGTGCTGACCACATTCAAAACTCAAAGTGTGTCCTAAAACGAACTTACTCTTATGCTCTACGCGTGCATGCTATCATACGTAGTTTAGCCTACACGCGTTTTGTTTAAGATCCCTGCATATGTAACTCTTTTTTACAGACTGGGGTGAGCTCGGACGTCTGAAGAGTACCACGGACACCTTTCCAGGCGTCATGGGCCGTATCGATTTCCTTGGTGGTTTTTGCCCTCAGCGAATTCTCTCATTTGATTATCTCCTGGTACGCTGTTTGGACATTGTTGCCTCCTTGTTGCTTCAGGCGTCTGGCCCGCTCCTTGACTATCCTTCGCGTGCAAGAGATGTTGTCCCATCTGGCGCATACTCGCCTTGTTGGACTTGGGCAACTCCATAGCCTGAGCAGCCAACATCCATGAGTAAGAAGGCGGAGAAGTTCTCATGATAGCGGCATCTCCCTCCTCCAGAGACTCGTCGATCCCTCAATATCGACATACTCTATGAGTGGAGGTAGTCACTGATACAAGGACTGACCGCCATCTCCTAGCGCGCGTGCACAATCATTTAGTTCCGCAGATATCCTGCTTCTTCCACTGCTCTGGGCCCTCAAGGATCCATCTACTAGTCAATGCAGCCGACCATATCGAATAGGAGTGTGAACCTTGACTGTTCTCATAGTGGGACAGCGCTGTTCGCGTTGCATGGGCCAGACAACGGCTACATTTATTATATGAAGCACAAGATGCCATAGTGCTATGGGACGTCATTGACAGCATGAGAATGGATGCGTCACTCCTTGCGAGCATACCTGCATACGTCTGTGACACCACTCCTTTTATCAGCACCACCAACTTTTTTGTATCTGCAGAACGTACACACTGTACGGGTGCAAGAGAGGGAGGGCGAATGGGATATTGTCATAGACAATTGGGGGGGGGGGGGGGGGGGGACGGTGAGAAGGGATAGCAAAAGGCTGCGGGCAATACGCAATAGAAGGGATCAAGAGGGAATGCAAGAAGAGCGTGGGAGAGGCAGCAGGGGAGCTGCGCAAGGTTCACCTCGAGCTCGCACTGTCATCCAGGTAGGCATCGTTTCCTGCAGTATGTTTCGGTGGCATCGCGAATCGAGTTCCTTACTAACAGCTTTTTATTTTATTTTATCGTACCATAGTGGCGTCAAGGTAGGCCGCCACACGTAAACCCGCTCTTTGGAGCTGTCAGTCGTAGACCGCCTCACCAAGCACTGACCACGATATTGATAGCAGCGTCGGTTATAGCTGCACCGGTCTATGCCTACAAAAGCAACCATAGGCACTATCGAGATATCACTGTCTTCAGCAATGGCAACCAGAATGTAAAGCGCCGGCTGCAGTAGTAATGGCACACTCCATGCGCAGACCAAGACCAGGCTTGATGCACATGAGAAGAAACGTAGAGGATATCCAAACAGTATCGGCGACATTTCGATAAAAGTGAAGCCGACCGAGGCAAGCAGGAAGCGATAGAGTTCCTGCGGACTCGAGGTGAATCACAGTCACCAAAGCACTCTAAAGCTTTCAAAAACAACCTTAATAAAGTCCATAGCGAAATATACGAATTACAATAGCGATGGTCTCGAATTCTACGTCGGATAATCGCGTAAAGACTAGGAAACAAAAGCCAGTTCTATGTATCCAATGAACCATCTCTTGGTTGACGCGATGCTCGAAAGGTATGGTGTAGTTGAATTAAAAAACCAGGCTGTAGTTTATATTTCCTTCAATGGTCCATAAGAAGGGGCATGTAATTGTTGGTGGTGATACAGAAACGGTGACCGGAACGGCAGATGGATAGTTGAGCAGAAGAACAGTTGGATAGTTGAATCAACAACAGAAACAAAGTTTGACGCGTGTCATGTTGGACGCGACGCGTGCAAGTTCCCCTGGTGGCTGTGCCTTTGTTCCACTTTGCTGGGCCACTCTGCGGAAGAATAAATGGATGAGTTTGCTGAATGTAGCACAGGAGAAACACCGGGAACGAGCGTAGTGCCAAATGTGTGTGCCAACAACCCTATTGCACATGGACCAATCTTGATATATTCGCATTCCAAGTGATGAAATGGGGGGATGTGCTAATTCTCATATGTCTAGGATGGAATTGAATAATAGGTATCCTCGACACCGATCCCACCACTATCCCTCATTCCACTTTCACCGAAGTTGCTGTACATCTGTATCAAGAAAGGAATGTCCTTGGAGGAATGTCCTTGTGCAGGCAGGTAAAAAGATGCGATAGATCGCCATGGTGAATGAGAATCTCCTGTCCTGCGCGAATGCGTTTGTAGAACATGCGTAGAAGATTATTGCACGAGCAGAAAGAAAGGGAAAGATTCTCATTCCTGTCGATCCCGCGTTGCTATCCCTTTGGAAAGTTCACGAATCCATCGATGTGCGTCGATGTGCATCTGAGTGCTGTATTTGATATGTGGGAGAAGTGGAGTTGGTTCATTCAGAGACCTCAGATGGCATGAAAATAGCCAGGAATGCAGGACGACCTTATGAACAAACGAGGCCCCCGTATCCTGCTTCACTTATAAAAGAACAGCATCTTGCCATCGCTGTAGTCTTATCTTCAGTACTACTAAGACTAATTTATACCCCATCCCCTCTATTCCCCTTTGGCACTCTCACTACATCTTGTATAATAATTACAATGAAGTCAAACCTCGTTCTCAGCTTGACAGTCGTCCTCGGACTTGTCATCGGCTCCAGCAACTCTGCTCCTATCGCCGGCAAGCGTGCCCGGCTTAACAGACGCAACGAATACCCAGCCTGCCCTAGCACCCTTCAAGGTCCTTCTGGCAGCGCTTACTTTGGTATGGACACATATTCAAGCAGTAGTGGTCCTTGACCAGAATAACACGTCCACTCACACTTTTCTGCACCCTATATAAAATCGTCTGTAGCCTTCAGCACCAATCTCAACAATCAGGTTGCAAAGGAAGCCTGCGCATCATGCTACAACGGTATCTTGGCCGATGTCTCTACAACCGATATGCAGTTCCTGCGAGGCAATATCGAACAGGACTCTTGGATTAAGTCCTGGAACGGCGATGATTACTCGAGCAGCTGCCTAACCATCAAGCGCGCCGATGCAGGTATTAACCCTTCGTGCACTTTTTTCATGTTGTACTTACAGTCGGGAGGTACAGCTGTAATGACACGTCTTTCGTATCATCCTTTCCCTTGTAGCGTCATCCGTAGGAGTCGATGAAGCTTGCGGCGCTGAGCTTTGGCCCCTCTGCATAGCCACCTCGGAGCAGCCTGATGGTGCCCAGAAATTAGAGGCTACAGAGGACGAGAATGGACCTGCTTCGATCACTGCCCGGGCCGTCCCTTACCTCGCAAGTGTCACTTCCGAGGTCCCAAACGCCGCTTCTGTCATAGATACCACTTCTCCTGAAGCTGCCCCAGTTCCCGAGACTACCCCAGCTCCTGAGTCTGCCCCAGCTTCTGAAGCTGATCCTGATCCTGAAGCTGATTCTGCGCCTGAGGCTGCCCCAACTCCTGAGGCCAGTCCTGAGGTTAATCCTGAAGCTACCCCTGCACCTGAGGCTGCCCCTGCTCCCGAAGCTGCCCCTGCTCCAGAAGCTGCCCCTGCTCCTGCTCCTGAGGCCAGTCCTGAGGCTAGCCCTGAAGTCGCCCCTGCCCCAGAGGCTGCCCCAGCTCCTGAGGCTAATCCTGAAGCTGCCCCTGTCCCCGAGTCCGCCCCTGCCCCCGAGTCCACCCCTGCTCCTGAGGCTGATCCTGCCCCCGAGGCTGCCCCAGCTCCTGAGGCCAGCCCTGAGGTTAACCCTGAAGCTGCCCCTGCTCCCGAGTCTGCCCCAGCTCCTGAGGCTGATCCTGCTCCTGAGGCCAGTCCTGAAGCCAATCCTGAAGCTGCCCCTGCCCCTGAAGCTGCCCCTGCCCCTGAGGCTGCCCCAGCTCCCGAACAGGACGAGATTACACCGACCGTTGTTGAGGAGGTGAGTAAGACCACTTCCGAAACTTCCTCCGCTCCAGAGGTGACTACTCCTCGTCACCCTTCGGGACACGATCAGGATATTGAGGTTGAGGTGGTTGAGGCCCCAGTTGCAGTACCCGCTCCTGATGTTGCCAATGAGCCCGTGCTGGCTATCATAACTCCCAGTCCCGAGGATCTCAATGTTTCGATGGAGGATGAGATATTGGCAGCGGAGAAGGCAGAGTTCCGTGACGCATTCGAGGCTGAGGAGGTCGCGTGCTCGAGCACACTGGCGATGGGTGAACAGGATCCCTTGGTGAACAAGTACATGATTGAGAAGGCTGCCCACTCGGCACAATGCGATGCTCACGACCATTAAATACCATCAGAAAGCTTCTGTTTCGAAAGAAGGAGTGCTGGACCACCCTTGTAAATAAACAATAGCGATTGAGCTGCGATATACATCCATGCCTGTGAACGGCGTGTAGAAAATTAACCGTTGTATGTATCCGTAGAATGTCTGTGAAGAGAACAAACCTTATCCATCGCCAGTTCAGGAGCTGCGCACCAGAACAGAGTCTCTTCACATCTCGAAGGACTTCTCCTCCTCTCTCTTTTGAATCTTTACTTCTCCATACCTTCCCTCTCTTCCGCATACCCTTCATCATAACACAGCAACTGCAGACATCATGTTTACTGGCATCGTAGAAATCCTCGGGAAGGTCACCGACATTGCACCTCTCGACTTTTCAGAATCAGGTGGAAAAGGATTCAGCATCACCATTGGCGAGGCTGCCGAGATCCTGGGCGACTGCCATCTTGGCGACAGCATTGCTGTCAATGGTAAGTTCAAGCGCGCAGGGTTCTTGTCATACAACTCGGTCCATTTTACTCGAAAAAGACTCTGTGTCTAATACGAGATTGATCTGGATCGCCCTTCTCTCTCTCTCTTTCATATTCAGGAACCTGCTTGACCGTAACAGAGTTCGGTGCCTCGTTCTTCAAAGTTGGTGTCGCACCCGAGACCCTGCGCAAGACCAATCTCGGTATGCATCTTCGATTGCTCAAAGCAGCGACGACAATTATTACGCTTTATCAGCGGATCGACTCGCTCAACTGACCTGACTGGAATCCCATTTTTGGACTTTTCTAGGTTCATTAAAGGTCGGTGACGCCGTCAACTTGGAGCGTGCCATGAATGCTCATACCCGCTTTGGTGGCCACATGGTACAAGGCCATGTCGATACTACGGTCTCCATTGTCTCTCGTGAGGATGACGGCAATGCCATTACGTTCGTCTTTGAAATTCCTGAAGAATACAAGGAGCTCATGGACTACATCGTCCCCAAGGGATTCATCTGTCTGGATGGCACCTCCCTCACTGTCATTGATGTCGACGATGTCAAGAGGACGTTTTCTATCATGATGATCGCCTACACGCAGACCAGGGTTGTCATGCCACGCAAGGCTTTGGGCGATAAGGTCAATGTCGAGGTCGATATGATGGGCAAGTATGCCTCCAAGGGCGTCGAGGCTATGGTCAAGAGATTCCTTGATGGCGAGGAAGGTGAGACCATGGTCACCAAGGTCTTGGATCGTATTCTCGCTAAGCGCGGTTCTACGCAATAACTGTCAGCCGCAATAAAGTATTTGAACAATATTTGTCTATAATTCTTATTGAAGCTCTATTGTGTTTGTTATAATGTGTTCGCTGTGTAATGCTTGTTTTCTTCTTCAGGGCTTGGGGCGATCGATCACAGGAAATCGCAGCTGTGAGAGCACCTTACCCCGAAACACCAGTTCACAGGTAATGGTCTCTCCTGGGAGGACTCGTCCAACGCCTTTGGGAGTTCCTGTCAGGATGACATCGCCCTCTTCCAGTCTCATAATCGAGGACACGTTCTCAATCAAAGCTGGGATACTATCGATGGGGGAAAAGTGATGTTAACGTGCTGAACCCAGATAAGCGCATTCAGCCAACAGCAACTTGAGTAGAATAACGAATGTACCCAAATATCATGTCGCGAGTGTTGCCCTGCTGCTTGGTGATCCCATCAATCTGGAGCGACAGATCGACATCGTTGTAGTCGGATATCTCCTCTTTCGGGATAAAATCGCCAATAGGTGTAAAGGTGTCGTAGCCCTTGGCAGCACTCCACGGCAACCCTTTCTTCTTGGCTTGTTCCTGCCAGTTGCGTGCTGTCATATCGAGGGCCAGAGCATAGCCTGAAATGTAGCTGTCTGCATCCTTCTCGGGGATATCGCGACCATCCTTGCCAATGATGACAGCGAGCTCGAGTTCGTGATGAACTTCAGCACCGGCGGGGATTTCGATGCTTTGGCCGTTAGTGATATAGGACGAGGTAGGCTTGAGGAAGAAGAAAGGGGCAGTAGGAACTGCGTTTCCGAGCTCCTTGGCATGCTCGGTGTAGTTGCGACCGATAGCAATAATCTTGCGGCCTGTTCGAATAAAATTGCTAGATGCCATGTTGGAGGAAGGAGAAGAAGGCGTGGGAAAGAAGCAAGTTCTCAATGGATGTGAGTACAGAACAATTCGGGCTCAAATACGTCACAGAACGCATCCTTATAAGAAAGTACTGCATCTGAACTATGGGTACATCTACATAGTCTATAATCGCTTAACGCCAGCCTGCTTGCTTGCGTCCTCCAGCTTGTCCTTGCCCTTGCCCATGCCCCACTGCGCAACTGCTGTTGCTGCTGCTTTCCCTCAGTTTCTGTGTGCGGTCTTGCATCTTGCATCCAAAGGTAGTGCCCGTCTTTATCTACTGGCTGAAGATAGAGCGGTCGCTGTTGATGGGGTAAATGGCTGCGAACGACGTTGCAAATGCTGCGCCCTGCCAAATATTGCGGTGCATGAAAATGCTGCAGGTTGAGCAGTATAGCCTGCAGATCTCGACCTGTCATAGTTCAAACTTCGGTGAGGCAATAGTCCACTCCCCCGACTGTGGATGTGATTCGAAGGGCAAGACATTTTGCGGGAGTCGCCCGTATATGATCGACTGCAGTTCTTTTAGCTTGAAAGCTAGCAGCTGAAGGAGAAACCTGTCTGTTCGAATGGAGTCTCGGTGAGCATAACCGCGTCCCTCGTAAGTCATAGGATCGAAGTTGGCCTGCCGAATGGATTGAACGTGTTCTCACATCATGCTCAGGTCCATCACGGATGTCGAATCCTTGCAATCTCTCGGCCCTTTGCGTGGCTCACGCCTGCTGAGGTTCGAAAATATCTCTGTGGTAAGGAACTCAGGAGCTTACCGCTCAAGCCAATCGATCAGGTCATACTGAGAAGGAATGATGTCCTTGTTCTCGTAGTCCACCAGTATTAGCTCCTGAAGTTCTTTCTTCAGCGCAGTATTTTGCCAAAACAAGACATCGAGCACACGTTTAGAGAACGACATGAAAGGCTGCTCCGCGCCCGTTAGTGGAGCCGTCTGGCGACAACTCTTGGGACCAATAGAAGGCCGAGCTCAAGTGTTTTCTGATGTCGATGAACTGGTGTTTCCGCACGCGAAGCTTTTTACCCACGCGAACCTCGAGCTCACACAGACGTTTGTCGGCGCGTTCAACAGCTCTCTCGCGAAGGTTCTCTCGGCGCACTTCAATGGGTTCTTTTTCTTCCGAAGGAAGGCCGTCCAGGTAAAGAACCAAGTTCGTCTAGGCCCCAAGCTTCAGTATCTCTCGCTCGACAATGCGGTGAGCATCGTTCATAGGATGCGAGGAATAAGCGTAGCGAACGCTGACATAAAAAGACCCAAGGATATCGACCCGAATCGCCGAATTACGATCAGTGAAACTGGCGAGGCTGGATAGGTAGGGGGACTGATTGCGAAGAACGGGTTCATACCTTTTCTTTCTTAGAAAGGGCCACAGGCCCTCAATACCCATGGTAGTCTACACGGGCGAGGAATATATTGCTTTATTTCGAGGAACGAGGAACGACAGTGAGGGAAGAATGAGGGTATGAGGGAGGATTGACCATGAAGAGCTTGAGATAAAAAAACTAGTTGTATTATAAGGAAGAAAAGGAGTGTAGTAAGCGAAAGATGTGATGGACGTCAATGGAGCTGTCGCTATTTCCAAACATAAATGTTTTGCTGACGTCTTCGCCACATAAAACGACATTTCCCACTGTGCCTCCATTGCTCGTGCTCTAGCTCTTTCTCCTTGTCTCCAAACCAACATATTCTTGCCATCCTCACAACAACCTTGAAAGGATAGAGGAATAAGTAGAATCCGATTTCGTTTGCCTCCTCTTGTTCAGCTTTATCTTTGTCAAGCAGGTACCTACCTCATTTTTGTTTAGAAACACATCTTGATCCGCTAGAGATCCCACAGCAAACACTCAAGCAGTCTCTTGTGATCGCCTACTCCCTTAGATAACGGCAGCAAAACAAGCATACAAGCCCCAACGCATATCGACAGATCTCACCAGCAATGGCGGCGAATCCATATTACGGCCAGGGTAATCCATACGGCCACATGGACACCTCCGGCAACGTGCCTACGCCCATGGAGATGACCCAGGACAAGCTGGACGAGAAGGCCAGGAAATGGCAGCAGTTACAGGCTAGGGTATGTCTTTCAAACTCACGTGGCCTTGTATTCATCCTAGCCAATAGCAGTGTCCTTTTTAACTCAATTCCCGTCTTTTCAAACGCTTTTTTGATATCTAGCGCTACGGTGAGAAGCGCAAGTTTGGATTTGTTGCGCACGAAAAGGCGGATATGCCCCCGGAGCACATCCGAAAGATTATCAAGGATCATGGTGACATGTCTTCAAAGAAATTCCGACACGACAAACGTATCTACCTCGGAGCTTTGAAATATGTGCCTCACTCGGTCTTGAAACTGCTGGAAAATATGCCTATGCCCTGGGAGCAAGTCCGCGAGGTGCCGGTCCTCTATCACATCACAGGAGCCATTTCGTTCGTCAATGAGATCCCGCGAGTGATTGAACCCGTCTACATGGCTCAGTGGGGAAGCATGTGGATTATGATGAGGCGCGAAAAGAGAGACCGAAGGCATTTCAAGCGCATGCGTTTTCCGCCCATGGATGATGAAGAAATGCCCTTGGACTATGGTGACAACATTCTGGATGTGGAACCGCTCGAAGCAATTCAGATGGAGCTTGACATAGACGAGGACAAGGCCATCTACGACTGGTTCTACGACCACAAACCCCTCATCGATACGAGGCATGTCTCTGGACCGGCATACAAGGCCTGGCAGCTTGATCTGGGCCAAATGTCGAATCTTTACAGAATCGCAAAGCAGCTGATGTCCGATTTGACCGACAAGAATTACTTTTATCTGTTTGACAAGCCCAGTTTCTTCACTGCCAAAGCACTCAATGTCGCCATCCCAGGGGGGCCCAAATTCGAGCCTCTCTACCGCGATGTTGACCCTGCAGACGAGGACTGGAACGAGTTTAACGACATCAACAAAATCATTATCCGCCAGCCCATCCGTACGGAGTACAAGGTTGCCTTCCCTTATGTATACAACTCTTTGCCTCGTTCTGTCCATGTTGGATGGTACCACTATCCGACCGTCGTCCACATCCCTGCCGAGGATCCCGACCTTCCAGCATTTTACTATGACCCCATCATCAATCCTATTACGACACGCAGTACAGTAGCACCAAACCAGGAAATTTCGACAGAGGATGCGTTGTTCGGCGATGCAGATGAGGATGATGATGACGAGTTCAAGCTTCCGGATGAGATCGAGCCCTTCTTACAAGATGAACCCTTGTATACAGACAACACCGCTAATGGTATCAGTCTCTACTGGGCACCCCATCCATTCAACAAGCGCAGTGGTCGCACGCGTCGTGCGCAGGATATTCCACTGGTTCAGAGTTGGTATCTAGAACACTGCCCCAGCGACAATCCTGTCAAGGTCCGTGTGTCGTACCAAAAGCTGCTCAAAAACTACGTTCTCAATGCCCTCCATCATCGTCGACCCAAACCCTTGAGCAAAAAGTACCTGTTCCGCCAACTCAAGTCGACAAAGTTTTTCCAATCGACCGAGCTTGACTGGGTTGAAGTTGGTCTTCAGGTGTGCCGGCAGGGTTACAACATGCTGAACCTCCTGATCCACCGAAAGAACTTGAACTATCTGCATCTGGATTACAACTTTAACTTGAAGCCCGTCAAGACTCTCACGACAAAGGAGCGCAAAAAGTCACGCTTCGGAAACGCCATGCATTTGTGCCGTGAAATCCTGCGTCTCACAAAGCTGATTGTCGACTCGCATGTTCAATACCGTCTCGGAAACGTGGATGCTTTCCAGCTAGCGGACGGCCTCCAGTACATCTTTGCGCACGTTGGCCAGTTGACAGGAATGTACAGATACAAGTATCGCTTGATGCGACAGATCCGCGCTTGCAAGGATTTGAAGCACGTCATCTACTATCGCTTCAATACTGGACCAGTTGGAAAGGGTCCTGGAGTTGGATTCTGGGCGCCAGGTTGGAGAGTCTGGCTTTTCTTCTTGCGTGGTATCGTTCCGCTGTTGGAGCGCTGGCTCGGAAACCTGCTTGCTAGACATTTTGAGGGTCGTCATTCTAAGGGCATCGCCAAGACCGTCACCAAGCAGCGTGTGGAGTCGCATTACGATCTCGAGCTTCGTGCATCTGTCATGGCTGATATCCTAGATATGATGCCCGAGGGCATCAGGACCAACAAATCGAAGACTATTCTACAACATTTGAGCGAAGCCTGGAGGTAATAGTTCTACAGAGTTATATTTTCGGGAACCACATTGTTACTATACGCATCGCAGCATGGCATACTAATATTTCTCTCCTTTTTTAATCCAATCTAGATGCTGGAAGGCCAACATTCCATGGAAGGTCCCTATGATGCCCGCACCGATTGAGAATATGATCCTTCGTTATGTCAAGAACAAGGCAGATTGGTGGACAAACGTCGCACATTACAACCGTGAACGTATTCGTCGTGGAGCAACTGTCGACAAGACGGTAACAAAGAAAAACCTGGGTCGTCTGACACGTTTGTGGCTCAAGGCTGAACAGGAGCGTCAACACAACTATCTCAAGGACGGACCCTATGTTACAGCGGAGGAAGCCGTTGCTATCTACACCTCGACTGTGCACTGGCTGGAGAGCAGAAAGTTTTCGCCAATCCCATTCCCACCTCTCAGTTACAAGCACGACACCAAGCTATTGATTTTGGCACTGGAGCGACTCAAGGAAGCGTACAGTGTCAAGGGCCGTCTCAACCAATCGCAACGTGAGGAGCTCGGCCTTGTCGAGCAGGCATATGATAACCCGCACGAGGCCCTCAGCCGTATTAAGCGTCTTTTGCTCACCCAGCGAGCCTTCAAGGAGGTTGGCATCGAGTTCATGGACCTGTACAGTCATTTGATTCCTGTATACGATGTGGAGCCGCTCGAGAAGATCTCTGATGCATACCTGGATCAATACCTTTGGTATGAGGCTGATAAGCGCCACCTGTTTCCTGCCTGGATCAAGCCAGCGGATACGGAGCCAGCACCTCTACTGGTTTACAAATGGTGCCAGGGTATCAACAACCTGACTGATGTGTGGGAAACATCAGAAGGCGAGTGTGTTGTGATGATGGAAACCAAGTTCAACAAACTAGCCGAAAAGGTCGATCTCACCCTCCTCAATCGTCTCCTACGTCTTATTCTCGATCACAACATTGCCGATTACATGACCGCAAAGAACAACGTCTCGCTCAACTACAAGGACATGAACCACGTCAATGCCTACGGCCTCATCCGTGGTCTTCAGTTCTCGAGTTTCATCTACCAATACTACGGCTTGATTCTTGATCTGTTGGTCCTCGGTCTTCAACGCGCTAGCGAGATGGCTGGTCCTCCTCAACTTCCCAACGACTTTTTACAGTACCGCGATGTTGCCACCGAGGTCCGTCATCCTATCCGCCTCTACTCTCGTTATATTGATCGGTTCCATATGGTCCTGCGATTCACTGCAGACGAGGCAAGAGATTTGATCCAGAGGTACTTGACAGAGCATCCGGATCCCAACAACGAGAACGTGGTCGGTTATCGCAACAAGAGGTGCTGGCCACGCGACTGCAGGATGCGTCTCATGAAGCACGATGTTAACCTAGGTCGAGCGGTCTTCTGGGATATGAAGAACCGTCTGCCTAGAAGCTTGACCACGATCGAGTGGGACGATACATATGTGTCAGTGTACAGCAAGGATAATCCGAACTTGCTGTTCGCCATGTGCTCATTCGAGGTCCGTATCCTGCCTAAGATCCGAAACCAGGACGAGCAGTTCTCGATGAAGGATGGTGTCTGGAACCTGATTAACGAGCAGACAAAGGAGCGAACCGCACAGGCTTTCCTTCGTGTTGACGAGGAGGGTATCCAGAGATTCCACAATCGTGTTCGTCAGATCTTAATGGCCTCGGGATCGACGACGTTCTCCAAGATTATCAACAAGTGGAACTCTTGCCTTATTGGCTTGATGACCTATTACCGTGAGGCTGTTGTGCATACCCGTGAGTTGCTGGACCTCTTGGTCAAGTGCGAGAACAAGATCCAGACCCGTGTCAAAATCGGTCTTAACTCTAAGATGCCCTCCCGTTTCCCGCCAACAGGTAAGTTGCGTTGCCATGCTAACTAGTCTCCTTTGACATTGGTAATGTCTGCTTTGCTAACGCTGCTCTTTACCTGCAACACATATAGTTTTCTTTACGCCCAAGGAGCTTGGCGGTCTGGGAATGCTGTCCATGGGCCATGTTTTGATCCCTCAGTCGGATTTGAGATGGTCCAAGCAGACGGATGCCGGCATCACCCACTTCCGGAGCGGCATGTCACACGAACAAGATCAGCTTATCCCCAACCTGTTCCGTTACTTGCAGCCTTGGGAATCTGAGTTCATTGATTCGCAGCGTGTTTGGTCTGAGTATGCTTTAAAGCGTCAGGAGGCTAACGCCCAGAACCGCCGACTCACACTGGAGGATCTTGAGGATTCCTGGGACCGCGGTATTCCTCGAATCAACAGTTTGTTCCAAAAGGACAGACACACACTTGCATACGACAAAGGTTGGCGTGTTCGAACCGAGTTCAAGCAGTACCAAATCCTTAAGGTGAATGCCTTCCACTGGACAAACGCCAGGCAAGTATTCATTTGATTTCTTGAGGGGTACGTTTTAGATAGAGCATGTAATGGCAGGCATTAACTTTTGCTATTTTGTCCATACCTTTTAACTAACAAATAGACATGATGGCAAACTGTGGCAGCTTAACAATTACAGAACGGATATGATCCAGGCCTTGGGAGGTGTGGAGGGTATTCTGGAGCATACGCTGTTCAAGGGCACATACTTCCCTACCTGGGAGGGTCTGTTCTGGGAGAAGGCATCTGGTTTCGAGGAGAGTATGAAGTATAAGAAGTTGACCAACGCTCAGCGCTCAGGTTTGAATCAGATTCCCAACCGTCGCTTCACGCTTTGGTGGTCGCCTACCATCAATCGTGCAAATGTTTATGTCGGTTTCCAGGTCCAGCTGGATTTGACTGGTATCTTCATGCACGGCAAAATCCCAACCCTCAAGATCTCTCTCATTCAGATCTTCCGTGCCCATCTTTGGCAGAAGATTCATGAATCCCTGGTCATGGATCTTGTAAGTACCTATTTCGGTTGCTGTCAGCGGCGTTTTTGCGCTCTCAAGAATAATGGTTATATTGACATTTGCTTTTTTCATGCCATCCCGATGGTTGACCTGTTTAGTGTCAAGTCTTGGACCAAGAGTTGGAAGCACTACAGATCGAAACTGTCCAGAAGGAGACGATCCATCCTCGCAAGTCTTACAAGATGAACAGTTCATGCGCCGATATTTTGCTGTTTGGATCATACAAGTGGAAGGTTTCGCGCCCCTCTTTGCTCACAGACTCTAGGGATAACACAGACGGAGCAACAACGCAGAAGTTCTGGATTGATGTCCAACTTCGATGGGGAGACTTTGATTCCCATGACATTGAGCGTTACACGCGAGCTAAGTTCCTAGACTATACGACCGACAATATGTCCATCTACCCTTCGCCCACGGGCGTGATGATTGGAGTCGATCTCGCCTACTCTCTTTATAGTGCTTATGGTAATTGGTTCCCCGGTCTGAAGATCTTGATGCAGCAGGCCATGGCCAAGATCATCAAGGCCAACCCTGCGATGTACGTGCTTCGCGAGCGTATCAGAAAGGGTCTGCAGCTCTACTCGTCCGAGCCAACGGAGCCCTACCTGTCGTCTCAGAACTATGGTGAGCTGTTCAGCAACCAGGTCATCTGGTTCGTCGATGACACTAACGTCTACCGTGTCACCATCCACAAGACGTTCGAGGGTAACTTGGTAAGTATCATTGTCTCGCTTTACGCATTTATGGCTGCTATGGTATTCCCCAAATGCATTCGATGCTAATTGTGGTATTATGCATTGCTATGCCATTATATATGAATAGACGACGAAACCCATCAACGGAGCCATCTTCATCTTTAATCCCAGAACCGGACAGCTCTTCCTGAAAATTATCCACACCTCCGTTTGGGCGGGTCAGAAGCGTCTCGGACAGCTGGCCAAGTGGAAGACAGCCGAAGAAGTTGCCGCGTTGATTCGTTCGCTCCCAGTTGAAGAACAGCCTAAGCAACTGATTGTCACCCGCAAAGGAATGTTGGATCCTCTTGAAGTTCACTGTCTCGGTAAGTCACGTTCATGCACTTAACATCAGTATGTTTAATTGCATGTTGTTGAGAGAATATCCAGCTTACATTCAATTGCCTTCTTTTTTCCGCCACGTAGATTTCCCCAACATTGTTATCAAAGGTTCTGAGCTCCAGCTGCCCTTCCAGGCCTGCCTGAAGATCGAAAAATTTGGGGATTTGATTCTCAGAGCGACAGAGCCTAAGATGTGCTTGTCTGGTCTGTACGATGACTGGCTCAAGACAATTTCGTCGTACATTGCCTTCTCGCGTCTTATCTTGATCCTCCGTGCACTTCACGTCAACAACGACAAGACTAAGATGATCTTGCGCCCCGACAAGACGACCATTACGGAGCCCCATCATGTCTGGCCTTCGCTGACGGACGAGGAGTGGCACACCGTGGAGACATCGCTGAAGGACTTGATTCTTGGCGACTACGGAAAGAAGAACAACGTCAATGTCGCGTCGTTGACCCAGTCTGAGATTCGTGATATCATCTTGGGTATGGAGATTTCTGCACCTTCGCTTCAGCGCCAGCAGATTGCAGAGATCGAGAAGCAGGCAAAGGAGCCCTCGCAACTTACTGCAGTCACCACCAAGACCCAAAACGTGCATGGTGACGAGATGATTGTTACGACCACAGCACCATATGAGACTCAAACTTTCTCGTCCAAGACGGAATGGCGCATTCGTGCAATCTCGTCGACCAACCTGCATCTTCGTACCAACCACATCTACGTCTCGACGGACGATATCAAGGAGACTGGATACACCTACGTTCTGCCCAAGAACATCTTGAAGCGGTTCATCACTATCTCGGATCTCCGTACCCAGATTTCTGGATATATGTATGGTATCTCTCCTCCCGACAATGCTCAGGTCAAGGAGATTCGTGCTATCGTAATGGTTCCTCAGTGGGGAACCCACCAGACGGTGCATCTGCCCCACATGCTCCCCAATCACGAGTATCTGAACGATTTTGAGCCCCTGGGATGGATCCACACTCAGCCCAACGAACTTGCACAACTCTCGCCCCAGGATGTGACGACGCATGCGAAGATCATGGCTGACAACAAGTCGTGGGATGGTGAAAAGACCATTATCATTACCTGCTCCTTCACGCCCGGTTCTTGCTCACTGACTGCGTACAAGCTGACGCCTTCTGGATTCGAGTGGGGCCGCAACAACAAGGACACGGGTAACAACCCCCAGGGATACCTGCCATCGCATTACGAGAAGGTGCAGATGTTGCTGTCGGACCGATTCCTGGGCTTCTTCATGGTGCCAGCCTCGGGCATCTGGAACTACTCATTCATGGGCGCGCAGCATACACCGGATATGAAGTATCGTCTTGTGTTGGACACGCCCAAAGAATTCTACCATGAGATGCATCGCCCTACGCATTTCTTGAACTTTGCTAGGATGGAGGAGAGTATTGTCGAGGTTGAGCGTGAAGACGCGTTTGAGTAGCGTACTGTTATTACTTCTTTTTCCTTGCATTATCTTTCCTTACCAGTATTACTATCTATTTGCTTTTATCAGCAATAAAAAACGCATCTTTACCAACCACTTCCATGCTTACATTGAATTGATATCATTATTTATTACCTGTGTATTCATTGCGGGTCAAGAACAAGGAACTAATGCTGTCGAAAAGCGACCCTAGACAGCTCCACTCCCGCTTAAGCGCCCTTTAGCCATCGCCATCTTCAGGTGGCGGAGCAGTGCAGGGACTAGGAGTTCTAAGCAGTGCCATAGCTTCATAGGAGGGGAAAACCAGATTTCGCCTCCTTCTTCTTCCAAGCAGGGGTATATCGATAGACATGCGTCTTCCTACTGCCCGGCTTCAGGCGCGCAAGGACTGCCAGAAACACATCATTCGCCCAGTACGGCGTCCAGGACAGACCTCGTGGACATTCAGCCAAAGAAGACAGGCTATGGCCTGTTTCGATCAAGGATCGTGGAGCTCCCCCAACTGCGTCATAACCACTTGAAGTCGCTGCACTTTCTTTTTGTGGATCCTGTGGTCGACATGGCTGCGTAGATGAATGGACGGATTAATGTTTTAAAGTAGAGAAAACGAGAAATAAACGAAAGAGAGGGTATATCCGCAGTTTTGGCAAGTTCCTAGATGAATGAGTATCGGGTTTATTACAAAATGCAAGTATATCTTCTAAAGCGAGTCGCGTCTTCAATCCATGTCCATCCTCTCTATCGTGGCAGCCTGTGCTCCATTCGAACCAGCATCTGGGTTGACCCAAAGGGTCGTGCCCCACTTGGGATAAATTCTCTTGTCTATTGTTGCACGATAAAACAATGCGGGATACTTTCAGTATTAGTATCAGGCGAATCCATGGTCCATCCTACATTGTCATTCTTCTGAACAAAAAAAAAAAAAAAAAAAAAAACGATAGCTTACATAAACACATCATAATGGTATCCTGCATGGAAATTTGTTGATCCCTGAAAAACGGAGGTATAAAAAGAGAATAATTAGCTTTGTAATACTGAAAATGCAGTTTGACGAAGGAAAGTGAATCTCAAAAGTACAGGAACTTGCCATTGAGCCTTGAAATAGCCATGCGTTCCCAATGACTCCTTGATATGACCAGTGCGGCCATGCTTGGTGCGCAACTCCACAGATTTGTAGTACCAGACATCATCAGGGTTAAAGAACATGAAACGAATGGTAGCAGAACGCTTGTGGACCTTGAAGGGATGCCCTGTCAAAATGATTCTTTTGGCGACAATCCTCCTGGGATCAGCATCCATAAGCGTTCCAGTGGCAACCAAAACTGGGGCTAAAGGACAAGAAAAGAACCATGGTATTAGAGAAGGGTCCTTCAGCTGGAGTTCAGCTTACACACCATATGAATTGCAAGTCTTACAGTTGACATCCTCAGAGTCCTTAGTGAGAACAACGGGCAGGCTACCAAACTGGATAGGTGCATAAACAGTGACCACAGTGCTACGCCCATGCTGAAGAAACCGCTCACTCTTGTGGACATTATTTGTCCCCTTGCCGTTGCGGGTGTTTTGTGAAAAAATGGGCCGAACGACAAAGCGTCTGAATCCGCAGTGAAGAACCAGGGGATCTTTCGCCTTGATGACGCCCTCGTACTCAGAATTGCGGTTTACCACAAAATTGATCACGCCCATCTTGTGCTCATACTGCAACAGCCCGAAAACGATGAAGGGGCGCGAGGTGGAATATGTGTCCATGACAGCCCGTGGGACCTTGGCAATGTACAAATTGACGTGCGTGCCGGGCAAGACGCCATCCTCGAGGGCCTGGTTCATCACGCGGTGCTTTGTGCGGCGGAGGTTCTCAAATTGGAAAATACGGCCATAGTCCAGAGGAAGATTCTCATAGGGGTCCCAAGGCGAAGTCCTGAAGGACTCGAGGGCACGGTAGCGCGCGAACCTAACGCTAGCGGGGACATCCATGGGTGCCTCGACCTCATCTGGGAACTCCATGTCATCTCTGTTTTCCTTCTCTCTGGCAAGGTAATCGGCGTACTGGCGGGCCTCTTCCTCGTTATCCAGCTCATCCTCGTAAACCTCCTCACCCTTGCTGGGCTCCTCGTTCTCGACCTCCAGATCCTCGTATTCCTCCTCAGAATCCTCTGCGTTCCGTGCGCTGGGCAAGTCGTCGTCATCCATACGCTCATCCTCATCCTCGTCTTCATCCTCAATATCTTCGTCACTCTCATGGTCAGAGTCAACAATCCAGGCTGCTTGGTAGTTGGAAGTTCCCTTGGGGACGCGTCTGACGACTTTTTTAGGTGCAGAGTTGAACAACTGCTCGGGTCTTTCATTGGGATCCATGTTCTTGACGCGCTCTGATACATGGGTAAAAGAGTGCGTGAGTTAATCTGCCTTTATAGATCACACCATGCAGATACAAGCGATCGGAAATAAAAGACATACCTTCAGCCTCCATCAACTCTTCCTCGGTGGGCCAAGTTTGCTCGTTTGCAAGCAGATCAGGCTCGTTTTCTGCGGCCAAGTCGTCCTGCTCCCCAGGAACAGGAGCATCCAACAAAGTCTCTGTTCCCTCCGCATCCATACCGTTACCGTTGCTCACATGAACTGCCCTATGGGTAATGGGAGCAGATGTGATCTTCTCCAGCTGGAAATCGCCAAAATTTTGAAGGTGCACAAGTCGGTTGGCCTGGAAATGGGTTCCTCTGGTATATCCTGTCACTCTCAGTGTGCCGACAGTGGGATCCAAAGGGTCTTCCTCGAAAGCGACTTTTTCTGCGAGCATGTATGGATGAGTATCGCGCCAGGTAATCGACTTTGGCAACTGATTCGCCATCATGCGGAGGACATTGACGGTCTCGGCGTTATTATCCAGGGCGTGAATCTTGGCCTCCTCGGGGAAAAAGTGGTTGGTGAACGAGAGAAGCGATCTTTTGATATCAGAGTGCTTCTTAGAGGGAGTGATGTCCAGGTTACTGACGGTGGCCACGACTGAAGGAACGCCCTGAGATTGAATGCCAGAGAGCACCATTTCACCAAATTTGTCAACTTCCTCTACAGCAGACATCACGAGCAGAAGAAAGTCCGCAACCTTGGCAGCATCCATGATATCAATGTAGTTGCGCTGAAGCGGGACAAATTGGAGCTTCTGCCTGAAGCGGTCCGTACTATCATTGTAAGGAGAAGGTTGGTCAACATAGACATCCCGAATTAGTCTTCATGCCGTATTTCAATCAGTGATCCAGTCCGATTCCGTCGAAACCTACGTCATGAGGACGGTCCCCTTGTTGGCGGGAACCTGATCCACGCTGGCAAAGAGCTTGGCGACAGCGTCATCAGCACTCACATCGGCACAGAGTGCAACCACAGCGACGACCTTTGGTGTACCATTCTTTCCATCGAAAATCTTCGTCTTCCTGAACAATTCCTCGCGCTTCTTCTGCTGAAGGAGTTTGGCGGAATTACGGCGATCAGTCTTATTTGAGAGTCCTCTAGTGGACTGATGCTTGATAGATACGCGTTCGACCTTGCCTGTTGTAATTTGTGAATAGTGGTGTATTTGGATATGTTAAAAGCTGTTGCTTTTCCAAAAGCAAATACTATAGTGGCGTCACATCGAAGCACACCTTTGGCCTTGTCCCTCAAGCTGCTTTTAGTCAAGTGCTTAGACTTGAAGGGCTTGTTTTGTTGCTTGAGCTTTGTGTTGGAACGATGCTGGTGCTGCTGCTCGGACATGGTGAGTGTGGGTGTAATGGACAGAAGCAAGGGGAGACAGGCTGGTCGGTGCAACAACAAACAAACAAAAAAAAAAAATGCTCCTGCCATTTTGGGTAAGAGGATGTTTTGATTTTAATGATCAAAGTCACGGATTAGCACTCATGCAACGTCATCGTTGCGCTGTGGGTGGCGATTCACTTGGCCAACGTTCATCACCCACAACGACCAGCACTCATTCATTACTCAACCCCCATTCAGTTCAAAAACCAGACCAACAACATGCCGAGCACCAGCAGGAGCCGTAGCAGGGAGAGGAACGATCGCCACGAGAGCAGTAGGGTCCGGTCCAAATCGCCTTCACATCGCCATTCTTCACGCGATCGATATAGGGATGACGAGCGCAGGAGGGACAAGGATAGCGACAGACGCCGAGACAAAGAGAGCGAGAGATCATCTTCGCACCGCGACGAGCCTCGCGATCGCAACTCGGAAGACAGGCGACGAGACTCTAGGGAGAGAGGTAGAGATAGGGGTACGGACAAAGATTCAAGGCGACACAGCGATCGCTCGCGAGACAGGGATCGAGGCCACGATAGTGGTTCCAGACGCCGTCGGGATTCGAACAGCGAGGACGATCGAGAGCGGAATCATCATTCTTCTTCAAGCAAGAAAAAATCTAAGCGAGATCATGATGATTCTAAGAAGAAAGCGCGCGAGACCTCAGAAGAGCGCGCCATCAGGAAAGAGCAGCGGAAAAGGGAAAAAGAAGATCAGAAGAAGGCGCTCGAAGTCGCCATGACTAATTACTCAAATTCCGACAACCCTTTCAATGATGTGAATCTGGCTCAGAAATTCACATGGGCAAAGAAGCGTGAGGTCGAGAAAAAGAAGGGAATTAGTGCAGCAGAGTCGGCAAGGAGGGACATTGCGAGGAGAGAGGAAGCTAGAATCGAATTGGAGAAGCTGACAAAGAAGAGAGCTGAGCGTGAGCGTGAGAGAGAAGAAAGGGAGGAGGAATTAGTCAGGATTCAACGTGCTTCGGAGCAGGCGCAGCTCGGCGATTGGCAGGCCCAGGAGGAAGAGTTCTACTTGAAGCAGGCTAAGAGACGTGCAGAAATTAGGATCAAGAGCAACAGAGCAAAGCCGATCGACATTCTTGCCATGAACATCAAGCTGATTGCCGAGGATACAGAGGAAAATGAAGAGGACGAGGAAGAAGACGATATCGGTCTTGAGATCGATGTCGAGGAGCCATACACGATTTTTGATGTAAGTCCTATTATTGCATCGACAGCTTCCAATCCAGAACAAAAAAAAAATATCATGCAAATGTACTCACGCAGTGTTCGCTTTTGTAGAATTTGAGCCTGGAAGAGGTTCAAGAGTTACTCCACGACATCAAGTTTTACCTCAGTCTCGACAAGGCCGATCAGACCACAGATTTCTGGAGGGCAATGTTGATCGTCTGCGAGGACAAGCTGAGTGAATTGGATTCATCGCGTGCAGAACAGAGTGTTGTTGCGCCCCATATTGCTCAGGACATTGCTAACAAATTGGCCGGCAAGTCACATGAAGAGCTCACGTTACTCCAGGGCCAAATCCAACGGAAGCTGGCAGGTGGCGGCGCAATCGATGTCGATTATTGGGAGGCGCTTTTGAAAACTTTGATCGTCTGGAAAGCAAAGGTAAAGCAAAGCTACCCTATCGTTTGTTTGTATGACATCAATGCGATCTTTTATCCAGACTGTGCTGACGATCTATAATTATTTATATTAGGCCAAACTGAACATGATTCATCAACTTATTCTCCAAAAGCGCTTGGAGCAACTGAAGATGCGTCAACTGAAGGAGGCTGAGAAGGAAAAGGCAGAACTGGCAGCGGTCCTGGCGATGCAGACCTTGGATGTGGAGGGTGATGTGAGAGGTCTGAGGGAAATCAACGAAGACGATATAGAATATGCACAGGAGGATGAGGACCTGGGCATGGACGGAGTCGCCCCATCGGCCGTTCCTTACGACCGCGCGATGAGTCCTGAGCCCTTTGATACTCTCGCCAGAGAAGACCAAAACTTGGCCATTGTGGATCAGTGGGATGATTGGGCTGAAATTGTATGTGAACTTTACTTGGTTTTCGTCTCTATTCTATTACGAAGTGGTCCATTGATATTGATGTTTATTTTTCTCGTTTCGTTAGTTGGAGAAGCGTGGACAGGTTCTCAGCAAGCAATTCAACCCTAAGAAGAAGAGTCACGACCAGGATACAGGCGAGCAGCATCCGGACGACGACTTTGTATCCAAGATCCTGTTCGACAAGGAGGCAGCCAAGCAATTGGCAGGAAACGAAGAAGTGTTTAATGTCGAGGCCTCATTACAGCGACAACAGGTACGATTGAACTCGCCCTGGACCTTGAACCCATTTTTGACGTGGAAGGAGATGCCATGTTTCTCACATCTTTATTCGTCAATGACAACCAATAGACATACATGTGGCAAGACAAGTACCGACCACGCAAGCCTCGCTTCTTCAACCGTGTGCACACAGGATACGAATGGAACAAATACAATCAAACCCATTACGACCACGACAACCCGCCACCAAAGGTCGTCCAGGGTTATAAGTTCAATTTATTCTATCCTGATCTCATCGACAAGTCTCAGGCCCCGACATATGAGATTATCAAGGAGCCCGATACCAACGATACCGTACTAATCAAGTTCAAGGCTGGGCCACCCTATGAGGATATCGCATTCAGGATTGTCAACCGTGAATGGGAGCATTCGCACAAGAGGGGATACAAATCTGTCTTTGATCGCGGAGTCCTCCAGCTGCACTTCAACTTTAAGCGACAATTCTATAGGCGTTAACCGTCGTAATAGTAAAATCCTTGATCTTTATGCTGTCATGGACGACTTTGTATATTAGTGGATATTGTTACAATGGATAGGAATGGTGATAGCTAGCCTATGTGCTGATATTACAGGAAAGCGTATGCAATCATGCGACGGTCTTTTCGTCAGAGACATCCAAGATTTGGCTCTTGCCGTCCTTGACCTCGAAGATCTCGCTGTTGTGGGCGGTATCCATCTGGCCCGGCTGACCCACATTCTCACTGCCACGCTCAATGTTGAGGTCCTCCATGGACGACTCAGGCTGCTCGGACATCTTGGCGGGATCGCTGTTGGCCGCCAAGAGGATAGTAAATACGAGACCTATGCCTCCGATAACAGCGACAGTGTAAAACGCAGCTTGGTAGCCAGGGAGGAGTTCAGCCCCCATAGCAGTGGCGGGGTTACGGCCGTTGGCGATGATGTTGGAGATAGCAACACCGATGGGAGCGCCAAGTTGAAGGGAGACATTGTACACTAAAATGAGGACAAAAAACGATGATTGTCAATACGATGGATCAGACTTGGTAGCAGAGTGGGTCAAATGAAGGATCCTTTCGAGTGAATAACTTACCAGCGCCGACAACGCCCTGGTCTTCATCGTTGGCATCAGCGACAGAGTTGATCTGGCAGCAGAGCCAGATAGGGGCCATACCCAAGAAGTTCAGGATCAAGGAAGGAAAGGGGATGGACCAATACGAAGAGTCGACCTTGATCTGGGCCCAAAGGACACCCGAGGCGATCAAGAAGAACCAGCCGATTATCATAATAACCTTTGTTCTGACCATAGTCACCAGCCTGGTGAGTGCAATGATGGCAGCGATAGCACCGACACCATGGACAATGTAAGCGAAAGAAGTATTCAGGGCGGTGTAGCCGAGTACGTTCTGGAGGACCAAGGACGAGAAAAAGATCATGGCGTTCATGGACGCAGAGACGCAGATGATGATAACACAGGATGCAATCAGACGACGCGATCGCCAGATACGGAAGGGCATGATGGGGTAGCTGATCCTAGTTTCAACCACAATAAAGACGACCAAAAGCGCGAGACCGACGATAAAGGGCGCTAGGGTCGAGGCGACGCCCCAGCCAGCAGAGGGACCCTCACTGAGGTAGTATATGATGGCGACAATGCTGAGCGTGAAGGACAGGATGCCAATTATATCGAGGCGACGATCCGTGGCCTTGGACTGGCTCAGCTCGACAGGAATGACAACGAAACCCAGGAAGGTCATTATGAACCCAATAATGGCAGTGATATAAAAGATCCATCGCCAGCCTTTCGTTGGGTGAAATCAAGCAATGAAATTAATAACAGGATCAGGCAAAAGGCTAACCGGCGCCTTCGAGCCATAGTTCAAGGGATCTGGTGCCTTACCAATGGTCGAGCCTAAGATACCGCCGAGGAGAACCCCAATAACCGATCCGACTGCGCCCGTGCCACCAAAGATAGCCAAGGCCTTTGTGCGCTCAGGTCCCACAGGATAAGTAGTAGTCAAGATGGCCAATGCACTTGGTACAGTGAATCCGGCGCCCATGCCCTGCAATGCACGGCCGACAGACATAACGATCGGGTCTTTGGCGAAGCCATTGACGACGGCCCAGATCGAGAACCAGGTAACTCCGGCAATGTAGATGCGACGGTGACCAAACAGGTCGCCTAAACGACCGCCGATCAGAAGGAAGGCGCCATAAGCCAGAGCATATGCGGAAGTGACCCTTGAAGTTGGAAGAAGAGGGTAGCAGAGAAACAAACAGTTGCAGGTTTAGTAAACGGGTTCATATTGGCTGTACGTTTGCGCGGAGTGCGTCGGTGTATATTCTTACCATTGCAGCTGGTCGACTTTGTATCCGACCTGGCTCATGATGTCTGGCAAAGTGATGGTTACACTGGCAACATTGATGATATCGAGCATCTACGCAGCATCGAAAGGAGTACACGTATTGTATCGCTGAGCAATGAGGTCCATGCACGATCAGGTTATCAAGAAATAGGGAGACGTTGTTGGTAAGACGTACCTGTGCCATGGAGACCAGGGCGAGGAGGAGAGTCTTGCTCTGGTCCAGTCTGCGGTACCACGGCAGCTTTGGAGCGATCGTGGATGAGCTCTCCATGATGTAGAGTGTATTATTGTAAATATAAGGAAAAGAAAGAAAGACGTGTAAGGGTCTAAGAACAAGCAAGTGGCAGCAGTGGATGTGAGAGGCACTTTGTGCATCTTTATACACCCTGCCGCGGGCTGCGGGCTGCAGTGTGAACACATCTGAGGGAGTCCCAAGGCAACGCAAGCGATTACGCACTTTCGATTGCTTTCGAAGGAGGATGCATCTGAGTCTCATAGTTGCGCTCCGCCCCGCAGACACCTCCCTTCCCCTGCGTAGTTGTTTCTTAAAGAAAACCATTCGACAGCCAATCGAAGAGGGCCATACAGTCCGGGTAACCACCTCGCTTTTTATCTTTTATTTTACTTTTATTTACTGAATAGGCTTTGTAACGCACGCGTAGACCCTGCCTCGCTTTTTTTCCCTTTTCCAGTCCCCTCTCGCGCTTCGCGCTTAAATCTGTATCCGAAAAGTGTACATGTATGTCCCAGCCGGGATCATGATTGTCAATCCTAAAAGCATCCATAGCAAACCGGCTCAGGCAATGGCAGCGCCTCACACCCATACTGCTAATTGCGGGAGGACTGCGGGGGGGCAGGGGATACACTGCAGTCAAGGCGCGGGTACTTTACATCGAGTGCGGTACTCGATCCCTTCCCCCCTTTCCTCCCCCCTCCTCCTCCTCGACACATGTAGCTACCTGGGACAATGCACAAGGGCAACGCGCAGAGTGGTTCTATTCCTCGTCCCGCGGCACTAATGCAGGCAACAGGTCCTGTTCGATGGATTTGTTACTGCAGTGTGCCCTTTTTGCTGCCTGCAGATAACCAACACATGTCATTGTATTGCGTGATGTAGGCTGCACATTCAGTGCTAGGCCTGCAGCATGCAGCGCAGGCACCAACAGACGCCGTTATCACAGCCTTCCTCTTTATTGGGGGGCCAGCGTCTCCTTACCGTTCCTACCCCCATTCCAGAACATATTCCGACTACTATTGCTTGGATGCTCAAGCTGCCCCCTCTTTCTCAGACATATAATGGATCAAACCCCCTTCGCATCTCTTGCAGCACGGTATCCAGCTCTATAGTTATTCCTTCCCGTTATCGTCTACCATTGTGTGAGGAAACTTCCAAGCTCCTATCCACCTAGACGTATTTGTATGCGATATGCCTGGCGGTTGTCGGCTCAGGACACGAGCAGGCGTTGCATTTACATGCTTATGATTAAATCTAATGGACATCCATACATCGACAAGCGTTTCTTTCTCAAGTGCTTGTTCCTTGAGGGCCGCGCTCGGGGTTAAGTATGCACGTTACTCAAATCAACCTAATGCCCATGGCAACTTCCACGTCACTTGTGGGGTGGAAAATAACGTTGGAAATAACATCACGGTTGAGCCTTCTGTATTTGACTCGTACCAGAGGACTATTTTTGATACCGCTGTCCTGCTTGTGAGGCATTCAGGCCTTGAATCTCGAGTAAAGTGTTTTTTGTGGTCGCCACAACAGATTTGAGGTACTCGAGTGTACATTTCCTTTTCTTTCTTGCCTCCACTGCGGCGCCCATTTGCTTCATCAACCCCATTAATAAACCCTCATTATCCTCAAACTCTTGTCTGGTCGCCACTTCTCTGGCAACTCTTTCGAATTCCTGCTCTGCTGCCCTTTTCCGGTCGAGTTGCAAACGGAGTAATGGCGCTAATCCTGCCTCCAAATCTGGTCCGAAAAAATCCATATTCTGGACATGTTGCTCCTGAGCGACGGCAGGTTCAATGGCAGATTCAATCGCAGGCTCACCGGAATAGGATACCCTCACACTTTTATAGAGCCTCTGAACCAGGTACATGTGCTTGCAAGGGATCAGGTGAAGACAATAATCGGCACAACTGCATGACACAATGCTGGTAACATCGTTGTTGTGGCGGACAATGTATGAAACGTCAGCTCTAACAAAGGATTTGACGACAAACTGGAAAAAAGGATGGTAAAAAAGTAAGCATAAGCATGAAACCACAACCACCACGATATTTTTGACAAATTAAGCCAAGCCAGAACCTACTTTGTGCTGGATCAGTGCCTCAACCATAAGCAGGGCAACATTAAGATCCAGTCTCATTGCCTCTTTTTTCCTCCTAGCGTCGTATGTTGACAATGGCGGGTCAGCAAATTCCTCTGTAATCTGGTAAAGTCTCTTCTGGAAGTCAACGTCCACTGCTCCCTGCAACAGAAACACAAGATCATCCGGGTGCAGATTACGCTGACTTCCTAGATGGTGCCTCTTCAACGTCTTGTGCCAGCTTTCTACAAGGTTGTTGGTATTGATATGCTGGTAATTCTATATTGCAAAACAATAAGGATAGTGGTTAACGGTTATGTGCAAGTTGGACGGGAGTCAGCCTTGCCTAACAACACTCAATTTAGCCTTTCTCACAGTACCTTTCTAAGGTACAATGCCCATTTCTCCACTCGTTCTGGGACCATCCACGTTTTCAGGTAGTTGATCATCTTCTTACGTTTCAGGAACGCCTTTGTGAAACCATCCCACTTCTGCACTCGCTCTGCATCAGTTCTGGCATTCCGTATCTCTTTCAAAGGTAGTCGCATAGCATTACAGACGTCAACCTATGAGAATAGAAACAGAACAATGACAGTGTGTTAGGAGTATGCTGCCACTCAACCCTTTTCCTTTCCTTATTGAATCGTTGCACTTGCTCCATGATATTCTTTTGTCTTTCGCTCCCATGCCTGTGCAACATGAAACGAGCAGTAATAGATATCCAGTGTCTTGAATGATTGTCGTAACGCCTCTGTTTCTGTCTGGGAGCAGTCTACCATGAATTTGGACGCGTTCAAGCCACAGTGCTCCCTTGACCCATTTCAGCCAGGTCCTAAGAGTATTACTAAGGAAAAAGTGTTAAGGGCACTGACAGTCAAGGAGCAACGAGAGTAAAGTAATAGAGAGAGATGAATCGTTTGGTGAGTAGGGAAGCAGGGCGTAGAAACAAGAGACGACAGGACAACTAACATTGATTCAGAGTTGCAAACCATGAAGGCAATTGGTATGCCAATATTCGCTGCTCGATCTCGGACAAGGAGAGTGAAAAGGTATGCAGATGGGAACACTTTCTCGTTATCTGGATCAGGCAGCAATGATCTGACGGCCTTGTGCGTCGAATCCATGCAGACGATGCCATGGTGACTTGACATAACCTTGAGGGTGGTACATGAAGATAATAGAGCTTGGTCCTTAGTAGAAAGGCGCGGAGGAATTTCAACAAAGCATAAACTTAACCAAGAGCTCACTTCCAACTGGAACTCGGTGGACCAAGCAAAAAAGTAATTGTTTGTAATCCCGCACACGTTATCAACAAAATGGCCTTTTCCACCCTCCTTCTCGATTTGCTCCATCTAGAGCTTCACGCTTGTAGTGGGGTTGATTGACTTACGAGACCCACTTGTCCTTGCGCGGTACACAGCAGAACGCACATCATTGTACTTCATGTAGTACAAAGGAGCAGCAGGGCCTTTAATTTTTCGGGATCTTTGCTACAATTCAGGCAAGAAGAGAGTTGTCAGCACTGAACGTTTGAACCCAAGAACAATGAAAAATATTGTAACAGAATGCAGCTGTGCCTCTTACATGCATAATTGACTTTTTGTTGGGACGCAGCAATGCCTTTATTGCTGCCCATTTCATACCGCTGCGAGCCTGCTTTGCGGTCCAAGTTCGTTCATTTCTGCCCAAAGGAATCCTCGATCTTGCTGAGCCAGAATCGTCATGAGAATGCCTCCATTTGTACGAGACATTCACTACCTCTTTACCGACTGGTTTTGTCATCCTGATCTCGACAGGACAGGCTGCACCAACAGAGTCGCGGGTGATAGTCAATTTTGTTGGTCTTTTGTGCCTTCTGCAACTGAAACGAAAGCTCCAATCATTCCGTTTTGGTGCGCCAACTGAGCCTCCATAACCCACAGGTCTAAAAGTCGGGAGTTGACTGTCAGGGCTACCCTTCAAGAGACCGTGATTACACCCTCCTTCAGTGCGATGCACAAATTGAATCGCGGTTCGCTCCCGATGCCAGAAGGTCTTAAAATCGTCAGCAGACAATGCCGCTTTCCAAATTTCGTTCTCATGTGAAATCACGTTTGGCGTGTATAGTGTGGTGGGATCGAAGTCGCTAGGATCGAGTAAGATGTCCTTGACTCTGAGACCGGACATGAGAAGAGAATAAAGTGAGAGAGGAATGGAATAAAACAAGCTTGATTTTTTTAAATTGATTTCAGACGTCTTTGCTCTCTGGTGACTTGACTTCTCCCAGCTCAGCAGGTAAGGGAATGATTCCTAGCTTTCCTCACTTTTCAGCCCTAAACTAAACTCTGGGAATGTTTATGGTCAGGTCCAAATGACCGTTCTCTGTCCAAAGGACGCATTCAATTTATTTTTTAGGACAAAGCCGTACATCAACCTTAACTCCTCTTTTTGCATTTCAAACTTCAATAGACTTTGGTGATTTCCCACTTTCAACCCTCTTTCTCTTTCAACTCTTCACTGCCCTGATTCAATTACTTCATTCCAGCAAACACACTACACAATCGACCACGACTCTTCCCTCGCACTACTCGACTTCACGGGATGGGTTTGAAGGGTTGGTTCCCCTTCATTTGCAAGAAGGGATACGAGCCCACAGTCATTCAGCAATCAGGAACAACAACAACCTCAACCACATCCACCAAGAGGATCGATTTGCTCTCGCGGTTCTCGGTCATTCGTACCGCCTATACACAAAACTCTGTAGAAAAGGCCCATGCGATCCTGGAAAAGGATATTGAGCAGTTCGGTTCCAAGGATACTGTTATTGTCTATGTGGATGGAGCCCAGGCGCAAGAGAAAGAACACACCGCACAGGCTCGACAGAAGACCCGAGAGAAGGCGGCAAGCCGTTGCAAAGAGGCCTTGGACTTTCTTCAAGACAGGATCGACCGCAATTTAAAAGTCGGAAACGACACTTCACAGATGTGAAGACAAATATGGCATCAACATTCTACTGGTCCCTGCCCATTCGAGCGTCCTTTGTGGAGTATATGACCCAAGCGGGATGGAAGGTATAGACCTGTGAGACTGAGGCCGACGTCGCGATCGCTCGGGACTGCGAACCAGGCGACACTGTTGTTTCTGCAGATAGCGACATGATGGCCTACCCCAGTACCTCAACCTTATGGCGTCCTATCGCCAGGAACTTGATCTTGGTATACAATCTGAAGGACGTCCGTCGCACTCTCGACTTCTCAGAGGCCCAACTCACAGCCCTTGCAGTTGTATCTGGCAACGATTACGGCAAGAGCATCTACTCGCTTGGTGCAGCTACCAATTACTCTGTTATCAAAGCCATCCGAGACAAAGGTATTTTATATTGATGTGTGTGACAGAGTTAGACTTTGACCTTTAACTAACTAAATATTGTTTGCCACTCTTTTTAGACACCCTGGGTACAGTAGCCGAGTATCTGAACGATCCCAAGGTTGCATCCAAGAATGCTGCTGTCCGTAACAACGAGGAAAAGACATTTGAAGTGGCCATCAAAGTTTTCGTATATCTCAAGCAGACTCCTGCCACCAGCAGTCCCCCTCTGTTGGAAGCCCAGCCTACGGCGATCTTCACAGACGGTTTTTGGATCTTTGTGCCCTGTATAGGCAACAAAAGGAAAACGGCCCTTCACAAACGAGGTAAATTGTTTTGGTCTTTTTTTTGAGCAATGGCTTTGCATTCACTCCTTCCTTCATCTCATCTCTGCCTTATTTTTTTGATGTTTATAGTCCTCCCGAGGTGCCCATTATACGACTGCACCACTCTCATGCGGCGATCAGGTTCAAGACTGTGGAGTCGCCTGCTGTGCTGAAACGTGTCTCTGGTCACTTGGGATCATTGCCATCACAAGAGCTTCAGTCAGATGTGCAGGACCAGTCAACTGTCTCCTCAACGTCGTCTCAGCAACTAGAGAGACACCCACCATTAGCGAGGGCAAATATCCCAAAAAATCGTCAAAATACTCCTTCAAGATGAGGACAGGATCAACCCAGCGCCCACCGCCAGACAAGATGAAGGTTTATAAGTTTAAACCATACAAGGAATGGACCGACTCTCCTGAAGACTCAACCCTGGACAGTAAAGCCAAACCCAAGGTCAAGCCCAAGCCCAAGTTCAAGATCAAGACCCTCGCTACTTCGACTGCAAATACCAGGAAGCTGGCAGTCATGCGCCACTTGGCTTACCATCATCCCACCTCGTCCCTTAAAGTTGGTACTCTGGCCGCGAACGTCAAGCGAGCAGTACCAAACAATGGTGTTCTCCAACAAGAGGTCATACATTGCATCCGAGATCTGATGCAGGAAGCAGCCCGAGTAAAGCGGAAAGGCCAGCAAGTGATCGGAAAGTTTGTCGACTACATCAACAAGCATGGACTAGGACCCATTGATCGTCAATTTATGGATCTGTTCTGTCCTCGAGTATCCATGAATGATGTCAAGGATGAGGAGAATGAAGAGACGGAGGAGGAGGGGATGGGGACAGCGAGGACGATTTGGACGACAAGCCAAAGGGTGGCGGAGGCTCTGCTCAGTCCTCTTTCCTGTTGAGTTTCCTGACATCCATATACTCTGGAAACCGCTCAAGAAATGCTGGTACTGGCTCGACAGTCAATGAATTTATTGATCGACCCATTCATCTCCAGCTGTACACACCACCACCACCGGCATCTAATGGCTGCAAGCACAAAGCAGTCTTTACACCATCGGAACTGGTAGCATCCGTCTTCACCCAACTCAGGGTCGAACTCAAGAAGATGTACAAGAACGGTTCCTGCGATCTGTACAAAAAGGTAAGGGTTGCAAACTGCTAGTCAGTTCAATATGCATCAAGCCAACAGCAAACAAAGGTAATTATTCTTACTTATTATCTTCTATCTCTTGGATTGTAGCTCATGGCAAGAAAGGAAAAGGGTCTCTTGGGTTCCGACGTTGATGTGGAGATTCAGGGGAAGTATCTGCTGTTGAGAACTTCCTTGCCCTTAACAAAATCAGTCCAAACCCTCGAAGGATCATTCCCATAACAAATTCAAGGCAACCGTTTGTGAGTTTTACGGAGCGTAACCTTGTTGGGTTCTTTTTCAGTCGTGGAGGGGTTCTGAGAGCTCAAGTTCAGGAACTGGTCGGTACCATCTGCACTTCTATTGTAGATGCCCAGGAGCATATAGGCAATATGGAACCTGGGATTCTCATCAAAAAATTCCTGGCTGATATCGGTCTCAAGGGCCTGACCAATCGCCAGCGGCGAAAAGCAGGGCATCGTGGGGCAATCGAGTTGCTAAACCTTGAGGAACTCGAGACCGATCTTCATATGTTGGACAGCAAGGACTTCCGACCGGAAACTTATCTCACCAAGAAGTATGTCCCAAGAGGGACAGTGCGGACCGATGGCTTCCATCTACAGCTATTATGTTTTAAGCGCAGAGAGCTTCTGTCAGTCAAGTGGAAACGGCTTCCTCAAGATCGATTGCCACGACGATTGACTACGACACTCCATGGAACCGGCGACCACCTGACTGAAATTCGAAACGTCCTTGGAAGCAAGGAGGACATAGCACAACTTTGGCCAGATGTCGATCCCCGTGACATCAAGACACTCACCCTCGATGCCGGTCAGGCTTTTGTAGTAGGCGCCTACGCACATCTACCACAATCAAGCAAAGGCAAGGATCCAGTGCTTGGTGCTGTATCAACCTTTGAGGCCCCGTCCACCATTGCGTCTCCTACAACACCAATGGCACCACCGCCAGTGCAGGACTCGACACAATCACCATCTTCAGCGGCGCACCACAACAAGACGCCTCATCATAATCTTACCGTAAACCAAAAGGCGGTAATGCAGCCCACATTTCGATACCGGCGATGGCTCCAGGAAGCGAGTAAGGTGGTTCCTGAGGGCCAACCACAGTCTATTGAGCAAATCGAGTCCCAGCTTCCTCCTCTTCGAGGTCCAGAGGCTAGTGTAACCAACTATGTCGCAAGACTGGAACAAGTTGAGGACCAACTGATGGAGTTTTACAATGGGAACAACAATCGATCCAAGAAAAATACGTGGGACATGGAGCGTGCCAAACACATCGAATACCAGGCCATTGCCAACAGTTTACTCAAGATCGTTGGTGTGGGCCTGGGTGATTTCAGAAGCTCGAAGCGGCTATCATCTCTGCATGGGACGTTTTTGTCTTACTTCATCCCTCTGGTAGGCAAAGTATTTATTTTTATCATCTATAACACCTTCAAAAAACCGACCGCAAATGAGTAACATTTTTTTCTTAATTTTATACATAGGCGCGCTCCCTCGGATACGTTGTTGTTGGTATTGAAGAGTACTATACTTCAAAAAAATGCCCGAACTATGAGGAGTTTGTGGCCCAGGTGACCATACGCTAGCTCTTCTGCCCCCACTGTGGCAAGTATTATCACAGAGATGTTATGGCGGCGCAAAACATGTCCAATATCGTCCAAGGGCACCTTTTGGAGCAGAAAAGACCTCTCTACTTGCAGCCCAAAACAGCAGATGGAAGGTATCCCTGGATCGAACCGTCGACATCCGATCAAGGGGCAGTTGATGGAATCAGCAAGTCCACTGGAAGCACGAGTGCTCGCAAGAAACGATCGTCTCCCGCAACCCCAACATCAAGGAAACGCCCTACCAAGATGGCTAAAGAACTTTAATTATTGTGTGTCAGGTCACACACACCCAAATGCCGATAATAGCAACGATTTTTACGATTTAGGTGACGTAATTGTAGATTTCATAGTGCTATAGTCGTGGGGTGAGGCCATCATCGCTCAGCTGTCATCTGTCAACGACATCTCCTTCCCTGATCACTCCTGCATCCACTCATTCAGACAATATAGTATATCCACGGCAGGAAAAACAACAACAACACGATGTTCCACAAACTCACGCTCCTCGCCGTCACCCTCCTGGTTACCATCCAGTCGGTGGCAGCTTTCAACGTGGTCGTGCCTGCCCAGGAGCGCCGATGCTTCTTTGAGGTCCTTGAGAAGGGCGACAACCTCCACGTTTCGTTCCAAGTCGGCGAAGGTGGTCATCTCGACATTGATTTCTGGGTAATGATCATTCTGGATAGGGGCTGATTTGCCTGTTTGAAGCTATTAGACAGGGAACACACGATCGCGCTCCTCCACCGCGTCGTTGCACATGCGACGGTTTGCAGAAGATGGCTATGGACCTCGGCCGAAAACAAAATGAAGACGCTGTTAGAATCCTGTATACTGACCTTTGGCCTTTCATTACTGACCTTGTACTCGTACGCGACCTCTCACTATAGATGACTGACCCCGATGGTACCCTTGTCGAGGATGCGACTAAGTCCGCCTCGGCTACGTACAACCATGAGGCCAAGGTCAGCGGCAAGCACGAGTACTGCTTCAGCAATCAATTCTCGACTGTCACCGAAAAGACTGTTGGATTCAATGTTCTGGTTATGAAGCCCTACAAGGAGGACCCAAGTATGCAATGTCTATGTCTATGTCTATGTCTTGAAAGGTCACTCTTCTTTTATTATAGTCGGTTTGCTGACAGTTCTGACATTCTTATTTCTCGATAATAGCGCACAAGATTGATCCTTTGGAGAACGAGATCCGCGAGTTGGCTGCCGGTATTCAGGAGATCAGGAACGAGCAGGAGTACACCTTGGCCCGTGAGAGAACGCATCGTAACAGTACGTTTTTTGACGTTCATCATTCAGGACCCAATTGATCCAAAGATCACGACATACCTCTGCTGCAGGGACTATTGCGCTAACGCTGATACTTCTTCATTTCCCACAATAGCTGCTGAGAGCACAAACTCGCGTGTTGTGTGGTGGTCGCTCTTCCAGTCTGGCATTCTTTTCCTTGTCTGCGTTTTCCAAATCACGTACCTCAAGCGATTCTTTGAGGTCAAGCGGGTTGTCTAGATATAGCGGCTTTTATTCTGTTACTTGCTTTCAATATCCTTCATATCGCTGTCGGACACGCTCTTTCTACCTCGCTGTCCATCCATGGTCGTCTCACCTACATAAACGTAATCAAACCCAGATCTGTTCCTCTCTATGCAGTGGTATGAACTGGCCCCCAATAATTTGCTCGCATGAACGAGCTGCAATTGCCTGTGAGAGCGCTGAAACGGGAGCGACTCTGTCCAGGTTATGATCTGTGGTTCGACAAAAACAATGCGCCCTGTGCTCAGTACGGAAGTGTGGAAATGCTATGGGTGGACTGACTCCATTGTTTCGTTTGCGTTCCTTTTTGTTCGTTCCTTCCATTCCTTCGCTCTTTTCGCATCCCTACCATCCATTCACTTTTAACCTCACCATGGAAACCACCGAGATGAGTGAGGAGTAAGACTCATTGTCTACACAATCAGTCTCAAGCGGCGCATCCAAGTGGTCCTGTGTTTGCCTTTAGTGCTCACCGTCCTGTTTTCTTTTTTTTTCTTTCCTAGGCAGGCGCGGGAGACCATCACCCGCATGTTCCAAGAAATTGGAAACACCCTGAACGGCAAAGGCGATTACTCGGAGAGTGAGGAGGAAACTGACAGCGATACTGGCGCACAAGGTAGCATTGCCGTGAGACTTAATTCCTATGTCGTTACCACATTCAAATCCCCAGTTTTGTCTGAACCCTGCTGCTTATCTTCTGCACGATCTAGCCGCACCGTCAGCAGGTTCATCGAATGGTCAAACCGACGGCAACCGCGCAGCAGAACCACCACAGAAAAAGAAGAAAAAGAAGAAGAAAAAGAAAGCCGCCAACAAGCCAGATCTTGAGGACATTCTTGAGAATGCCGAGGCACTTGAACCTGAGGACCCCTTCGACATGTATGTTTATAATATTTCGGGATTTATTCAAATTGCACTAATCAGCAGTAGCATTGCCTGCCACCAATCTTCGATCTGTGAACTTTTAATCTAACTGACTTTACCTATACCTTTTCTCTTGCATATCGCGACGCTCAACAGGTCAAAGTCCATTGCCGAACGAGTCGAGATTGCCGTGACCAGATTCCGCAAGAACCGAAAGTTCAGCCCTGAACGCGCCAAGATCCTTTCCACTTATCTCGACTATGGCGGCATTCGCTCCGGCCCCAAGAGCTTCCAAGGAGGAGCGGTCAAATCCGGAGGTCCTGATGATGATGGCGAAGTCGATTTCGAGGCGCTTAACGCAGGAATTGATCTAGTAGAGTTGCCTGAGGATGGTCAGGAGATCGATTTTTCGAACGTGGTAACCACATTCTTGTCACAACACTTCCTGAAAAACACGGGATGGATCGACATGGTGTACTACAGAGATACGCCCCTCGTCGTCGCAGCCTTACTGAACTACTTCTTGATCCGCAATGTCGTGCCAGAGCATGAGGCAGATCTTCGTGCTGCACTGGCAGTGGCCGTTCAAGCGCAGATTGAACTACCTTTCATCAAGATGATCAGCAATGGATGGCCAAGTCGATACGACAAGGCCTGCTCGCTCCTGTACGGTGGCGAGTGGTATGGATTCCTGGATAACGAGTGGCAGGATCAGCGTGTTTTGATCGATACAATGGGCATGGATAGACTCACTGCAGAGAAAATCGTGCAGTCCTTGACTGGCCCAGATGTGGATATCCACACTATCAAGGTTAGCCCACGCGAATTCTTGGACCTAGAGATCATCAACGTGGATCTGCCTGACGGGATCGCGGCTACAGGCGACAGTCCAGCGCGCGCTGAATCGCCAGTTGTGATGCCGGAAGAAGAAGAGGCACGAATAGTTGCCATGGTCGACAAGATGCTGCTTGGTGGATCCGAGGCTCCTACGTCGCAACCAGATGAGACCGAATCGAATGGACCTGAGATAGAGGAGGCGGTCATACATATCCCTGCGCTTGCTAAGGTGACCTTCGCAGAGTGGGACTCTGATCTACCAAGGGAGGAGCAGCAACCAATCGACCGGCGTCGCAAGGTCCAGGTGTATTTCGACCCCAGTATCGCCACAAAAATGATGCAAAGAATGAGGGTCCAGGCCTATGTCTATACTCTGTCAAATGGCATGTCGTACCTGGAACAGGCGTCCGTCTATCCCACCTTCTACTTGGAGGCGGACGAAATCGAGGGATCTATCGATGATACTGACGATTGAACCTGTTGGCCATCCCGCGCCTGTTGCATACAATGGGGGAAAGAGAGGGGGAGGAGAAGGAGGAAGAAGAGGAGGGGAGGAGGAGGCGCATCGGTAATATATGCAATATACAGCAGCATAGCATTTCTCACAATAAAAACTGTACCATACTGATTATCAAACATTATGCTTTTGTACAATGCTCTTATTCCATGACTTCATTGAGATCGAGAGTTGCTAGCTTGGAGATGGTCGGACTCTGGACAACTCGCAATACCTCGCTCAACTCTCTGAATCAGATTGTTCAGTCTCGGCACTGTTGAGTGGAATCCAGAGGCTTTCATGCTGTCTAACACCCTCTCTGCTGAAGTCCATTGCTGATTCTCTAGACAGTTCTTCAGCAGGGTATAATAAACCTTCCATGGAATCTGACCCCCTTTGGTCCCTGCGAATGTTCTCTGCATGTCCGACAGCCATTTCTCCGCCTGGTCCATCATCAAGAGATTAGAGTATCCAGAAATCATGATAGAATAGGCGCCTGGCGACATGCCCTCCTTGGTCTCGGTGTTTGCAAGATGGGCCATTTCCTCCGCCAGACGGACATTGCCGGTCATGAATGCGCCCTGCATCATAGCTCCATACGTGTGGATCGAGGGCCGATGTCCTGCCTGCTGCATCTCCTCATATGTCTTTTGAGCCTGCTCAAACGCACCAGTCCTGACGAAACCTGCGATCATGGCTGAATACGTGACGCCTGTCATAGGCACGCCACGACTTGACATGACCTCCGTGACCTTGAGGGCCGCCTCTGGATCGCGCTGCGAGAAGATCGTGTCAGTGATAATATTATATGTCGTTTCGTTCGGTTGTATGCCTGACTGAGCCATCCTCTCCATGATTTTGCTCAATGCCTCAAGGTCTCGCAGTGAAAGAAGCCCCTTGATCATGATGTTGTAGGTATCCAATGGCACCTCAATCTCCCTGCTGGCAGTCATCTCCCCGTAGACAACCTTAGCTCTGTCGGGTTGATGGTTGTAGAACAGCCCGGACAACACGGTGTTATAGAGTACTGGGGTCGGTTTGATTGAGTGCGGTTTCGCCTGCATTACTGTCCAGAGGTCCATGGCCGAGTCCGGATTATGTGCCCCAAAGTAGCCGTTCATCATGCTCCCGAAGCTATACGAGTCCGGTCTGATCTTTGGATCCTGCAGCATCTGATTCCATAAATCCATGGCCGCAAGAAATTGCCTCGGTTCCTTACAGAGTGCCGAGAGGAGTGAGTTGAGGAGTACTAGGCTTGGGTCGATTCCTGACTGATACGTGGTCCGAAGATAGATCTGTGTGGCCTCTTTACAAAGACCAGCCTCCACCAATCCCGAAACGACACATGAGATCGTGAACTCCTCCGCAGGAAACCCGATGTCAAGCGTATGGTTCAACAGCGCCAACGCCTCTTCGGGCCGCTTCATCTTAAATCGGGACTCAAGAAGATGTGTAAACCGTCTCGAATTGGGTGGACATGTGTTGTTCTGGGTATTGTAAAAAATGGCCTTTACACGGTTGATCTGTTCGCTCGAGAGCTGAAGTCCCTTGGTCCACTTGAGAAACTGGTCCATGTAATGCGCGAGTCCATTATCTTGGAGTCCGACAAGCTCTTGAAGCGCAGCCTCGTTCTCGCTCTTCATGTACATCGCTACCCGAAGGGCAAGTGTCCTCTGGAGCACACCCATCCTCCGCGGCTCCTTCGCCAAAAGGTCCATGATATCCTGAGCATCCTGGTACTTTTTCCGCTTTATATGGCAGTAGATCAGGTCATTGTAATAGTCGGTGTTGAAGGGTACAGAGCGCTTCTTCAACTCCATCATGAGAAGGTGGAGTTTCGCTGCTACGTCCTTGGTCATGTCCTTGCTGCTGAGCCATTGACAAAGCCGAAGGCGATCCGCGTCACCAACAACTTTCTTGTCGTTGAGGTGGTCCTGGTATATCCGCCAATAATCCGTGTTTGGGTCCATTGATGATGGATTAGGGATAATGCCTGGCTTCTCGAGTTCGGCTGAGGTAGTAGCGGCTGTAGACTTGGCGGTGGCATGTCGAGAAGTTCGGGTACTGGTCCTCCTGGATGGCTGACCATTTGGATGCGTGCTTTCTGAGGCTTGGGATCGCGGCGGTACCGGGACGTGCCAAGGGTCCTGGATGGAGACCTTTTCTCTGCCGTTAGATACTGAGGTTCGTGTTGCTGGGTTATGAGAGTGCAAGTGCCGTTGACCAAGAGGACGTCGACTCCGGTGGTGGAAGACGTTGCGAGTCGAGCATGATAGCGTCCGCATTTGAAGCAGAAGTTGGACCCATTGATGGGCTATCGTTCCTGAGTCGTGCTGTGTCCAACCAATTGTCGGCTGCAGGACTGGTCTAGGGCGAACAGCTATTGGTAGCCGGCTGGTAATCCTTGCGACGCTCATGCTTGGTGGATGAGCGATCTGGTCATTACCGGCCTGGGGCGATTAGAAGCGTGTTCATGAACTATGGCTTGTGGCTTACCGTTTTTTATTGAAGGCAGACTAGGTCAAACTGTTTGTCCCTCGACCATTCGTTACACCTCCTCCAGCATCACAGCAAAGTAGTATACTATCAAGACCTGCAATGTCAACAGCGACTGAGAACGCCAATGGCAACAGCATTGGGGCCGATGTTATAGCCACAGAAGCTCTCAATGGGTCTGACAGTACCACGGACAACAGCGACGCCAAGAAAGAGGTTTCCCTAAAGCAGCTTTATGAACAATCGACACAGTACAACCATTGGCGATACACGCAGAGTGCATTGGATGAACTGAGGAGCAAGGCCAATCAGGAAGTTATCGCCATCATCCGAGAAAATATTAGGGAGGAGCGCGAACAGGTATCAACGAGCCTGAGTCTTCATCGCGTATCGTAATTGACCTGCTTCAGCATGTTTACCAGCCATGCTTTTCCATTGATGATGCCGTAGAGGATTGCACAAGGGCTGACAGTTGATGATTTGCCTCAGGATCTCAATTTCCTGACAGTGGAGGAGGAATTGGCCTTGCTCGGATTCTACCAGCGCAGGATCGTGCAGATCTTCCGGTACTGGAAGCTCCCATCTTACGTGACGGTACTGGAACGGCTGTATGCAGCATTATTTGAAGTGCTTTGAAACGCAGCTGAAATGCCGATTGAGATTGCAACGGGGGCTTATGGGCATGGACTGAAGCGGTTCATTTTCTATGAGTCTCTCTAGGCAACGGCAATCGTTTACATGAAGCGGTTCTTCTTGGAAAACACTATCATGGATTATCACCCCAAGGATGTCATGTAACGTCCAGAATGCTATCTCGGCGTAGGCTGTAAATGATGGAGCAAGACAACCACGCAATGAACTCAGCTTTGCCTTTATACAACGATTAGGCTAACGTGCATGTTCCTGGCGCGGAAGACTGAGAACTTCCTCATGACCATCGACGACTTCTCCAGCGTCTTCAAGAGCGGAGCAGATCCGATTCTGAATCTCGAGTTCTTGGTCTGCAAGAACTTGCGCTTCCATTTTGCAGTCCACCACCCGTATCGTCCTTGCCTCGGTTTCTTTTACGACATGCAGGTACGTTTATTGGGCCCATTCCTTGCGGCGAACATTATTTGATCCACATCGTTGGTAGTGTATTTGCTAATGTATATATCCCATCCATAGGCCGTTACGGACAATATGGAAAAGCTGCAAAAAGTGTACGAGGTAGCCTTGAAGTTGATCGACACCTCTCTCTATACAGATCTGTGCTTCCTATACCAGCCCTCGCAGATTGCCCTGGCAGCCATGAGGATAGCAGCAAAGGACGAATCCTATGATTTTGAGAGGTACACGCAGAATCAAGGCTATATGCCAGTATATCGATAATATTTTGCACTCTAGGTTCGCTTATTTATTGACTATTGCTTTTGCGCGGACGGTACCTTAGGTATGCCAACTATAAGTTCAAGTCGAATGAAAGTGCAACGCAAAAGTACAATGAGACCCTGCTACCGATTCTACAGGAGATCGAGCGAGTCCTGAGCGAGGATCCGCGGTGCATAGAAGTGGATAAGGTGGTGGCAACAGGAATCGATGAGCGGCTCAAGCTCTGCAAGGACCCGGCCAGGAATCCAGACAGTCTCATGTAAGCCAGCAATTTCCTCTCCATACTGACATCTGTAAGGACTTGTATCAAGCGAATCTGACGTCTGTTATCTTTTGCTACTGTTCGTGGTTAAATGGGAATATAGTTATAGCAAGAGAAAGAGGACAGAGCCAAATGGCGACGACGACGACGACGACGACGATGACAGTGATGATCGTCCTGAGAAGCGGGCGAAACTAGATGGTAGCTCACCTGAATAAAGTAAAGGCGGTGCTTGTTTGTGTTCAATTGCAATGTATTTTCCTTCATAGGCATGACTTTTTAAAATATTTCTTTGTAAAAGTACAAGCGGACACCTGGTCTATCTCTATTCAAAGATGCATCGTTTGCTTGCAAGTGTTCTATTCAGTCCGTCAAGGGAAGAACCTAGTTGATCAAAGGGATGCCGGTCTTGGCTCTGGCCTTGTAGTCGCGATAGCTCTGTCCAAAGAAGCGGACGAGGAGTTGCTCCTCGTATTGGATCCTCTCTGAGAAGAAGCGATGTAATACCACAGCGAAGCCGAGGAAGCAGACCGGGTTCATCATCATGAGCTGCGATCCCAGAGCCCAGTAGTAGAATCCAAAGTAGGATGGGTGCCTCAGGACGCTAAAGAAGGACATTCAAACAAAGTGTTCATTTGGCTGATTAGGTTCATGATAATACGATCATTGCGGAGACCATCCTTTGGTCATAATTAGACTGAAACAAAGCCCTCCCACAGCTCCATAAAACGATGTATCCATACACCTTACACACAAGAAAGGTGCCGCGACAACGTCATAAGGGAGTCCTCTCCTCCCCATCCTTACCTGTAGACGCCCTCCGTCACCAGGACATGGTGCTCCTCCTTGTAAAACTCGACATGGTGGGAAAAGTTGGACTTTGCCGAAAACATAGCCAGGGTCCGCGCTGCTTGGCCCACTAATACGAGCACGAATCCAATCTTGTTAAGGATACCCCAGGACTTCATCTGAGGGAAGAAGTACAGCTCAATCAAGAACTCGGTTACGCCACTGACGGTTGCCAACGTATACTCAGGGCTATGGTTCAGCAAGAAGGCTATAAATTGGACACAAAGAAACAATGATGAGAAGGTTTAAAGGAAGTTGCATCAACCGAAAAAATGGCCATGATGCATTCGGGCAAATGGAAGTATTGTATGATTATCCAACATTACAGTCCAGCTTGAGCTTGGTCGGATTGAACAGCGCAATCGCAATGTATTCCAGCGCATGGAAGACTCCCAGCGCAGCGAGGAACAGCCAAAACTGTGGGATTGTCGTGTTGACAAGAGTTGCCAGGATCGCACTGGCGCCGAAGAGGGCTCCGAGTCCGAAGCCATAGACTGCGATGTTCTGGGGCGAATTTTCGCCGTCAAAGAGCCGATATTCTGTTATGGATTCTGGTGCAGAGACCGGTCGAAGGTGTGCCTGTGCCTGTGGAGCAGGGCTGAGCCCTGGTGGCCCTCTGTTGGGCCGAATGGCTGTGGATGAGGTCGAGGGCTGTGAGGAGGTTGACTGGGCTGTGATGGTGGCATTGGTGTGATCTTGATCTACCGATGTGTCCATGTTGGCTGATCTTGAGATGGAATGAGAAATGGAATGAGTGAGAAAGAAGGGTGGAATTTAAAAAAAAATTAGGGAGGGTGTTTGAGAAAAAAAAAGAGTGCGCCCATTGAGTTAAAAAGAATATAGAATATGAGCTGATTTGCGGAATAGTTGTGCCTGAATTCTGCTAGACTAGAAAACGCGTCGTGCAACGAGGAAGCGCGTTTGCAAGTGGAAGCGGTGCGTTTGCAAGTGGAAGCTGCGACAGAACGCGGATTTGAATCACTGATCTAGTCCTTCCTTCTTTCCATACTCCTCTCTCCTCCATGTTATTAGTATGATAGACCCAAGGCTCTTCGTCCTTAACCCTAACTTCCTCTTTCTTTTCATTCTCTACTTGGGTTTGATCCTCACTATCGCCCCATTCAACCATCATGTCCTGAAAAATGTGAAAGCTGCTTGCAATTATAAAGTCTGGCTCAAGGCTCTGGATGACATCAAGCTGAATCGGGAATGATTGCACATCCGCATTTCGCAGTACCCAACTCTATATTTTACGGGAGATCAAAGCAGCAAGCAGCTCCAGTGCATTTGCTGAAGGTTGCGAACGATAGAGCAAGGTACCAGCTGACAAGATCGACCTCAAGGGCAAGGGCGGCGCCAAACCGCCCCCATCTGTACACCACATTTACGAGCACTCTGTAAACATGCTCTTAACCTATGTCAGGAACATAGTGTGGCTATGCATTTGAAATATCTTTCTTTAGCAAAAGATGCGTATCTGGGGTACGTCTTCCGATGTGAACCTCAACGACTTGTACTATTGCTCATGAACAGAAGCCGTGTCCCAGAGAAAGGACCACTGTGAGACATCCACAAATGCGAAATGTGTGCTGATATCCGGCACCGTATCGACGTGGTAGGGGATCTGAAGCGCATAGGAGCCATGTACACCGAAAGCGGGCCGGCCGTTCGCGTTAGCTACACGGATTGCTTGTAGGTACACATATAACATTGACTGTATTGACCTGGCCCATAACAAAAGATATTTGCTTTTTGACGATACGGCCCCTGGTGAAGTTCTGCGGGGCAAGGAGTTTTATTTTTAATCTCTTACAACTTGGCAGCAGGATTGGGCGCAAGTCCGTAATAAGGCAGCTCCAAGACAGAAGCCATCAACTCGAATCGATCCGAGCCAAAGAACATGTGCTCCTCATCTGATCCAGCCTTCTTGACAATAAATGTGGGCATGCCAAACGCGCCTGCCTCGAAAGCGGTTTGAGTATTGTCGATCAATGCCTGCTTAATCTCCTTCTGACCGGTCATCTCGTAGTATTCCTCAACTTTGGCCTCGGAGCCGATGATGGGAGTCAGGGCACTAATGAGAATATCCTTCTGAGAAACGTTCTTGTCATTACACCAGTACTCCTCCTATGTTGTTTCGCAAAGACAGAGAGACGAGGAACAAATGGTTATGAATGTCATTCTGGACCAATTGGAGTTGTCGATCCCCGGCCGCCGTGATCCTGGCTGGTCACCTACATAGAGCTGGAAGTCAAGGGAAATGAAATGGGCATATAGGGGTAACAGAGGTGATATGATAGTTAGGCAATCGATCATTCAGCATCAAAATAACCATTTACTTTCCTAATGCCTAGTGATACGCTATTACCTTTTCGATGCACTGTTCGTATTTGTCTGCTTCGTGCCTCTGGAGGACGATGAGTAGACGCATAGTCTGAATGGTAAGTACAGGGAACTCTGAAGGGAATTTGAAGGGGATCCCACTTGCGGCACTGACATTGTTCAAGTCCGCGAACTGTTTTTTAGGATGGTGATGGTGCCATATGGTAACATTAATTAACATGTGAATATCTGTTGCTTGTCTTATAATCTCAATAGCTGCATTGAACATACCATATAGGCGCCCTTGGCAGCGACAGTGGCCGGAGGCTGGTTCTTGGCCGTCTGTAGGACCAATTAAGGACACGGAAGCGTGCGCAGGTTAGGAACAGCAAACGTCATTCTTCTTCGTCTCTCTTCGCTTTAACGACGTCTGTCATATACACTCATGAGTCCAGCTAAGAATGCTGGCTGGAGCACAACGTCGACATCCTTCCACTGCTGCCTGTAGCGCTTAAGCAAATTGAAGCCGAAATAGCTGTAGGGCGACACAATGTCGTAGTACAGAACAATGCTTGCGCGGGGTGCCATTGTTGAAATGTCAAAGTGAATGAGATGAGATGAAAGAAGGCATAGAGACCCTGCACGCGAGCATCTTTTTTTTATAGCATCTTTTTTGAGCTCGGCTCGCATTTCGTCCTGTGCCCGATCGATCGACCCGCATTTTCTTCTGTTCACTCGATTTAAACCCCTGTTTTTATTTCTCGTGCCATCCTTTCCGCATTCTATGATATCGAAGCTACCAAGTCTCCCGTCCGAGGTACTAAACCTGTTTTCCTTAGTATGCACCCTCGGGGAATCCTGCAAACTCTGAGAGATCTGCCACCGCTCCATGGTTGGCTGTGGTATATACGACCTTGAGACGAAGACGAACCGGGGTCTACAACAATATTCGACGTCTGTTATTAATTTCTGTAGTTGTATCTCCTCAAGTCAAGCAAACTAAAAGATTCATGGCAGAAGAAAAAGCATACCTTTTGAGGATTGGCAATCTTGAGCAGTTGCGTGGCATTGCCGCCCGCCGCTACTTCACTCGATGACGCGGGACGCATTTGTAGCTGTTGTGTCTTGGTCACGGCAGCGTGGAACTGAACGCCGCTAATAGCGCCTCCAGAGACCGCGCCGTCGTTGTGGAATGTTGCCAGGATGTTGACAACATTGGGGTTGGCACTGTCGCGCTGCGGTGTGAAGACGATAGAGAAGCCATTCTTGGAGTAAACAGGATATGTCTTCTGTGTCTGGCTTGAAGATCCGTTGCTATTTGTCGACGATGTCCTTGCAGACGTGGGCGCAGATGTAGGCGAGGTAGCTGTTGCAGCCATGCCTCCACCAAGAAGATCCAGAATGTTATTGCCCGCATTCGGTGCCGGAGAAGAGGCGGCGGCAGAGGTAGACCCGATGCCGGCAAACAGGTCGCTTACAGCTGCCGCCGATGAATTCGATGCTGCAGGTGGACTGGCCACACTGGATCCGCCAAAGAGGTCCGCAAGCAAGTCAATGTTATTAGCGGGGCCGCCTCCAGATGAGGCCGGTGCTCCAGTTGAGATCTGAGCGTTGGTGGTGCCTCCACTGGTCCCAATGCCCATCAAATCCAGAAGAAGCTATTGCGGTTCAGAGTCTGTGTTAGATATATTACATGGATTATTATAGCGGCAAGCGAGTGGTGCCTTGGTGTACATACATCCTGATCACTTGGTCCTGCAGAACTACTGGCTTGAGTGCCAGCGCTGCCCGATGCTATTATAAAACAAAAATAGCGGGCACAACTTTAGCACCTGTTATCGACAAACAGATATCCTTTCCAGTACTTGTATGGACTTATGCACCTACCTGAGTTACTGAGGCGCTCCCCTGCGATGATGGTTTCCTTGACCTGCATAACAGGCATTCTTTCAAGGACAGCTGGACGGATCTCATCATATTGAAACAGATTTGTGAACTCGACCGCTCGTTGCTGGATCTCCACTTCGATTGACGTAGAGAATCCTGCAAGCATTTTCTTGACTCTCTCAGACGATGATGTGGAGGTGAATCGCGATGTCAGCTTCATAAGAGATGTGATAATGTACTCGCGAAGGACTTGGTTTGCAAACGGACCAGCTAAAATGGACTCCAAAAGATCGATGACATCCGATTCGGACACCTGTGGAAAAAGAAAAAAGTAGCGCCATGTCGTCAAAACATGAATTATCCACTGACAATACAGGGTTAAATATGCAGTGTGTCCTACCTCCTTGGCAAGTTCCTCCTCTTCATAACTACCACCACTGACTAGAATGTCGCCATATTCTCCGATAACCCAAACACCGGCCAGAGTGAGCGATTCTTGCGAGATGTCCTCCTTAAGAGCGGCATACAGCTTTTGAACAGTGTAACCCTGCAGCTCTGATGTCTGTGTGACTAAGCGAATGAAGGCTGCCAGCATCTCCTCGCGAACATAGTTTCCTGCAAGTTTCAATACACGCAGGACGGTGTCGATGTGCCAGCGTTTGTTTGGTGCGAATCTGCTCAATATAAATAGCAATGCATTGTTAGCAAATCGCACAGCAGTTATAAAACATTTCAAGGCAGACAAAAGCGGTATCGACTACACACCTCTCGGCAGCAAGACAGATCTTTGTGGTCATGCTAGGCTTGAACTCGTTGTCTGCGATTTCCAGGAAGGCCAAAAGTTCGCGTGTGAGGACGCGGACATTGGACTCGTTGATCAACGAGAATGAAAGCTCCAGCGCACGTCGACGGATGGAAATATCGGCATCTCGCAGACAGTCCAGGATGATGTTGCGGTGACGCTGAACGGCATTGACGTCCAGTGAGATGGACTTGTTAAGAGTCGTCAATGCCACATATCTATTGTTATGAACAGAAGCATTCCGTAGACGCGTAAGCGCCTTCATCGTTCATATTCACTAACAGAATTCGCGAAGGAAATTGAATCGTACCGGATGTTGTTATCTCTGTTGCTCAAGAATTTTCCAAGAATGTTGATGGCCAAGACTCTGAGAGCATTATCCGATGGTGTTTCCATGATGGTTAAAACAGTCTCGTACAGAATCGAGTTACCGACATTTTTTGAAGACTCGGTATTTGTCGCAACCTAATAGATGCACGAATGATACAGTGTGAAAAATCCGTGTTAGAAGACATCGGCATTGCCGACATGTTTCAAGACTAAATGATCGGACAACTGCGCTCTTTCCATGCACTGACCTGAGCCAAGATTTCGTTCATGGTCTCACTGCTTTCGACGTCGTCTTTGCCAAGAATACGGAGGAGACGCAGGATCTTGATCTGCAGGAAGGGATCTGTTATTCCGGTCACATCATGCTCTGCCGAAAAGCCAGCACTGACAAGGCTCTTCAAGTGGCGAACAAGGATAGGCACAGCCTTGCGGAACTGCAACAGAGTCTCCTGCGAGGACAAGCACATCTCTGTGATCAGGGTTATCCCAGAAAGAAGAACTCCGTGGTTGCGATCGTTCAACAGTGACGAGGAGCGCTGGATGAAGTTCTCCTGGAGATCGGGGACCTTGCGAATAATCCTGATTGCACACAACGCCGCCTAAAGAGAGACGTTAAAAACGAATCAGGTGAATCTACGACGGCCTTGAATATCGAAGGTATGTTTCCTTCGCACACAATTGACATGAAAGCTGTCGCACCTTTTTCCTAATGTACATGTTGGAGCTCCCGAGCAGTTTTTCCACCTCTGAGCACAAATCCCGCGACATTTCTGCAGAGGCGATGTTCCCAAGGGTACACAGCGCCAATCCTACGATATACATGTTGGCATGATTCAAGTCGCTAGAAGGGTTATAGAAAGAAGGATTGCCGATCAGCATTTCGTGACGTGGAGCGGGCGTGTTATTCTTAATTGAATATGCTGCATAATCCAAACAGGTGCGGCAGCAGGGTCCCATGGGTTTCACGTACTTTTTGAGGGAGTTGGTCAACAGGGTTAGGACTTCCTGGTTCTCATCCAGAAGCAACATGGTTCCGAGATAGCCCAGTCGCTTGTCAGAAAAAAGAGGACTGGCGGCCAGCTTAAGACATTCAATTTGACCAAAATGGGCAGGATAGCCCAGCATGTGAATGTACAGCAGCTTTGAGATGTTGGAGTGGCGAAGTTCCGTGTTCTCCTCCTTGAATGAGGTGCGGATGAACGCGGACTCCTTCTGGATGACTGCGCGCTCATCCGCGTGGGTCTTGCAGGCACGAATAGCCTTGATAAGGTCTAGCGTGCGAAACCAACAGGTGATGCGGAGAAGCCAAGACTGTGTTAGGTCCTGAGTAAACAACGATGGCGAGACTAGTGTTGGCCATGCCCTTGGGTCCCCGTATTCAGATATCCCGATAGGTGCTGGTTGGTCAACGTGGCGAAAACAGTGCTCGAGCAAGGTTTTGTCTACCTTTTAAGCGGTAAAACACCATGGTCGCTTCGGTGGATGCGATTCCGTGCGCGAGAGACTAGCTGGCTGGTGCAGAGCAGTACGATGGCGATCGGTGGAAATCGAGTAGGGCGAAGAGATGGCAGGGAAGGGGGGATCGACGAATAAGCAGAATGCAGAGTGCAGAGATGATGGAGCCGGTGATGAAAAGGAAGACCTCGAGTCGCGCGCTTTTTTACACAGGTTCATTTTAAAGAGAGGCCAAATCAGGTGATAGCTGGGTGTTGTAACTTCGGAACTTGAGGGGCGTAGTGATTGATATTTCGGAGGTAACAGAGGCATCGGGCTTGGGAGGTTGAGGCCGGCGAGCGGCCTGCGCTCGCGTCAAGGCTGGCATAGGATAGACAATCAAGGAAATAGAGGGCAAAGAGGATAAGAGAGAAGATGCTAACCCAATAAAGAGGGGAAGCAGCCATAGGAACATTGAGGTGAGTATCTTTTAGGAAGGGACTGTAGTAGGGAGGAATTTATGTATGAAAAGAACTATTTATTTAGGAGGTGAGAAAGCACTCCGGTTTTATACTGATTGATGGTTGCCGTAAAGTATATAGATGATGAGTAAATAGAATTATAGAGACCTTATTGCAATATGCTTGTACCTCATTGCAATAGATTTGCTCTCGGTACGACAAGGTGAGCTTCTGGTTCATGCATCACGTGCCTCATATTTCCAACAGCCTCCTCCTCAAACAGGGCCAAGGGACCAAAGGCTCCAACGGTCGGTTTCATGACGGGTTTACGCAGATCCATGGCCTCTCGCGTCCAACGACTGGTCTCGTTCCTGTTGCCTTTTTCCTTCGTTTCTCCATTCTGTTCCTTTCCGTATGGACTACATGTTATGTTGATTTGGCGGATGCTGATTGGTCGCGACTCTTGATTGGTTCTTGCCAGATGTCGTGATCACTTCGTTCTCTGTCTTGGTAAATCCCATGGTTCATCCTGAATCTTCATGTCATTGCTGGTCGTGCGAAAACGTCTTTCTCTTACTTCACTTCAACCGTACTCTGACTCCAATACCATGTCTTCCTCGCAGCCTTCCTCTTCCGAAAATCCTGGGGGGCGTCGTCGCCGTCAACTTCGTGATTCCAATACCACGCCTTCTTCACAGCCTTCCTCTTCCGGAAATCCTGGGGGTCGTCGTCAACGTCAACTCCCTGATACTATAACCCGTATGCGGTCGCCACCTCCAATGAATCTGAAGTCAGTCTCTTCTGCTCGGTCGTCGTCGACGGTGAAGGCGGAAATCGATGAACAGTCGTCTTCGCAAGCACCTACACAGCTGCTCCCCTCGTCATCGTCAGGGAAGGTGGCAATCGACGAGCAGTCTTTTTCGCAAGCGCCTACGCAGCTGCTTTCCTCGTCGTTATCCGACAGCGGCGGCGGGTCGATCGATGAGGGGCAATGTCACGGATAGCACCATAGCGTGTGGTGCAGAGTGACAGTTGAGCTGCGCACACAATTGCTCATATTGATTTGTGACTGCTTCTACGCGCTCACGCGCTTGCACGCGTACCTCTGCCACCGTATGCTCGATCAACATATGTTCAACGAAGTATCTTTATTGATATTGCCATTATCCGGCCCGCCTAGAACCATTGTCCGGCCCGTCTAGAACCATTGCACCAGATCCATACCTTTGTGCTATTCCTAGCAAATATACCTCGCGTCCCGTAGTAGCCATCCGAGTACCCTGACCAAGAATCCTAGAAACACATAAATAGAGCCATAGAATCCATAGCATATAACCTCAGTCTGCAATGCATTTCTTCCTTACCTTGTCCACTGTCTGTCTCCTCCATAACACATATCCCACTCTTCCAAGTCTGTTCCTGACATTGCAGACTCTCCAATCCAGTCATGTCCGCCCAAGATGAATTTACCCAGCACCAGCAGCTTCTGCAGCAGCAGCAGGCGAATCTCCTTGGTGCCCTGCAGAACCATGCGCAAGACCCGAACACCACTCCTGACGCATTTGTGAACCATCTCCGCGAACTCTTGTCCGTTATTGACGCCCGTACCAACTCCATTGCCAGCCATCTCCAACAAGCGAACCATCTGACGACCTTGTCCGAGGCCGTCAACGTTATCCAAGTCCAGAACCAAGACGCAATGCAGCAGCAGACCAACACGATCGCTGCCCTCCAGAATCTGGTCCAAGCCATCCTGGACCGAACCCCCGCGCCTACCGCCGCTGCCGCTTCTCTCCAGACAGCCGCTCGTCGTCCACACATCCCGCACCCCTTCACGCCTGCGTTCAATGGTGATGCCAAAGTCCTTTCCTTCCGTGCTTTTTGTAACAGGATAACCCCGCTTATAGCCCCGACTCCGAAAGGACTGGGGCCTCGGCTATAGACAACCGGCCGGGCCGGAACCGGACCGTAGACATAGATATATAGACCAGCTAGTTGCCATCTTAATACAGCACGCATTCCAACCCTTTCCATCCTTACCCCTGCCCTCGACTGCCTAGAGCTATTACATGGTAGCAAAGGTTCTTCGATCCCCTGCACCTCTGTCCCTGAACCACGATCCCCCTGTACCACGAAACTCTGCTAAATTTTTACCCTGATCCACCAATTAAATTAAACCTTGGCCGACCAACTGTCATCCCTTTTTTCCTCCCTAACCATGAATGAATCCACCCCTGCCCCCGCCCCTGCCCCCGTCCAGGTCCTGTTACCCTCCTACAGGTACCCGTCTCCCACTGCCTTCAACGGAGTGCGGGATGGCTTCGCTTGCGAAGCATGGCTTACCACTGTCCGCCGTTTTTTCATTGGTGCTCGCATCAGCGAAGACTCGCGCACGGTCACAGCTGTTGCGTACCTCGGCCCCACTGGCCTCCTCTGGTGGGACGGCTTGCAAGCGCCGGACACGACACCCTGGTTCCAGTTCGAGGAGCTTTTTCGAGCGGAGTTCCGCCCCGCTGGATTTTATGATCATGTCCGAACCCTCCTCTTCGGAATCAAAATGTCTAGCACTGTTGCTGACTATGTCAGTCGCACTCGTCGCTACCTGGCCATTTTGTGCACGAACGAGACCCACCCTGAGGCTCGTATTATGCTCGAGGACTCTGCCAAGTCATGCTTCTTGGCAGGCGCCCCGTTAGCCCTGCGCCAGATGTTGATGAGCCTCGCCATCAACAGCCGCAGCCCGGTGTCTATCCACGAGATGTGTCAGGCTGCCGAGCAGTTTGACACCATTTATAATTTCTCCTTACCCAATCGCACTCCCACTAACGCCAACCATGCCACTCCTACCCCTGCACATGCCTTCCTCACCGCCCACACCGCCAGTCTACCCGACCCGATGGCCATGGAGTTGGATAACCTGCGACTGGAGCTCAATGCACTCCGCCGCCAGGTCAACAACAATAACGGCCGCCACAACCTCGCCCCACTCAACGACACCGAACGCGCCCGCCTTCGAGCCCGGGGTGCTTGCTACAAGTGCCGACAAGACGGCCATATGGCACGAGACTGCCGTGGCAGCAATATGAACAACCTCTCGGTTGCCGCGGGTGTTGGTTCTGCTTCGGCGGGAAACGCCTCCAGCGATCAGGCTTAGTCCAGGACTTGGTCGCTGAAGTTCCCTCCCCTTCTCTTCTGGACAAGGGGAGTGAGCACCACTCAGAGTTAAGTAATTATTCCTCAAAAAATAAAAACAATTCCACTGTGCCTATGCTCGCTCCCTTCCAATCGTACAAAAATGCTCCAAGAAAAGCAAAGACAACAAAAACAACCATCGAATCTCACCATGCCCCTGATGTCCTGCCAACCGTCTCAGACAAACCACAACCCACGTACGACCCGTCCGTGGTGTCTAGGTCGTCTGAGGCAGTGGACCTGGACCCACTTGCCTCTCTCGCTACTCTAGCACCAGCCCTCTCCAAGACCCAGCTGAAGCGCCTTCGTAAGCGTACCGTTCGGCTGCAGTCCTTCACAACGGCTGAGGCCGAGCGCACCCTCCTGACTTTTATTGGTTCTATTAACGGTCGCCCCGCCCACATCTTGATTGATGGAGGAGCAGAAGGAAACGTCATTAGCTCTTCTTTTCAAAAACGACATTCACTTCCTCTCCATTCCTGTTCCCCCATTCCTATTGTTCTCCCCGACGGTACTTTTTCCATCACCAATCACTCCGCCTCCATCACACTCGAACGAGATTCCTATTCCGACACCATCAACACCCTTCTTTACCCCCTTAAAAAATACGACCTTATCCTCGGTAAACCATGGCTCACACACATCAACCCCAACATCGACTGGCGTACCAACGACCTTCATTTCACACATAATGGCAACACCGTTCATTGGACGTGTCGAGGCTTCGCACCCTCATCCATTACAGCTAAGTCCCGTGGCCTCTTGATGAGTCACTTGCACTTTCATACTCTTGCAGCTCAGCCTGACGCGGAAGTGTTCATGGCTCTGGTGAAAATCGGCGGCGACAACGACAATGACAACGACGGCGATGATGAAAACGACGACGATACCAAACCTTCCACACCTGATCTTCCGCCCGAAGTCCGACCCATTGTACTTCAGGAGTTTGCAGACGTCTTCCCCAACTCACTCCCCGCCGGTCTACCACCAGACCGAGGGGATGCTATGAAAATCGAGACTGACCCCAACGCAGACCCGCCATTCCGCCCTGTGATCCGCCTCTCTATTGCGGAACTGGACGAGCTCAGGAGACAGCTCGACGACCTCCTCGCCAAAGGATTCATTAAGCCCAGCACATCGCCTTATGGCGCGCCCGTCCTTTTCGTCAGAAAAAAGGATGGTGCGCTCCGAATGTGCGTTGACTACCGTGGACTCAACCGAATCACAAGGAAGAACCGCCACCCGCTCCCTCGCATCGACGAGCTCATCGACAGGTTCCGAGGGGCACGATACTTTTCGAAACTGGACTTGCTGTCAGGATACCATCAGCAACGGATATTTGAGCCTCATACGCACAAGACAGCATTTCGCTGTCGGTACGGACACTACGAGTTCAATGTGGTACCCTTTGGTCTCACTAATGCTCCTGCATCTTTCTCCAACATGATGTTCAAGGTTTTGGATCCGGTTTTAGACAAATGGGTTGTTGTTTATCTTGATGACATTCTTATTTACTCCAAGACGAAACAAGAGCACATTGCCCACATCCGAAGTGTGCTGGCGCTCCTCCGCAAGAACGGCCTCTATGCGAAGTTGAGCAAGTGCTCCTTCATGCAAGAAGAAACTGAATTCCTCGGACATGTCATCTCAAAGGATGGCATCCACACCAGCGCCGGCCACGTCAAGGCTATCAGGGAATGGCCTCGCCCATCGAAGCAGAAGGACGTGCAACAATTCATTGGCCTCGCACAGTTCTACCACACATACATCAACAACTTTGCTAACATCGCTCTCCCTCTCACGGCTCTGTTAGGTGAAGGCGTGGAATTTTCCTGGGACACGGACAAAGAACGCGCTTTCACCACCCTGA